TAAAATTGACATTTAGATACTTTCTATTTTAAAACAACCACCATATTGAATATCAAACGAAAAAAATGCAATTTATTTTATCTTTATCTTCTTTTTTTTTTAAAAAAAATGTTTTATTATTCCATCATTTAATTTTAAAATAGAGTATGTAATATTATATTCAACTACAAACAATACTTTGTATAGTTTTGCGCTGTTTATAATAATTCTAAATAAGTAACAGATTGTACTCGAACGCCATCTATTTCTTGTATTAAATAAATACTATATGAATAATACTGTTACAGTGTAACTTATGTGTTTTTCTAGAACACTTTCTTTGTTATGGTCGCTTAAAAAAAATAAATATACTCGATATAATGTAAGCCTAAATTATATTATCGAAAAGAGAATAAAGTAGGCTTAATTAGCTTGTTTTTTGTTAAACAAAAACATTGTCTATAAAATCTCCTCTCTCTCTCTCTCATTCCTCTCCTTTATCCATCAAATTCTAATTTTACTTCTACATATTTCCTACTGAGTACCTAAATGAATACACTCATTCCAGATTTCTTATATTTACCATAATTAGTAAGTTATAATTCCAAACAAGTACATTTCTTTATTCTAATAGAATATATGTTTATTTGTCACCTTCCACTTATTTTTCTTTTGATTTTCACTTATAAACCTCTCACCCTAGCTCTTTTCTCTGCATGCTTTATGTGAGATAAGCCCGAAAGTATTAGAGGGATGAACGGATTTAATTTGGCCTTGATTTCCTTAGTAACGAGAAACATTTGTTTACAGTTTAGATATTATACACAAGAAGAATGAAGAATGATGGAGAGAAGAGAAAGAGAGAGAGAGAGAAAGAGAGAAGGGAAAAAATCCAAAAACAAAAAATACAATTCTGGGAAAAACAGGAAAAGTGGTAGGAGAAGAGAGGAAACAAACGAATGCTATATGAAAAATCTTTAGATTTTCCGACCAAATAATTAGGAAATAAAGTTAATTTGCTAGTAATCAACCATCAAAATAACATAGATATATACATTTTATTAACACGTAATTAGTACAAATTGGTAGGCCTAATAAGAAAAAAAGTGCCTGATAATAACCTTCAAAAAAGTCTTAGCAATAATCAAAATTTTTAATCAAACATTTTTTTTTTAAAAAGAAAACATTATATAATTAGCTATTAGGTAATAAATAGATCGTTATAGTATGAATATAAGTTATCTTTTTTTGTATTATTAAGCAGAGGTCATGATATTGTAAAAAAAAAAAATCAACCACAGAGAAAAAAACAAGAGAAAAAAAAATAGGATAACCACTACTTAGTCTTTGTACGGGGAAATTACTTCTCTTTGATATATTGATAGTAATTATTTCGTGTGTTTAGGTGGAAAATTTTAACCATAAAAAGAAAAATATAGGATAAAAAAATAAGAAAAGAAAAGCCAAGATTCCAAGTAATTGACGCATTAATTTGGAAGGATTTTTAGACTCTTCTTCTTTATTTTCCTTTAATGGGAAAAGAAAAAAGTATGAAAGCATCTACTAGCTTCGCATACCAACTGTAAACCTTTTTATGCCTTATTTGCCAATGAGAAAGGGTAGAATTAATGCAAATCTTGAGTGAATCTATCCCAAGATTAACTAGAAGGATGGAAGATAAATTGACATGAAAAGAATAATATAATCTTAGAAAATCACGCAAAAGAGAGATACGACGAGATATAAGCCTATTTCTTTTAATGTTAAAGACTAATTACTATCTCAAAATAAAAAAAGTAGGACTATTTTTTTTTTTTTTTTGGGTTGCTGTTGTTTTTTGTTCTTGGCCAAAAACATTAACGTATCGCGTATATAAGGTAGGCAGTATACGTATTATACTGTAGATAGTACATCCAGAATGGAAGCATTCCATAAATAGGCCTATATATTACTGTATAAATAAATATATTCAAACAAATATTGATCTTCCTCTTTCTTTCTCTCCCTCTCTTTCTGTCTCTCTCTCTCTCTCTCTCTCTCTCTCTCTCTCTCTTTTCCTCTCCGTTCTTTCTCTTCCTCTTACAACTTTTTACTTAGTTCTCACTTCTTTTTATTTAAGTTTTATACAATTTCTTTATATTTATAGAACAATTTAAATAAGAACATAGTTTGCCTAATAGCAAAACCAGATTAGGACAATGACTTTTTAAAAACAATATTTTTTAATAGATTGAAAGCAGAAATGAACTTTAAAAATAAAGTATAAGCTGACAAGAATTAATAAGACACTTGTAATCTTATTTTCTCATTTATATTTTATCCTTATCATCTTTTATTTTTTCACTTTCCTTTCAGGTAAAGATTAAGTATTATTGGTAATAATATCAATAATAATGATGATAATAATATTAACAATATATATATATATATATATATATATATATATATATGTAAAAACTGCTTGTTTCAAGTTAAAATCATAATCAAAGACGAGAAAAAAATGTATATAGCACCATAAACAACACACGTAAAAGGTTTTTTTTGTTATTTTTTGACTTGTTGTTATTGTTTTTCACACTAAAAAAATATATATAATAAAAAATCTCAAATAGATTAGATAACGATGAACATTTTTCTATTCGAATTCTGGTTGAAATTGAAGGAAATCGATAATCTTTTGCGGTAGAGGTAAATTTGTCACATCGACATAACTTTGTAGAATTACTGTTCGGCAAAAATGCTGCAAATTGGCGAATGTTGGCAGTTTGTAAACCTGTTATTATTTTTATAAAAGGACGTTTTATAAGTTAATTGTATAGATTTTTTTTCACGTTATTACGTTTCTTTCATAAATAAAGTATAATGATATATATAAATAAATATATATATATATATACAGTATACAGTATACAGTGTTATTTATAATTTTTATCAATATACATAAATTTATGAATCATAAACATTATAAATAAAATGAACAGAAGGTTTAATCATATAATAATAATAATAATAATTATAATAAACTTACTTGAACGTAATGCTGGTTCTTTACACCGCACATATTCATAACAAGGGCCATTCTACTTCCGCAATTACTAAAGACTGGCGTGTAATTGACAGGGCAGGCATGACTGAAACAAGAAATACTTGATAAAAATTGAATTAACTTTTTAACTTAAGCCGTCTGTTTTTTTTTTCTTTTTTTTTCCTAGAAACTTAAAAATATGAATAGGCGATAAAAAGAAAAAAAGAAATTCTCACACAGCGCAGGTATATCGATCGTAGAGAACGCAGTGCAGGGTAATTGCAGTTGTCGAACAAAATACGTAGATATTAGCCCGACGGGCGGAACCGTCGCAAGCGCATGATGACTGAACCATACTAACGATAAGTAGACTACCATCCGGTGTATGACGTATTTGACGAGTATCCTTGGGCTCGAGGTTATCGTCTGAGAACCTGCTGTTCGAGGCTAACACTTTACAATTCCTTAAATTAAGAACAGTTAAATTATTGGGTTCAGCAAATGATGTAATCGCCGCTCGGGTCCAACCAAATCTTGGATCGAAAGAGAAGTGCGAGGGGCCAGAAATACCCATTTGAGCAACGAGCATTTTCTTGGTCGTATCGTATAATTGAAGTTCCCTAACAGGACGCGCAACTAGAACCAGCAAGCGGCTGCAATCCGGACTTAGAGACGCTCTCACGTCCCTGTTGGACAGTTCGAAGGAAGGCGCTAATTGGGCGAAAACGCCAAGGAATTTATTCGCCTTTAAATCTAGTAGGCCTAATTGAGAGCGCCCTGCCCTTGAAACGTGTAGGACAACCAATTTTTCACGGTAGCAAAGGACGGACAACACTCTCAAGTGATGGACGGACGATAGCTGTGCCGGAATGTGATTGTATTCAAAGTGATCAGCCATTTTAGCAAATTTTGAACGCTTTCTGAAGCTGAAAAAGGAACTGTCCTTATACACGTTGATAATACCTTGCCTTGAAACACAGAAGGAATCTGAGCAATCTTTATTTATGACTCCTGTGCAGGATAGAGTAACCTCGTTAAAACCAGCAGCTTCGGCATGTCCTTCCTTCCATTTGTCCAGCAAACACTGATGAAGTAAGGTCCATGCCACAGCTTCTGTCTCTTTTCGGAAATGATTCGGAAAATCAACACAACCGCTGCTTGTGTAACTTACTGAACCAACACTGGCACACCTCTTGCTACTTTCGCCTCCCATTATTTCTTTCTAACTGACTTGTTAGTATTTTTAAGCATAACCGAATTTTGCACCTCTTTAACAACAACTCTTGGCCTTATGACAACTTTAGACTTCCAAAAAAACTGGTGTAATCATCGTATAAATGACTCAAAGCGGAGTAACTGACGAGGAGAGAGCGCAGTAATATTTGCGCAATTGCAAATGAAAATGCATCGAATGACGTCACGACTGGCAGAATGCTCTCTCTGAAAACCGGTAGAGGGAGGAAATGTAGCTTAGCCGGTAAAAAAAATCGATATAAGATAATATAAGAACAAAAAGTCGAGATTATGTCATTTAAATTTCTTTATTACGTAATTAACAATTGCCAAGTAAAAAATTTGTTTGTAGATCCGTTTGTTCTGACATGATTTATCCTATTGCTGTTTGCAATTTGAGTTATTCTTTTTAGCTTGTTCCGAAGTTCTTTTATCATTCTGCACATAACCAGGAGATGATGGAGGAGTCATGAGTTCACTATAAAGATTCTCTTCATCCATTTCTATATATATCATTAATTTATAAGATAGTGTATATAATCAATGCATTAATAGTACCTGTCGAAACCTGCTCGACTGAATGCTGGCGACGATATGTAGGATCTATACTTGAAAAGACGTTGGTACTCGTTTGGGGTAACCTTTGAGCTTGTGGAAGTGGACGGTGGGATTTTCTAAATTGATGAGCAAAAACATACCAGAATTACAAGAACGCTTAAATAAGAAGAAAAAAAAAACAAATTAGAAAAACCTGTTATCGCTAAGAAGATTGTCATCAAGAGTTCCGTTGTCCAATTCTAATCGGTTTACGGTAATGGGAGCTCTGGATCTTGCTTTATCCAATCGATCAGAAGACTTGGATCGTTTACCCTTTCCTAAATCATTCTCACGATATGGAAACTCTTCGTAATGACCCGATGCGCCAATAGCTACACTGATGGGTCTATCTTTACCCGGCTTTGAGTATAATTGTTTGGTATTTTCTCTAGATCGTCTGTCTTTTTTTCTGACATCTCCTTTAACTTCTTCAGCTGATTCCGAGCTAAATAACATTCTAGCACGATCCAACTCACTCATTGGTCGCTTTGGTGAGTTAGCTCGTTCCCATTGAGAGATCATTTCAGGAACTTCTTCATCCGATCCCATTTCTCTAATCGCTTCAGGAGAAGACTCAGATTGACTGTTATCAAAGACAGCCTGATTTTCGTAAATAGGAGAGGAAGGCAAAGGCTTCGCTCCGTGACGGCGAACATGTTCCTCGTATGAAGGTGGTATTGGTCGATGAGATTTGCTAGCTTCTCCCCCAAAAGTAACAGAACCGATATCAAGCATTGAACTTGATGAATTCGATTCATTGTTCAAAGTAGTGGATTGACCAGCTTTCAGCTGTTTATTATGAAAGGTAAGATAAAAGAAATTAGCTTGAAAAACACTATTATTACCAATCAGCATCAAAATTGATATTTTGATAGATAAACAGAGAAAACTGGTCTTTAAGGAAATTAATAACAAACTAAACATTCATAATAATATTGTTATTGTTATTTATATATATATATATATATATATATATATATATATATATATATGTTTATATATTTAAATTAATATGTAAAAGGCTTAACACAAACTGTCTAGGTATAAACATGAATTATTTTTATCAACGAAAGCAAGCACAATGATATGAATTTAATTAATTAACAATAAGATGTTGAATTCTGTCCAACTTCATCATACTTTATAAACAGATTTACTCAAATTTAGCACTGCGAAGAATTGCCTCTGGCGTCTCGCTGACAACCAGGTGGAATAGGATAATCATCTGGCTGTAAGTCATTTGAGAAGAGAAAGAAATAACATTGACTAAATTAACAACAATTTAGAAGAAGCTAAATCAACTAAATACAAATTTTACAACAGCAAATTTCCTACAAACCTTTTTAATTTGTTGTCTATGAATTCTTTTCCTTCGACTCCTCAGCCTCTCTTGCTCTTGAAATAGTTTTGCAATTTCTAAGTCTTTCTGTTCTAATTCTCTCATCTTCAATTTAATGTCAGCTCCCCTCTTTTTAGACAAAGATAAATGTTCTAAACTAAACCAAAACAAATTTAATCTATTTGCTATTTACTTTGTGTTCCTGATCTTGTAGTAATCTGGCCAATTCCTGATCTTGTTGCTCTTGAATTTCCCTCCTCTCCTCTTCACTCAATAATGGATCGATAGGAGCACAAAAATCTGAAAAATCTCCAAGGTCCTCCACTTTACCATCTTGCCTCAATAGCCTTTACCCCAAGAAATTTATTATTGATAGTGATAAAATATTTAGCTAAATCTATATTACTTTGAATTTCCATTGGCAGAAGAGATGCTCATATTGTGCATATTCTCTTCAATGGAACGAGAAGGTCTGCCCTCTTTTCGATAATTTCTTAAAGTATTTATCTCGTAATTAAGGACATTTTCCAGTCTCTTACGTTCCCTAGTTAATTCTTTCTCTTGGGTAGCGAGTTTTGCCTGTTGCTCCTCCATATCTTGTAATTGTTTCGCAAATTGCTAAGAAAAAATAGATAAAATATATTATTATATGTATAAATTATTCATATAAATAATAATAATCATTCTTTATACCATATCATCAATTTCTATCATGCTCTGTCTCTGTTGTTTCATTTTCCGCTCACGTATTTCATCTTCAGCGAGCTTTTTAGCTAATTTTTCATCAGCTTCAGCACTATAATAGATAGATGAAGAAAAAAAAAATTATATTCAATCAATCAATCAATCATATTCATTTCAAACCATCAACGCACTTGGTAACAATCATTAATTATAATAAGAAGAACGAACATATAATATATTATATTTAAGTGTATATGTTACTGGCAATAAGCAAAATCCATTAGTATATACACAAACTAGTAAGCTGTCTATTACTTAAGACAGTTAGGTACTACAACACGTGCTCTGTCAATAATCTCTATTAAAATGTGGTACAGTCAGTAATAGTTCGCATCGTTCTCCTTTAGGAACTGATCAACTTATAGTTATTATATAAACTGCTGGAGTTTGCTCGTTTGCTAGTATGCACTATATATATATTAATACAATGCTCATCAAGTTGGGGCACGGAAGAAATAAAATATAAACAAGCTTGTAACAAAATAACGAGATTAATCTTCAAAAGATATAAGCAAACCCTTTGATATCTACCTACAAAATAGGTAGAATAAATATCTAATGAACCTTTTAGCCACACTACAGTTAAAATGAATTAACGAAGTGTTAACATGTATATCAACTTCCGGCATAAATACATAATAGAACAACACTGTAAAAGATAATCATCACCCAAAAGTTCTGGAAGGATAATCTTGATGAGCACCGTAACTATATTATTATTATCATTAATTATCGAAAGAATTAATACGAAAATAGATTGAATCAATAGATTTTTCATCTTAAAATAAGAATTAAGCCAATGCAAAAATCAATTATAATTTTTAATACTTTTTCTGTTTGTCAATAGCTGTTATTTTTTTTTTAGACACTTGTGCGAAATTTTCGAATTTGTTTGGCTAAAATATAACAAAAATATAAAGACAAACTTACTGTATCAACAGGTTTACAACGGGTAAACTAACCATTAGAGATGACTTTTGTATTTACTGTTTAGTATTAGTTTTTACAATAGATTATAAATTTTTAAAGTTCCTATATTATGGATAATGGCGATTAAACGTTGAACAAGTATTAACTGTTTCAAAGGAATACAATATATATATATATATATATATATATATATATATTGTATATATAAAAGATACTATTACACAAATCATTATTCATAGAAATTTAAGAAAGAAAATATTTTGCATATCTAAAAAGTACTTACACTTGCTTTTGGCGCATTAGATGTTCATAACGTTCTTTTTGAATTCTTTCCTCTTCTTTCGAATGAACATACTTTGCCATTGGAACGTCTTTTCTTGAATTTCTTCTCTCGAAACGGTTAAAATCATATTTTTCATTGACTAAAATAAAGTTTATTATTAATTTAACGAAATCTATTGTTTCTTGATTATATCTTACATTCGTTTTCTTGTAATTTATGGGCCAATTGTCTATCTTCATGAATTCCAAATTGTCTCCTGACTATAAATCACGAATCGGTTAAGAAATTGTGGGCCTATAAACCCTATCGCAACTATTTACCTTCATTCACAGACGGTCTACTATTTTCATTAAAATTGTTCTTAGCCATCGCCTTCAAAATAGGTAGAAATCAGCGCATAACTTGAATATGCATTTAAATTTCAACTGAACATGTTAAAATCGACCGATGCAGATTGATTTAGTATCGAATAATTAAAAAAAATGAAGGCTTTGAATACAGTTAGTCATAGTAAGATCAGGACAACAGAGCCATCTATCGGCGTAAAATTTGCAGGTACTTTTAATTTTATTAAAAATTATATCTAATAAGAACAGCTGGATTCCTATCGAAAGATTATCGTTTATTCGTTATTTTTATTACTTAATACAACTTTTACCAGTCATCAATTCCTCAGAAACAGATAAAGTAAAAGTTTTCAAATTTACAATTCAGATGACGACACTGAGGCTGAGGCGCAGGAGCGCTGCTGTATGTTTTTCTCTAAGAAAAACGGACCTCAAGAAACTAATTTGAATTATAATAGAAATTTCTTTTCTAAAGTGTTGCGTAATATGAGTCATCGTCACTATTTTTATGAAAAAAGGTGTAATTATTGGAGCATTCATGAGGACACTGCAAACTTTTTTGAACATTTTTCGACATCCATTCAGCCTACAGTATTAAGTTTCTTTCTCTCTCTCTCTCTCTCTCTCTCTCTCTCTCTGAACAGTCGAATAAAGCCTATTCAATACATTTCTATTCTGAAACGAGCCAATAACAATATCAATAATTCCTTAAAAACGATATATTAAATTAATATTTTAATCATTAAAGTATTTATTCTAGTTTTTTTTCTTTACTTTCTTAACTGTTTTCCAATATCTTTGAGAATTAATTAATTAATATATTATTTAAATAAAGATAAACTTCTTTATTTGTTGCAGTCTATTAAATAATTAATAGAATAAAGCAAAAGAAGAAGAAGAAGAAGAAAAAGAAGAAGAGAAAATAGAGAAATATGATCGAATAGTCTAAAATATAAGCTTGTAAATTACACATATTTTTGTCAAGCTAATGAGGCCATTAAAAAAGAATAATATAAAGAAAAGAAGCATTATCTCTTCATACTAAACCATTTAAAAACGAAATATAAAAACAAAACCAACTAGGAATGATATAAAAATATTCCCAAGTGGAAAAACACTCGTGCAATGGAATGTTTAATGAATGAAATATTAATAATTTGCCATTTAAAGAACAGAAAGTTACATATTTCTATATTTTCGATATCTACGAATTAAAGCAATTTCGTATGGTGTAGGAAAAAGGTTAATATTCTTGAAAAGTACTTTTCGACCTTTATTGCACTGTAAGGTCATCCTATTACGAGAGCTTTATATTCTTCACAAAAGATCGAAATGGATAAGCGAGCCAGAGAGAGAGAGAGAGAGTGGGGGGGAAGGGGGAGAAAAAAGATTGTATATATATATATATATATATATATATATATATATATACTGTATATATGATAGGAACGAAGAGAAAGGAAAAGATAGATCAAAAATCGATTCAATGACTAAAAAAAGTGCAAAAAATAAGTAATGTTATCGGAGAAAAGACTAAACGAATTTGAAAAGCGAATATAATTCCGCCGAACCTCATCTAAAATATTATTCATAAGCAGAATTTTCACTAGTAACTACAGATTTACATTATAAATTACAAAACTATGTAGTTTTCCCATTTATTTTATACTTATAATTTACAATGACTGTTTAAAATTGATAGCTTAAAAAACTGATTATATAATCTGATTGAAAAAAGGTGGAAAATTGCCCTAAAAAGGAGACTTTTTTTTTGTTATTTAAATATAAGAGGAAACATTTCTCTAGCCTTTAATTATTAATATACAAAGATTTATTCAATGGTCGTCGAACTGGTGTATCAACAGAATTATTTACTACTTTTCTTTTAAGGAAGATTTAATAGAGTATCCGTTTTCTAAAGTCATATTTAAATAGAATTTTAGTAAATTGATGATATCCTGCTTATTAAACAATTAGTAGTTCAGTTATTCCCATTAGATCGAATAATTATGTTGTAAAAGAGAGAGAGAGAGAGAGAGAGAGGGGGAGGGGGAGGGAGAGAAAGAGAGAGAAAGAGAAAAACTGTCTCTCTTAACTAATTAAATTTAAACTTATTATTATTTAAAATTTGTTATTCTTTGTTATTCTGACATTAATTCAATGATTTCCATTTGTTTTATCTTGTTTATATAATATTATAATAATATTATAAATATACTATATGTGCATAACATATAATATTAGTCTCTGCGAAAAGAGAAAAAAAGTTGTAATGATTAATCTGGTCACGTGATTTTACGCCATATTGTTTAGGCGGGAGAATATATAGGGCCTCTTTTTGTGTATTACATTAAAAAAACTTACATGTGGCTTATTTAACTATTTTAGTATATCGAAAAAGACTTTTATTCAAATTAAATTTAGTAACAAAAACATTCGACGTCTATTAAAAGCGTCAAATCGATAGAAACGTTGTAACGCACTAAAGTGCACCAATCAATAAAAAGCGACTGCAGTCGATCTGGAATCCCCTGCAATGACGTCAGATGGCCAAACCGAGGCTCATTAGCGGGATGCAGTCCCCGCGCTGAACGTGTAGAGGCTCCTGGAGCAAAGATAGGATTACACTGAACTGAGGCTCCAAAATGTTTAGGGGATTGAAGAGTTTCTTGATGATCGACGAGGAGAACCAGCCACAATCAGAACCTATGGCCAGGATTGTCTCAGTTTCCGCTCCCCGCACATTCCAAAGCCCAAGGACCTCCGGTAGCCTGTCAGGACGAACTACTCCTCAGGCTAACCGATTTCAGCGCATGGAACAGGAGTTTGTTGCCCCCAAAAGAAACGCCGTTTCGGCACCTTGTTCCGGTCAACATACTCCGCTCGAACCACCGGAAGTGGATCTTAGCCACCTCAGCACGGAGGAACGAGCCCAAATAGCTCAGGTGATGGCAAAGGCAACACAGATGCAGAACGACGAGACAAGTCGAATTCGGTAATATGTTCGAATAATAGGCAATAAATAAGCAAATAGCTAGCACTACCAATCTCCTCATTTCCCGTACGATTTTTGCCCAGATTAACGCTTCTCTTCTTCGGAGCGGGGCATCCGCGCATAAATAATCGATAAGGAATCGATAGAACGTAAAGTGCGTGTGTGTGATGTCATCTCGTTTATAGTACAATATGTTCCTTATCGATTATTTTCACCGTCGTAAAGTCAATAAGTTAATTATAGTCCAATTCATTTGTATCCAATACAGGAATTTAGAGCAGGATTACACAGTACTAGCTGCATCGGTAGAGCGTCGTGCCTCTTTGGGTACTGAAGAGGAGAAACTGAAATGTCCCGTATGCTCTGAGACGAATATAGTCGACTCGGCCAAGGGACGGACGTGTTCGGAATGCCGGAAGAACGTTTGTAACAAATGCGGTCGTTTCGAATTATCTCCAATCAGTTCGGTAAGTAGCGGCAAAAAATGTCTGTATTGATAAAAAAAAATACGCCTGTTTAACTATGCAAGCTGGCTAACGTAATTAGGTTTTCTTTGAGAGGGAATCAGTCGAATAGGGAAAGGGAACAACCAGAGAAAACAACGACCAAATGAATGAGCAAATAATATCGTAATCTTTGAGGCCTAAAACTAGACATCCTAGTACTCTTTTTTTATATATATTTTTGCAGATCACGTACACCGGCGACACAGCAATGCGGTACCGCAATATATCGCCGGCCGTTTGCTAGTTTATTGAAAAAATTGCTTTAATCATACTTTCTCCCTTATTATTTATACAGCAAAGGGAATGGACTTGTACTGTTTGCATAAAGAAGAAGGAATTGATAAAGAGTTCAGGAGCATGGTATCACGGGAGAAGTGGGCCCACTTTACCCCACGTCACGGGATTAGAATTGAAAAAAGAGGACCAAAACGATCCTAGGCGCAGAGATCAACCGATCTATTCGGAACATAATAAGGAGAATCAAGCAAATTTCCCACAACACCGACAACCCCCTAGGGAGTCGTTGGTAGACGAGGAGAAAATTCGTAGGGGGCAGGATCGTAATCAACGGCCGAAGAGGATGCCCGTACCAGATCCTGAGCAATTTAGTCAGACACCCGATAAACAAATGCCCACAACAAGAAGGGATTATGAAGAAGAACATCAACGTCGTCAAAGACAGCAACAATCACAACATCCGCAACACTTACAACATCAGCAATATCAACACCAGCAACACCAACAACATCAGCAACTTGCACAACAAACACAACATCCTCAACATCCACAACATGCTCAGCATCCTCAACATCCTCAACATAGTCAACATCCTCAGCATCCTCAGCATCCTCAGCATCCTCAGCATCCTCAGCATCCTCAGCATACTCAATATGCTCAACATGCGCAGCATGTACAACATCCCCAACATTCTCAACACACTCAACATCCTCAACATCAACACCAGCAACAACAACAGCAACAACAACAGATGTCCCAACCCCTACAACAGCAATATCAACAAGTGCAACCACAAATGTTGCCTCAACAGCCACAACAGCAAGGTCAGCAGCAAATGCAGCAGCAAATGCAACAGCAAATGCAGCAGCAACTACAACAACAACAACAACAAATGCCCCTACAGCTACAACAACAATATCAGCAGCAAATGCAGCAACAGCATATGACCCAACAGCTACAACAGCAATATCAGCAACAATTGCTACAACAGCAACGGAAATACGATAGAACGAACGGATTAACGTACAACGATCCGCGAGACTCGTCACCGCAAGTTCGAACAAAAGGTAATTGCGTTTATGAAATATTCATAGGCGAATAGGCTTTGCCTGTTTAATTATTCATTTCTAGGCGAGCATAGGGGGAAATGAATACAGAATAGTTACACCAGATAGTTTACCCGCTTATTAATATGATTAATATGATTATCATTATCTGTATACGCCTATGTTTATATTAATTTATGAGCAGCATACAGTACATATAATTAGCATTATATAAATATAGACGATATAATATATTTGAGCACAAATAGCTTAAGTTTCTTTATATATAATACTTTTATAATGAATAATTTGATAATGTGAGAAATGAATTAACCTTGTTGTTTAGGTCCACCACAAACGTCACGGAGTGACTCAGAAAGTTCGGAATCAGTCAAATCTATGAAACGTGAAGCGGAAGATGACGGTCAAGTGTACCATAAGCACCGTCCGAAAAATCTCACTTTCGATCAAGAGGAAGCTGATCAATATAGAAAGCCGATCGAACAAAAGGTTCGAAAATCAAAGAACGAATACGAGGCACAGAAACGTTATAAGGAACGATCGAAAAGTCCTGCTAAATCACCATTAACGCCTCCCCGCAGTCCTAACTGGAAGCGATATAGAGATAGTCCACCTCATTCGTCACCTCCCAGACTAATGTCACCGCCGATATCACCCAGGGACTCGAGATTTACGTTTTCCATATCCGATATGTCGCCCCCGTCTAGACCCTTATCCAGGACCGATGCTTTCTTCGATCCATACGAGCTAGATGGTCCTTGCGATGAAATCGAACAGATTAACGCTAAAGCAAACCGTATTAGAGAGGATACACAAGGAGAAGCTTTACTTTTAGATAAAGTTCCACCAAAACCCGCTAAAGCTCTTGATTTAGCATCATATGCTGCAACAGTAGCAAGCGATACTGCAAACATGACAAATAAATCCGTCTCTCCTACAACATTGCGTCAAGAACAGCCCAAACGTTCGGTGGGTATCATTGATGACCGTGGCATCTTAGACGTTTCGCCCGATCGTGCGTCTCCACCATCTCCAAATTATTATGAAGTAGTTGACGAAGTAAAAGTGGCTAGCAAGAAAGACGACTCTCAAACGAAGATGAAACCACCACCGGATTGGTCACCAGTAACGGATTTATCACCAATTATTGACGTTTCACCGTCCATTGAACGCCTTGAGCAAGAAATGATGTTAGCAGAGCAGAAGCCCAGAAGCTCGATTAAAAGACATCCAAACTTCGACAATATAAGTGCTCTGTGCACATCGCCCACTAAAGAGGTCAGTAAAGGTGGAGGAATGCAGATGAACGTTTTATCTTTAAGGCCTTCGGAAGACGAAAGCCAAACATTTTCATATAATGTATTGAAATCCCCAATTACACCCGATACGGAGCGGAGTACGCGTAGTCAGGTTCAAATTAAGGAGGATCACGGCTATACGTATCCTATTACGCCACCTGCTGGACAAACCTCTCCGCCGCGTCCCCAATCGCCTACTGTAGTTAGTAGGCCACAGACGCTGGTATGATATAAACGAGTGTCACATGTTGTGCCGAATATAAGCACCGTTGTATCCGAAATACCACACCGTTTTATCTGATTATCGTACAAAATTTGATTACTTTTTCATTGTGCCGAATGACGTAATGTTTATATCCTTGAACATTCGTTTTTCACTTGTTTCTGTACCAAATTTGTTTCTTTTACTGATATCTTACTAATAACGCTTTTTTTTCTTTTCCTTTCATCCACCCTTTTACCAACGATGCTGAAAATTCAGGTCAGTCAAACGAATAGCAATAATCAAAAAAGAGCTCGCCGAAAGCTACCTCCAACGCCTGCAAATGTTCAACCAGTCACCGTAGCATCAATAAAGCATAAATCTAGGCAAAGATGGCAGGAAAAGAGATCTACGTCCTTAGATTCTTCTAGTACAGTGAGCCGGGGCGATTTATCGCCTAGAACACTTATAAAAAGCGAAAGTTTAGACATTCCAGCACCCGAATCGGGAAACTCTAGTCGTATTTCGACACCACCTATCGCGGAAAATATTAGAATCAACTCAAGTAATTCCAAATTAAAGGAGAATTTCGAAACGCCTAAAGAATTATTAAGGAAATCTCCTAAATTGAGACCGGGTGAATTGAAAACAATTGAAACAGTAAATATAAAAGGTGTTACAGTGCCATTACATGTAAGACAACTAAAGCAGCGGCTTAAAGAAGAGCTGCAAATAGCCACGGCTTCCAGAAGACTGCAGCTAGATGAACAAGTTGAAATTCATCTATTAGAGAGACAATTAGAAGATATGAAGGCCAAAGAGGCTAAAAAGCAACCTAAAGTACTTGGTCCTAGCGAAAAGCAGCTGAGCCTTCTAAATCAAGCTAATCTATCGGCTAGAGAGCGGAGAGCTTTACACAAAAGGCAAAGTAGTGACCCAACTATGTCAAAGATCTCTCCGGTTGACGAAAATGCAGATATTGAAGCTGCTTTACAACGTGATTTAAACTTTGATATGACTGGATTAACTTATGCTCAGACATTGTTTACCAGACCGATGACTAGTAGTCGGTCGGAAACTTCAATACCATTCCGAAAAGCATTTATAGGAGAAGAGGATGATTTAAGGAGAAAAGAAGAGAAAAGACACTTGCTTAAATTGGAAATAGAGAAGAGGAAACGGGAATTGGATGAAAATGTACAATTACAAATGGAGCTAAAGCGTCTTACTGAATCGGCAAGTATGAATCCTTTGGAATATAATCAAATCAGGAAGCGCTATCAACAACACGTATGCCGTCGAGATCCGTATTATGACTATCGCTCTAAATACCTGCTAGCAGCTTGCCCTCAAATCCCAGCGACGGGGAGTCCGGCCATGCCTGCAGCTTATCCAACTCCAATTAACGTTGCCTCTTCAGTCAGAACTTCGACTTCTCGAAGTTATAGCGCCAGTGAATATTTGGCACACAAGGCCCATTCACCCGCAAGCGAACTGGAAGACGCCTTATTATATAATGATTTATACTCAGATATTTTTCTTCCTCCTTCACAATCGCAGCCTCATTTATATGGTAGGGGAAAGAAGATGGTCGCAATAGAATCCTATCCGGAATTCTCACCTATTCCCACCGAAACTGAACCGTCACCTGATGTTACGCCTGCTATGCCTATTCTTGACGACGTTACGAAACGATCCAGAACCAAGCTAAGGAATATAGGCAGCCGTCCTCTGAGTGACGAAATAGATAAATATATCAGGGAAGATCTGCTCGGCTATGCCGAAATGGATGATTTATTTAACTCAGACGAGAACCTTCTTGATCATTTTGCGGACGATAGTCTATCTACAATAAAGTCTCGTTCCAATTTCAGGAATTCGAATCCGCCCATTCTTCTCGAATATTCCAATTCAGTAGGTCGCATTCAGTATCCATTCCCAACAAAAAGAATCTTATTAATGAGAGATCCGAAGGATCGTTCCAACAAAGGCTATGGAATTGGCATGAAAATTGTCGGAGGTAAACAAATATCTGGTAGACCAGCTGGTCAGGTTGGAGCTTATGTGGCTGCTATTTACAAAGGAGGAGCAGCTGATCAACTCCACGGTGAATTGCAAGAGGGAGATCAGATTCTTGAATGGAATGGTATTCCATTAACGGGTAAGACCTACGAGGAAGTACATGCCTTAATATCACTTTTAAATGATAATGGTGAAATTGAGCTAGTGATTAGGCCTAAAAGTTCAATTAAGAACACACCAGTTGTGCCTATAGTTACAGCAAGTTCTATTCAGTCATCCGAAACGAGTTCCAAGAGGAGCAATGTCAGCACAGTAAAGGTTGATCATCACGCTTCAAAAAGCGAGCATTCGTCATATGATAATTTAGATTTCCTTCAACAATTCGGACCTATTAAACACAATAATCAAGCGAAATCGGAAACGATCTCGGATTCTAATGGAACCAATCAACCGACCCTTATTATTACCGAGGACAAAGGTATTGATCCAAATGAATTAGCGGCTCAACTACGAGGAATTCAGGAATCTGAGATCTCAACTCCCACCAGTACCTCCGTGTCAAATCAAGAGAATCCATCTACAATATCTAAATCAGAAATTATGAACAATCCGGAAACTAAGAAAGTGGAAACCGCCGCTAAAGTCACGTACGTAGAACCAGTAACATCAACTAATTCGACTACAACTGTAACTCAGAGTGAAATGTCTAATACTGTCGCTGCAACAAATGTGGACACCAGCAAAACTGTTACATCAACCACAACGACAACCTCAACGACAACAATATCTGCTGCCCGACAGAAGAATATAGAAGCGGAGCAGGCTCCAGTTGTTCACAGGTCGAAGGATAAGGAACAAGATCTAGGCGATATTCGTCTTCAGCTAAGTTTCGACGATTACGATAATACCTTGAATATTCATTTAATAGAAGCACGCCGACTGCCTTGCAAAGATTCTAATGGACTATCTGATCCTTTCGTCAAGTTCATGCTCTATGGTCTAGAGTAAGCATGAGTTAAATGAATTATTATAATTATTTCTGTTTCATTACTACTTATTTCTATTACAGTCGAGAGGATTGCAAGCAAAAGTCTAAAGTAATTCCCAAGACTCTCGATCCCCAATGGCACCAAACGATTATGTTTATGAATTTAGACAAAAAAAAGACGAAAGCTGCTGGCTATACCCTAGAGGTGGCGGTATATGACCACGACCGATTTAAGAGTGACGACTTTATTGGGGAAGTTGTCCTTCCTTTATCAAGTGGGATATTTTTTATTTACTCGTAATTTCGCAGTAATAAATGTTTTTCGTATAATTAGATAAAGTCTATTTGGACAACAAGCCCCACTGGTACAAACTACACGAACAGAAGAAGAATCCAAATGACTTGCCGCTGGATCCATCGCCCCCAGAGCCGAAGAAAGAAAAGAAGAGAAGCAAGAGCCATTCTACTTCTTCTCCGCGACATTCTAAGCAGGAGGATGTTCGAAAAGTTGAATCTCAGTCTACGTACGACAACGTACCGCACAGAAGTGAAGAAGTCAGCCGAAGGCGAACACATTTTGAAGATGAATATAATGAAGGAGGGGAATATTATGACAGGAGGAGGAATCATCGCCGATCTGACGCAAGTGCGGTCTATGACGACCGTAATTATCAAACAGTACCAGAAGAGCAGTATGAACAGAAAAAAGCGAGAAAGCGGAATGGCTATCAAGAGCGTGAAAGGCCGCGATCCTCTCAAGGGCATCATTCTAATCATCCTTCTCAACCCACTCAGCATCATGACTACGAAGATGATTATTATAATAATAGTAGACGCTATAATAATTATGAGCACGACGATCGTTACTACGAAGAAAGGCCTCTTAGAAGACATACGCCTTACAAAGATCCTGTCTTGAACACGCATAGAAGTAGGTCCCCTTCGGCACCGATGGATCATCGGGAACGACGATCTCGCTCTCACGATCACACGTCGTCTAGGTACGAAGATGATAGAATGATGAGAGACCGTAGTAGGGAAAGGAGTCGCAGTGATATTCAAATTCGAGAGAGATCACCAGGTCTTAACCCCCCCCAAATGCCACAGCATTTAACAAGATCAAAATCTCAAGAGAGAACGTTCAATCCAGCACACGGTGCTCCACCTCAGCAATCTCAACAGCCACACGAGCCTCACAAACCGACTCCAACACTTGTTTCTAGAACAAATCGTCACCAACCGCCTATGAATCCAGCTTTTGCCAGTAACGCTCCGGCAGCAAAAGCGGCTGCTGCCGCTGCAGCCGCTGCAGCCGCCGCCGCCGCTGCTGCTGCTGCTGCCTCTCAGGCTTCAACGGTGCCTACCCAATCGACTCAATCTGTATCAATACCATCAAATGCAAATTTTAGTCCTGCACACGGTAGAAGACCCCTTCAACCCCAGGACTTGAAACCAGACCCTCAACAACCCGCAGAAAGTAAGAACTCTTATAAGTTAATCAACAATCAACAGTATTATAATTATAGGTGTTATATACAGTATATATATACTGTAAATATATAATACCCTTTTATTTAATCAATCATGTATCTTCGTAACTTTCGCTTAATTAAAAAAATTCAAATTAAACGTATCTAATATATGTGGCACCATACAGCCTTCTACTATTAATTAAATGAAGCAAATTCCTAATTTAAATATCAATTTACAGAAAATTTCGTCGAAAGGATGGGGACGACTTTAGCTGGTTTCTTAGGTCCAACCTTGTCAGGTTAGTAAATAAATTAACAAAAGTAATAGGATGATTAGAAAATAAAACTTTGATGGGAAAAACTAGGACGAAATAACATATTAATAATAAATAAGAAACGTATTTAAGACATACTGAAATTTTGTTTGTCATTATTGTTTTTGTGATTAGATATAAGAGATTATCACATAATAACTATATCATCTGTTGGTATGAAGAAGGTTAAAGTATTTCCCTATATTGTGAATAACAAAAGTCAATGAATAGAAGCTGCACCTGACCATCAATCATCAGGCAAATTAAAAAAAAATGAGTTTTTTCTTTCCTTATATTTAAAACAAACTCATGCTTATTAACCCCGATAACTCGCCATATAATTGATAAAAACTTTAAAGAGGATAGAGTAATTTTCTTGTAGGGCCACTGTACAGATGATACCGGAAAAGCAGAGACACTAGCTTTCTTTAAAAAGATTATCAAGATAAAGTTAAAACTAAAAACGACATATAGAAGCCTTTACTGATACATTAAGAGCTGATATTATCCCCCAGTTCATCCGTTTAAAGGGTTAAAAGAAAATTTTAATTTAGTGCAAAGGCGAAGCAGTAACGAGACCAGATTAAAAAACAAAATTGTTGCTTGTAAGTTTAGCTAAAGCATTATTATAATGAATTATATATAAATATAAGTTCTAAAAGAATTTCTCTTTCCCTATAGCAGATTTACAATTTATCATAGTTGACTATTATGTGCTTATCTCTTTTATGTATTAACAGAAAAACATATGACAAACAATATTTGAGTTTGTCTAGATTTCGTATTCTCCATATAAACTATATATATACAGTATATGTTAGTATAAATAAAAGTCCTCTATTTTATCATCTATTAATTAAAATAAGGCTATAGTACTTTAACTTTGAATAAATAAGGAGAATTTTGTAAGATAAACAATCTTTACAATTCTTGTATATAATGTATATAATATGTAAACAAGTATTTATATTATTTTGTATAATACCATTTTCCCTATTACGCCTTCACGTTTGTCCTAATCAGATGTGAAGAAAGTGATGAAAGGATGATAACTGCACACAAAGCGCGTTAATCCTCATAAAAATCTAGTAACAAAACTATCCTATAAGCCAAAAAAAAAAACATTAAACCGGTACACCTCGTTGTTGTTGTTTTTCTTCTTTATACAGCATATATATATATATATACTGTATATTAATTTTTCTTAACTATATATCTTTATTCACCTTTTTATTAGTAGTTGTATATTTTCTATCTATTATATTTATACACCATCGTATTTAAGTAAAGAGTCTTTACCTTAAATTTTAATTATTTCTAATTATAGAATAATACATCTATAAATATGTCTAATTTCTTTCCTTCCTTAATCTCTCTCTCTCTCTCTCTCTCTCTCTCTCTCTCTGTTTCTTTTTTCTTTGTCTTTTCTCTTTCTTCTCAAAGTTTAAGCACTGATAATTCTTTATTATGATTAATTCTTACTGTTATCAAGCAATTACTTAAAGATTTCTTATTTTTACAATTTTTATGAATTTCTGTTTGTAAATCTTTTATATATTTCACCTGTATAAGCAAGTAGAAAGCATGTTTTCTAAATTAAAGATTTTGCCTCCAAATTTTAACAGAGTGCAAAAATCTTGTATCAATGCTGTAGATCTAAATATATAAATAATATATATATATATATATATATATATATCTACAGTATAGAGTATATGTATATACGGAATGTTAATACTGGATTTGAAAAAGTCCAAGAGTTATAAACAAAAATTCTATTCTTAAATAAAGAACTAGAAAAATAATATAAAAGGATAAAATGAAAGGAGAGATGTAGCCCTGAGGAAATATCTTAAGTAATACTTTTCTTCTAGTTAATTTTGCAAATAGAAAAAAAACTTACATAACGACTTCTTCATAAAAATACCTAAATTGGTAGCATTGACAGAATGTTTGTCTTTTTGATGATTAGTATAAAAGCAATTATTTTATGAGAGTCTTTATTTATAAAAGTAAAAGTATGATAATTATAACTTACTGTATATACTGTATATCTTCTTTTTAGATCTAGTTTATTTGCTTATTTCTTTGATATATTTTAAAGATAATATATGCATATAATAGAATGCTTTTTTTAAAACTTTGCATGCTTTTCAAAACAGCTTACAAGTCCTGAACGCGCAGTAAAAATAACTTCTGTATGTCTATAAGTGTTTGTGTGTGTTTCTCTCTCTCTCTCTCCAAATTTCTCCACTTCTCCTCATCGTCATCATCATTATTCTTCTTTCTTCGTCTCTCTCTCTCTCTCTCTCTCTCACTATTTATCTCCTATCTGCCTCACTCACCTTTTTTATCAATAGAAAACCTTGTAAGTTCTTTTATCACGTTTAAAAGTGAAGTTCTCTGGAAGCTTTTCTCTATTTCTAAAATATATACTGTCTTTTTCTTACAGTACCCGATGACGTCAGCGAGAGTTCATTATCGTCTAGTATTCCAATAGATTTTCAATCGTTTGAAAATGGCAGGCTTCCTTCTGGTTTGCTATTAATCAACATTATTTTCGACCAGGAGCTTACTGTTTCCGTTATTAGGTTGGAAACGCTCGGTAGAAGGAAGAGAAGCGGTTAGTAACATTCAACGAATTTGATATGACATTTACATAGATTACGCATCTGGGAACTAACTTGCACCCATTACTTTTTCCTTTCCTTTCTCATATACAGAATTTTTCGTTCAAATTCGACTGTTAGATGACGATACAAAATTTCATTTGGAAAAACGACGTACATTCAATCAAAAACAAAATGAACAAACAACATATTTTAACGAAATGTTTGTATTTAGTCCAGTTAACAAGACACAATTATCTTTGCATATTCAAGTCAAGAAATGTAAAAAGATAACAAACAAATTATTCGGGGAATGCTTACATAAACTAACATTTTCGGAATGTGGTGAAAATTTTTGGTGTTCTTTATACGATTTGTAAAGACGATTAAAGAGAAGAAATGAGAAGAGTATAACATATATACAGTATTTACATATATATATATATATATATATATACTGTATATTTATACATAATATAGTTATTATTCTTGCTTATTTTTATCAATAAAGAGGTCAAAATCCTATTTTTTGGAGAAAAAGGATTGAAGAGGGAATAAAGTAAAGTAAAGTAAAAAACAAAGAGAGTTATAAAAGAGGTGGAAAGAAGATAAGAGGTAGCTTTAGAACTGAAAAAAAAGGGGGAAAAAGATGAAACGTTCTATACGAATATGAAATATTTATTCAAAAGGAAATCAAAAGAGAAAATATGATTTTATTTTTATCACTGTATTGAAATCATACATGTATTGATAAGTGTATATATAATTATTTTGTTTTCTTTTATACGGTGCTCTCTAAACTAAAGTTCCTTAAAAAACAAAAAAGTTTAAGTCCCTTTTTTGACCAACAGTTTCAGCCTTACGATTGTTCAATAACCGTTTTTTTCTACTTCTTATAGATCTATTAATAGAGCTGAAATATAGTTTGATGCTATTTATTGATATCTATATATATATATACATACTTATTTATTATATAATTGCAGCAAGTTTGATTTTCATGCAAACAATTTTGTAATTAAAGTGAAATTTTTTGCTATTCTTTTATTTTAACAACAAAAAAATATGGTGCTACAAGCAGATTCAGTTGCGTAGTAACCGAGTTTTGAAAAAAGTCGTCACTTCAAAGGGCATTATTAGTAATAATAAGAGGAAATATTTATCCTGTATCATTCATATAATTGTAAATATATATATATATATATATATATATATATATATATAGAAAAGAGTATAAAATCCTGAAAATGATTGTGTGAATAATAGTAATAATAATAATAATAAGGAAAAAAAAACAAAGGAATATTAGAAAAAAGTTAATTAGTTAATTAGTAACTAAATTAATTTCTTAATTATTCATACAACAAGAAACAATGTAAAAGTTTACTGTAAATATGTAAAGGAGAAAAAAAAAGGAAGGCACTTGTTTAAAGGCGTGTTCAAATAAATGACAGTGTTTAGTTTTTACTACAAAGTCGCTTCTGTAAAGTAATATTATATATATATATATAAGTCATGCACAGAACAATAGCTTTATATATATATGTATATGTATATATATATATATAATTTATATATTAATATATATGTATATATGATATATTTATATACAGCTATGATTATTAATAATATTGTACTTGATTTTTCTAAAATCTGCATGCTATCAATCTTCATTTTACAGCAAATATTTCATTTAAATAACTAGGAAAGATAGTCGTTTTCTATGGCCTGCAAAAAAAAAAAACAAACTATTCATGCATTTAAAAGACAAACTTTGTTTATACATTCTATGCATTGTATAGATGTTGTTGATTATTAACTATTAGATATAATAAGTTTTACGTCTTACTTCCAATAAAATTATAAATTGAAAAAAAAAGGTGACTTTAAATGTGAATTTATTATATAGGTTACAGGAATTATAGGATAAAGATTTGTAAAACCTAACAATGTCAAAGTAAGATTTCAGCTTATCCTACAACATGAGAATGAGATGGTTTTGTTGCCACTTACTATCTCTCTACTTGTATGAAAACAATAGAGTATGTATCTACAGCTAAGTAAATAAAATACCTAACGTCTTAGTGAGCCTAGCTAAAAAAGATATTAACTTAATCACTTAATTGTAATTTAATTAATTTAGGCTTATTCATTATCACAATATGGTATTTTTGTTTTTTTAATATTAAGTAAAGAATCTTGATCTTATAGGAAAATGATAAGTTTTCTCTAAAGTCCTCTAAGAATTTTATAAAAATTTCTTTTCCAAACTCTATCTCAGTCTGCTAGGAGTATCTAAAGACACAACCGCTAACTAGCAATCGACCACAGAACTCTCTGGAAAATAGATTGATATTAAAAGCAGTACGAAAGCCTTCGACATCTTGTCTGGAAGCAATATATTTATTGTAGTCGTTTAATGTAAAAACAATGTAAAACGAGTTTGAAATAGCTCTTTATTTCTTTTTTTTTACGAAAATCGCTTTCGGACGGTGTGTGCTAAGGGCATGACTTTTAACCAGCCAGCGTTGAAGGCTATTACCACAAGAAGCTTGATGTGTTAGCCGAATTTAATAATGTGAGTAAAAATGAAGGAGAAATAGCTTGACAGGGAAAAGAAGGAAAGGGAGGAGAGAAGGAGAACGATAGAAAAGCAGCTAGAGAAATTGAACGGTGAACGCTGGAATAATTATATTCACCAAAAGATAGTCAAAAACAAATTTCAAAGAAACAAAAAGCCGATAAGTTCTTTACCAAGCTGAATTTCTTAAGTAAAGACTTATGAAAGTTACTATATTCTTATGTCATAAGGGAAATAAGTAAACATATACGTACGTACATATAATTTATACATATACACTTTAGTCAGTTATCTTGTGTTCCCTTTACTGTCGACTTGCTGTTATGAGTATATTAATTATTTGTAGACTAGATAAATACATGCATTTGACAGATAACTAGTAAAGAGGGAATATTTTCTAAAGCTTAATGAAATATGTACAAATAGGATTAAAATTTGACTTTTAGACCGAGAGAGAGAAAGAGTAGATGTATATTAGTAAAAGTAAAGGTAACTGGAGGGCGTTTAGAGAAAAAATACATTGTTTTGTCATCTATATTTTAGACAATTCATTATTTTCTTATGATTAAAAATGTTATTTCTGTATTATAATTACGAGTGGTCTTGTAGTATTCGAGATCTCATTCGAACATTGTTTATTTCACCATTCCGAACTGCCGTTAGAGTTAAACTTTGCCTATGATGGCGTCGACTTCTAAATATTCTTAAGCAGCATCTCATCCTACCTTTGAACTCATTTCTAACTGCTTTCGTAAACATGCCTGTAACCAACAAGTTAAAAAAACAATTAATCTGTTATGAATACAAGTAAAAAGAGGAATTATGAGAAATCCTTCGTTGCTTTTATTAAAACTTCTATCGTTTAAATTACTTATTATTATCTAAATAAATAATCAATAAGAAAAAATTTATCACCGTATATAATCGGGTTAACACAACTGTTTGACACTGCAAAAACGAAAATTCCACGCTGCAGTTTCAAGTTGATCTTCTCTGCAGATTGCCTGTCAATTAGAGTTTACACAAATCGTTTTCTATGCTCGTAGCCTCACGGGATTAAGTGGTACTTACCTATCAACCCACCACCAAGCGCATATAACGAAATAGGGAGTCCAGCAAATGATGAAGGCTAAAACTGTTAATTAAAAATAGAAAGGAAGAAATTCCTTTTTAAAGTAAATTTATAGAAAACTTTGTAGCTTTGAATTAAATACAAGATTAAATAGTTGTTGGTCATGAAGTTGAAGAAATTTTTATAGTAAAACAAGTATAAATTATTGCGAGTTGTTTAACTGTAAAATTGATTGTTAGGGTGCAATGGAAAGGGGAATCAGAAGGTTGAAGGTGGCAAAGCAGTGCCTAGTGCGAAATAGAAAACATAGAGAAGGGGAAAAAATACGAATACACTTACCAATAACAACTGTTAACTTTAGAGTTTTTGTTTTCGCCTTTCTAATTTGCTGTTGACCCGCACCTTGTACATTTATTCCATTTGCTCTTCTTGATATATGTAGAATTATTAAGGAGTACGACGCAACAATAACCAATAATGGCAGTAAATATATTAAAATGTAGTTGAAGACATTGTAAGCCAATTCATGAGATTTGGTTGGATAGAAATTGTATGTTACACATTGTTTATAACCTTTCAGGTCAGGATGTTCCTCGGTGTGAAATATAATGCTTTGCGGAAAGCTAGCCAGAATACTTAGAGCCCATGCAAATGATAATAATATTTTACTTCGACTATGTCCGTCATGTATTCTAAGAGGCTGAGCGATGGCAAAATAACGATCCAAAGAGATTATTACTAATATAAAACTGGAGAGATAAAATCCAAATATTCGAAAAAACATAAATATACGGCATGCGATATCGCCGGCTTTCCAACTAACCGTGGCATGCCAACTTATTTCCAAAGGCATCATTACGAAAGTGACAGTCATATCTGCTATACACAAATGTAGAATGAAGAGGTTTAAACGAGATTTCTTGCGCCTGTTTTTCCGTATCAGCGTCCAAAATACTGTTAAATTTCCAACAACAGCGACAACGAAGAGGCAAGAATAAGCGATTATACTGACGGCACTATCCGAGTTAAAGAATAATTCTCTTGGAAGAAGTGATCTATCTGTCAAATTAGTTTCATTTCCACTTCTATTCATAATCCTTTAAAAAAATTAAACTTCTACAGTACTCTCACAACGTCAAGCTATAAAACTGCAATGGCTAAGAGTAAGCTCCCAAACCTACAACAGTAGAGACGCCTACTTTCCTCTACAATAATGACTATCATAAAAGAGAGTATTTGTAATCATTTTTCATTAACAAAAATGAAAAAATGTGCAGTTTACGGCTTCAAGATTGATGCTTATATTTTCTTTCATTCGCAAACGAAAGTGAGAGTGTGAGTGAGTGAGTGACTCAAGCTAGATTTTTGTATATATCCAGAAAATTTCCTATGGTCACAAATCTCATTAAAAATGTATTTTCCTCTCCTTCTGACAAGGTTTCAACGCACTTTTAAGTTGGAAAAGTTAAAACGAGATTGCAAGATGGCCTAAATATAGATTTTATTTGTATATAATCTAAATCTTCTATATTTCAAACTCCTATTCAACTTCTATTTTCCTATTAATTAGCAAACTAAATAAAAAAACACCCTAACTGGTCTAAGTCTACTTAATACGTGTTATTGTTAATTTAAAATTACTTAAGAAAAGAATAGATATATACTGTATGTATTCACTAGTAAGATAGGGAGAGAGAACAAAGTCATAAATGATATCAACAAAAATTTTTTAACGACACTATATATATATCTATATATATATACAGTATATAGTAAACTGTATATATCTATATTTATATATATATATATATATATAGGTTGTACGGCATATTTACTATTTTGTGCTAAAAAAGAGGAATGTGAACAAGTTTATCACTATAAATAAACATAGGATAAATTCAGAAATTCATATTAAATGAATTGGAAACATTTAAATAATGAAATGATAAAAACTAAGGTAAGGATTTATTTACATAATTTCCTATCATTTTAATTTAAAGTACAAGTTTTCTGTCAATACGAGTGTGTTATTATTTTTAGTAGCTAATTTTGGAATGAATCATGTTACAATTGTACAAAAAGCTTATATTTTCCATTAAAAATTTCTATTTTAAATATAGTCCTTCCTGTTTATATAATTATATCTAATTATCTATTTAAAATTTTGAAATATTAGATTTTAATTGGTTGCTTAAGAATTGTCGTCAATTTTATGAATATATATAAATATATATATAAAATTTTAACTATAGTTCATTATTGTCATATTTTTTGTTAGCTTATTTTCAATTAAAAAACGAGATTGAATAAGAATTCCTTTCATTGTCAATTTGAATAATGCGCCTTAACCCCGTAAAATTTATTTAGAGAATATATTTTAATTTAAACTTATATTATAGACCCATTCTTTTCTTCTCATCATCTAGACTCTTTTTCTTTTCTTTTTTTCTCTTATTTCCCTTTTCTTTCTTTCTTTCTCTCTCTCTCATTCTTTCTTTCTTTTTCCGCTATTTTCTCTCACCTCCACTCCTTCTTTTTATCTAACTGTAAAATATCTATGACTTGTTTATTGGTGTAGTAGGCGTACAAATTTAACTCTTTTTTTTTTTTTCAATCTCTCACTCTCTCTCTTTCACTATCTCTATCCTCTCTTATAAAGTTTAAACAGTAAAAGCTGAAAGTTGGTTTTAATACAGTTTATAAAATTGATAACAAAAATATTACTAAAACTTTATATATTATATTCTAATATTATAGTTAACTGACTTAAAAGTCGGTCAACAGTCGACACCTTTCTAAATAGGTAGCCCTTGACAACTTACTATTAAATTTAGTAATCTTTTTTTAATTTATTACCAATATAATTTATTTCCTTTTACATACCAGTATATATATATATATATATATATATATTACTTATAAACTAAATAACAATAGTTAAGGACATGAGATATCCTTATGAAAAAAGATTTGTCTTCCAATTTAAATTAAAAATAAAAGAAAAGAGTATAAAAACACTAAAGAATGCAAGACAGGTTTTTTTGATAACGCGACAGATCGTCTAAGATATATAATTCATTGGAAATCAATTACGTGTCAGATGTGGACGTCAGTAAACAATCTTTAAGGATTAAAATAATAACACTAGTGTTTACTGTAGTCTGTAGATGGCGTTCTAATTTTCTTTTCACTCTCATTATCTAACTTTCAGCATAATTTCATGTACTAGATATACGGTATATTACATATATATATATATACTTTATATAGTCTCATATACTGATTCCTTAAGAATAGGCTTAATAATAGGAATAATTGTTTCTTTTATATTTCGTTTTCTTTCTTTTTCTTCGATTTTAATATTTTGAGACCTTGAAGAGACAAAAAAAGATAATAAAAAAACAGGAAAAGAGGAAAGGGGAGGAAACGAAACGAGAATTAAAAATAAAACAAAAAAAAGAGACTCCGAATGGTTAAAAGAAGAAGAAGAAATTTTTTTTCTTTTATGGTTACTAAAATGAAATATTCTAAAGTAGAGTAAGACAACAGAGAATGTACTCTTTTCTTTTGGTTCATACACGATCTAATTCTTATTTCTTCTTCTTTTTCTTCTTCTTCTACTCTCTTTTCATTTTCTTTACTGAATAAAAAAAAATAGAATTTTTCCGTTCTCTTTTATATTTTTTCTTCCGTTCCCCTCTCACTTTCCTCTCACTCTCTTATTCTCGCACTCTTCCACTCTCTCACCTCTAATTTTTTCATTCTCTCTCTCTCTCTCTCTTGCACATACATACATACACACATAGACATACACTTTCTTTCCCTGCCACCCTCACTCTAATCCTTAAGAATATCTATCAACGATTTTCAACATATGATAGGCCTAGAATTGCAGTCGTGTAACTAACTGGCTTCCCTTACAAAACGACGCTATAAAATTAGCTGATGCCTCGCAGATGTTTATGACATAGCTTCCTTCAAACCGATACATTTTTCTTACCATCGTGGATATGTTTTTATCGCCGGAAGGAAGTTATGATTTTGCCAAGAAAACGATAAGTTTTTTTCCATCGAATAAAAAACAAAACGGTAAAAAAAAAAGTGTTCTAGTTATATACGTATGTACAGTATATTTAAATAAATGAAACTATATAAATAGAAAAATTTAACAGTATATACATATAAGTTTATATTATTTGTGTATAAATATATATATTACAGTAGACGTATATTAATAATATATTGGAATACGTAACTTTTGTTATATTGTTATACATACAATATAAACACTTATACGACCTTAAAGATTCTTTATCGCTACCCATTTAGCGATACGGCATGCTTTTGAACAGAACAGAATCGCAGAATATGAACAAACTTACTTCGGATAGGCGAAGATTCGCCATCGACCAAGGATTACAACCTGGAATACCCCTTATTTTAGATAAGGTAGGCCAAAAAATTTAATTTATATAGATACAAAAATCTGTTGCAAGTCGTGGGCGACGCTTTTTGCGTCAGTCTTGCAATTAGACGATGCTACGAAGGTCGTTTAGTTTCAAGGTATATTAGAAAGAAAATTTTATATACTGCATGTATAAATTATAAGTATATACACCTATATATATATATATATATATATATGTATGTATAGTATATGTTATATTATATATTGTATCTTGTATATTACTAGATAGATATATATTAAATATATATTGTATATATTAGTATATACGGTATATAACTACTATTATTTAACATATTAGCAATTATTTCAAAAGATTAGCATTTGTAAAAGATTTTCCGTTGTCTCTATGTGATATTCATTTATTTTAAGTATAATAAGAATTGAAAGGGTCCTCCTTGCCCTCGTTTTTTCCTACGATCTTTCAAAAATTTCATTATTAAAAATATGACAATAATTAAGCTAGCATTTCCCTCTCTCTCTCTCTCTCTCTGCCAATCATAGATATATATTCGTTTGAATAAAATTCAAAAAAACCCTATACATATATATATATATATATATATATAATAGAATATATAACATATAAAAAGTATAAATTTATATATGTATCCCTTTTCCCCCGTATTAATTCAATCTCACCTAACAGTCTAATTAACGGTTAGTGTTAGATATAAGCATCATATTTCATATTTGTTTTCAGTCACATGTTATGACTATGATTTTTGAGTATCTATTCAAAAAATATAACAATTAAGCTTTAAAAAATTAATATCAAGATAATAAAACGAACATCTCTTTTCCAAGTGTTTTTAAAGCTTTTATAGATTTTCTTTTGTTTGTTTTTTAAAGATCTTTTTTTTTCTTTTTTTTTTTTTTAGAATATATTTATAGTCTATACTTCCACAGCAGCATTATATTTATAATTTAATGATTAAATCCTTTATTAGTTTCATTTCTTTTATATCTCCATTCTTAACCTAGTACTCTGTAATTATTGTACGCAAATATATATATATATATATATATATATATACTGTATATTTATTTATTTATGTAAAGGGCTCAATTGAACTGTAATTTTCCACAATTGTTGTATTTTTATCTTGTCAAAAAAAGAAAAGTATAGAATATTTTGGCTTAGGGCGCATGCGTACTCTACCCTGTGGGAAGAGTTAATTGACGTCACTATAGGAGTATACTCAATTTTGCTGTCCATCTATACGTAATTAAGGAAAGGAGAATAGATTATAAAAGAGATTAAAGAATTGTTCATTTATGGACATATCTTCTTTCATTAACGATTTCTATTATTATTTACCTGACTTATTGACTGTTTGAATGTAGGTAACTTGGCTTGACGTTGGTATTGTATAGCAATTTTACTTTTCTACCGTAAACAGATACGAATTTGCTTCTATCGTTGTATCAGAATATATTTTGTTGCTCGTTAGCAACCTGATATCTTTTAACTAGACCTCTTTCTGTTTTAATGCATTGGCTCTTTATTAGTGTCTTCATCTAATTTTACAAATGGTTTATTACGTCCTATATATTATTAGAGATTTTTATCTTAAAAACTGACAAAATTGTCAATAATCAAACGCCACAGTTATTATTCCCTACAATAGGTCGAGTCATAACAAAACTGTTGAACTGGAAAAAGGCTATATTGTTAGGTTGGTTGTTGTATTACAATCTAATTTAAAGCTTGTAAACTTTTTGCGAACACCAGATGGCACCTGCTTAAAATACTGTGAAAACTATAAAATTACAATTTAGCCTTAGTCAACTATTTATTTAAATATGTTCTTATTAAAATGATCCGTTCTTTTAGTATTAATGACAAGAGATGTTTTACCGATGCGAGCACTCGAGAGTTTGACCTCGCCCACACTTTCATATCACTTTTCTACATATTTCCTAATACTCCACTCAATAACAGAGATGCGTCTACCTATAACTGAAAAGTGAGACGTCAATTAAGACAAGTTTTTCTGGCAATTACTCACGAATCTTATAATTCTACCGTATATTTCTCCTATTTTCTTATAAAATAGTTTTGTATTTTAGATATGGGCCTGTAAAGAAGTGTTTGTGGAAATTAGACGCTATTTTACTAGGCGATTGAAATTCCCCAGGGTGACACCTTGCGTTGGCGTGCTTTAAATGTATAAAAAGATCAAATTGAATAAATTTATATGAGTATACAATATTATGTATACAATATACGTTTTTTCTTTCACGATCTCGTGATGCAAATGAGGGAATAGAGATATTTTAATTGAAATATATATGTATATATTAGTATATATTGATATATATACTTATATATCCTATACATTTTTAGGTAGAACCCTTTAAAAACTCTAGAATTATTACTTTTAGGTCATCTAAAAATAAGCATTCGATTTTCAGAATATAGTCTATATATGTGTAGAAATATATTTTAGTATATACGGTGTATATATATATATATATATATATATATCACCGATAATAGTTGATCGAGTACGAGTTTAGTGACGTCAGGAGACGCTTTCGCTAGAATTCGACGTCAGTTGTACATCGAACGATGTCGGCGACGAATATTGCTAAACTACAGCGAGATGCCTTACAATTTTTTGTTGATTTTGACGAAAGTATGGCGTCTAAAAAGGTTCAAAAAGTTAATGAAAGACCTAAAACAGTAGGAAAAGCTTCTTTTCTATTATTATTTTTTGTTTTAGATTGTCGTCTTAAATATTTATGACTTTTCTAATATAGAAATGTAAACTCTATCTTAATAGATTATATAATCCGTATGGTTATATATATATATATATATATATATAATTATTTATTCATATGTATATATACAGTATATATATATATATAAATGTGTATATATATATATAGTATATATGTTATATATATTTAATTAATTGGCCTTTTTTTAGTATTCTTTCAGTTCTTTTTTCCTTATTGTTTCATTGAGAAATTGATTTCTGCTGTTATATTACTTTGCTATACGCTTTCGGTTCAGTTAAATAATTTTTTATCTTTTTTTTATAAAGACCAACAAGCATCGTAAATCAGACGACGAAGGTTCACCGTCATTAAAAATAAGATCTCAGGGGATTGATGATGCCCTTACCAGACGCCTTACTGAATTTGGTAAACGCTTACCAAAACGTAGCGAATCGTTGGAATTTGATCCCGGAGCCATCGAATTAGAATCCGAATGGAATGCTGTAATATCTGATGAAGGCCTATCAAAGAGCGAACGCCAGCAGCAAAGTGTAGTGTGGGAAATTTTACACTTCGAGGCGAACTATGCTCTTAAATTAAAAATTATAGTTGACGTATTCGTACGACCGTTAAGACATTTGACGAATGAACATTTATTAGGAGGTGTTGATATTGACAAAATCGTTTTCAATCTAAACGACGTCTATGTACAATGCTGTAGGAGGTGGAATGACGTCATATCGCCTTTTATAAGAAAAATACGAGAGAGTAAGAGACCTGTTAATTCAGCTAGTTTGGAAGAATTGTACGAATTCGGAGATCTATTCTTAGAAGAATATCAATATAATCTTAAAATGGAAAAATGTAAGGAATACATCAATGAGGAACGCGAGAGGAATACAGCCTTTCAGAAATTCTATACCTGGGCGAATAGTCATACGAACTTGAACAAATTGGATGTTGCTAGTTATTTAAGCAGTCCTATGCAACATATAACACGGCACGTTTTACTTCTACAAAGATTATTGGAATGTACCGACGATGAGTGCGACAAACGTAAATTAGGGTTGACTTTAAATCGTATTAAGAGTTTTGTAAGTTCAGTAAATGAACAGATACAAATACATGATCAACAGGCCAAATTACTTAATATTACGCAACGAATAGAAAGTTTCGATTTAATAGACACTCATCCGGAAGAAGTGTATTTTCATTTACAAGACGCCTTAAAATATGATATTTCTTCTCCTATGGCGGTTTGCGGAGAACACTATAGGAGGCGTCTAATCAAAGAAGGATATCTAAAGATGAAAGAAGGCGTGAGCGTAAAATCGCAAGAAATTATACTCTTTCTATTCACCGATCTCGTTCTAGTCGCGAAACGCTCGAAAAAAGCGGAAAGTAGAGTTAGGGTAATCAAGCCACCCATGAGGTTAGACTTGGTTAAGCCTATATTTCTCAAAGATACTATGTTCTCTTTAGCATATATTAATGAGTTTGGTTGTGTTAATTGTGTCTACACTTTTACTGCAAACAACAGTAAATGGTACGAAGATATAACGAACGCCAAAAAAGCATATGTAGAATTGTGGAGTGGGAGGAGAAACTCTAGCCTTATGGAATACCCTGTTAGTGAGAAGGTTAGTTCCACAGAACTTTTATCTCAGGTTGCGTTAGAAGAAAAAGCGGCAGAAAGACTTTCAAATAATGTCAGTATGAGTATGGAGTTGTTAGACACGTCCTCATCCGGCCATGTGGAACAAACAGAAATCAGGTCAAGAGCAGCAACTGTGAGTGGAGCCAGGAACAAACAACTTTCACCAAGGATAGATCAACTACGGCATGTCTTCGCAACCGATCGATTATCCGTCAGTTCTTCATCTTCCGATTTGGACTGCATAGACGAAGAAACGAAATCGAAATTAAACCATCGACGATTGTCCAGAGATAAACGTTATTGGACTGCCAGTACTACTCATGACTTAAATCAACCGCCCAAACCGGAATGTGCTATCCAAAAACGCTATTCATGGAATGGGAAAGGGGAAGAGGATAAAACAACGTTATCTCATTCATTAGCATCCAGCTCGTTCATTTCGTCAACAAACGTTTTTACTCCCGCTAGTCTACATACCGACGATCATAAGCGAAAGATATCACCAAAGGAAGTTCTACGCTTACTTCACGACTCTCACCTCGAAGCTTCGTTAGTACTAAGTCATTTTTTTCGTACCAAGTCCGTAATTTTTGTGTCCACCCATTTCTCTTATTCTTCTCCTTCACCGCCTTCCAACATTCTCCACCCCCTCACTCTCCTACGAATATGTACTGAAAAGCACTAATTTTCAGCAGTATTTTTTTTTTTTTTTGTGACATATACTTAATTTCCTCCCACGATATTACACTAAACTCTTTCCTTACAGAGACGTCTGAAGATGGCGCTACATTACCCTTCTGTTCATTCTTCGCCAAAATAATAAACGCTCTACCAGTAAAATGAAACTGGCCAATACTAATCCAGTTAAGAAAAGAGAAAACACTCCCTCAAAGTGCAATATTGTGGCCACAACGGATGAGCCATTATTGTTTGCCTTTAAACTACAAATGTCCTTCGGATAGAATTCGTCCTTCCACTTGTCTATCATTCCTGTTTCCCTCATTTTCAATATTTTCGAGTTGAATGCTTCAAGATAATTTGAACCCTTACCAAATATAAAAGCTTGATAGGATGGGAAAAATTGCTCATCCGCCATTTTTAATAAACAGTCACCGTTATAAAGCGACCGTATAACACCAGATTTTTCTGATAGATAAACATAATTTCCAGTTAAAGCCCGCTGAATTCCTTCTGCATGTGATTGTACTCGATTCCTTGAAAAGCCTATACTATTTCTTAATAAGGTATTGTAAACGCCATTAGTTGACGCCTGAAAAAGTACATGCAAGGCGGAAGCCTCCAAAAGACCATAGCTAAATCTACTTTGTTCGGCCAAATCCCTCAAAGTTGAAATCTCTAAATTAGGCTTTGGTTTTGTAAAGAACGCTATCAAATTACCATTATATATGGCACAGATCATTATAGAAAACAGCCAAACACAACTAATGATCGATTTGAAACCTACACGTAGATTAATAGATATCTTTTTAAATAAGTTATAACTCCTCCATGACAGTTAATCAATTTAATTCAATTAAATTAGCTGAATGAACAAGTCTATGGGAGGGCTATCCAATAGAGCTATAATATCTATTGATCTACGATCCTGTTCTTATCAATACATCATTACCGCTTTGCTTTAATAGGGCACCCGATACTAACCAAATTGACCTTGCGAACAATGAAAATAGAGATTTTTTCATATTTCCTTTCTTCTTCACCGAATAAAACTCGAAAATTGAATATACGAAAGAAATTATTGGAATGCATAGACCAATAAAAAGCCAAACTTGCCAAGAGAAAGGTTTTATAAAGACAGTACTATAGTCTATATATTCTTTTCTTCTCATTACCATAACCGAGTTTTCTTGCCAAAAAGGAACGCTATAATCTATTACTTCCGATCTCTCCTTATTGACAGTAAGCTTACCTATCGCAAAATCAGATTTCTTGAAGAAGAGGATAAAGGAAGAAAAACATAAATACATATTAATTTACATTTTATATCTAATTAAAACATATAGTAAATACTTTATCTATAACCATTCGCACTAAACCATTCCACTCTCCATTCTTATCTACTGAACCAAATTTTCTATCTGGTGCTTCCGTTAATTTATAGGTAAAATTAAACGATTTAGCCAATTCATTTAGCATATTAATACAGATTCCTTTCCAAGTTACTCTTCCAAATTTATCAACTTGTCTCTCGTGGAATATCTCCAGCTTGATACAAAAAAAACCCTTTAAATTTCCACTTTAAAATAAGTATTTAAAGATTTAATTCCTTACATTTACTGAACTGACGTTAAAATGCTTTCCAAAAAAATCCATACTTTGGTCTCCTAGTAGTACCGGAATTTTTCTTTTTCAATATATTTTTAATTAGTAGAAATCTTGCTTTTTAAGATATTTTATTATACGATAGACAAAATGTCTTTGCAGTATTCTATTATATATCTTATCTGATATATACGTTCATATTAAAGCTGTTTATTTCTATCAATTTTTAACATACTTTAAATATATGCACGCTTTTTACGTCATACATTTATTGACTTATACCTATGATTACAAACGGAGTAGAGACCTGCAAACCTTCTCTTTCTGCTATAATAGTAGTCATCTCCGTCGACCTATAATTACGAGCTTTTGACAGATAAAAACTAATTTTTGTGTATTTCGTGTATTTCGTACATTTCTCATTTCTTTCATGTTTTTTCCCTACTTACAAACACTATAAGGAAAATTATAAACTCTGGAACTACTTAGTCAAACAAACAACTTTGATAAAGAGCCTTAATTTGCAATTCAGTAGTGCCATCTGGTAAACGTATAAAGTAATAAATTCTGACCATAAATTGCTCCGTTTTCAACTTTACTTAACGTTTGTATGGTAAATGGGAAAACAACGAGTCTAGCCTTGAAACATGTCTAAGTATCAGTATGTTATATTTTTGAAATCCTTTGTTTACTTATTATACATAATAATGCAAAAGCAGATTATCTTGATTCAACTCAGAATAAATTAAAAGTACAATCAAGAGAGAGAGAGAGAGAGAGAGGAAGAAAAAGTAGTCAGAGATAGGGAAGAAGAGAAATGAAGAAGAGTCGAAAGAAAGAGAAGGTCGAAAAAACTTGCAAGAAACTAAGATAGATATTTGCAAAATGTTACAAGATTCTTCATTAATAACTTTTTTGGTAATTACTTTGTATCAAGTATATAATTAGTCTCAAGCACTTAATTCCAGTCACTTTTCTACAAGAGTAAGAGAATTGTACCATTGATTATGTTGACTTGTTTATTATCCAACGCACCGTACTCTTCCAAAAAGGCGATAGATGGAGCATACGCATAGTCGCTACCGCACCTCCACCAAATATTTGAAGTGTTAATCATATCTCATTACATTCAACCATCTATATGCAAGTAGGGTGATTGGCGTCTTCTTGCTTCGGGCCGTCACTTTATCAGAAACTCGTATTTTGATCTTCGTCCGGTAAGTCTATGTTTAGAACAACATCACCCTCAGTCTGTTCTCTGAAGAGCCTCAAAGCTTTCCTAAAATCCTTGGAAGTAGCTAAATAAAAGGCGAAATGACAAGAAACGCTTAACAGGAATGAAGTATGAATAACCTCCAAATAGGAATATTTAAAATGTTCATCTTTCAATTCTGTGATTCTTAAAAGGTGCCGAGGCGTACTGAAGATGAGCTGGAATATATTTGAAGAATAAATCATCCTAGAAAAGTCCGTATTATCAGAATTGTGAATAATTCTAACTAATAAAAAAACTCTTCCACAATCCGTTAATAAGAATTCAAACAGTAGACCGGCAACATTAAATACTAGTCGTTCAATTTTCGTTAACATTTGATAACAAAAATAGTCGGCTCTTTCTTTTGAATAGAAAATTCCATAAGTTGTTGAGACGTTTAAATGGACGACTAGGGATACGATAATTGTAAAGACAACTGCTATTCTAATTCTTCCGACTCCGAACGTTTTAGAATAGACAAGATAGGAGAACCTTTCGATGCAAGCATAAAATGATAGGCATAAAGCTGAAAAGTAGGCAGATTTCGCAACAAAAGCATGAAGATGACAGGCGAACGGTCTATGTACAAGTTTATTGGAAGTATACTCTGAAATCCAATTGAATAAGTTGCTAACGAAGACGAGCTGGAGAGAAATACTTTGGGCAGCGAGAATATTAAACAAAGCTGCTTTTCTAGACGTCCTTTCGAGAAACGCCCAAATACTAAGTAAATGTCCGACGAGGCCAAGCAATATGAGAAATAATTGAGGATATTTCAAATAAACCTTGCTGAACTCATCCGAGGGTGATGGAAGGCTTGAGTTATTCATCGTTAAAAACGTATATATCAACTGGATGACGCGATTGTCGCCTAGACGCCTAGCGGCTTACTTATTTTTTTAAAAGTAACCACACGAATAACAAAACAATATTGCCATATCTGTTTCATTTCGAGAGCAGTCCCATAATTTCATTAATTAACACCACGTAACCGGCTACGTTCTATTGCTTTTTGTGATAAATCTTCTATTTATAGTCATATAATAAAGATGGGGCAATTGATATCTGCCGTGATTGTATGATTGCACGGAAATTATAAAAGAAACCTTTTCTTTCTCTGACCCTGATCTGTTTCTTTTAAGGACTTCTCTTATAAAAGACAACAGAAAACGAAAGAAGATACTAAATTAAGCCTAAATATGGCTAGCTAATCTTCTGACATCAAAGATACGTCTTTCGTGCCGACGTTCAAATGTGTTGGCATGAGATACGAATGAAGAAACGACTTTCTCTTTCTTTACTCTGATCAATTAATTTTCAACTGTGCGAAGGATACATATCCTTACAAACTTAAGCATTTTATTCACTACTCAGGGTTAAATCTGCTATATGAATACAAAAGAACTAAATTGACTCCTTTATATCTTTGTTAAAAATCCTTTTTTTTATTCCTTTTTAACATTTATAAATAACCGGATACAGTAAAACGCTACACGCATAGCTGTTGTATAATGACTGACAAACTGTCGCTACTTTTTCCCTGCTATTGGTCATTATTAAAAAAAAAAACTCGTAGGCCTAAGACGAGTAAAGTATATTCTAAATGTAAAGCATCAGGAAATTAGGTAAAAGAATCAGAAAAATATACAATGTGCTTCGTATAGGTAGTTAATATTTAACATAAAAAGATAGTTGACTTTTGTCCCACCCACCTAGCAATACAATCTATGTGAAAGGAGAACAAACTTCCATTTTCTTTACTTTGCTTCATTTTCATAATTAGTAATGTCTTTTAAGAAGGAAAGAAACTTATTCGTTAACCTCATTTTTACCCGAAAATGGAAAGGTAAACAAGAAATATAAAAGACTTTCTTTTTACGCCTACCCGTATCCATAGTAACAGTAAAATACGCAGATCTGCTCTATACTCCCCTGCATTTCAATCATTCTTAGCATTCACTAGTAATCTACGCGATATAAGAATTTTCACCAAAACACGTAAATATGTCGAATCGTATCAATTACGAAAATTTAATAATTGGACAAGTGGACCAAACCACTAAGATAGAAGGCAACAATATTCATAATTTTAACAAGACACGATCTTGTCAGACGAAATGGTGCAAAATCGAATTTCTCCTGGTAGCCATGCAGGTAAGATCGTTTTGTAAAAAAGTTGAGTGTAAACAAATGTTCTATTCTTTAAATTTTTCCAGTTCGCCTTAGCTGTTGGCCTTATTGCTATTGGATTATTTTTACAAACTGTCTCTTCAAGCATACTTCTTAGGGATGCTAGTTATTGGACAGGAATCCCGGTTAGTAAAATGTTTGTAACATAACATCATCCATATTTCATTTATCTTTTATAGCTTTTACTCGCTTCCCTTTGTGGAATTTTCTACTGCATTACAGAAACTGCAAAATTTAAGCATACGGTCAAATCGTGCTTAGCCAAGGTTTTTAATCAACAAAAAATCAATAATCCAATAACTAATCGCCTCTTCAAACTATTTTTGCAGTTTCTTTCTACGTCTACAAGCTTCCTCTGCTCATTAGCAACAATAGTAGCTAGCGTCTACTCAGGTTTACATGGGGGTCGTATTGCAAAATATAAAGGATGCGTTCTCATTAAGAATACGTGTATCTGTAATTATCCTCAAAATTCATACGAGTATGAGAACGTAACAGGCTGCGATGTTATTATCACAAGCGTCAAGGATTATCTTATTTTGGAAAGCGCTCTAAACGCCTTAGCGAGCTGTGTTTGTCTTTGGATTTGTGGTTTAATTTGGAAACGACGATATGGGAATTTTAATTCAGGCCCAATATGAACATTTGTTACAAGTTTAATACTGTGTATTCTGATTTGGACGGCTATCATAAACACTGCATGCAGTTCAATGTGTAAAATATTTCAAAAAGAAAGCTTATCATCTTCATCTCTATTGCGAATGAATGGCTGGAAGAGGTGCTGAGTTCCAATATTTCATCGAACCCTGCGTAAATCCTCCCCTTCCGGCGACATTTCTCTGTCGACTATACTCCATCAAGGCATTCATCGACAACGGCTCCCAGATTTCTTCAGATGTATCTCCTTCAGCAGTTATCACGCAACGAATATTCGTTTCTGTTGTGATTTTCATGCGTGAAAAATCTCATCATGCATTAAAAATAAATAAAATTTAAGTGAAATAAAGTGCTTAAAGAACGACATTGACTAAAAGAAGCTATTTGTCCTAGTCAATATCCATTCATATTCTGTAGAACGGTTTGATTCTACAGAGAGGGGGCGCTGATTGAACACACCTATAGCTCCATCTGTATTTCCGTTTGAGTTTCGAAGGCTGTAAGTAAAATAAAACTCATTTAAGGCGAGAAGATGATAAATATTTAAATTCGACAAGATGCCAAAGATTGTGTTAGCGATTCAGTGTAAACCGCCTTTGGGAAATTAGTGACGAAATTAATAGGCATATATTTTCTTCTACCTGACTAGCTTTTCCTGCCTCTTCCTTTCATCTGCCTCTTTCCAACGCTTGGTAAATTCCCCATCGACTGTCGATTCTTTTTCTGTTAGAAAGTGTATGGAAGGTAGAATCTTTGGACGTCCACCTGTGGCTCTGTCTCTCTCGTTCGCTAATGACAGCAGTAGTTTTAATTCGGATTCCACTGAAAAACTTTTATCGTCCTCCTCCGTTGAGACAAGCCACTTTTTATATTCTGGTTTATCCTCTGGCGTCTAACATCAATTAAATTAATTAACAGGGTTAATGCTCTTATAAAAAATACTTACATAATTATCTGGAATAAATCTAGCCACCCCGTCTTCGCCGCTGTCGTGCTCTGTCATATCCTTATTATGCAACAGGACTCTGCTTTTATCTTCGTTCATATTGGACGATCGAAACATAAGACCTGCCTAGACGTCGACAAGTCATCAAATATTAGACGTTGGTAAACAATTTGAAAACCAACTCGATATTTCCTAGCGTTAGTCCGTTCCATCCTACTTGTATCGATCAACTGCAGCATTTGTGGCACGTCGTCCTTCTTAAAGAAATTTCTCTTAACCGGTTTCCAATCCTTAGTTAGAGATTCCCGAACGAAAGCGCTATATGCCATCTGTTATGAAACATCTGTGAAAACCTGTGGAGAATAGGTAACATTGTGATGAAACTAACCTTTAATTCCCGCGGAATAGTCTCATCTTCCTCCATTAACTTCTTTTTTGATTCGTTGCGCAAAGTTCCCCATAACTTTTTAACACCCGATTCTCCTTGAAAAAAAAAAGGAATACATGCTAATTCTCAACCTCGTTTTACTACTTTCTTACGCAAACAGGCCAAGGCAAATATTACACAAAAATACGTCCACACCTCTTTTATTTACATTTCACTAAGCTTTTGCCCGGTTTAACGATTGGGGTGAAAAATAAAGAGCGACGCTGAGAGACTAAAATCAATGTCGCGATAGGTATGAAACACCAGAGCGTTCCGATAGCGACGTCTAATTTGCGTTAATTGAGCTAGCAAGATCACGTAAAAGTAAATTAGACCTTAATTAAATTTAATGGAAATACATTCTCTATATAGAAGTCAAGTATATTGAAGTATATAGTATTTTACAAATTATTTTTTCCTAAAGGGCCAAAATTTCTCGGCGTACATCTTAATACAAAAGCAATATTTCACCATGCACTATAAGCATTACGTGTTATATGTTTACTCAACATCCACATCGATTGGAGAAAAACCGGAAGCTCTGCTTAGTTTTCATACATCTATGCGATTGTCATAACAAAGAAACTCGAGTCAAATTCAGTCTCCAAATACAGTTAAGAGAGCATATGACACATATACAGTATATATAGTTCTTTTGAAATCAAAACTAAGTATACTTAGCATCCTAAAGACGTCTCCATAGAAACGCTTTACGAACCTACCTAGAGAATATACGATATGGTGATATGTTAAGCGAAAGAGGAGTATTCTCGTTTACCACTTAACAAGTAATATTTGACATAAAAATATTTTTTGACAAAAAAATATATAGGTTTATATACCAATATATATATTCTATATATATGCTTATATATTTATATTAAATATATATATTTTACGTTTGGCACGTACATTTTCACGTCTAAATTATATATTAAAATAGGTGGGAGCGCATATAACGTCGGTGATATGCAGATAATTATATATGTATGAGAATTCGGTGGCCGTTTCTACGCAATGCTAACCTGTATGCATACGCAAATGTATGCAGATATACACAGGTAATCGAAATTAAACAGAGAAAACTAAATTTATCTAGCAACAAGTCACGCCAATTCCTCACGTCTTTATCGATCGAAAGGCAGGCAACTCACCTCCTTGAGCGTGCAATTTCGGATTAACCGGCTTGCTGACTCGTTGCGCCATTTTCGGATGCAAAAAATAATCCGCTTCTTCTCCCATCAATCCATATAATTGCTTTGCGAACCAGGCAATGCTATCCGGTGTTTCTGCATATTCGTCTTCTTCTTCTTCCTCGATTGTCGTTTTCGCCCTTAGCCTTACTCGGTCGAGTAATTCTTCCAATTCGGCGTCAGTTTGCGGTGGCAAACTAGAAGGCGTTTGATCGATTTTAGCGTCGACTTGTGACGAGGCCGTTTCCTTCGATTTGGTGGACGCGTTGCCTGACGAATTTCGAACAATGTCTTGTTTCCGTGGTATTGCTGAGTTCTCAGCCCTTTTTTTGATAAATTTACGCCTTTTATCCTCCTCTAAAACCCATAAAAAATATGAAGCAGAAAAACACAATAAAAACGATGAAGCGCTTTGAAATTTTCTTACCTATGGATTTTCTGCATATGTCCTGTAACGATTTTGCAAGATCTGCCTTCTTCTGCTTTTCCTCATCTCGTTTCTGAAATCATCAAACTTTAACAAATTAATCAATCAACATATCGGCAACTTCATGTAAAAGAGACGCGAAAATATAGCCACATGAATAATTAAAAGCGCTACGTCGACAAAACGCGATCAATTTGCGTAAAAAGCTTATGGTCCGCCGCTGCCTAGTTACCCAACAAGCTGCTCAATGCCAACAACAAAGGCGTTTATTGACCGCGTTGATCGTAGCGCAAGACCTGATTTCATATGGTGCTATTACGATAAGTATACATAACCACCATAAGAAAGCAGTCATCGCATTACGTTTTCTCAATTGGGTGTGGTTTCGCCTAAACCACGCACTATAATGATTGTCGTACATTCCCGCCGTTTAGAGCTTTCATCGACCACTAGGTGGCGTTTTTTTTACTGTCTTTTCCTTCAGAAGTCCTGAGCCTTATGTACACACAGGCCTAATCGAATGTTATTCAAATACTTACTTAAACCATTCAAACGTGCCACATTTGTATTTCAACGAAGACTAATCAACTATTATCCGTAACTTGTTCACACTCAACAGTACGTTTTGCAGTTGTGATCGAACCGACAGCACTGATTTCATGTGGTGCTAGATATGTTCATAGGAAACTCTGCCACCACAAGAGACCAGACGGACGGCCGACAGCTAGACCAGAAGTATTCACCTTACTTACCTGAGTAAATTACTATTAAATATACGGGTAAAGAAACGATCCATAGTGTTTACAAAGTAAAGCATAAAAAATCCGCTATGTTGACGTCACAACAGCCGACCAACAACTGGCGCCCGCTAAACGAACCTGAGCGACACCTGTCGCTACGCTCCAAAGCGCACTGGACAGTGACGTCACTTTCACCGGAAAACAATAGAACTTAAAAAATCCGAAACAAGACACAAACTGCGGCAGATGTAAGGAATGCCTCTACACAATTCTACACCTGTAAAATCGGGTTAAAAATGTCTGCGTTTGAATGAATATGAATATATATATATATATATATATATATATATATTTCTGTTTCTATAAATAACGCGAATGTGTGTTTATGCGTTTAATGAGCAAAAAACTGAATCCTACACGTGTCGCTTCATTCAGATCTTTAATCATTCGTTTAGCCTAATTAAATTTTCTTACTTAATCCATGCTCCCAAAAGGATATCAAGGCACTATTGCTCGCAATATAACATATAGTCTATTCCGCCTTGTTTACACGTCCTTGTTAGAAAATGGTCGAAAGCCGCTATTGAGCAAAGTTTCGATCGTATTCTAGCCGACACACTATTAAAATCGATTCAACATATGCGCCTAGAAAACTCAACAGTAGAATATTGTCGATTTTAAAACAATAAGCAGTGGGCGATTAGAACGTCGACGCACGTCCTCTTGCTACATAATAAATCCTATTCAGACTTTTACAGCATCCCCAATTCTAATTGTATATTACGCATTTTTTCATTAAAATCCATTTATTGATCGACTAGCGAAAACGTCGATTCATCAACTCTAGGATAGGTCGCTGTACAAAATTACCGTTAACAATACAGAGAGGCAGAATTATGCGACTTACACCCGATTGAACTTGAATTGAACAATAAAGAAAAAATCGACGTACCTGAATCTCTGTGTTCTCTTTTTCTTCAATTTTACGCTTAAATAATTCATCCCTAGCCGAAATCAGTTTGTGTTGTAAAGCTATCTTTCTGGCATTCCTGTCAGTCCGCTCTTCCCTTTCTCGCTCACTGACCGTTTTCCATAATTCATACGTTTCCAACGCTTTCTGCAACAAACAAATTCTAATCTAATAACGACCTTGCAATAAAGACACACAACCTAGGCAAAGACAGATGCGTCGCTACGCAACTCACGCGTGACGTCAGACAGCAAACTGATCAAAATGAAAAAATCATTCCAGTTTGCAATATGTTTTAAGAATGTAAAAACATAAAAATATTTTAAAAAATATAAAGACAAACCACTAGTGACAGTATCCTGTAATGCACTGCTTAGCTAAAAAAAAAAGCAAGAGCACACAGTGTAGTGACGCAGAGACAGGCTAGACTGAGCAAAAATGTTGCAGAGCGACTGCGCCAACTGCAAAAATCAATGTGGCAGAGCACGACAAGAGAAAACCTGCAAGGCAACGCGCACCGCGTCTAAAAGCGTCCCGAAGGCGAACCGATATAAGCCGCCTATAGACGCCGTGGCGTCCATTATTCTACTACGCCTATTCCGATCACAACCAGAACCAACATCTCTCTTCACTGACAAACAAAATCGATAAACAAACAGAACGACTGCAGCGCTGGTTGTGTTATTCTATTTTTTTTCAGTATTAAACGTTCTTATGGGTAATAAAATATACGACTATTAATGGTACTGGCAACCTATTATTCAAAGACGACTCAATACAACTGTCAATCAGACGAGTATGGTACGTTAGCGGGTCAATATATACAGGAAGAAAGCGGTTATAAAAAAAACGTTAAAAGCCTTCACGCCAATCCTCTTTACGCTACAGACGCTGCAATGTATAGTTACACATAAATAATACATCGTAACTAATGTTATATTACATACAGAATATTTCGATCAATAGCTAACTAATCATTTTTATGTTACAGCTTTACACTATGTTGCAGTCTTTATAACATAGACCCTATAATGAATGTCAGTAGCGAGTTTACGTCAATATGAAAACAAACGCCGCAATCACGTGCTAAAAATTGACGCCCGATATTGACAACCAACCTGAGCTTCTTGCTGTCGAATGAGCTCCATCGTTTTTTCTCGTCGTAAATCTTTGTTATCATTCTTTCTCGGGTTTCTACTGTAATGGAAAAAAAAAATTTAAACATATGTGTGTAACTACTTACGCATCATATAATTCCATTAACGGTTTATTGGGCCTACATCAGCTAATAATTAGGAGCATCAAAGGAGACTTGGTTGTCTAGTAAGACTTCTGTGCGCACAAAACTCTCCGCTTCCTGCTTTTACAGCAGGAAAAAATTATGATTATTACTATGCTAATTTTTTTTCTATAATCGCGAACAATAATAACCGCCAGCGGGGTGTTGAAAAGAATATTGAATGATTCAAGTACAAGAGTGAATCCAAGTTGTGGGCGATTGACGCAAAAAAAATCGACAAACCCTTTCAAAGAACGCACTCCATAATTAATCGAAATCTCGTCAATTATCTATACAACTGGCCTACAGTTGCTAATACACCTGTCCATACATGCGTCTGCATGAAAATATTATCATAATCGTTGCGAAGCGACATCTGTTGATTCATTTCAATATTCGTCTTATTAACATTCATCGTACCAATATAGACTAGCTGAAAGCGCATTTTTATATTCATGATTCACTTAGCAATATTAAACGCCAGGTAAAATTGTAAAATGACGTCTACATCGCCAACAGGTGAAAAGTCTGATTACATCAAAGATAGTAGCAAACTTCATTCAAAATATATTACTAAGAGTATTAAAAATTTTACGTTAATGATAATGGGTATCAAAACACGTGGTCTGTTTCTATTGAATGTAAGTAAGCGTAAACAAGTATATATTGTTTTCTTAAGTAAATCAACTATTCGTTTGTTAAAATAAGTCTAGAAAACTTTCAATTTAAACCAATACTGCAATAGGCTGCATTAAAATCGATTTTTCATTCAAATCAAATGTGAACGCCCGGGAACGCCGCCATTTTAAACAGTCATATTGAAGTAAATTAGAATTAAATTTTACCTCTCTCGAAATTTAGTCATTTTCGCTCAGATTTTCAGTTACTTTCGCTAAATATTTGTCCTTCTTATAGAACCCCGGTCCAATAGCATCAGTCAGTTTAAATTGGTTTATAAACAGCGATTTAAACGAAATTTCTTAACCATTTTATAGCGATTCGCCATCTTGGGGTCGTGACGGGGTCTCTCTAAATCCCGCTAGGAGCACTAAAAAACTGGTATTCGAAGAAAGGAAAGTACGCACACATTTATGCAAATGCATCTTCAAATGCTCTTTATTTAACAAAAAAAAGTTCGCTTGCTTTTATATGTGATTCAGAAATTCTTTTTAAATACCTGCCTAAAATACCATAGTGAATATCTTAAATTTTTCATCAAACAATGAAGTAGGAAATTTTAGCATTTGTCTTTAAGTAAGTCAGCTCATTCTAGAATAATTTATTAAAATGATATAATAAAACACTACAGTTCAACTATGATTCTGTCAAAGCTAAATTCGATCAATGATGAATTTATTTAAGGTGCTAATAAGCAATTATTGTCTCTTTACTACATGTTGCCAATCAAATTATTAAAATTACAACATAAATGTAATGATGCTATAAGCATTCACTTTTCTCAAACTAATCATATCAATTATTTCTGTATTTAATAGACTAATCACGGTGGAGCTGTTTCTAGATAGACTTTTATCGTTGTTAATCACGTGACAGCTGCCTGGTTCGCGGCTCAGGTACAGGTATGCTATTAATCTACAGGGCTTGAAGGAGTCGTAGTGGGTACCCAAGTTCATTGTTATACGCTTATTTGGACTGAGTCAGAATTTTTAAGGATTTCTTTAAGACAAATATAATTCACACCAAAACGCTATAATAAAAATTAACAATTGATAATTGAAATCTCTTCAAAATATTCTGAACTTAATATATTGCATTTCCATCATTTAAAGTATTGTATTTTTAATTTGTTCTCAGCAGTCCTTACGTATTTAATCTTCTTATTCTTGTCGATAAAAAAGCTAGAATACAACTGAAAGAGAGTCCTAAGTGAGGTTAAAATTGAAATATGCTGAATAAAATTTCAATAAATAAGTGGAGAATTCCGCTTGAGTTCATCAAATTGTATATAAAAAAAAGTACTTTAGGATTTTTATATCCTGTACACGACTTAGTCTCAAAGCTATTACCCAACTAACGTCAACTTAAAGCCGATTAATACAAAGTTTGTTGCAGAAGCAATTCAAAACCCAGAAAGCAATACATTACCTGCAAATAACAAATGGGATTTTTCAAGACGTGAATAGGCTTAAATTAAAAGTTAATGCTTTTGTTATTAGTAGATTGTTCAGGATTTTAAGGAAAAAGATTTTTCTATTGCTGAAAATTACCGATATTCTGTCTATAAGAAACTACATAAGACCTCAAGTTTAAATTTCTCTTGTTTACTTGGTACCAACAATTTAAAAGTACCACATATCCGGTTTAGACCAAAGAAAGAATAAAAATAAATTCTAAAGTATTTTTACTCAATAATTTAATAAAAATTTGTCTGAGTTTCTTTTTCCAAACAGCACATAAGAGCTTCCATTCTAGTAGCGAAACAACTGGAATGGGTAAAATCCATACAATTCAAGTCAATTTCTTCAAAATTACCACTCAGATCGTGCCATTTTTCTTCAGTTATTAAGTCACTTAACGTTCCGGTTGACGTTCGTTGTAGAGATACTGTACATTTTTGCTTCGGATAGCAGGTAACGAGTAACACCCTATATAAATTAGGAATATTAAGTTTTAGCATAAGAAAGTTATAGACATTACCTTCTTCTGTTAGGACTAGCCACAAGAACATAACCAGGCTTACCACCAAATTTCATGTCGTCATGAAATCGAACAGGAATATACGATTGCTGAGAAAGAATATTCCAATTTGTAAGCCTGATCGCAAGTGTAATAGAATTGAGTTTATGATGACAAATTTGTTCTTCTAAAATATTTCTGATCATTTGAGCGTCTCTGTTTACTACAAAAACACTATTGCCAGAGACACACTTTAAGATGTCACTCTCAATTTTGAATAACAAGCAGCATCGTGTTGTTTCAGAAAAGCTGTTAAATATAAATACTCTTATCATTGACTGATGAGCAGTTCCTATTGCACCATGATGAACAATTATTTGGGGATCGATGTGTTCTTTAGCTATATCATCCAATACTGATGTTACCAAAGTATGAAGATAGTAGTGTTTTGATTGTATAATAATTTGTTGCAAAAGAGAAATTGATGGCATAGCCTCTTCCAATTCTATCTTTCCAAAAGCGTAGGGGCCAGCCAATCTTCTCCTTTTTGTTGCTCCAATATGACCTGTAATTGGATGAGGAAGAGGAAGTGTTGCTGTTCGGGAATGGATCTCTCGCAACAGTTGATGTAAATTATGCTCAAGAACATATGAATAAGTTGGTCGTACGAAATGTCGAGTCGGTGTAAAATTTGATCTGACACGGCCTAAATCATCTTCATCTGGTAACGTCCGACACATTGCTATAATTAACTTGACATCGTCATATAACTGAAAGGGAAAAGCTGTTTTAGGTCACGAAATTTTTCATGGTTTCATCCTTACATGACATAGGACTTGATCACCAACGACAACATTCGGAAGAGGAAATTTCATAGTTATAGCTTCTCGAGATAACTGATGAAAAATTTCTTTACAAAATATAACATATTGAGCATTGTCTAGATGTGTTTGCCAAGATTGTTTTCCAATGCGAGCGTACTGAATAGGCGGTGAGCAAGAACTTAGATCGGAGAAGTTAAGTTTACCTATTTTTAATTTGAATTCAATTACAGAATGTGACAGTTCATAGCCTCTGGGTTATACAAACCATCATCTTTTATCAGAGAAGCATATATATACACAAATCCCTCCAATTCTGTTGGTACTGACACTTGAATAGAGCTATTTATTTGCGGGGGTGCCCTTCCTGGTGATTGACTTGTTCCTTCGTGGGTTGCATCCTCATCTTCACTCTTTTTTACTTCGAAAGTCCCTTGGGCAGTGTACCGAGAGCCGGCTAATAAAAAAGTTTATTTTATCTATAAAATTTCCAAAGTTAAGTCTCAGTATAATGATTACCTGACTTGTAACTGAGATCTCCAATTATAGTATTTCCGACTTTACGAAGTTTCCATCCATCCCTCTGCCTCATATTGTATAGTTCCTGATGAAAATCCATTGATCTAGATTGCTGCTCTTGGAGTGTTTTTCTCATTCTATCTATACCATCTTGAATAATCTGTGCAGCTGAATTCAGTCCTTTTTTCTTTGAAATTAAATTCAGGGGAATCCTAGTATCTGGCACTTCATTATTTATACTTTCAATAGACATATATCGTCTATCTCGAGCAATAGTTAATATATCCAACAAAACGCTTGTTTCTGTCAACGCAGAGCTGGGAAATGCATTTTTTACAAGCGTAATTATTAAGAATAATTTTTCAAGCGGGAATATTTACCGAAGTTTATTTCTGACCGATTCCCAAGGCCACGAACTTGTTTGAAATGTTGCAGGAGCTTCTTCTTTGTTTTTTTCATTAACATTTTCTCCGCCATCTGATGTGAAGTCTATTCTTTCTGCTAACCTGCTCAAGTTTTCCGACATAGAAAGAGGCCTGCGGAGCGATAAAAGATGAACTTGTCGAAATCAAATTGTAATTACTTAAAAAGTCTACTAACTCAGTTGAAATTTCCTTTCCATCATATTGAAAACTTTGTATTGGATATTCCTGTAGAGCTTCTATGCTTACTTCCGTACTTTGTATTGGGAGAGCCATCTCAATCCAAATTCATCCGACTATTTTGTATATTGATAGTACGCATGCGCAGCTTTCACCGGTTACTACCAACAAGTGTCCTTGACCCTAGAATTTCTATCTCAACGTCCTGAAAAGAGTCGATATAATGTCGCAAACCGATGATAATGGCCCTTCTCTGGAAGAGAAGAAGAATTGTAATTGGAAAGATATAACAAAGGACTTTTTTGAATTATGTCAACAATTAAATGTGGGGGAATTAGTTCACGATGTTCATTTTGGTTTATTCGAAGCTATGTCGGCTATCGAGATGATGGATCCGAAAATGGATGCTGGAATGCTTTGTAATCAAGTTAAGCGTAAAGTGTATGATTTTGATGAAGCTTTGAAAGCCAATATCATAAAAGATGATAATCTGGAAAGTGAAGAACTAATCGGTATTATTGATTCAACGTACGCCTGTGTGGTAACTTGGTTAGAAGGGCATTCTCTAGCCCAAACAGTTTTCACTAATTTGTATCTGCATAACCCAGAGGCTATAAAAGATAAAACTTTAAAATCGTTTTGCACGGCCATACTCAAGACAGTCGATTTAATTAGGGATCGTATAAACAAGGCAAGCGTTTTCGAGGAGGAGGATTTTCAATCTGTTTCGTATGGCTTCAAGATGGCAAGCGAAGTACCCAGTGCCAAAGTTATTTCTTCTCTTCGGGAAGTGGAAGATGAGGTAAATGGCCCACAATTTTCAGTTTTAATAAATTTTAATAATAATATATTCTGATCGCATTTAAATCTTATGTCTTAAATTTTAGTTTGCAAAGAAAGTTAGGAGTACAAAAGACAAAGGCGAAGACAACGAAACAAGAGCAAAGCAGCACGAACTTTATAGTGCTATTTATTCACGTATTAAATTCACTCGTTTTCTATATGCAACTCTGTTGGCTTTCTCTAAAGACAAATGCAGTGGAGTAGATGATATAGAAAAATATCTTAATGGTATTCTTGATGTTTTACTGTCTATGCAAAGCACTATACACTTAGGAATTAAGCCGGAGGAAAGAGAATGTGGTTTACACGATTACCCAACGATTATGGGGTTTGAACCTTTAGTTAATCAAAGATTGTTACCTTCAACATTTCCGAGATACGCAAAAATTACGTCGATCGAAGATACTATGAAATATCTGTCGGATATGTGTACGAGATTCAAGTTTATAACTGGTGTAACAAAATGCACCTTTCTTCATCAAGCCATGGATTTTTTCGAAGACTTTAGCAAATTGTCTCCTTGTGTCCTATCTAGGTCACTTTTACACTTACTAGTATTTCCAATCAATCGAAGATTCTTTGGAAACGAACCTCTTGTTGATGTTGTTAGGGATACGATTCGGAACTTTATAGCACCACCAGCCCTAGTCCCTAAATCAAGTATAGGTAGCAATCCAGATGCAAGAGCATACTGTGATGCTTTTCTGCAGAGAGCAGCTAATACTATATTACAGCTTGTTAATATATCTGGTCAAAATAGAGCCAGGCAACGTGAGAAGTTAGCGCATATATTCGAAGAGCTGGCTAACTTGGAAGCTGAAGCCGATAAACTAGACACCTATTTACATAGATTACTAATGAAAAATTCGCAGGGACAAACTGTTGTTTGTTTTGTGACTTGGGTTTTATATCATGTCCTAAAAGCAATGTTTAATTATTTATATCTTGGTTTTGAATTGGAATTATATTCTCCTCAAGAATATTATTATATTTATTGGTATATCAGTGAGTTACACTGCTCCTGGTGGATTCCTACTCTTTCCAGAGCAGATAATTTTCTAATGGAAAGTGAAGCTATGATTGAAACTCAAAGTGGCAAAAGTGCTAAAAAAGTGAGAAGACAACAGAAGAAAAAGGGTAAACCTCATGCTAAAGAAGTTCATACAGCTCAAATTCATCAAATGCTATGCAATGCATTTTTGAAAGCATTACTTGGGTTTATAAGGGCGAAAAAATTAGAGCTGGCTGACGGATCTTCTATAGCTTTTGATAGTGAAGAAGTTCGATTCAGAAGGAGATTTGCACCTTTCCAAGTTTTGAGCAGTCCACAGCCAATGGCTTATTGTCATTTTACAGACACAATCGATTTGCAAAGGTAATTTTTTTAAATTCATTTTCTTCAATAAGTTTTTTATATGTTCATAAATAGATATAAACCTGTGCCCGAACCTGAACATCTCTTTCAAGCCGCTTGCAAAGGCTTTCAACACGCTAAAGCTTTAATCGAACAACCTCCTAGCAACCAAACCGAACAAGCTACGGCTTTATTACGAATTTGTAAATATAACATTGTTGCCATGAGCGTTCTTTCTACAGGCAAAAAGGAGTATGAACGCCCTTTGTTTGACTTTACTGTACATAAACACTATCCCATCATTACATTAAAGAACTAAGTAACTAGTTAATTGAATTACTTTGTCTACTGATAAATAAATTTTTTTTGTATCACAAAATACATCTATTTAGATATTTTGTAATACTAGTAATAATGAAAATGTACGAAATATAATTATTGGCGTTTTTTAATATTTTTAAACGGTCAGAAATTCATATACTAAGTAGTAAAATATTATCAAGGGAAAGCTAATTCCTAGATGAAGACACCTAAATACTAATCGGCCAATTGACATAAGCGTCGAATAATTGATGACACTTTTCCTTCTTCATTAACCAATGTGCGTACCACTCCTGTTCTTAATTATATAAGAACTAAACTTTTAAGGTCAACATGAAAGTTCACTTGAAAGAAAGTAATATCAAATTAAGAAAATGTTGTTTTTCGTTATAATCTAAACTTAAAATTAACTTTAAAGAACAATTACAGAGTCATTAAAAATCGGCAGTAGACAAATTAACTTATATACATACAATATATATATATATATATATATGTATATTTATATATATATGTACATATTTATATAATCACCAAACACTGCACTGTTCCCTCGCTTTCATTTCGTCTGCGTCTTTACAGTTAAACGCCTTCGAGAATTCTGGTACTTGTTGCAAACTATACAGAACTCTGGAGAGAACAAACGGTCAATTCCGTCTTAAATTTCATTTATAAAATGGCTTTCGAATTGTTTGATAATAACTATTATATACCTAAGTGATGCAGGTAAATGCTGCCCAATGGTAATGGTCGTCTTCGTCGTACTCTCTTTCTCTTTAGAGCAGAAATTCTGGGCGTATGATAGGAAGAATATTTGCTCTTCTGAAGATGGTAACTTTGATCCAGGTAATATTTTGTGAGTCTTTTCCTTCGTGAATGCCTAATTTTTAGTGTTTTTCAGATGAGAATTTCGTTTCAAGAAGTAGGCAAATTTTTTTTTCAATGGGCGGAGCTAACTTACTTCGTAAGCTAATCGAATACCACCAATATCCGATATATGCTCAGCTAAAGATTGTTCATTAAAAATTGAAAGTCCCCGGAAAGTTTTATTAGCATAAAAACTTTTGATACAATCCACTCTTTGTCGGAATATCTGTAATGTACTATCATCCCACCAGTTTTTCAGAGAACCATTCTCATCAAATTGCGAACCTTTTTTTATTTTAAAAATTAGGTTAGGAATAAATATTTTTGTAAGGAAAAGTATTTCTTAAATAATTTATTTACCTTGATCATCAAAGGCATGAGTAATTTCATGTCCAATTACTGTTCCTAGTTTAGCGTAGTTGATGTACCTATTTAAAGTATGTTTGGTAATTAACTAGTAATATAATTATTTGAAAGCAATTAAAAACATACCGTGGTACAGTTTTAGAATAGAATGGTTCTGTTAGCAGGGGCGCCGCGATAGCTATAGATTACATTGAATACAATTTAATCGTTTATGATTACCAAATTGAATATATGTTAATTGGGTAAATATGGATATGTATATACACTGTATTTATATATATGTATATATAAATACAGTATATATGCAGAATATAAATGTTTGCAGTATATGTCATACCCATCCAATTTTGCTGGAAATGATAAACAGCATTTATACTGAATAAATATATTGCCCACCTGCATAGAAGTATAGAATAATTAATTATAGATCTAAGAAGTTTTAATTAAACTTGGTATGCAAGCCTACTCTGTACGACGTCCCGATTTTATTTGTTTTTGTATCTTGAACATTTCAAATTTGGCCTGTTTCTTCAACATAGCAATGTAAGAATCCGAAGGCTTTAAGTTTATCTGAATAGAGTATTAAATGTTCATTTAGTCATTGATAATAACTTTTAATAAAATTCAATTTCCATTTACGTGTTTATAAAAGTTAATTCTCTTTTTATTTCCAAGGGTAAATTGTTCTTCACAAGCGAGGTTATACGTCAATTTTTTCAACTGTATGTATATATATATATATAGATGTATAGCAATGGATCAACTTAATTAGAACTATGAATCTAACTCATTTGTAATTGCTACCTACCTTCGTTACAGCACGCTTCTTTGTTTTATCATCCATCCAACTCGCCTCTTCGATTTTTTGTTTCATTACAGATCTAATACTTTCGATGATATTTCGAATCTATATATATATATACAAGAAATTGTAACAATGTTTAATGCATATTTGAATACTTTTTAATTGTTTTGGTCTTTATAAATTTCCTATGTAATTAACATTCCAATATCTCCTCGAGAGGGATGCAAAAAGAGTAATTACATGCAACTCACATTTTTTGAGTCTCCACCATAAGTCTTTGAATAATCGCAACCGATTGCAGAGGAGAACGAATAGGTCACGACATTTACACATTTTTTCCATGACTCTTTTTCGTTAGAATTTTGTGAGAAAGGTGAAGAAATGTCCTTCATCTTCTCACTATAGTATAATAAGATGTTCCACAAGAGGAAATTGATTAGAGTGTCTCTATCCGTTTTACGCCATAATTCGGATAATCTCCCATAATACTCTAAATTCGGAGATAATTCAATGATACTTTTCACTGTTAAACTTTTATCGAACAACTTTAATAAATCTAACCAGTTGATCTATATAGTAAAGAAAAGAAAAGAAAAAAATACACTAACAATGACTTATTATGTGAAAAAAAAAGCAATTCTCTAAACTTCTCAAACCTCTTTTGACTGTTCATGCAGACGGGAAACGCTTATCGTCTGTTCTTTCTCAGTTATATGAGTTTTACTGGCAATCTATAAGAAATTGTTAGAAAAAATGTTTTAAATTGATTTTGTTTCTAATGCGGGTAATTTCATTCAACCGTAATTTTTTAATTTCACTTTTTTATGAATAATGAACAACAAGAAAGTATAAAAACATAAAAAATATATAATATGCATGAATATACTATATACAGTATATACTGTATATATATATATATCCTTTCAGAACCATATTTAGTACATATCGCACATTTAAAACCACATAATGTATGTATTATTGCATATATAGCGTATTTGATAGAAATGTTTCTATTTACAGAAAAGATAAATTACTTGAATGTTTTCAAAATCCATTTATTTGTTTTTAATTTATTATTCTAACCTGATATATTTCCTTCCGAAGAGTGGCCACTTTCAATGCTTGCTCTTCAATTTCTTTACCAGTTAATGTACTTCCTAGAGAGATAGCAGCTTGTTTCATTTTTTTTATTATGTCCGTTAAATCTTCATAATTATTCTCTAATATCTGAACTGCCGTTAACTGTAAATATATGGAGCAAACCTATAATTTATTTAAATTTTGCAAAGGTAACTGTACAAAAAGTATAAAGAACGAAATGGAAAATTAATAGCAAAAAAAAATTCTTCTTTTTTTCCTACTTGTTGAAATATATCAAGAATTACGTACTAATATAAAAAAGGGATGAGAGAGAAAGACGAGCGAGAGAGAGAGAAGAGAGAAGGGGGCAGGGGGGCTAGGTGGGGGGTATAGAGAGATGGTGTATGAGTCTGGTAAAACTATGAAAACAACTAGAGTTCATCGTAAAGAAATCTTATAAAGATCGTATACATTTTACATTTAGATAGGTTATAAAATTCATTATAAAAATTTTTTTGCATATATTATAAAAGAGTGGTTTGTAGTGTGGGTAACAAAGGCCTTAATAGGATCGAAATAAACTGAGAAAGCGTTCACACTACGTGAATAGTAGCGTTTGTTGATGAGGCGAGAAGAATAAAGATCAATAAGCTTACAAAGTACATAAACAATAAATATAAAAGACTGTCTATACGACCTTGATCACTTGCTTCTTCTCTTGGAAAGCCGATTCGGAAACTGTAATATAAAAGAGATCCGTGTGTCTTAATTCGTACACTCTTTGTAGAAGTTCTTGTAGATCTATATTTTTCTTTCCTCCAGATGAAGAACCTAAAAAACTATCATATTAGTAAAAGTAACATTGAGCTGTTTAGAAGATGAAACCTAATATAGGCCAACCGCCGAGGTCTTTCAAAATATTCCTAAAATCTTCCGTCTGGTTTCTATCTTTCCTTTCAATCGACTTCAGACAAGTTTCGTATAATAATTTATACATTTCGACTACAGAATCTTTTTGTTTGGGATTTTCAATCACCTTCCTTAATCTCTGATTTACCTCCGCTAAGATCTCGTCGTCAACCTGGTCGCCAAAAGCCTTCTTTTTCTCAAACTTTCCGCACGCATAGTTGTAAAAGTTTTCACAGGGATCAACCGAAAAGTTTGCCTTGCTCGTTATATAAACAGAAGATTTCAAACAAGATTCATCTTCGCATAGTTCTTGTCTGCGACCTTCAGCCGTACTAAACGCCGGTTTCACAGTTGTTAAACAGACAATTAGTCCTATACATAATGAGGTCATAAAAAATACGGTAATAGCGAGTAGAACTTCTCTTCCTCGAACTCTGGTCGGCTCAAAAGCAGGAGCAACTCTTCTCCTCTCGATGACGACCTCTTCCAGATCGGTGCCGTTTAACTCCACTCGTTCCTCTTCGTTCGACGCCATACGCGCCGATTGATCGTTAGACAGGCTGGCGCTCTCGCGCGCGCTCAATTCATTTGCATATTTGCATATTTAATTATTTAATTCAACAGCTCGCTGTTATGTACAATATATAGGCCTTTTATGCGTTATTTATTATTTATTACGCATCAAAGTTATAGTCCATTAGTTCTGTTTATTATATGAACTTTGGAGTAACAAACATGAATTCGACAGCCATGGAAGACAAGTTCACAAGATAAAATCGCCTCTTTTTAAAGAAATAAGCTCTATTAGCGGTAACATACATCGCTGCTGTTACATCATTCGGTACGCGAAGGAAGTGATTTTCGGGTATAGTTTTGTTTCTAATATAATAAACGGATAGTGGTCCATTCGGGTCGTACGAAGTTATTATGTTATTTTTAAAAAAATAACTTTTTCCATTATATTCTAGAACGGCGTCAGAATCTATTTCGACGCCGTTATATTTACTTTTAAAGTTACCAATATGGGTAGGTTGTGATCTCCAATTCTTTAATTGAATGTCGTATTGATTTTCGAATAACCCACTTCCTATTTTTAAAAAAAAAAGATAAACAATCAACACGTTAACCTGGTAGTTGTTCATTAATAATTAGCTTAGCTAATTTCGATCTGGTAACGCATGTTTTTTCAACTTAAAGACATCGTTAGAGGGCGTTGCCAAAATCGAAAAACATATTCTTTTGACTAATTAATTTATAGCAATTCTCTTTGTATTTTTAATTCTCTCGCTATATTACCTTTAATCCAGGTGAAATTAAGCACATTTGGTTCGATTGCTTCTTTTATCAGTATATCGTCAGCATCTTCGACTATCTTGGGAACTTGAAGCTCTTTGTAGGGTTTAGCGTACATCTTGTTTATATCGCTAATTAGCATGAAATCATTATAGATTAGGTAAGCAATTGCATTGTGGTATCCGGCAGCCGTCACTCCCCTATCATTATCAATCGTATTATCAGGCTTTATCTGTTACGCAGAGATTAATTTGTTTGTCAATTTTAATAAAGACTGTAGTAGTATTATGATAAGAAAAGAACCTTTTTGTAATGTTCTCCACCTTTTTTACTGTAGACATAAAAACCAGAACCCTCAATTGTCTCCATATTTTGCTCGCATAGCTTCATACCGGGTCTGGTTACGCTCGGGAAAGTATTGAATGAGAAGCAATAGATATTAACTAAGCAGAGAATCGCACAATTAAGATCATATCTTACGTAAGTCGATTGATATAGAAAATCTTTCAATCGAATATCTTCCATGGTATAATGTTTGAAGATTCCCTCTCTTTCATAATTAACCGACGAAACCAACCATATAAGGTTGAATATATACAAGAGGCGACCCATTCTCAAATGCTTTATTTCCCCGACTTAAACGCATTTCACATTTATTATACACGACGGAAGAAATCGTTTGCCAAACGTGGCTAGTAACGCTTTAAAATTCCAAAATATATTCCCCAATCGAAGATCTAGGCCTGCGAAAGAATATTAGGCAAACGCCATCTATAGACACAATTTTAAACATTACGTCATGGATTTGCAAACAAACTTATACTTTGCATATTTCAATTTATTATTCTATTCCTGCAATAATATTAAGATAGGTAAATAGAAGAAATGATAAAGAAATGGTCATATTGCAGATGTATCAATAAAAATAACAAAGAATGCATGAAAAGCTGTTAAACAAAGGGAAATATATTAACATTTGATATATCAACAGGTATATTTTTGGATAGAAATTCTACTTTACAAATAAAGGAAATAATGGAAAAATCCTTAAATTTTCGGCTTGAGAACACTTCAATACAGTATGAATTAATTTTCAAAACAACAGAACAGAATAACGCATTTGACGTCCGTGATAAATGTTAATAAATATTCTTTTATTGCTTTGTACAATAGTTGATAGTTTTCTAAAGTATTTCACTACAATAGTTTGTCAATTATTGGATAGTGGTGTTAGTTTGATGATTGGCCCTAGAAATACTGAAAACAGCTTGTCATTATTGGAGATTTCTTCTGAATACGGAGTTATTATTATACCTCCATTTCTCTACCAGTTAAGATGGTTCCCGTCAATTAGGGAATACTTTGAAAAAAGAGCACAAAACGAAATTCGGGCATTCTTTGCCCTGATCAGATATTTTTCCTGGAGAAGAGTAGCTATTTTATGCTTAGATTCGTCGTTCGGTTAGATCAATAAGTCTCAGACTTTTTTCTTTTTTTTATCGTGTAAATAGAGGAAATAGAATAACAATACCCTATATCGAATTGTTTCTATTTCCTCACCATTTATAGGCTTAAGAAATGTTCTAATGTTCTTTTTATCCATTCATAGAAATTAATTATACTCTAAAACTCCTAGACGATTTCGACTATGAAGGGAAAGTTTTTTATTTAAATTTTGATTTAGACCATCATACCTTCTCGAAAAGTGTCAAACGTGTTTTATATGATTTATCAACTTCCGGTAAATTAATTACCACCTAATTCTCATTAATTATTGAAATCATCGACCAGATTTTAGAATTGTTTATGTTCTATACTATCCAGAAAATTTTCATCTTTATTTTAACGGCAGTTGGACGTATAAAATCGAATATTTGTTACAAGAGGCTGTAAATTTAGCTACCCTTTCGAGTGGGTGGGCTTGGATATTATCATCCTCTCTAACATCTGATATAGTAAGATTATTCATATAGGCATACATAATTGTATTTGGTTTTTTAGAAATATTTATAAAAATGTCTAATAGATAGTTTTTTTAATAATAGAGTAAAGATTTTATGGAAAAGAATCATGGTTTGTTAGGTATTTCTACTGACCTACTTAAACATAATGCTAATTTAACTTTTAATCAGGATAACGAAGTAATAACATTCTATAATTTAATCACTTTTGGTTTTTTTAACATAAAAGAAGTAATTTTCTCTTAAACAGAATAGCTTGAAGACTATTTATACCAATATTGCAACTATTGCTTCGTATGTGATAGATAATGTTACATATGTTGAATCTCTAAATTCCTCGGTTCATCAAAGTTGCTTTAAGCCATATAATATGAACAAAAGTATCAAATCAACGCTATTGGCTAATGTTAGTTACCCTCTATGAATTCTCTTCGTTATAAACATTGCTTTCTTTTCGAGTAGATATTGGACGGATACTTCTCTGAAAATGAGTCTACGCAAACTTATCATGTTTATAATTTAGTCGACAAGCGGTGGAGGAAGAAATTATTTTGGACTGGCGAATCTTACAAATATGATCCTTACAGGATAGGATCCATTAAGAAATATCAAACATCTTCTATTATCTTTCCCTTCTTTAGTTTAATTTCCCCAGCAGATCTAAACATGGATCTGTCGGGAATTCAACTAAAAGCCCTCTACTTGCCACAGAGCATGGTACAAGCCGCCTAGATAGATAGATAGATATGATGCAATATTAAAATTATAGATTGTCCGCCAGATGGCGTAAAGTCGAAAATTCAATCTATCTATCTTGGCGCTACTTAGTTTAAACCGTTTATCTCAAAGATACCCGAAAATAGGTTAATTGAAACTGAGAGCATAGCCCTAAAACAATCTCTTAAAGTTCATTTTGCCAAGAATTACGAAGGATATTTCGTAGATCTAATCGAAAAGATTAGGGAACGATTGCACTTTGAAGTAGGCCAATGCAACATTATCCAATATAGTCAGCTAATTTGGAGGCTAATTGCAGATAGAATATAAAATATCAGATAATGAGGTATCGTTAATCGACGCTACAAGAAATATATTAGAGGTAAAACTAATGAAAAAAATCATATGTACATATTTAAAATTCATTAGAATTTCCAGGACTACGACTTTTTTCTTGGAATTTATCCAATAACTCGTTCAAGCGCTGAATTTTTAGAATTTTCCGTTCCTTTTCTCGAGACTGGTCTCTACGCAATTTTACCACAATTTCGAGTTGATAAATATCGATTATCGTAAGTAAAAATGAATAACGTACAACAATGATGATCCTCTTGTTGTTTAATAATGAATGCAAATGTTTCATATACTATAACTCGGTCAATCTTATAAAACTACATATAGAGTTATATGAATAACTGATATACTGTTAGGTAAATGGAACCTATAATATAGTATATGGGCAGATGTACAGAGCAAAACATTCATTATACATTATTAAGATTTACCTATTTACCTAGGCTATTAAAAGTATTTGATATAAGACTATGGAGTTGTTTATTCTTTTCAATAATATTTATGGCTTTCGTTTTATTCTTTGTTAATATTATGATGCCTATTACCCGGACAAAACGGAAGGAAGCATCTTTTTTATACTTCCTCCTTAGCTCCCTCTCAGCCCTCTTAATAAGGGTATTACTAATAATACAACTTTTTTAAATCTTACTGTAACTATTCTCTATTTTAATTATTTACTAATTGGTTTTATCAGTCAACACCAAAGAAATTAGGTCAATCTATTACTATCAAATTTCTTGTTGCATTTTGGTGGATTTTCTGCTTTCATATATCAAGTTTATTTTTTTGTAATAGTTTTGTAAATATTTTCTTACAAATTGAAGAGCAAAGTAAAATTATTTTTGTTTTTGTTAGTGCTAATCCTTTCGTTAATGTTTTTTACGTTTACTTTCTTTAACAATTTGTAAAGAAATTCAAACATTCACTGATCTTGTCGAAGATAAGGAAATAAAGTTATTTATGACAAAGTTCTCTCCAATTCGCGACTACTTTAAGTATTCAAAGTCGAGCACTTTTAAAAAGATTTATGATAAAATTCAAGAGGAGCGGTGGTATGTTGATAGTCGTGAGGATGGTTGGAAGAGATTGGAGAAATATAGAGAAACTGGAGGTTATATTATATACAGAACAACTAATTAGCTATAATGATCAAAAATATTTTTTAAGTAGAAAAGTGGGCTTGGATAGTTAGCTTGTCTCTCTTCGAGTATACTTCATCTTTTGATAACTGTTCTTACAAGGTCATTCAAGACGGCTCCAATTACTTTAAACATGCGATTATGTTCAGAAAACGATTTTCTTACACACGACAATTCGATAGGGTTGTTAGTAATTAGATCTGATAAAATCTATTTTTATAATCCCTCATTTCAACTGAAATTAATAGCTATTTATGTTTGGTATTTTTTCCAATTTAAAGATAGAACATCTGGAAAAAGAAAAGTATTTCGAAATCCTTCGCGAGAATTGGCTGCAAGGTGGGAAATGTTATCAGAATGCCGAAAACAGCCGTACGATAAGATTCTTAGTTAATTCACATCTGCTAATCTTGAACATACTTTTTCTCAAGTAAATAGGAAGAAAGAGTCAGTTTCCTATACTGGGCAAATTCTGTTCATAGGTATATTTGGTGGTATAACATCTATGTTTATACTGCTTGTCGAATATTTCTTGGCAGCTTATTACGATAGTTTAGTAAGTGCAATAAATAGCGGAGGAATAGTTTTGAATTTTAATACTTAAATGATTTAGGAGAGCAACCTTAGATTACGAGCAGCCTTGGAGGTACGATTTATTCAAGGTGGTAAAATATTAAAGTCTATCTTTTCAAGCGTGGTTCAGAAACTGCTAAATAATTTTTCGGTATTCTTTGAAAAAGATTTTCATTCCAAAGGCCAGAAGACCAATCTACAAGCTGAGTTTTATTGACTTAAACATTGAACATTATCAGGAGCTTGAAACGAGGTTATGGCAACCTCAGTTAACATAAAATATCAGTAAAGATTGCCTGGCCGTTGTAATTTTTATTACTCGTAGCTCTTGAGATTTAAGCAACTTTTTAGTTAATCAAAAGTAAAAAGGAAATAGAAAACACGAAATTCAAATTTTTTTAATCTATAAAAAAAGAACAATAATCACTTGAACTAAAGATTTTTGAGGGATTCTTTTGTAATTATATAGCTTAATCGGACTTAATTTAGGGTATGATTTTATATTCCATGTATGTATATATATATATATATATATATATATAATATATATATATATATATGTATATATATGAGACAATTTTGATAGTATACAACAGCAGTTAAAACTTGTTGGTTGTTTGACAAAACTGTAAAGTGAAAGCTTAAAAAGGTACAATTAATGGTTGTCGTGTCTTGTCAATCTTCTATAGAACTGTACGGCAACCTATCACAATTCTCTGCTTACTTAATTCTACCCTCTCTTTATGCTATTTTATATATGCATATATATCTATGAGATAGATAGATACATATATGCCAGTGCAAATATATATATACAAATATATATAAATTTATATATTTATATATATATAGATAGATAGGTAAATAAATACAAAAATACAAATATATATAAATATATATAAATGTATATACTGTATACTCATTTATACGACAATATAAATATACAGATATACATACACATTGATGCATGCATGTATATATATATATTTAAGGTGTATATGTCAATATATATATTGAAAAAGCAAACGGCTCACATACTCATAACGCGCTAGTACACACTGCTTTCATCATATTTTAACAATAGGCATCGTTTAAATCGTTCGTTCATCATGGGCAACTGATCAACAGTTAGTTGTACACTGCAGATTTTCTTCCCTTGTTTTCCATCAGACATTCGTCCATTCATTCTTCAACAAGCCAATAGATGGCGTCAGTCTTTTTGTTAACAAAATATCCATCGAGTGGCGTACATGGCACGAAATGTGAACATTTGTAAACGCGTTTTTTGAAAACTAGCCGTCAGGCCAGAACCTCAGTTTACGAACAAAAAATGGCAGTGCGATAAACCGAGATTTGGCGCCGATTTGTACCAGATTATCACAAAAATTCTTTTCTAACTATATACATAAATGGTAGTAGGCCGAAAAAGGGACGCAAAAAAAAAAACACACAAATACGCTTGAACAATCTACGATATTATAGGTTATAAGAAAACAATGGAAGGATATCGTACAATATTCGAGCGTATTAATGTTTATAACGCAGCAACCAATATTAAACGGATATCTGATATATACAAGAAATACAGCAAATTTTCTACACTGTCGAGTAAAAAATAAATGTACAAAGCACTTGACCGTGGTATATGTATATATCTATACATACATATGCTAATTTATACATACATATATATAAATATATATATATATATACTTAACGTAAACAAACCACATATACACTTCACACAAATTTTGAGAAAAACGGCCGAAAAAATAAAACACGCAATCGAGCCCTTTCAGAAGGTTTCTTCAGTTCCAGCCCTTATGAGGGGGTCCCCAACCACCTTGAGATGGAGACGAAGGAGCCTCATTACCATTCCAACCTTGGCTATGCCCACCACCAGCTCCGAAACCTTGACCATTACTACCTGTCATAGGTGGAGCTCCAAAAGAAGATTGTTGATTTCCACTGTCACCTCCCGGACCTGCCTGATTTGCACCGCCTCCTCCTTGATTAGCCATACCTAATAAACCCCAATTTGCTTGACTCAGTGCAGCCATCATAGCCGGATTAGCCAGCATGCCAAGTGGGTTATTGAGCATTCCTATGTTCTGGTTAATTCCAGCCCCTTGATTTGATGGAGCTCTACCTCCAGGACCCCACTGTCCGGCATTATTCCATGCACCCCCCATAGCTGCGCCAGGAGGCGGTTGCATTTTATTTACTTTATCGTAGGACTTTGGAGCAGCTGTTGAAACATGTACGCTAGCTCCTTTAATAATATGGTCTTCACCGCACAAAGCCTGTGCAGTTTCAGCATCACTAAACGTCACAAAAGCAAAGGCTCTAAATGGCTTAGGTATAAAGACATCTACAACTTCTCCATATTTAGTAAAATAGGTCCTTAAGTCATCCACTGTCATATCCTCAGTGCAACGCCCTATAAAAACCTTACGTTGCATTTGAGAGTCTCCATGCCAATTGGGAGGAGTACTATTATTATGTCCTCCTGCCCATTCAGCATGCATAGGTGGGCCGTGTCCGTATGGAACTTGTTGATCTTGAAAATTCTTCGAATTCGGAATCCTAACATCACACCACCGTCCATCAATCAAATGCCGCTGACCTAAAACTTTCTTTTGTACCTCGTAGTCCGCAAATCGAACAAATCCAAAACCCTTCGATTGCTTTGTCTTCGGATCTTGTTTAACCTATGAAATTTTAGAAATTTGTAAATCAAGGAGTATGCATTCGACTTGAATAATTACCTGAACCATAAGTACGTCGCCCATCTGTTGGAAATAGTTGCGCAAATCTTCTTCCGTACTTTTCCACGGTAGACCCAGTACGATGAGATCGCTGCATTTCTGCTTCTCTACTTTTTTCGTCTTTGCTGTTGGATGGTCGACCTCATCATCATGATCATCATTTCCTTTTCTCTTGTTCGCTGCTCATACCGAACACACACACAACGCACCATTAGCACCAGTCACACAATCGATCATACTTAAATCTTTTGTTAGAAATTTTTTCTACGTACAACATAGGAAATTTTGCATTCTTACCCTTCTACACCTCCTTTTGACATGCTATACTATTATACTACACAATTACCACGTGATAATACTTACTTTTAGGAAAGACGGCTAAATACAATTGCGAGCCCCAGGATCCATCTGGAGGATGTAATTTACCATCAACAACTCTCACACCACGATAAGCACCCGTTTCCGGATTTCGATAACGCAGGCCACAAGCTCCTGGAAATTGAGCGACGAGAGTCGATATTGTTAGACAACCATCTTCCTCGCAAGGAACTTCCAGGGGTTCGTCGCTCTCTTCCTCTGCAACGCAGATGTACTGCGTCATCTCTTCATCCGTTTCCCCACAAAGATTAGGGCTAGATGATAGGAAGAAGCCGGATATTCATCCAAAAACACTCACACCAACAAATCTCACACACGGTTTAATATGGCCGAAAGTATATTTCCTGTTTCTGTGCTTTCTGGGATATGTTGGCGCGAAAATACATAAATCACTATAGATGGCACTAGGTGTAACTTCGTGACGATCTCACTGCTAGCTGTAGTAGCTGTTCATAAAATTCTATTACATTCTTTAATTCAACGATTAGTTCAATTACTCAATAAGATCACTTACGTAATATTCATGATTAGCATGTTATGCAACAATACTATTGACAAGTTTAAAAGAAAATTAACACTAACTGTTGAATAAATTAACGAAGGAAGAGAAAGCTCAAAATTCATATCAATACTACTAATATTATTAATAATGATAAAAGCAACAAGTTTTTTGTGTGCACTAGGAAATCGCTATTCGCTAATGATAGATAAAGGCTGAGTGAAGACAAAAGAGTCGGTATGGGTGGGCAGAGAAGCCGCAGGCATTTCGTACGTACAAACTACGATTACACCTTACGCGTCTCTTAAACAATAGCCATCACCGGCGGCTAGTTGGATTGACCAAAGACAAAAAAGAGTTATCAAAAAAAAAAAGCGCCGTCGCTTATTAATTAAGAAAAGGTGTGTATGGATACGAGCTCCTTTGCTACTCTTCATATATCAGAAATTATTTGGAATTTGATACTCTGTGGGTATTCCAACCAATCAGCGAGAACTAGAAAATATAAACTCGTCAATTAGGCAAACGAAGACGGTCTTCTCTTTTAAGGAGCACGTCGGAGGACAACAAGGAGCTAATGAACTCAAAGGTAAACGTTTCAATTAGCTCGTTTATAGATTTGTTTGCTTCCTTACTCCTGAATTCGTCATTTTGAATGCTCCTCTCCGTTGAGTATGAATCGAACCTGCTTAACTAATTCGGAAACGAAATCGGTAAGAATTCCTGATAATACGTTGTAACTCTTTTTTTCCTAACTATATGTTGATTCTCTAAGAAGTTTTCGCCTTAGTTTCAATCGAATTATTATGCACTTTTGTGATAGTCGATTATTTTGAGATTTAGAAAGTGTTTTATTCATTTTTTAATAGGCAAACGAAAACCGAAACGGAGATGAACAAAAAGTTTCCAATTTGTCATTTTCCATCGACTCAATTCTGAATAGACCCACCGAGTCGACTTCACCGCGATGCCGAAGCCGATTGCGCGGACACCCTCTAAATGTACCGTATTTCCGTCCTCCAGCCTTTTGCAATTTCGCGTTTGCAGCTTACCAGTTCAACCCAACAGCAATTTTTCCTTACCGGTTGCCTCATACAGATAGTAGGTTAAATGCAACCCCGAAAAATGCTCCTTTGAACTCATTGGCAGTCACCCTAATGACGTCATGGTACGAAAAGCATAGTGACTATCCTTATGTTGACTACGATACAGCTGAGGCTATTGCAAGAGCAGGAGGTATTACACCGGAACAAGTCAGAAAATGGTTTGCCAATAAGAGAGTCAGGTCGGGCTACACGAAATCTCAAGTGAAGAAACGTCGACATTCCTTTGTTGAAACATCGCCACAAAAACGTTGTAACGATTATTCGTCCCTATCGGATGGAGCGTCCCCAGCTAAATTCCGCAAGCGTTAATTAGGATAAGGAAGACTGTATTGTTTTAAAGCGCGTTGAAGTGACGGCTTTGTTGACGCTTGCGGCCTTATCTTTGATGAGTTTATGCGGCGTCCGTTTTAATCTCTACAGATGTATATTTATCAATCATACGACTTCGCGTATTGTGTACAGTGTTTAATAAATGAATCTACTAAACTTAATATCTATGTAAATATGTGCATATTAAGTGCAATACATAGAACAAATACAGATTATTTTGTTAACAGATTTTTAATATATAATACCGTACATTTCTCTTACGTTTCTTCTGCAATGAAATAATACTTCATCGGTCGTTATCCCCCGAATGGAAGCTATTTCCGCAGCCACAGTCACTGCCATTGGTGGATAAGAAGTATTATTGTCAAAGTAATTTTTTGGAATTTCAGAAGGTAAGAAATATGGGGAATCAGTTTCAATCAATAACTTATTCAATGGTATCTCTTTTACGCATTCTCGTATGTTCAGACATCTTTGGCTATTGTCATATGTCACAAGAGGAGTGAAACCAACAAAAGACTTTGGAAAGATTTGAAGCCAATTTTTCATTGTTTGTACATTGCCCGTAAAACAATGTCTATGAATTTTATGCAGACGTAAATCATGCTGTGAAAAAAACAACATAAACTTTAGAAGCAAAACTTGAATGAGTTAATCTTAATTTACCTTTAATAGTTCTTGAACGATATCGTCATCTGCATCGCGAGAGTGTATTACAATGGGTTTTTTCTTTTTAATAGCCATTTTTAAATGTTTGTGAAGAATTCGCTTCTGAATTTCCTCGTCCATCGCAAAAGATCCAGAATAGTCGAGTCCAATTTCTCCAATTGCTTTGCATTTCGGATGATCAAGCATTTCTTCCAGAATATTATCATGGTAGGGTCTATAATATTTGGCTTTCTTAGGATGACAACCAACCGATCCGTAAACGTTGGACACTTTCAACGTCTGATTCCACAAAGCATGTGCTGCGATTGAAAAATAAATGAATATGGATAGTATTATCCATAAATTAGAAATATAACAGACTTACGATTGCATTTAAATTCTTTAGGATCGCAAAAAATTGCCAAACAGCCTTTATAAGTCTTAGGCGTTGACATAGCATTATCGTTCATATATGATTCGAAGCTTCCCTAATTTAAGTAATATTTGATAAACTTATGGTTTAAATTTATATAATATACCGTATATTCTTGTTGCTTTAGAATATAATCCGGATGACAATGAGTATCAAAATAAGACTCTGATAGACTTTCATACTTTGTCATAAATTCAGACATTGGGTTATACGTTACATTTCCCATATTGCTCCTTTGCGCAAATCTTTGAAACGGATTTAGATAACTCGGTAAACACATTCGATTTTGTTTGCGAGAAGTAGGTTTTTCAAATGGATACGATGATACTTCATTTTCTCCATGGGAATATGCTTCAAGCGATCTTCTCAAATTTTTTTCCCTATCTTTACTCAAGTATTTTTCTTTGGAACGAGACACGCTAGGTTTCTTTGGTTCTTCAAATTCTATTTCAGATTGGTCTTCCATTGATTGGGAAAGGGAGGACGTTGCAGTAGTGTTAACAATACTCTCAAATGATTTATGTTCAGCTGTAGGTTTTTGTTTATGAGGTATTTTACCAATTATTGGCTTTATTTTCGACATTTCGGATTTCGACAACTCGCTCCTTGAAATGGGTTTCAAACAGGTTTTTGATGAGTCTTTTTCACTACATATTTCGTTGCTTGCGGCCATAAATGCTTTAATTGCTTCGTTGCGAACTTTAGATATACTTTTCATACTATCAGATTTCGAAATTGTGAAGGAAAGTTTAGACTTAGCGGCTCTTGACAGAGTCATGAATTTATTACGAGGCTTAGCAAGGATTTCAGAATCGCTATCAATAGAAGATTCATAATTTGTAAATTTTTTCAAGCTAGTTGATGTTGAGTTATCGGTAAGCGTTTTGAATTTTTTCCCCTCTGAAATCTTGCTTAATCGTTGACTTTTCACTGGATGATCGTCTTCACTATCCGAATCTAATTTAAAAATATAAATTTACATAATTATAACATTGAAATGTTTATAATAAAATAATTACCAGTTTTGATATAGGGCTTCCGAAACATGTTTTTTTTTCGTTTAGGAACCTTTATCAACGGATAAATATAATTCAAATATTAGAATTTTTAATTTTTTAAACAATTTATCATTAGAAAATAAAAATAGGAAATAAAACCACGTTATTTAAGAAATAAAAATTAAATTCTCGGGTTTACCTTCTCTAACTTAGATATTTTACTTTTCTCACGACGAACAAGAACCGATTTTTGTCTTTATCGAATTATTTCTTCCGTTTTGTTCTTAATAGGCATAGTAATACAAAAATATAATTAAAAAATGTTACTTTATAACAAAGGCAGATTATTTTTTTTTAGAATGCTGAGTCTTATGGATGATGTATTAGCAGATAAACAAAGAATTTTATATTATTTTTTGCCTAATTAAAGAAATATATCAAAGTTGAAGAATATTTAAAAGTTTTCAATTTGAAATTAAAGCAAAATATAAAATTTTAGATTTACTTTGATCATTACTCGAAAATAACAATGAAATGATTTGTCATTTAAGAGGACGTAATGTTACAAAACTTTCAAGAGTGTAACATGAAACTTGTACACCCCACCACATCCAAGATGGCGCTTTTTACACATAACTGGTAGAAATGTTCACCGAAATATTTCATGACACTTAGGCCTTTTTTTTCAATGAGTCGTTTCGTCAGCATATCAGATTTTAGCGCAGAAGGTACGCCAAACGGTCTTTCTTTTGCGAAGGACTGCTATCTGGTAGTCATAGAAAAGTTAAGTGAACATTGGAGTTTGGCTTGCAGCTCAGAAGGAGCTGGACTTGTTCCAAATAATCATTTACTTTCAGCCGATGATGTAAGTAAAATTAAATGCACTTGTCACAAGACTAATAAATAATTTAGATGTTAAAGTGATAGCAACAAGTTTTTGTAAATGTTAAATGATCAAAACCTTTCAGTCTGATCCTCGTGCTTCTTATGTTGACGAGTATGTTGAAAATGCAATATCAAAGTTAAAATCCCAGCGAAAAGGGAAAAATGAAAATTTGTTTTTAAAGTATGTCATATACAATATAAATATATGAAATAAGAAAAAAATATGTTATTTACATCAGTATTTTATTTATTTTTAAGGAAATTAGAAAAATATTTAAAGGCAAAGAATAGGTGCCCAAAGGGTCCAGCACCTCAACCTCCTCAAAGTTTGTCATTTCCTGTTTCTCTAAACAAAGAGAAGATATCGTCTAAACTAATAATATATTTTTTAGTATCAAAATCCAAAGAAACGACCATTGGCGAGAATTTAGCAAGTCGAATAGATTCTTCGAGGCGTTCTTTAGAAAACCAAACTCCTGATGAATTAGGTTTTGTTCTTGTTGATTTAAAATCTTTAAATCTTTATAAATATTATAAGATATATTTAATTAGGTTATGATTTAGTTGGAAAAGTTCGACAAGCAACATCAATTAGTCATAATTTAAGTAAAATTGCAGTGAAAACAGTTTTGGGAGAAATTCAGAAGGCCTATCCATCAATACGCGATTCGTTAAATAATGTTCTAGAGTCTCTAAATAATGAGGATGTGCGTATAGTAATTAAATTTGATAAGAGTCTAATAAAATGAAAATTTAAAGATTGAAGGTAAAGAAAGTATTGATTGCGAAAAATTAAGAGACTATTTGAAAGAAATAGAACTTCATAAAGAGGATACCCAACAAAGGAGTTGGGCATGTCAAGAAGATGAATCAACTATATTGAATATTCTCGAGAATATACTGAGTATATTGGTAAGAATTCTTTTTCTAATTCATTTAATTACATTAATGTCTTATTTTATGTTTGTTTTAACTATCACTTAGCAAAATGCTCATACAAATAGTATAAAAAAGGAACTTTTTGTGGATCATTGTAAACCACTAAGTAATTTAGTACTATACTATCAAATGGAATCTCGAAAGACTATTAGAAGTGTTTTGTTGGAAATATTTGAGACTTTATGTTCTTTTGATAATAATTTTGTCGAAAAATTATTACATTCCGTTCTTCCTACCGAATTATGCACTGAAACTAAGAATTTAAATGATCAACAACTAAGACGTCGCCTATTTACAGTTTTAACTATGCTTTTTTCTACTGGAGAGAAACCAGCTGTTCGTCTATACGGTTATTTACTTATCTAATTAATAACTTTAATTCAATATATCAATCCTTTATTTGTTTATTTTCTCTTTCTCTCTCTCTCTCTCCTCCCTAAAAGTAATTCCTTTTCCTTTTAACTATAGATACGATAGATCACGAATTTCTTGAGAACCTATTTCAAGAAATTGAAGCGGATGAAGACGAAGAAATGTGCAATTTATTATTACACTTTTTAATTTGCTTTAATCTACATTTTGAATTGCCACAAGAGAATTTAATAATGGAAATTATCGAAAATAAGGGATACGCTAAAGTATTTACAGAAAAGTTAATGGTTCTGTTCAACAGGGGAGGTTATTATTTATTATATATACCAAAATTTTATTAACAAGTATAGAATATTCTTTTCTCAGATGATCCTGCAACGATGTTTAGCTATCAGCAAAATCAAAGAAATTCTGTTATTAAATTAACATCAGATATTTTTTCGAATACTAAAACAGCTATAATTTTCTATACGAACGATATTATAGTACTTTTTGATATTATTGAAAGACAAATAACGAATTTAGAAGATGGAGATCAGGTTTATAATATATTATTTAATTAACATTTCTTACATTGTTTCATTTTTAGCTAAGAACCGAATTTCTCTCGCTTTGTGATTTAGTTGTGAAAAATACGGATTTAGAAGATATTTTAGATAGTATAAAGAAGATTGAACATTGTTTAAAGTTGGTAAAAGACAGCATTACGTGTCCAGATCATGATAGATTAATTATCGACGAAATTCAGAAAACCCTTAAAAAGTGATTGTAATTTATACTTTCCAGAGATTACAGTCTTATACTTATCTCTTTAACATTAATATCTCTCAATTTTGATGCTTTTATTTAAAAACTTTTCATAGAGTATCAGTAGATTTTTACTGCAGAAATTCTGGACTTTGAACACATTTGAAAAAAGGGTGGAGGTTGTCAGATGCTTATCTAATTTTCTTTTTTTGTTATTTTTTTGTTGCTTGAGAAAAAAACTACTATTCGTTGTGCTTCCCCGTTACGGATTAACGTAGATTAACATATTTAACTTTGTACTTTAATATACACGCAATAAGTTAGTGTTGCCTGCAGTACGTTTTTCTAAATCTTTGTGAAATTATTTGAATTCAAATTGTATCTTAGCTTGTCTCAATAAAGAGATGATGACATTGAATAGTTGCTTTAAAGTATTAATTGGATTGGGTTGTTGTACCAGTTAGTTGGAAAATAGAGTCAATTCTATGATTTGTGCCGCAATTGAACATGTTCTTAATCCTTTTTCTAAAGTTTTCTTGAAATATTAAATATATGAAAAAATTTGTTGTATGATTAATTAAGTTTGCATATTCAACGTTAATATTGTTGTTAGTAGTTTTTACAACTGCTAAACTAGTTAGCCAAGGTATAAATATGCAAATAAAGACAAACGTAACACCAAAAAGCATTGCTGCTGATTTTAGCTGAGCCCTGGTTTCTTTTCTTTTAGAGGCTTCATTGTCATTAATATTTCTTCTCTTATCATTTTTTATCCTTTTTAATACAGCCGAAAAGATTGATATGTATAGTAAAATCATAGAGATAATTATTAATAAAAGAAGTAATATCCAACTTACTTCACATATCGTCCAAATAGTTGTTAGCTGCGGCAAGCAAGCTCTTTCTACAGTATGATTATTATTATTGATAATTATCACACGATAATAGATAAACGTTGGAACGGAGAAGAATAAACAAAGAGAAATACTGACAATATTCATAATGATAGCAATCTTCTTATTGAACAAATGGGGTTTGTGAGTTGCAAACCATCTTTCAATAGCAATGCACATTGTTGTCAACGTTGAATAACCTAGTAAAAATGTGCCAAGACTTTGAATAAATTTGCAACAGAACGTATATAGGATAACATCAGTTCTTAATAAAATAGTTAAAATTGTCAAAAAGCCACAAATTATTGCATCAATTATAGCCAATATTTTAATAAAATAATTGACAAGTGTAGAGGTTTTGCTCTTGAATGGATAAAATTTAAGTATTAGTATATTAGTAGGTGTACCAATAAGGAAACAATACAACATTATCAATAAAAATGGTATAATATCTTTTAATTGTATCATTAAGACTCTTCAAGAATGAAGGTATTCTATCACATGTAGCAACGTTGTTTGACTGATATACCGTTTTAAATAGTATTCCGACGTACTAGTTTATATAGTATTTTATATCTTAATAAGATTAATCGATATAAATGAAATAGTAGGTAGACTGTTTAGTTAACGAACAATGTCGTTGTTTAAATAGTGTATTTATAGGTAATATTAATGCTTGTATCAATAATAACAACTTCAAAAATGAGTCTATAACTGAAATGTAGATATTGAAAGACCACTAATTATTAAATGGATCTTTTTCTTATGAGTCCATTAAGTGACACTAACCTTTATATTTTCTCCATAGTTACTTTATTTTTCGTTTATTAAGTAAAAAAAAAACAAGCGAAATAAATATACACGAGTATCCTATTAAAAACTAATTTAGTTCGTTTATAATTCCATTTTATATGGAGTTATGTAAAATCCATCTTGTTGTCTTTGCTGACCCATCAAACACAGACAAACATTAGAGAAATTCTGTGTACCGAATACTTCATCTTTTGCAATATTATGAACTCTTGCATCGAGGTATTTAGTGCCTATTTTATGACCAATTTGCCTACTAATTTTCATTAATGTCATATGAGGCGTCATGTCAAACATATCTCTTATCTCAAGTCCTGATTTTGCTATTTCATTTCTGACGTAGTTGCATATTTCCATAAATGGTTCAGTCTTTTGGACATCAGCATATAAAACAGTATTCCAGAAGTGATTTGTTCCTTTTATTTGAAAATTTGCTTCTAATGGGTTTAATTTCTCAATTCCCGCTTTCAAATTTTTTAGTACCATAATTGCTTGTTCTAAATCGTTATCAGAGTCTAGGCCTAGACAACATAAGGTTATATGTAACCTCTCAGGAGAAATAATACATTCATCATATTGGGGATTAAGTTTCAATAACTCATCTCTCACTTTCATCGTTTTTTCAATTATATCTTTGTTATCAATTCTGAGACATAAAAAGTAATTGGGTTTGATTTTATCACCAAAATATTCCTCTTTGTTTCTGAAAGCATTAGGATTTTCACAATTCCCTTCTTCTTGTTCGTCCTCTTCACTAGATGAGGTGGATTCAAACTCTTTATCATAATCTCCAAAATCAACAACTAAATCTTCTGCACTTTCTTTGTCATCAGATTCATTTTTAGACATTTCTTCATAATTATTTAGAACGTCGCGAAGAGTTATATTACTTCCAGTAGAACCAAACACATTATCTAATCGCTTTCTTTTATCCCAAATAATTAACTTTTTGTACTTGAAATAGACAATTCTATGCTTTGGAATTGCTAGTGTATAGTAATCGACAGATGCGATATCCTCCCAGGAAAAAGCGCTAAAGCTTTTCTCTACTAATCCAACAAATCTATCTATATAGCCTACATAACAATTCTCAACGGGAATGTCATCCCACAGAATCCTCTTTATAACATCTTCAGCGGATCTTAGCTTGATTTTCTTTACAACAATATTTTCTTTAGGATCTTGTTGAGCTTTCTTCTTCTTGTGAGTTTTCGATTTGTACTTTGGGAATTTTGTTGTTGTTCGTTCTAGAGGTTCAGGATTTCTTTCCGTTGTAAATTCATTTGCTAATTTACATAAATCGCACAATGAATGAGCTTCGTCTGTTGAAGCTTTTGTTAAATATGTGCTCAGCTCTGTTACAAAGTCTTTAGCGTATGCATCAGATTTTACAAAAACTGTTGGCTTTTCTGTAGGATAATTTTCTGAAAATTTACAAGTAAATAAGCAAATTCGTTAAAAATCAGTGACTTTAAAGATGACAATTTGATTCATACCTTGCAATTGACATTTAATAGTTATCTCAAAATTCTTTAATGTAACTGTAACTATGTATTTATACTCTCCAACATTCTCGATAACTTTCACTTTATCAACTAAAGATGACGATTTTAATTCTGTGATTTCTTCGCTTGATTGTGACGCCATAATCTTTGAAAAATGTATTAGTGTTACAATAAACGAAATTAAAGAATCGCACAAAATTCTGTCTCAAAAAGTATTTCGAAAGACAGTAGTAGCTTTTATATACCTTGAATACAGTTTAACAAATCGTAAATCAAAAATTAGATAAATTGGTCTCGAATGAGTTGTTGACTACCTCGAAACTCTGCTGATATATTAGATGTAAATGCTTTTATACAATTTTAATTTCCGTCTTTCAATCTGTTGTGCAATAGTTGATTTTGGAGATCTATTTTTCAATATTTCACAACGTGCTCTAATCATCCAGGTTACTTATATAATCGTGATTTTGTAGTTATAATTTTAATTTTAATAGTTTTATAAAGGTATAAAGTTCTTTTGAAGAAGAAAAGACTATAAAGCTTTGGGAGAGATTTTTGTCAATTTGTGAAAAAAGATGGGTAACATATAAACTATAACACATTTAAGATGAATAATGATAAAAAGGCGTTTAACGCTTAAACGTATTTTAAATGGAACTACAAACTACTTGCAATAGAAAATCTTATATTGTATATATTGATACAATAAATAAACAGCGCCATCTAATTTATATGTTATATGCGTATGAATACATTGGGTAACGAAATAGGGAAATATGGAAAGAGTAGCTGTCACAAATATTAACGGTATCGAAGGAGTCATTGGTTATAATCAAATGGTTTTTGAGTTTATAAACTTCGTCTTTCAAAGAAAAAACTGACTAAATAAAGGGATTATATTCTTTGTTTATCATTAATCCGATAGGCGGTTAAATCGAAGGTAAACTATAAAAATCGAAAATACAATCATCAAAATATCGAAAATATTCTAAGAGATCGGTAAGTCTTTTTAAATGAGGTTAATACATTTAATATAATACTCGATATTATCATGATTTGAAATCAAAGTAAATGAAATATCCAATTCAAAAGAATTTTATATTGAAAGGTATCAATTTAAAAGTGAGCTTTGGGGTAAAACGATAACGGAAGAGAACTAGAGAGAGAGAGAGAGAGATAGAGTAGAAGGCACAAGCACAGGAGATTTAAATAAAGACACAAAATTAAGAGTACATTTGTAGGCCAATACCTCCAAATAGAGTATTACTTAGAATATATATATATATATATATATATATTAGAATATATATATATCATATATCTATATATATATATATATATATATACAGTATATATAGGTTGAAAAAATGTATTAGCTTCCCCCTCTCATTTGGTGTCAACTACTCTTACTCGAAGCACTTGGTAGTTAGAAATTTTTCAACATAAATAGAATACCTTAATGGTTATTGTTCTATTTATTTATTACATCTGAAAGTGTTATTCGAACTTTAACAGCTCGTCTTCATCTCCAACTCTCCCTGCTTCTACGTCTACTCCCTCTCACGCAGTCAGTTAGAGAGTATTTTTTGTCTCCCTCTCTCTTCTATCTACTTCTCTCACTCACTGTCTCTCATTCTATCGTCCGTTCGCCTTCTCTTTTCCTCTCTGTCTCTATCTCTATTATATCTGTAAGTATTATGATATTCTTTTAATATATTTTAGCAAATACTTCAGAGATGGTTGATAGTTAATAAGGACAAAATGAAATAGATAAGGATAAGAGAAAAGAAAATTTTTTCTTTTTATTATCACCCTTATTAGCCATTTTATAACGGTTTCTTGTTTTGTAAGTGCCTTATACTTTTTCTCTTTTCTCCTCTGCCTTTCTTCACCTTTTATAGAAATTTTAAAGAAAAAAAAATTGGCAGAGGACGAAGAGAGAGAGAGAAAGAGAGAAAGTATAAGATAATTATATTATCATCAAGGTTAATAACAATTATAATAGATTAATATCATCATTTTAAGAAAACGTTTTATTTGTTTAACTCTAAAAAGAATGGTTCAACCTTGAAAACAAACAACTTATCAAGGTTATAGAGAATTTTTTATTCTTTAACTACTCAGTTGAGTGTTTTTTTTCTTTCTTAGCAAATGACCTTTTGTTCTAGGTGATTAGTTACTAGAACAAAAAATGCAGAACTCAGCTACTCTCTCTTTTGCTTTAAAAAAAAAGAAGCTATTAAAGAGTATTTATAAGTGTATAAATGAACATCTAAGTATCTCTTACCTAAATTTGACTTAATAATGTTAAATAGATACGTTGTCTTATTATTAAATTGGCAAGTTTAGTGCTTGATAAAGCTTAATATAGATTCAGGGTTTAATACAGTATAGTACAAAATGTTATATACAGCATATATAAACAGAGAGAGAGAGAGAGAGAGAGAGAGAGAGAGAGAGAGAGGGAGAGAAACGTTGTAAATTTAACTCTATTCATAGCTAATTCTTTATATATAAATTGTCGTATTATTTTTTAAGACTAAAATTAACGGTATATACTGAATTGGAAGTAATTGATGTCGAAGGAACAGCAACCAGTTTACGTACTGAAAAAAACGGCACTAACAAAATTATGTTCAAAGTTATCATAGGTGGCTTTTTCCCTGTGATACGATTATTAAGAAGATATTTCATTTCGAATTGATTATCAATATTCTCATTAATTTCGTAAGCATAGAACGCCTTACTTTAGAAAATTAACTTACTAACGACAAACTAGTTTTACAGTATCATATTTAAATTCTTTTTTTAGTATAAAAATAAAATTGTAAACGTTTTAAAATAGCAGTCGGATTTATATAGATTATTGAATAAATTGTAAGATTTTAAAGAAAATAGTAAAGAAGCTAAAAATAGAAAAACTAATAATTAAAGAATTTCTATGATGTGGCGGGAAAAAATAGATTTTTTTCTTTTATTTTATTATTGTTCTTTCATAATTATATATTTATAAAATAACTAACAATTTCCATGAAATGCTATTAGGTATTAAATCTATTTGTTTTAATCCATTTTATTCATTTCAAAGCCTTTGCTTAATAATACTAATATACTGTACTGATGTATTGTAATAATTATTCTTACGTTTCCAGTGTTCGTTTCTTACTCTTATCATTTTGCCCTTCATATATACATTTTGTCTTTAGCATAGTTAATCGATAGGCTTTGATGCTATAGCGTTCAGTGAAAAATTTCAAGGGTCAATGCGCAATGTCGGGCTCTCTGTATATGGTAACAGATTCGATCAGGTCGTTTACAATGTTTAGGTTATTTCATATCGGTTGAAGTATAACCTACGTAGTCTAATTGAATTTATTACGTAATTTTATACGATTTTCTTTTGGTATTAATATGAAAATTTTATTATTATTTTTTTTTATCCTGTTTCTTCTTTATTTTATAGATAAATTATGTCGTCGGAATTGACTGTTGATGCAAAAAAAGTACCTGAAGGAAGCAACGCTGGTAAAGCTAAAAGAAGATTATTTAAGAGAGATGCTAAACACAGGTACTTATCAATTAGAAATTTATTTTCTTTCCCTATAGTTCTCTTTATTCCTAAGTATTTATTAATAATAAGTCTTATAAATATGTTTTTATAATAAACGTAACTTTTAGCTATTTAATTAATAAAAAAAATAATATAAAATAAGACAACAACAAGAGTAATAATAGTAATACTAAAAGTCTTAGACGTTGATGCTTTCTTTACATTTTTCTTTATGCATGCAAGTCTCTTTTTGTTTTTTTCTCTCTTTCTCTCCCTCTCTCTATTTCTTGTAATTTCATTCTATTATTATAATTATTATTATTTCTTTTATTTTCTTTTCTTCTCTTTCTACTCTTTCCGAAAAACAAAACAAAAACATTTGTACATCATTAGGAGTACGTTAAGGAAAGGCAGAGCTCGGTGAGAGAGTTTGTTGTTAATTTGATGTATATATATATATATATATATATATACATACACATATACTGTGTATATTGATAACAATCGTTATTTGCATGAATATATTAAATAATCTGCAATTATTTATGTAATACTATTGAATGTTAACATTAAAGATTATATCATATTGTTCATTTGGATTTTTAGAGTATTCGTCAACAAGAGTTTATACCTTGATAAGATTAAATTTTTCGGATTTGATATGGACTATACACTAGCAGGTTATACAGATTGATTATTTGTTTGTTTATTTATTTATATGTTATCTTATTTCCTGTTTAAAATAACAGTTTATAAATCACCACAATACGAAGCACTTGGCTTTAGGTTGATTGTTCAACGTCTTGTTGAGTTTGGTTATCCTAAAGCTATATCAGAGTTTCGATACGATCCAACATTTCCTATAAGGTATCTTTTTGTATCTTACTTATTTCATGATATTTTAATTTAATAGATAAGGATAATGTAAGTAAAGTTATTTATTTTTTGTCAGGGGTCTCTGGTTCGATACAAGATACGGAAGCCTATTGAAAGTTGATTCTTACGGAAATATTCTTGTTTGCGCAGTTGGTTTCAAATTCTTGAAGAGGTCAGTTATATTCAAAGTAGCATATTTCTTTCAATAGATAATTAAATTTTATTGCATATTTCTCTCTTTTTCCTTTTTTTTTTGTATGGAAATTATTTATTATCTCATTAATTACTTTTTTCCTTTGCCTCTCTTTTTAATTAGTCACGAAATACGATCTCTTTATCCCAATAAGTTTATACAAATAAACGAAAGTCGTATATTCATTCTCAATACACTCTTCAATCTTCCTGAAACATATTTATTAGCTTGTTTGGTCGATTATTTCTCAAATTCGGAGGGATACACAAAGTAAGATATTTTGTTAGTTTCTTATATTATTATCAATACAATTTTTGTTTACAAATAAAAAGGGAAACAACAGGGGTAAGATGCGGAGAAATGCTGATATCGTATAAATCGATTTTTGAGGACGTTCGAGGTGCCGTTGATTTGGTGCATATGCACATGGTAAAAAGAACTTACTCACAAACATGCACATTTTCTCATATACACAGTTTTTTCACTTTTCTAATTCTGCTGGCATTCAGTTTTCTTTTTTCTCTTTCTCCACTTAATTAACCTTTTGCTATTGATTATTGAAAACAAAAAATTTGCACACTAAGCAACAATTTTCAAATTGAATATAGCAAACCTTAATATCTATATATGGATAATTGGATTACTAATTAATATTTTATATATAATATCCATTATATAGGGAGACTTAAAAAGGGAGACCTTGGAAAATTTGGAAGAGTATGTTCATAAAGATGATAGATTACCAATATTGTTAAATAGAATACAAGATCATAACCATAAAGTTTTTCTCTTGACAAATTCGGACTATGATTATACGAATGTAAGTGATCAATATTTTCTCTCTCTCACTGAAAAGATATGTCAACTTTTTCTATTTTTTAATTCTCTATAGGAAATCATGTCGTATTTGCTAAATGATCCGAATGCAAAGGTAAATTTGGAATTATAACAGATGCTTTCTATTCTTTAATTGTATTATGAAATTTGTTAAACATTTAGAAAAAGAAATGGACCGAGTATTTCGATTATATTGTTGTTGATGCTAAAAAGCCACAATTTTTTGGCGAAGGAACTGTACTTAGACAAATTGAAAAGGTACGTGATATTAATTTATGCATAAAATTATTTTTTAATATTCATAGTGTGGTGTATAAATATGCCTGGAATACTGCATATTGTAATTTTATTACTTTTCTTACTAATTGTATTTATTAATAAAGGAAACTGGTAAATTAAGCTTGGGAATACATACTGGACAAATAGAGCCGGGACGTATTTATTCGGGTGGTTCTTGTGATACGTTTTCAAGGATGATTGGGGCGAAGGGAAAGGATGTATTGTATATCGGTGATCATATTTTTGGTGATATACTGAAATCGAAGAAAATTCGTGGTTGGCGAACATTCCTAATTATTCCTGAACTTGGACCAGAATTGCATGTTTGGACTGCTAAAAAAGATTTATATAATCGAATCCAAAATTTGGACACCCATTTGGCTGATTTATATAAGCATTTAGATAGTGCAACAAATGAGAAGCCCGATATAAGGAAAATTCAATGTTCTATTAGAGAAGTTGCTTTGGAGATGGATTTAGCTTATGGCCTCTTAGGGAGTTTATTCCGTAGTGGATCGAGGCAAACTTTCTTCGCTAGCCAAGTTATACGTTACGCCGATTTGTACGCTTCAACATTCCTTAATTTGCTGCATTATCCGTTCTCCTATTTCTTTAAGGCTGCTCCGATGCTGGTAATATATCATTTAATATGATGAATTGTTTAAAAGTTGATTGATAACTCTATATCATACGGATTAAATCTTGTCTTTTTTCATTTTTTTTCCCCCTATTTTAATAGATGCCCCACGAATCGACAGTGGATCATGAAGACTATATGAGCTTGTCCGATGAAGATTTAGAAACTACACAAATATGTCCTCGCTCTAGAAAAAACTTCTCCGAAGTAACAATGCCTTTGACACCGATTCACGGATCAATGATGAATGATCCTTTGGAAGAAACTTTTGAAGATATCGTAAACAACGATACCCCAACGGAGTGTTTAGAAAATAAGGAGGGGGAAGGCGCTGAACATAAATTGATGAGAATTGAAAGCATTAATTTACCTCACGCTAGGGCAGCCACACCCAAAGAGTTAACTCATCATCACGACGAAGACGATAGCGATGAGAGTGGTAGTATCTCAAATAACTCTATGGCAAACAGCCGTTCAGTTTCTCCAAATACAGAGTAAGAAACATACAGAAATAAGATAATAAACGGTGGTTCTCTAATAGGCGATATTTCATCTATGTAATATCACTTGCCTCTTTCCTCTCTGCCAAACCGCCTAATTTAATTGTTCCCGTTGCTGTTTTTTTTCCTTTTCATATAAATGGAAAGTACCTGAAGTGGTTTTTTCTTTCTTTTTTGAACATTTAATAAGTTAAAGTTTTAATTCTTCCTTCGTTCCATTCTCCGAAAGCATCTTAGGCACATAATTTAGCTGGAAGCGAGAGATGCTACCTGCCAACAAAATTTGTGTAGTTTATGCAGGGGACAAGAGTGTTTTTTTTTTCTTGAGAAATCTCTTATAACACATGTATCGTTTAAATATGTTCAAGTTAAATCAATACTTTATGTCTTTGTTGATAGTTTATTTATTTGCAAATAAGTCTATGCCGCAGAGAAATAACGTTTTTTTTTATTTTTATTTAAATAATAAAATAAAAATTTGCTAAAAGCAAGAAAAAAAGAAAATTCAAGATTTTTTATGTTATATTTTATATTTTATGGTTTTATAAATAGGCAAGAATTCCACTATTTTGAACCATAGAATAACAACTCACTGACGAATTATTTAATTCTTTATTACTAGTGCCCTCTGTAAATATATTACCAGTTTTCATTGAAGGTAATAAAAAGAAATGTCGTCAAAGCTGGTCCTAGCTTTCTTCTCAATTTTCTTTGTCATATGTCAAGTTGAGCAAGCCAAGTATGATAAAGCTTGTAAGAGTTGGGATAAAGTCGTGAAAGATTCGGAAGAGAAGAAAAATTCATACACCATGTCATGTCAAGTCGATAAATATTGTAGTGGTATGGATTGCGAAGGAGATTTTGGTTGGGAATACCTTTCGTTGATGAAAACTCATTACAATTATTCGATTGTTCAGTTACCTTGTTCGGGAAACTCATTTATATTTGATCTCAAGCTGTCTCCATCTTCCAGTTCAAAGATATATTTGAAAGGAGGATACATCAATGTTGTTACGAATTCTTCGGTTTATAAGCCTATTAAAGATACTGCTACAAAGTGGAGAATGTTTACCACTGCTCAAACTTATCTAAGAGCTAGTGTTGAATTAAAGCGGACATTCGCGATAGTATCGATGGAAATTGACTTGAAACTAAATGGATTGTTCTTCAGTGGAAATCTTTTCAATGAAATTATAATGCCCAAAAGCATCTTGCCACTATTTAAGTGTAACAAAAATGTTCCAATTCCAACTTTTTCAAAGGATTCCAAATTTATAATTGATCATGGTGGAATACCTGATACAGCAACTGTTTCACCATATTGGTTAATTCCTCATGACAAATGTATCAATGGAGACTTGAGTCCCCAATCAATCTGTAAAACAAAAAATGCCACCTGCAAACAAGATAATAAATGTTACTGCGAAAATTCCGAATACGACTATGTGAATAGAGTGTGTAAAACAGAAATAATCGATGGTCGATTTCCAGAAGCTAAAAAAAGCAGTCATAAACAATTAATAACTGGAATATGTATTGCACTTGGCCTTGGTTCTTTAGTATTTATTATTTTTGCAGTTGTCTGTTACAAATATCGACAATTTGGAGCTAGATATTCTTCTGATGAGGCTCTAATTGACGATGATCCACCAATCGACGCCTAAACTCTATCGTGCACCTCTGTCTTATTCTACCGTAGAATTATCATTATGCAGTTTAATGAGACTCTATTACTTCTAATCACGGTCGGAATTAAAATCTTCAGAAGAAACTTTTAAATATTTGTGAATTCTGATTTTAAAATACTCTCTGTTTTTCTATTTTTAACTCTAAAAGCATCAAATGTCGATCTATGTTTGAAATCGTTTCGATATTGCTGTGTGACTTGTAAATATAGAGTCATATTTTAGTACTCTTAAAAGAATAACTACATATATGTGGAGAAAATAATAATATGACTTATATTTAACCATATCTCTGATAACAAAACCAGTAAAAATGTTTATATGAATATTTTTTATGAGAGTTAATATGATTTAATGTATATATATATATAAAAATAATTAGAATTCGATTAAATATTCGCTTAAACTGATTTAAATCAATAGTTTTTAGAGAAAATTTAATAGAAAAGTAAAAGAAATAATATTTTAATTAGCAATAGGATTTTCTAGTTTTTCAGCAGTTTGCGTGATTTCCGTTGAGCTTGTATGCTCCTTTTCGTCAAGAACAGGGGAATTCGACGGTGTGTTTGTAGGTTGAATAAGATTGGTAAAGTCCATTATGTTTTGAATTGGAATATCTAATGGAATACCAGCCATAAGTCTCAAGTATTGTATTTCGTTCTGCAGCCTGCTTATGATAAAGGACTGTTCGTGTTGTCTCTCTTCCAATTTTTGAATATATAGTTTTCGACGTGTCCTACTTTGAATGGCCGCCAACCTATTCCTCTGACGTCGTTGTTCGTTCTTATCTCCCGATAAGCAAATAGCTTTTCCCTCCTCGTCCAACAATGAACCGGAAGATCCTCGGGGACGTCCTCGTTGTCGAACAATCGGAGATAGGGGAGCCATGGGATCCTCTACCGTAACTTGTTTTATTTTACTTGTACGATACATCTCCTCCGAGAAATATGAATTACTCCAAACATTTGTTGGATTTACATCAGGAAAATAATTATTCATCCTATCCGTATTAAATACTTCTATAGGATAGGCGACAGGATACTCTATGTCAGTTCTATGATAGGCTCCGTGATGGATACCATTTTCAATTGCACCATTTATGGCGGGTACTGGCATATCGTACATAAATGTTTTACCCAAGTCATTTGTTTGTCCAGAGTTCATTTGTAGAATCCGATAATGTTCATCCTTAAACCAATTCTAAATTGAATTATGGAAACTTAACTAACGAGCATAAATTTAATATAAAATAATAACCAACTTACAAATTCACTTAAACTCTTCTCCTTTTCTAGATTTTGTTGTATATTTCGATTAAGTTCTTGATTATTAAAAGTTACAGATGAATTTTGAACAATTAAAACCTACATATATTAAAAATAGAACACAATCATGCAAATTTATCAAATTGTTTATTTCTTTTAGAAGTTATTTACATTTTGTTCATTCCTTTTCTCCTCTTCATGGGAACTTTTCGCCTCATTCAAACTTCCACAAAATTTCACCTTTTGTATTAGAGACTACTTTTTTATTTATCTCAACTATTAATTACACGTCACTTACATATTCATCACTACCTTCTGCTATTTCTTTCTTCATGATAATATCTCTATCTCCTTCCGTCATATTCTTTTATCAAACTTTTAAGCTATCTCCGCTAGAAAAGTCTCTTTTCCTAACAATTTTATCTACTATTTTTATTCTATCTGACGTAAAATAATCGTCTTATCTCACAATTCATTTAATATATGATTTTTCTAGTTAAGAGACTTTTTAAAATTTTCTTCTTTATCTCTCTAATTTCGCCCTTTTAGTCAATTTAAAACTATATATATAATAATTTAATGAAATTTCAATACAATTTTAAAAGAATATTAAAGATAAAAGTTTATTCATATTTTATATTCTTCAAAAATATGCAGTTTAAGAAAATTTTTCGTTTATTTACGAAACGTTCTTCTAGAGAATGTTTTTGAAAAAATGTAAACAAAATAGGCCTAAAAGATAATTTAAAAAACCAAAAACAGAACAAAAAGGTGGCCTTCTGTCGAAAGAGATGGAACGTTTTGTTTTTCTCTTTTTATATTAGTTGTTTGTTTGTTGTTGTTGTTGATATTATTATCGTTGTTAATATTACTTTCATCCCTTTTTAGCTAGTAAGTTATGGTTCATAAATCTATTACTTTGAAGGATAAATTTGTACATTTTTTTATTTTTACTGTATTAATTCTAAATATAGTAGCAGAAAAAATAAGAGATAATTAAGTTCGAAAATAACCTTGAATATTAAAAAAAATAAATTTTTCATTGTATACATTTACTGTTTAATAAATTAAACATATAATTACGAACAAGTGTGCTTATGTATACATAAAACGATTATATATACGATATAAAAAAACTATACATATACATATATATAAAGTAGAGAGCATTAATTAGGGACATAAAAAATTCTATAATTGATTTTTTTTTTTTTAAAAATACCTACAAAAAAATTTAATTTCCTCTTCTTTTCAAATTCGTCTATAGATCGAAATTGCGTCGTAGAACATTAAATAAAAGTGTAAATATAGGTAAAATATTGATTGGAAGAATTGATATAATTACTATTTTCTTTTTTTTTTTGCATGTACGAAAATAAAAGATATATATATTATATATATAGCAAGATTAGACGCTACATTCGCTATTATTTAAACCTTCTAAGTTAATACCAGTTAATTTTTTGTATTTTTCTTCTTTTCTATCATTTGAACAGTTTGAGTTTATATTTGAACTAATTTCTGAATTTTGCTGAGAGTTTGAGAAATAATCACTTGTATCATATGTATCGTAGGGTAAACTTGGTACATCTTCCGTATCGCTATCACCCTCTAAAACGGCATCGGTAATTGCTTTTGAAGTATCTAAGACACCTTCTATATCCTCTAGGCGAAATTCTGATGTTGTAGATGTAGGAATTTGAGATTTTCTATCTAGAGTATCTTTTACAGTATCATCTAGATCAATGTCGGCATCGAAACTTTTTAAATCCTCTTCAACGACGGCAACTTCATCAAATGCCCTATTTGAATAGCAGCTGGTCGGTAGGATTTCTCTTGATAACTTACTCTTCATTTTTGTACGAGATAACGCAGCTTTCGGAGGTGAACGCTCTTTATTTATAAATTTCTCGTTCTTGATTATCTCAACATCATTTACATCCGATTGATCGGTACTATGATAAATCTTGTGAACATCTGTAATAGAATTAGCTAAATTCATTTCGAGATGCGCTCTAATACTTGGCCGTTTCTGATGTTTATATGATTCTAAACGAGGTTGAGACTCATCTACAATAAATATTGGATTATAGAAGATACCGCATTTATTCAAAAGATTAAACTTTTACCAGGTACTCCTCGAATAAAATATATTAGATTTCCTCCAGTTTTGAGTAGTTTATAGAAATAGATCACGCTTCTTTTATATCTCCTGGATACGTAGTAAAGAATCAAAGGACAAAACAATATTCTGAGGTAGTAGAACCATACTTGTGCAATGATCGTTTTGTCTTTTATATTGTAATTAATGCTAGATTTACCGTAGATTATCGCAAATATCTAAAATTAATTAAAGAATATAAAATAATAGACATTTTGAAATTGATTTAATAAAAAAGAAATTATAGTTTTAAGGTTAATATTTACCCATAAAGGTAAAACTAAAAGGAAGAAGAAGATTGCAAATATGGAGCAGAAGACGTTATATTCATTTGTAAGCAATTCCATGTTATCTATTGAGTTCCTAATTGGATTGGTTTGTCCATCCTCTTGCAAGTCATTATTTTTGCTGATCAAAACAAGTCTCATCTCGATTATGCAAGCTAAGCAAAATACTCCTATACACGATATTAATAGCGTTATCACTGTAAAATATTCAGTTGTAAGATCACGAAGTGGTATTGGACATATATAATCCTTATGTTCATCTTCTTTCATATTAATCTTTTTGAATAATGGCCATGCAGCTAGAATAGCTGCAATTAGCATTTGAACTCCAAATATTAAGAAATTCCTTAGTATTCCTGAAATAATTCTAATACGAGTTCTATAAAACATCATTCTATCGAGAAAGATTGTGCATATGATGAATGACTCAAAAATTTGAGCAGTTAGATAGAAAAATGTGTATACTCGACATCCATTTTCCGTAAAATTAATCGATTTTAAACTGATAAAGCTCTTAAGAAGGAGAAGAAAAATTAAAGCCACAATATAGTCTATGGTGAGTATTAGCAAACATTTATCAATGGTTCTACAATTCTTTCTATAGTAGAATAAGACGAATAAGAGGCAAATGTTGACAAAGAGAGAAACAGTAAATAATATTAACCAAAATACGGCGTTCAATTGGTGATTATCCATTTCTCTATCCGCTTGTAAAATATAAACTGTGTACGGTAAACACGTGTGCCTACAGCGTTCAATAAAACAATTTCGTAGAACATCTGACGTTTTAGACTGGAGTTTGATCGATCTAATTAATTCTAGCTTATCGTATACTACTTTTTTAATTTAGAATTGAAAAAAAATCGCCTCTTTCAACAAAACAATTTGTTTTATTCGCTGTTTTCCTGAACTAGGCCTATAATTCATCTCTTTTTAAGTAATCAGGCAATTTTGTTGATGCACAGCGAAATCCTAAATTTGCGGCTGAACTATCGGGAGTATTGTTACTTCTAGCGCCACAACGATAACGGTAGCAATATTGCTGTGTCAATTAAAAAAATGACTGATTAATCACTATACTAAGTACGTGTTTTATTGAATATAACTTACCTTAGTGCACATATACGATCCGCCTTTCTTGACTTTTTCAGTACCTGCTTTCGGTCCTATCTGCAAGGATTAAGGTCAAAAATTGCTTTTTAAAAATTTTAATGCCTCTTACTGGATTACTGGTTGGTGTAGAATCATGAATAGTTGTCCACCAATCGCTAGTCCATTCCCAAACATTTCCCACCATATTCTTTAATCCAAAAGAGTTTTGATATTCATATTCGGTAACTGGGGCAGTTCCCCTATATCCATCTCCCATCGTATTTTCAGTTGGAAATTGGCCTTGCCAAATATTCATTCTGTTTTGACCTTTAGGATATTCTGTAATAGAAAAAAACCTACAATCAACTAAACTGTCATGTTTACACTATCAACTTTTACCTGCATTTCCCCAAGGATGCAAGCGACTTTCTTTACCTCCCCGACATGCAAACTCCCACTCAGCCTCAGTAGGAAGTCTTTTCCCGGCCCATTTGCAATAAGCACTAGCGTCATTATATGAAACATGAATTACCGGATGATCATATCTCCCATCAAGAGATGAATCCGGTCCTTCAGGATGGCGCCAATCAGCCTTGTCAACTGGAAGCCACCATGGGGCAGCTGCAACCTACAAAAATAGACTATAGATGGAACACTAGTCAACAATGGGGTTTGGTTTGCTTACTGCCTGTGTAATGCCCTCCTTCACTTTTTCACTTAAGAAACCTTCTAAAACGAAAGAGTTGCCAAATTTCTCTGCTTCAGTGACATAATTTTCTGCTTTCGCAAATTTTTCAAATTCGTAATTAGATATCTCATGAACGTCCATATAAAAAGAACTTAAATGCACTTTACGAGTCGGACCCTCCCCATCTGCAGGTATAAATGGCTTTTTCTCTCCCATATTGAATGATCCTCCTTTTATTAGAACCATCTGATTGGTTCTTTCAAACTTGTCAGAGGTTTCAACAGGAGAGTCATTGCACGAATTTAAAGAATCTTCTGATTTTTGAGTCGACAAGTCATTCTTTCTATTTGTAGCTGAACAACCACAGTCCTTAGATGCAAATGAATACGAAGAAACATGCAAAATTAAACAAGTAATTAAAGTTTTATAAAATTGCATATTGGTGATTCATAAGTCAGCTCATATATAGAGTTCAAAGTGCACACTTGCTGCTATGTTAGCACCAGCTAACGTTTCATTTGTATATCACAAAGTCATATGCATAAATAGTATAATTGGACTAAAGTTTATTAACATACATTTAATGTTAAAATAATATCTTTAACATAAAAAACAGATGAAAAATAAACAAGTCTTTACATACAATAAGAAAAAAAACATATATTTTTATAAGTGGACACCATTAAATAGTGTAAAATTGCAATCTATTTTTAAAATAAAATGGGCCTACTCAGACACAGTAGACATAGAATATACTCTAAAAGTGTTTCATAACCCGCATTGACAACTGGATTTTGCTCTAAAATGAATTGATCATGGAAGTCATTAAGTAGAAAGAAGGTACAAGAGACTACGATGATGACTACGGTGATGATAATAATTATCAAATCTATCTTTAATATTCGATAAGAAAGAGAATTGTGATTTAGGAGATGAAATAACACTTAAATTGATCATCCTAATGGCTTGTTGATGCTCTTTATATAGAATACAAAACGGAGTATAAAAAAAAACAATAGAAAGTTAGTTTTGTCCGCATAGAATTATAGATTCTTTATTTATCATATCTTCCTTGAGCTCTATAAGAGGTTTCTCGGCATCTAAAACCTATAAATGAGTAAAAGGAAACAACAAATTGTCTTAATTGAAGATAACTAAGAAATTTAAAAGATATTGTATAATACCAATATTGGAGCTTTTAAATTGTAATTTTGTTGCTTTATTAACCAATCTTCGTGCAATTCGTGAATAGATTGTAAATAACTCTAAATAATAATAATAACAAATTCAAATTAGAATATGATATTGAAAAATTAAGTAATAGAGATAAAACCAATGGAACGTCGCAGTCTTCTGATCGGTTCCTTTTACGAATTCTTTCTAAACAAGTCTCTGGTTGAGCTCTTAAGTAAACTGCGAAGAGGTAAATAGAAAGTAGGGATAATACTTAAAATAGTAATATATGATTATACCTATCATATCCACATTAACTTTTCCAGAACTGGCCAACCAATCATACCATTCCGATAACACAGCATAATCAACATTTGGTAGAACATTGCTATGAAGACAGATTTTTTAGTTCAACTCTAATTTAAGTAGCTAATCTATGCAAACCTCTTATGGAGATTTTCAATGAAACAGTATCTTCCGCTATGTATTGTCCTCTCCATCAATTTAATTGATTTCTCCTATTGGTATAATAGACAAACTTAAATTCTATAAATAATTGAAACGTGGTTGATAGTTCCTTACTTGTGGTGCTTGGTGTACTTTTAGCATTGTCAATTGTACGTACGATTGAAAGGTTAAACTCCATCTCTGAGGATCTTTATACATAAGATCTAATGTATTGTGACCTTTAATATCCGTCCACATCTCAATTGGCTCTTTGTGAACCTGTTGTTTAAATAAAATGAATATACCAAAGCTTGCAATTTAAAAGCAAACGTTTAATAAACACCTCAACATTTTTTTTATTTTCGAAGTGCTTTAGAAAAGTTGTTTTTCCGCAGCCAATATTTCCTTCCACAGCAACAGTAAATTTTCTTTTCTCTTTAAAGGGAAAAGGTTGAGTTTGGTCGTTTAACTCGCAATCTGAAATGTTTTTAACTACGTTTCAAGTATTTTCAAGTCGAAATATGAATAAACTAGACCTGCTATTTGATCAATACTACAATATTGAATATTCATCTTTATAATTTCGATAAAAGCGACTTTTTAACTAAAATACCCTAGTAAAAATAAAATATCCAATACAGAAGGCTAAGCTGGCGCCAATTTGTTTAACTATCTAAACTGACCAATCAAAGTTAATTTCTTCAGGAAATTGTATGGCGCCCTCTAGAACAGAAATATTAAAAAACTTCCTGTACATTTTCCTTGCATATTATGAAGTAAATATTTAAAAAATGTAATAATAGAGGTATTTATTAAAGAATAAATTTCTAAATATATAAGAAAATTAAGTATCTAAGTATAAATCTATTTTACTACTTTTTAAATTGTAGATGGCGTTACAATTATTTTGGAAAGTTGTTTTACAAGCAATATTTTAATTTTGCAATCCTGTTTATTCTACCAGACAGACGAAATCGCTTTCTAGATTAGCACGTGTTCAGGTTAATTAGCAAACATTCATTAATTTGTGTAACCTAAGGAATCCTCTTGTATAATATACAGATAAGTAATCCCCTACCTTGATGGTTGCTAGAATATATTGGGCAAGAAAGTCACTTTTAACAATTGCTCGTTTAAACACCGGAAAGTCAGTATTACATATTCATATTTCTCTCTATATTGAATGAATGACAATTAACTTACATATTTAATATAATATATGAGACTTAACAACGTTTGCAGATTTCCTTTAAGCAGAACAATGGCGACTTCTGATATGATAAGTAAACGTCATGAGAATATTGTAAAGTCTCAGGAGGACGGTCGGCAATATCTTGGTCTTGAACTAAAAAATAAGATGAAGATTTTACTAGTTAGTGACTCGCAAACTGATAAATCGTCTGCTGCTCTAGACGTTTACATAGGTAAGAGCTTAAAAATCAACAAATTTTCAACATGGATTCAATTTTTACACAATTGAAATTTTAATGTATAGGAGCAATGAAAGATCCTAAAGAATTACCAGGGCTAGCTCACTTTTGTGAGCACATGTTATTTTTAGGAACTGAAAAGGTAGACTTCCGTATGTTCATAATTGATTTACTTATATTTTTTTTTACATAGTATCCTGAAGAAAATGAGTATAATAAATTTCTAAGCGAAAATGGTGGCTCATCCAATGCTTACACATCTGGTGAACATACTAATTATTACTTTGATGTATCTCCATCTGCCCTCTCTGGAGCCTTAGATAGGTTAACGTTGCTTGACACTTGTATTTTATTTTTATTTTAGACCACCCTTCTTAATAATTACAGATTTGCTCAGTTTTTCTTATGCCCTTTGTTTACAATTAGTGCAACTGATAGGGAAGTTAATGCTGTAAATTCTGAAAATATGAAGAATTTACAAAGTGATATGTGGAGATTACATCAGCTAGAGAAATCAACGGCAAAGCCTGATCATGACTTTGCAAAATTTAGCACAGGTACAAAGCGCTTGTTGTTTACTTAAAATTCTAATTTATATTAATACAATTATACATATGTGCATTCTTTAAAAAAAGGAAGTAAAGAAACTTTGGAAACTATACCATTAAGTAAAGGTTTAAAAGTTCGTGATGAATTGCTTAAATTTCATCAGAAGTATTATTCATCGAATATAATGGGATTGTGCGTAGTTGGAAAAGGTTTTTTTTTTACGTTTAATTTTATTCCTTGATTAAAAATGTATAACACAATTATATTTGTTAAATAGAAAGTTTAGAAGAATTAACTGAAATGGTTGTGCCTCTGTTTGGAGATGTTAAAAATAAATCAGTTGATATTCCTGAATGGAAAGATCATCCATACGGACCGGAACAATTAAAGGTTGAAGAATTTTTCTTTTAAATTATTTAAACACTTAATGTTTACTTTGTCTTCTTTTATAGAAACTGATAAAAATTGTTCCAGTTAAAGATATAAGAAATCTTTACGTAAATTGGCCTATTCCTGATCTTAGAAACCATTATAGAAGCAACGTAACTAAATCATCTTTTGAATGATCGCGTAAAATAGAAATATTTGCTTTTACAGCCCGGTCATTACTTAGGGCACCTTATCGGTCACGAAGGCCCTGGCAGTCTGTTGTCCGAACTTAAGGAAAAAGGCTGGGTTAACGAACTAGTAGGTGGACAAAAAATCGGTGCTAGAGGCTTTATGTTTTTCACAATCACCGTTGATTTAAGTGAATCTGGAATTGGTAAGTTTTATACTTAAAAATGAATATAATAAATCATAATTATTTAGAAATGTTCTAAAGCTATCTATTTATTTATTTTTTATTGAAAAAAGATCATATTGATGACATTATGACTGCAATTTTTGAATATCTTCATATGCTAAAGAAAAGATTGCCAGAAGAATGGATATTTCAAGAATGCAAGGTAACTTTCTTAACAATTTACAATATTCTTTTTAAACAAAAAATTTCTTGTTTCCCTATTTTGCAGAATTTGAATAACATTACTTTTAGATTTAAAGACAAGGAAAAGCCAAGATCTTTAACAAGCTCTTGCGCCGGAGTTTTACACGTACGTAAAAGCAATTTTTTTAGATATCATAATGACTGAATTAAGACAAATTCCCGTTTTTTTAAACAATTTTCTAGGACTTTCCTATGGATGAAATTTTAAGTGGACCTTATCTTTTGCACGAGTATGAACCTAATATGATAACAGACATTTTAAATAGACTCACACCTGATAATCTAAGGTTTTTTAAATAAAGTCCAAATAAAGAACTCTTTTTCTAATTTCACATTCTCGTTTTAGAGTTGGAATTGTTGGAAAAACCTTTGAAAACGAATGTGATCAAACTGAAAGATGGTATGGAACAAATTATCGTCTTGAAGATATTGGTGAAGAGACTCTACAGGTATATTTAGTTTTTTTTCCGAACGATTAGTTTTTATCTACATTTGTGTTTTCATCAGAGATGGCGCAATGTTGGAGATAATCCAAAGTTTAATATACCTGAAAAGAACGAATTTATTCCTTCGCGGTTCGATTTAGTAGAGCTGGATAATAATGTGAAGATTTACTTTAGCTACTCTTTTTATCAATACTAAACAATATCTCAACCAACAGAAAGATGTACCGAAAGTAATCAAAGATACAACATTTAGTAGGGTTTGGTTTAAGCAAGATGGTAAATTTAAAATGCCTAAACTATGCATTAGTATTGATATGGCTAGCCCTTACTGTTACGCTGACCCTTTAAGCGCCAATTTATCCTATATGTTCGTTACCGTCTTCAAAGATGCCCTTACTGAATATGCATATGATGCTGAGTTAGCTGGTTTATACTATGATTTAACGAAATCTATGTATGGTATTAAGGTAGTAAAGAAAGATTGAGAAAATACTAAATTTAAATATCTATATGTTTTTGCTTTAGCTATCCGTCAAAGGATATAGTGATAAACAACATGTACTATTGGAGAAAATTCTCAAAAAAATGGTATCCTTTGAAGTTAACGTAGATAGATTCAACATACTAAAAGAATTGGTAAATATAAAGGAAATTTTTATCACACGAAATTAACGACATATAAACAACAATTAAATGTATGCTTTAATTTCGACTTTAGTACATTAGAAGTCTGAGAAATTTCGAAGCGGAACAACCCCATCAACATGCCATTTATTACTTAAGTGCTTTAACAACGGAGGTGTTTTGGGAGAAATCGGAGTTGTTAGCCGTAGCTGACCGTAAGTTTTTTTTCATATCCTTTCTTTGACAACAAAATATCTTGTATTACAATAGTATTAAGAATAGCTTATTGTTAAAGTGATGATTATCATGAAAATTTGGTAGAATAAAGACAGTGTACTAGAATTACCTATATGTTGAAATTAATATCTAGACAACTCTTTTGATAATAACTTAATTCCTACTGATAATTTGGAAATAAGATATTGATTCACTTATTTTTTAATCTCACGTTTGATATGATAATGACATTTTTAAAATCACTATAAATAAACATAAAAGAGCCTTGTAAGATGACAATGACATTTAAAGTATTATAGTATAATACAGTATATGTATTGTTTATATAAATATATTGCAAAATATTTATGATTTTATTACGTAATATTTTTAATTTATGCAGAAGTGACAAGCGAAGCTCTTCAAGCTTTTATACCGAAACTATTATCAAAATTATATTTTGAAATATTAATCTATGGAAATTCTACTCTAAAGGTTTAGTAGCAAATTATTCATTTACATGAAAGTACTTTCTTTTTTACAAATCCTCGTAATAACTATAGAGGGCTCAGGAACTTAGTGAATTGGTTGAAAAGGAACTAAGAGGAAATGTCACAAAGACGTCATATCTACCAGAAGAACAAAGACGCTACCGAGAAGTTTGTCTGCCACAACGTAAATTTTTTCGCAACTCTTTGCGAACGACATCATAAAAGTACTATTAAACGCTTTTATTCTCCTTCAGAGAAATCGTACGTTTACATCCACAACAATGAAGTGCATAAGGATAATGCTGTTGAAATTTACTTGCAAACTGGCGAACAAGACACTCGTAGTAATATGCTGTTGGAGCTGTTTTGTCAAATCATATCGGAACCTTGTTTCGATATTCTACGAACCCAAGAACAACTCGGCTATTTGGTCTTTAGCGGAATTAGACGCTCTAGCGGTGCACAGGGATTACGTATAATTATTCAATCTGATAAAACCCCTCAGCATATTGAAGAGAGAATTGAATCATTTATTGAAAAGATGGGAGTAAGTGACATCTACTCTTATTCAATTGTTAATGAATTGAATCTGATTATGTAATTAACTAATTACAATTCACATTCTAGCAATTACTTTCGACAATTGATGATGTTTCTTTTGAGAGACACGTGCAAGCGTTAGCTACCAAGAGACTCGAGTCACCTAAAAAGCTGTCGGCCCAAAATAGTAAATACTGGGAAGAAATTACATCAAAGCATTATAACTTCCGAAGAGATGAAATTGAAGTGGATTATTTAAGAACGCTAACAAAGTCGGATATTATAGATTTTTTCAAAGTAATCCTTTCTAATTAAATCGCATTAATATTTAATTAATTAATCATTAATTGCGTAATCTTTTTCAATAGAATAAAATAGAAAATCCGTCAGAGCAACGGCGAAAGCTAAGCGTTCACGTTTATTCGACGGCCGATGGATCGGAGAAATTTGAACTACCAACGGAAAGCCAGGTGAGACTTGTAGAGTTTTACAAATTGAATAGAAATTGAATTGTGATGAGAATTTAATAACTTAAAATTGTTTCGCTTTTAGGCAACCATCATCAAAGATATCAACAGCTTAAGAGAAACGAAGAAGTTCTTTCCAAATCCAAAACCTTTTATTGACCCTTCCAAATCAAAGTTATAGAAATTCTTTTGTTTGTTGTACGAATCTAATAATATCTAGCTAATGATGTAAATTAGCGTTTTATATTTGTGGCACTACAAGTAAATGGCCGGATACGGCTTGAGAATGTAAAAGGCGTTCCCGGCTTTAACTTTCGTCAATAAAATTTGTCGTAAACGCATTGAAAGCACTTTTATAGACCTTCCTATAAACTAAAGAATACACGCATTGTTGCGCCGCCAACAGTATAATGTTAGCCACATGGTCAGTTGGTCAGTCGGTTTTGTCGGAGCAACTGTCATGCAGCTCGACAATATAGAAGTTTATAGTCGATTTGTACTCTGCCTCTCGGATCCTCCAATATCGCCTATGAGCCTTAAGCTACCTACACTAAGCAAACTACTATCAGAGAAGCCAAATGTAAATTTTCCGTCAAAGTTAATGAAAATTTTAACTCCTCCCGATAAAATGGTAAGAATTTTTCAAACTCTGAAAAAGAACTCTAAAATAAACTGGTACTACGGTATATATTTTGCCTATTAGTCTGCTTCCGGTTTTGTAATTAATGGCTTCGCAGGTTTCTCTTTAGTTTTTTTTAATATTTTTACTCGAATCAGTCATTATCTCATATGGATAAAAATTTCAGGACATTCAAATTCAACTGGAGCTTGGCCACCGGGCAGTAGTTCGTAAGAAACCTACTCCTGAGGGTTATACTCACAACTGGATACTTTTTGTTAGAGGCGCAAAAGGTAGTCAAATAGAGCATTTTGTGGAAGAAGTCGTTTTCCAGCTTCATGATAGTTTCCCAAATTCTCGTCGAGGTAGGTAAAAATTTTGTGGTGAACTGAACATAAGCGACATAAATTATTACAACCACTTGCCACTTTTACAATGCTTTCATAAATATAGGCTATTTAATTTGCATCAGATCGGCGTCGTTGCTTTGATCCTATCAATTTTGTGTGGTCGTCTATGAATAAAAGTCGTTTATAACCCTTGTAAAATATTATTACAGTCGTTCAGAAACCAAATAACGATCAACAATACGAAGTAAAAGAATCAGGATATGCGAGTTTTGACGTACCGATCGAAATCTTCTTCAGGAACCCCTTACCACCAAAATCCATCAGTTTTACGTATGAACTATTCCTCCCTATTGTTGGAAGTTCAAAACCGGTTAACCATGTACGATGCGAAAAACTTACTTTTCAAAACCCTTCTGAAGAGTTTCGCAGAAAATTAATTCTAGCCGGAGGGGTTAGTATAATTTTTGTATTAACCTTAAAGTTTATTGATTTCCCTTTCATTGCTTTTATAGTCAGCAATTCCAGTTAATCCATCCCGGCAAGAAGGCTCAGATTCTACAATTTGTGACCTTTTTGGTGAATCTTTCCGTTCAGAACATTCAAAGAAGAAATCATCTTCAAAGAAAGAAAAATCAAGTGATTCTCATTCTCGTCATAGAAAAAAGGACAAAGAAAAGGATAGAGACAGGGATAAAGATAAAGAAAAAGATAGGGATAAAGAAAGAGATAAAGAAAAGGATAAAGAAAAGGATAAAGAAAAGGATAAAGACAGGGATAAAGAGAGAGATAAAGAAAGGGATAAAGATAGGGGTAAAGAACACAAGAAAAGAGTGTCAGAGTCAGGACATCACGGAAGTAGCGAACCAAAAAAGAAAAAGAATCACCATGAAGATAAAAAATCACCTGTTGTTAAGTCATCCCACTCATCAAAGGCCAGTGGAAAGCATAGTCATCATCATAACCACCATCCTAGTACATCAAAACAATCTGATGAACCACCCCAAGCACCAAATCCTCCAGCATCAAAACAAACTCCCAATCACTTAGATTTATTAGAGAAAGATCTGTTAAGTGGTTCAGATAGTGATAATAGTTTATACAACTTTGAAAAACAGTCACCAAAAACTAATAAGAGCGTGCCAACTGCCGGTCAAAAGAAAATGCCACCAAGTTCAATTCAGACAACAATACCTAGCGAGCATAGAGAGCCGAAAGAAAAGAAGCAAAAGTCTCACTCCGATAAGAAAAGGGAAAAGAAACGTCCCAAAGAAAAGAGAAATAGCGAAAGTGTGACTCTTCCCTGTCCAAGTTCAGTGGAGAGTGACTCCAGGCAAACAACCACAGTTCCTCATGTCGTTGACGAAGTTTCCCAATCTTCAATATCTTCGAATGTTAGTAATCAGTTAATAGAACATCAGGAGGAAACAAATTCTGAACACTTAAGTCAACTGCTAAATTTGAAACAAAAATTAATGGAATTACGAGATGCCGATAGGCTCACCCAAATAGTTCGAGTCATTACTGAAACTGGCCAGTTCGATTTAACAGAATCAACATTTGACTTTGATCTTTGCGTTCTTGATAATCGAGTTTTAAGAAAGTTATCATCAGTTATCGTTTGAATTATAAATTATAATATAATAAGGCTATCTATTTTTAAAAGAGCCTTATTTAGAAAAACTTTCATCTGTCTTTAAAAATCTTAAAAATTGTTATTCTTATGCAAGATGCATTGATTTGGATGTGCTTGTTAAGAGAAAAATTATTCAATAATTAAGCTTACTACAGCTTCCACTAGAGTGAATAGATAGAAGATGCTTTTAAATAATTATGCATTGTCAAAAAAATAACAAAAAGTCTCTTTGTTTATTTTCTTTTTTGTTCCATGAATTTATGTTTACATTGAACTTTAAACACAAACAAATTATTGATCATTGTAACACATTGAAGGCTGATGATTGCATTTACCACTCCCCTATCCCCTCCCCCCCCTCTCCCGATCCAATCATGTCCCTCCCTTAATTTTTTTCGTACATATATCCTTCTACATTAGCAAACAAAAAGTTGAATTTTGTATTATTCAATGATTTATGTAGTTTTGAAATTCAAAAAAATTCAAAATATATTTATATGCAAAAATAAAGCCTTTATATAAGGAGAAATGAACAGAAATTATACGCTTTATGATGCAACAGACGAGAATTCAGAGGATTCTAATTCAACGCTATCCAATTCCCCTACAAAGAGTCATACAAATGATTATAAATTATGCGAAAATTTCCATAGAAAGTTAAAATTTAAAGAGTGTCAAGTCGACAAAAAGAGACTGACCAAAAGAAAGAAGAAACGGAGTCTACTCACTTCTAAAAAAGTTCAGAGTCGTTTAGTAGCAGAAGATCCAAAGAGTCACGGCGATCAGTTTAATACATTAACAACAAAAAAAGAGAATGAAATGAATAATAAGAGGTTTTTAATATGAATATAATAAAATATAAATCTAAGTTTATATTAAAAAAACATTAGCAATTAAATCCTCTTTTTACCATTTAAAAATACTATTAGGGTATCAATCTTAGACGTCGGCATTTCATCTGAAGATCAAAGGAAAATGATGAAAAGGATGGCAGAACTTAAAAATTTCTCAGAGAAAACCTACAAGAACTTTATGAGAGATTGTCAGGAAGCTAGGGAGAGTCAAACTACTAGTCGTTCATCCTTTCAAAATAAATTTGAGGGATTTCGTACCGTCAATGAAGAAAAGAGTATGCAATTGAAAGAGAAAGCGGACAATTCGTTCTTCCCCAAAGTTCTAGTGTTGGGTAATCGCTGCAGTGGAAAAACAACGCTAATAAATCGACTCACTTTATTAAATGGCCAAGTATCTATTCGTTCGATATCAACGGATTCCCGTCGTATTGTTTGCTGTTCAACTACTGAAATAACTTATAATATCGACGACTGCAATAAAGGTATTATATTTTGCGATTTGGTTAACGTGAAAGTAGAAAGAGACCTTTTAAATGCAATCAATCAATGTGATCTAGTCGTAATCGTTTATAAGACCAATAGTCTTCATCAGTTGGAGTCTGTACATGATTTTTGGATAACAGAAGTCGAAAAATGCGATAAAAAAAAATGTATCATTGTAGTTGGAATGGTCAACTTGAATGTATCTTACGAAGACGTCGTCAATCGACTAGATACCTCGCAGCGGGATGAACAAGAAGAAACACTGAACGCACAAAAAGATAGTATTCAATATGTTAAGTGTGATGTTAATGATAAAGAATCAATTATGGATGTATTTAAAACAATAAATGATTCGTTACCCGTTATTAACCGTGACAGAAATAAGTTTTGTTGTATATCGTAAATCGTTTTATATCCACTAGATGTCTCTGGTTTTCTCTTTTAAAAAAATGAATAGTGATTAGAATGTGAAATCTATATAATGTTTTTTGTTTTTTTTTTATCTCTGCCCGAGATAGGAAGCTTACCTAAATTGATAGCGTGTAAGACTTTGTTTGTTTACGAATAGTAAATCCATTAATATATGTTTTTTTTGTTACTTGACGTATAATACGAAACGACGTTGTTACCAGAAACCGGAAGTTAATTTTCTTAAGAAATTCTTAAATTTAACGCCCTTTAGAAAAAGGAAAAACAATAAAGAATTACAATCCGTTTCTTTCTCTTAAGTTAAGAATAATAGTTAATTAGTTAATTATTTCTTATATTCAATGATATCGCAATGAAATAATAGACTAATAAGAAAGAACATCTAAGAACTTTTTCAGTTCTGCAGAAGAGTTTTTCTCGATTCCTAGAAGAAACCGGTATATTAGCATTAGTAGAATTAAATAATTTATTTGTTTAAAGGAACTCCTACTGTCTATTTAAAAGCATTTCATTAGAAATATTAGACGTATATAACAGTAACAACTGATTACAAATATAAGTGACGCCTGTAGCATGTTAATGATTAATGGCGCCTTTGATATTAAAGACAACATCGAGTATTTATTTCATTTTTTATTTTATATGAATTTCTATTATAAAATATCTTCTTTTTCACAGAACTGGTTACAAATGAGAATAATAGCTTTGATGTTTTTTGATTATCTATTTAGAGTTAACACCCCAGTCATAATCCAAAAATGATAAGGAGTAATTCTTTCCTGAAAGAATTTCCTCCAATTTGTCTTTTTTATCGCCGGCTCCCATTGTCTTGAATATCCAATTTGCCAGATCAGCGTTATTTTTACCAAAGTCTTCTTTATACCAGCTAAAGATTTTTGATAGTTTAATGCTATTTCGATTCAGTGTACAACCGTCGTCGTTGTCGAGGAAAGCCTCGGCTGCCATTTTTAACTGCTCATCAATACCGTTCGCGCTGAAAGTCTTTATAGGTGGGCAACTCTTAGCACCACAATTCAAAGCAAAATGAATCAGAGGTTCATTCTCTTTTAAAGCAATCTTTCTTCTAGGATCGTCTTTACCAAATGGCAGTCTAAATTGACCGACTCCTTTTCTGTTCGCTCTTAAAACTCCATTTTCAATATCTTGTAAAGAATACTCATTACCGCCAATAATGTAACGAACCGTATTAAAAAACTGCATGGGAAGATAACTCGGATTATTTTATCAAAAATCTATAGATTAAGCATATATTTACTAATTAATAACTATTTACCTTATATCTCTGCCACAGATTAGTCGGTGGGCCAAGAACGATATTAGCGTGAATAACTAAAGCATTATAGATATTAATGAAGAAGGCTAATTTCTCCTCACGAGTTGCGTGTTCTATATCAACCCTAATTAATTCTTTCGTTAACTTCAGATACATTTTGAATTCGGAAGCGGTAGAAATGCCTTTGTAATTAACTTTTTTTCCGTCACTCGACAAAAATACAGAATATAATTTCAAAATCAGTTTTCTCATACTCTCAGCCAGTTGTAATGCTGATCCTTGTGTACAAGGTGAAGTTTCACCTGCATTTAATGCTGTAGAGTCGTCGTCTTCAATTAAGCGATACAGCGTGTTATCGGCTTTGAATGTTTGACCATCTTTTTTGACCTCTTTTCCAAAATGCTGATCGATAAGGGCCTGGCCCATTTCAATGGCTGTTGTTTCGTCTTTATACAAATATTAATACATTTAATCAATTCTTTATGGTATTTTAATGATTAATTACCTAATTTCTTTGCCTTTTTAACCCATTCGACAAAGTCTTTTCCCGTGAAAGCATTCTTTACAGTCGAGAAGATTTTTGAATGATTCTTAACTATACCGCAATTTCTCATCTCTTCGACCAATTTAGCATATTCGTCAGGCTCGCAGGTAAAATCGCCTATGGATGTTGAGGCCACTGCCGTGCTGGGGTGGGGTAACTCAGGAGCATCAGAACCAGGGGCGTTTTTTTCAATTTCTTCTAGGAGAGCTTCCCATTCGGCTTTGTCTTTTATCTTTTCCTTTAACTCGGCATTTCCACCAACATGCAAGGCGTTGAAAAATATTTGTGGTACAGTTTTGCTGTTTGTATTGTCTCTTAACCATTCTCTCATTTGAGGATATTCGTCTAAACTGACATCGGCGTATTCCAAACCCTTTTCCTGGAGTAGATTCTTAGCATTCATGCAATGGGGACAACCAATTATTGAAAATACTACAATTCTTCCCTTCATCGTGGAGTCTATCATCTATGTAGAAGTCAATTCGACGACGGGTGGCGCGTCAATTCAAATGTATGAAAAAAAAATCCAGTGTTATAATTGGTTTAGGTCTCAATACGCTTTTTATCGTCTGCTACATAGTTTATATACACTGGGTGGCTGAAATAGATTGTTATCATGTGATTAGCAACGCATATAAATAATATATTACTACCTTCAAGACGAAATCGCACTCCGAAACTAATACTCACAATGACAAGGCAGATTTAAATATACAATATCTATTTCTCATTAAGCAGACTAACAAGAAAATGAAAGAAGGAAAATCAATAATACGTTTAAGTGTTCATTCTCTACCAATATTCAATCTATTAAATAAAGGTTTATACTGTCTAAATGGTATAATACGAAGAAGAAAGAGACTATAACGTAGTATTAAATAGTAGTAAGAAGTATACTCTTTTCTCTTTCTAAGTAAAAGCGGATCGTTTAGATGCGCTTAATATTTAATATTAGAGAAAGGATAAATTATACGTAAAACAGTGGCAACCCTATAATCATGTTAAATATCAAACAAATAGTGCATTACGTATTGATTAATAAATCAATTTTACCATTTTCTTTCCGCTTTATACATAATTATTATTTGTTAATTAAAGTATAAAGAAAACGGCTATTAATTAAGATAATTGACAATATATTTGTTGTAATATTAATAAATAATAGTAATTGTTTATTTGTGATAAAAGTTTTGAATATTTGTATTAAACATCTTATAGGAATCTTCGAAATTAATAAAAGAATTAAAATAATTTATGAGGATTAATAAAGAGTTCTATTTATTTATTATATAGTGTTTTTGTTATATGAAATAAGTTAAAGCCTTTTATGTAGAAGTTTATACTCTAAAGGAAGTTAACCATAGCCTACAGATGTTGAATGAGGAGGACAAGATACAGGATTTGTGGCTAATATTTTTACAGGTAAATCCCAAATCATTGTTTCAACTTGTAAGCATTCTGGAGCCTTCCAAGTTTCATATTCTGTTAGGCTTGTCAAACCACAGAGGGCGTTAACGTCTACGGTATCAGAACAAACGACAAATTCAAAGTGCAATTTCCACTTTAAATGAACGAGATCGGTAAAAAATTCTGGAGTAGCAGTTAAGGGAACAGGTATAGTGATATGGGTATGCAGAGAATGCAAGCAAAATAATTGCTGTCGGCAGTGAGTTGTTATACTCGAATTTGACGTATTTTTCTTGCGGCATTCAGCTGAAACTTGCTCTTCACTTTGTAAACTAACAGCCATCTGTTTATATCACGAAAAATATAATAATAATCAATTCTTAACATAAAATCTTAAAGATATATCATACCTTTATACATGGAATTGTTCCTAATGAAAAGTCGAAGGTACCTATAATATCGTCGCCTATTCGAAAAGCTTGTTTAAATAGACAAAATCTTGCTACTTTTCCATTACTATTTGTAATATTATAAAAATCTGGGAAATGAGTATTTGCTTAGATATGTTTAAGGACGAGTTTATATAGTATATTTACTCGTAGTTCTTCTACAAGTTAAATTCTGAATAATTTGCAACGCAATATCCAATATACCAGTTGGTGCCGTTTCTTTATTCTTTTGCTGCTTTCGAAATGGATTAGAGGGAGTTAGAGAATCTGGATCGGCGTAAACTGTTAAATCGTTTAATCCTGTTTAAGAAAAGAAATATTTGTTGTATAATCATAGATTTTATTCAAAAGAATATTCACCAGGAACAACTAAAACCCTAAATGATACCCTTAACAGTTCAGTTGGTTTGTTTAATTGTTGTGTTCCGATTGTTATTTTATAAGCATACTTTATGGAATTACCCCTGTAAGAGGGTGGTGCATCTAGTGGGATCGATTCTTTATAAATAACTATAAACGAAAAAGTTTTAGTTTATGATTATTTACAATTAGTAAAAACCAACACTCCCGTCTTTCTCCACTCTTTAAGGCTAGATCACAGAATAAAATTGTCGGTTTACTTGTCAGGACTGCTTGTCCCTTTTCCCCTCGACTTGGAACGAACGATGTTTCATTAGCTGATGAGCTGAGGTCGGCACTGGTTGGCTCCGATTTCGGAATACTTATTCGAGATTCATTCGTCGTACATTGACAATGAATTTGAGCGCTTGCCCATGCCAGTTGAACAGATTTTGTCCTTTGTTTTATTCCTGTATTTGCATTTATGAATACTATTCTACATTCAATCGTTTCTCCCGCCACAAAAACACTCCTATCAATGGGTTGGGCATAAACTTCAAGCATCGCTCATAAGAACCGGAAGGGTGATATGGTACCGGTTTTCACTTGTATACTTCAGAGAATCAGGCTCTTAGTTCCACCGTCAGAAAGTCTTGTCTATTTTGTGAGACAGACTTGAGTTGATGAATGTTTTGCATGAGAGCGATAATTCAGAGAGTCGATAGGATTATTATTCCATTGAAGCAGTAGTACATGAGACACTAAATTAGTCTACATAAATTAAGAAATATTTTCTCTTATAATATGGCAGCTCATGATTTAGAAGCTGTCCCAAGAACAAAAGATATAGAATTATCCGAACATGTTGAATTTAAAGACATGTGTTTAACGAGTCGAGTTTTAGAAGGCTTAAATGATGCCGGTTTTGTCCGTCCCAGTCCAGTTCAATTGCGATCCATACCAGTTGGAAGGTGTGGTTTAGGTAATAAATAATAAAATTAAAACTAAGTTGATATAATTTCATACAATGTCACACAACTACTAAAAGTTAATTATTTTTGTAAAACAACCCTGCCTTATCTCCTAAAACAACTATAAGCATTTTTTTTTCAGATATGATTGTACAAGCCAAATCTGGAACTGGGAAAACTTGTGTATATTGCGTAACTGCTCTGGAGAACATGAATTTAGATATTAAAACGTTACAAGTTAGTATACTTTTTCAATTATTAAAAATTTGTAAAAACTAAATAACTATAGGTTTTAGTCATTTGCCCAACGAGAGAAATAGCAATGCAAGGAGCAGATGTTATGAGATCCATAGGGAAAAAAATTGAGAATCTTCATTGTCATACTTTCATTGGCGGTCTGCCTGTTCAGGAGGACAGGAAAAAGTTGGAAGCGTGTCGCATAGCCATAGGAACTCCTGGTCGAATAAAACAACTGATAGAAGAAAAAGCCCTCATTACCGATCATATTCGTATTTTTATACTTGACGAAGCTGATAAACTGATAGAAGATTTCCTGGATTCTATCAAGTATGTTTACTATATTCATAGAAAAGTAACTCATTATATAGTTTGTCACTTATTTCAGTTGGATATATTCTTGTTTACCAAAAACCAAACAAATGATTGCCCTATCAGCTACCTTTCCTGAATCAATGACAAAATCTGTTAAAAATTTTATGAGTACACCTACTGCCATACGTTTAAATTCAACAGATCCTGCATTATTAGGAATAAGACAATATTATGAAAAGCTTGAGAGATACCCATTAGATCAACAAAATTTTATTGCAAAGATCTGCTGTTTAATATCTATATTAGAGAAAATCGCCTTTCAACAATGTCTAATTTTCTCAAATAACCAATCAAAGTAAAATTTGTTAAATGAATTTATTATATATTATTTTTAACCTTTTCGTTTTTGTTTCTAGAGCAGAAGCATTTGCTAAATACCTAACAAATAAAGGATGGCCTGCAACTCATATTAGTGGAAGTTTAAATCAAGATAATAGAATAAGTGCAATTTCTCAGTTACAAAAGTTTGAGTGCAGAATCCTAGTGACTACTGATTTGGTAATATTATTGTTTTTTTTATTTCTTCTTTCTAGCTTTACCTCTTTCATTTATTAAAGAAATATGGAATACTTAACATTCATAAATAAATTATAATTGTTTTCTAGACTGCTAGGGGAATAGATGCTCAGAATGTGAATTTGGTTGTAAATCTTGATATTCCAAAAGATCACGAAACGTATTTACATAGAATTGGAAGAGCGGGCAGATTTGGTATTATCAAATTGTTCAAATTGTAATATATTTACTTGTATATCTATCTTAACAGGGTCCTATGGAGCTGCAATATCAATAGTTCTAGAAGGAAATGAGACATCTCAATTATTGAAATTTTCTCAGATATCTCAATCAGAAATTAATCGATTACCAGGTACATAGAAAGAAAATAGTGTTTTTTTTTAATGTTTATATGTCCTTAAAAGATAATTTATTGATTTAAAAAAAAATTTTTTTCAAAGATCCAATTCCTGAAAATTTAGCTGAGTGCTCGTCTAGCATTAATGTAAATAAACTGGTTTCAACTCAAATATTGGGTGACGAAACTATAGAAATGAAGAAAATACTTGAAGAAAGTGAAAAATTTACAGACACTGTTAAATTACTTAAAGAAACGAATGGTAGTGAGAAAACGGTAAAAAATTCAGTTAGAAGTAAGATAAAAAAAAGAGCAAGGAAAAAGATGACTGCCGCTGATTTAAAAAATAGCATAGAAAGAGAAGCCAATGTAAATAATAACGCGATTGATAGCCCTAGTAAAAATAAAAACGAGAGGGAAGAAAACCATGATAAAATTGAAATAGAACAAATAGAAATGGAAAATATTCATGATAGAGAGGAGAGCAGGGGTGATACTTTAACAGACGAAAAACATGATAAGGATTCAACGAACAAGGAAGAAAGAGAAGTAGAGACAGATGATAAACATAGGAAAGAACAAGATAGAGAAAGTGAACTTGAACAAGATGATGATGATGATGATAATGATGATGATGGTGGTGATGATGATAGTGATGATGATAATAATGAATATAGCGACGAACAAGACAATGCTGAAGAATTAGCACAAACATTAGAAAGACCATTTAAGAGACCTAACCTATGCTCTAAGATAGATAAGTCTGAGATTGAAACAATGAAAGAGGCATTGGAAAAGCTTACTGTTGAAGTACCCAATAAAAGAGGGAAACTTAGGACAAAGGGAAAACGTAAATATCACGAAGAAAATTACACGAAAAATGATTACTACTTAGGTTCTCAAAGTGACAATAGACATCAGCCCACTTCTGATTATGACTATTATAATATGCCCAATGACTGTAATTCTCAATCTCTTCGTAGTCAATCAGTTATAGCGGATGCGCTGTGGGATCACGGGCTTAGGTTTTCCTATTGGATGGGTATTAACTATGGTTATCATTTAGCCAATTATGAATATTTAAAAAATCAATACAAGATTGACAAATGAATGTTCAAAGTTCAAAAACAAATTGTCATATCGATATTAGACTGTTCTATTTCTTCTCTTCTACCTTTCTATTACCCGGCTTTGGTAGATTATTTTGCGTTACTTGCTGCATAACGACCAGTGATAATATTGCAGGGCAAGCTAGGCAAGCATACCAAGACGTTCCAGTAACAGTTTTAACAAACCAATTAGAGAACATTCCAAGAACCATTGTTCCGCAAATTAGTACATATAGAACAAATCCTGAAGTAGCGTGATACATTTTCATGTCTTTCCATTTAATTCCTGTTTTGCTCAATAGAGAAGTGTAAATAAGTAGGTTGCCTCCGCAGCTTTGTGCCGTCATATAGAGCAAAGCGATAAATCCAATCAGGCCATGCCACGTTGTAAAATGAGCCTTGTTATTATTGTTCTTGTTTGTGTAAATCGCTAGAAACGCCAGCCATGCACAGGTTACACCCAAAAACGATAGCACTCTATGAGCCAATACCCTCGTTTTTCGGGACAATTTCATCAGCAAAGAGCTTTGGCTGTTAAATACCATAATTGCCTGGACAATAAATAGTGAACACTGAAAAAAAAAGAATAATCAATGGTTATTTATACATTTTAATCAATTTCCAAACTTACTGCTAGAGCCATTAGGGAAGGGTGCCAAGAAAACAAACCTATGTTTTTAAAAGAGCCATATTATCGTTCCCTAAGTTAAGAGCATTTTAGCGAAAACTTACTTGAACCTATATCGGCTTTATAAATAATAAAGCCAGTAAAGAGAATGCAAACGAAATGGGCAACCATCGTTACTATGATCGTTAGTCGAGTTGTCTGTTTAATCTCATTTGAACAATTATTATCAGAGAGATCTGAGACATCGAATTCTTCTTCCATAAGCGAACGCTTTTCGATTAGGTTTGGCGCGAAATTCTATTCTGATAAAAAAGATGTAAGCAAGCTCATAAATTCTTGTAGTATATTATAAAGTACTTCATCTTGACAAGAAGCTCTTAACTACCGTTAGATTTAGCGAAAAATTAACCTTCACGATTCAGAATCGTCGTTTAAAATTATTAGTAAACTTTAGTTTAAGCATACTTTATTCTTTTGACTGCGTTGACGTTGCCCCGATCAATATTAGTAAACAAGTATAAGCGAACAACCAAATCTACTGACAATTTGCACTTGAAATGACAAGTGACGCACCGCCGTCCTATGAGGAATCATTAGAACAGAATAGGCAAATTAGGAATGATTCTATTAGGTCAACACAGCAGCAATCAAGACGAACTAGGATATGGGAAGAACGATCTATCGATTCAACAACATATTCAACGTCTTCTTTTGACGAAGAGTCACAATGTACGAAGCTAACATTCGCCCCGATGCCCTTATCAGTAGCAGTAATATGTCTGATTTTAAATATAATAATTCCCGGTCTTGGTTAGTATATAAAAAATAAATAGCTGTCTGTTAGATTGTACCTTGGATATAAACAATACATATATTATACAGGAACCCTATTAGAGGCCGTATGCCTTTGTTGTTTTACAAAGAATTTCTCACCGAAAGAAAAGATTTTTGGATTCTTTACTAACGTTTTTATCGGTTTATTGCAAATGGCTCTTGTTCCTTTACTTTGCATTGGTTGGATATGGAGTATATTATGGGGCGTAGCCTTAATTGGTGCTTCAAGTAAATATACTTTTTAAATATATATTCAATATTGAGATATCAATTTTTCCTTATTATCTGTTTACTATGGTTAGATACCGAGTATAATAATCAAGTCGGAATAGTAGTAGAAGAAAACTCAAATGTGAGACGTCGAGAAATTTCTACAATTAGTCACAACTATCGAACTTTCGAAGGATTCATCTTTCCACCTCCTCCACCTAAGTACGACGATGTTTATCCAAGACTACCAAATAGGACTAACAATGTGAGGCCAAGTGTTAATTCGGTAATTCTACTTGATAGTAGACTTTCTAGACCTAGATCTATTCATAATTCCATAACTCCTGTTGAGACTGCTGAGGAAGGAAATCCGATAACAACAACAAGATACCCAAGAACTATAACAGAAGATCTAAACCAATCATCAATACAAAGATATTAGAATGAAAAAAAAAAACCAAAAAAGAAACTGATCTTAGGAAGAGTATGACCTCTTTTCCTAAATAAAGTTCTCTACAGACATTATATACTTGGTAATTGATTGATAAATTGTTTTTTCTTTTTGGTTTTACAAACAACTTTGTATTTTGTATATCTCATAAAAAAAACAAAGTGGAACATGTAATAAATAAAGCTTGTTGTTTCATATTTTTTTAAATAATTTTCATATTTTTATAAGCATTTTACAAAGTTTAAAAAAATAAGCAATGTTTTTACTCTTATATACATATTTTAATCATTCCTTAGAATGACTTTTTGAAAATAGTCCTTTCTTAGTTTTGTTGTTAGCGGCGAATTTACTTACGTCTTCTTCGCAGAGAAGAACTCCGTTGCGTCTAACGCGAAGAGCGTCTACACTTGAGGTAGCTCTTTCTTTTTCAGTTAGACTATATGTTCTAAATGTACCTGCTTGAGAGACACGTTTGTCTGAGAATGAACAGCGTCTATTTTCATATTCCTCCCCTTCTGATTCATCGTCCGTTTTATATATTGTTAAATTTTGAACATTCTCGGTGGAATTAAAAGGACTAGATTGAACCGATTCTGCATCTTCATTTTCACTCTGCAGCATAGATATTATGCTCCTACAAGCATTTACATCATCTTGCGATAAGTGACGCTTAAAGTCTGGTGGATGCTCGTTCTTTTCCAAATATTGAAATTTTACCTCGGAAAGTTTAACAATTTGTTCAAGAATTTGATTATCCCTTTTACATCTAACTAGTTCCTTTTCTAAATGTTCAAACTTTTCGTCTTGCTGCAATCTTTTTCGCATTTCCTCATAATATTTTTGCTTTTCGTCTATCTTTTCACTTTCTAATTTTTTCAATCGGTCATTCATTTTTTTTTCATTTATTTCAAAGTTAGAATTTTGTTCTTGAAGCTTCTGGCAATTAACTTCTGCACTTTCCAATTTCTGTTGTAGGTCCACTAATAGTCTACCAGCACGTTCCTCCATTTTGTTAACAAAGTGTACGCACTGACTTTCACAATCGTTTATAAATGCTTGATTTTGAATGACTTGAGTAAGTAGTTGATCGTATTTATTCATCCAAAAGGATCTATCGTCGACAGCCGTCTTTAACTTTAAGTCTAACGTCTTTTCTAGTGTTGCGTCTAGGTCGGGAGGCCTGTAATACTCGGACGGAGGATGGTCTTCATCTTTTACGTCAAAGCGGATCTCGGCGAATAAATCCTTAATACTTTGTTTTATAATTTTCGTATCCTTTTGTAGTAAAAGTTTTCCATCGGTATCCATTATCTACAAAGGTAAATATTCAAATGTGATTATAATTTCCCCGGCAAACACGATAGCTCGGTTATGTTAAACATTAAACAATGGAGTATTAGGTTACAAAAAAGGCCTAACTACATTATATTTAGTTAGTACTGAACATCAAACAAACAAGAGACAAAATATTCTAAGTCTACTTTTGTCCGCTTCTGTATCGTACTTTCGCCAAATATATACGTATACAAGTATTTTTAAATACACTCTTAATATAGGTGTCACCCATCTCTTCATATACTTTCTCGCTATATCGGATATCTATTGCGTAATAGGCCTCGTAGTATTGTAAAAACGATTTTTCGGTACATTTTCAACACGATCTAATTAGATGAAGAAAAAAACTGGCTATAAAATTGTCTAAAAAATGTTAGAAACGTAACTAACGTATAGAGATGAGAAAAACTGGTTGAAAGGATATATATTAACATAGGCTAAATTTCTTACCCTTTCTAGAGTATTAGACAATATTTGTAAAGATGAATGAAAGACATTTTACAATTACTATCAATTTAAGTTTTCATCTTTTCTTTAAAATTTTGAATGAACAATACTATTAAATAAGAAATATGACTTTCGAACAAAGTATTACTATATCGTATGACACTTTATCATTTTCCTTTTTTTCCCTATCTACAACTTCTTTTTTATTCTAAATCGAAATTGTACAGAATTGTAAACCTTTTATTTATTATTGATGAATTAATTAAAATATTTAGTTATCTCTCTGAATATCGCTACTTTTTAAAATGTTACATAGAGAATAATTTAAATATTATTTACGCCAAAAGATTTATAGATCATAAACGTTCACACTTTAACACTAAAAATGCTCGTTCTTTATGACTTCTTAAAGTTAAATGGTATTCAAACAAGATTTTTCTTTTTTCTCCTGTCAATGACTGGTGTTTTTTACTTTTAAGTGTAAAAATCGTGAATAATGAGAAAAATAACCGGAATAATGCTAAGTGAATAGAGAGAAAAAAAGAATAACGAAATAAAAAAGGGGAAGAAGACTTAACCCACATGGTAAAATTTCTCACTTTTTTTTATAGGCCTATTCAAGTAATGTCAAAATTATTAATCTGCCCTGTCAATATTAAATGTATAAATCTAATAGTTTTATACTCAAAAGCACGGTGGCTTTTATATATTTACATAAATAATTTTATGTATTGTCGATAAATTGTAAATTTAGATTAATTACTGGCTGTTTTCTGTACAAGTTAAATAGGCTTATATAGGAAGCTAGTCATAGCATTTCCTTCTTTCTAAATTATTTTTAGCTATCTTTCTCTCCTTCCCTTTTATACGTTACATACTTTAGCCTCCTACTCTAAACTTGACAATAGAATTAACTTTATTGTACCGTCAAATAGTCAGAAAATGAAAGTTTAATGAATAGGCGAAAAACTATTTATATATAAAAATATTTCTAAGAAAACAATCATTCTATTATGAAAGAGAAAGAGAGGATTCTACTTATAAAATCTACAATATAAGAAAATATATTTATACAAATCTTGAAAGTTTATGCGCTATAAATCGCTCACTCATTCAATTATGTTCACACTACGAACCTCTGTTCTAATACCATTACTTCTTTGAATAGTTTCGGATATAATGTTCTTTTGATCCCTCTTATATTTGATTTCCTTTTTATATCCTTCTTGTTATTGTTCGCTTCCGACTCTGCTACCAAAAAATCACAACTTGAAGAGAAAAACTATACAATAAAAAATAAATACTAAATACACGCGTCAGCTATCAAAAAAAAGACTCGCCTTTCAAGGCTCTTTTGAATTTTGGGCGAGCAATTACTTTCAGTCGTAGAGTGAGAGGGAGCAATAAGTAAAAAACAAGAAAAAGATAGAAAGAAAAAGAACAATATGTAAACGGAGAACTTTCACAAAAAGTTTATATTGTACTTTTTAACAAGAACACAAAAGTAGATACTAATATATATATATATATATATATATTTATAATGTATACATACATACCTGTACTGAGAAGCACTTAGCTTCGTAAAAGTTAGCAATAAACTGATATTTGCTAGACGATAAAAGGCGGAAGATAGCAAATGTTTGTTGAAGCGATTCTCGTTTTTATTACGTCTTTATCTACTAGACTGTCTCTCATAACAGGCCTAAGAAAATTTACCAAAGATCTCTGGTAAAAGCGTCGCAATAGAGTAACAATTTACAGGCTGTCAACTTTAACAGACCCTCTTTCAACCAGAAAAATATCACAAGTAAAGAATTTAAACGTTGCGTACTTGTTTAATCTTTAAAATAAATCGATTATTGGTTGAAATTTATAGCTCCGCCTTATCGTTCTATAGAACCAAGATGTTACGATTTCTTGTTTTTTTTTTCTTCTCCTTCTTCTTCTCTCCTTCTTGTTTTATTTTATTATTTTTATTTCTACATAAAACTATAAACCTATTTTGAATTTTTATAGAAAATATAAAAACATCTACTTATTTATTTACATATATCTATTCCTTCGGTAAAATAGAACTTTTATCCGTTCTTTATTTTTCTTATTTAACAGTTGCTCTTCAAACTTTCTTTATTCCTTTCTTCTTTTTTAGACAAATTCTATGTGTTTTATATAACTTGATAAAAACGCACCTGTCTGAGTTTTTACTTTAATTGGACATCTCTCGTTTGGTCGCTCAATTGCCTCGTTCTCTTTCTAAACACAAAAGAGGCCTTTCGCTCCATCTTAGGCCTACTACTACGTAATCTGATTGAAAGCAGAGCCATCTATCAAGAATATAAACATTTACAATAGCAGAAATGTTTCAACTAACCGCTAAAGGTATTTCAAAGAATATATGCCGTAAACATCGTATTGTTCAGGTAGAAATGTCTTTTCATTATTAAAAGTTTATGTTTTTATATCAATTTAACTTTTATCCTATTATGATGTACAATCGAGCATTTTTTACTCAATTTTCGTTGGGACCTTTTTATTCATTTCATATTTGTTCAGTTTAAATCTATTGTTTTAGGTATCAACCGCGCAAAACTTGTCCAAGACAACTGAATTACAAGCTTCAAAGTCAGCCAAAACATATAGATGGAAATTATTGGGTGCAACAATTCCTTGTGCAGGTTTTGCCGCATATTGGAATTTCGGATTGACAAATATTGAAAGAAGAAAATATAGAATTCAAGTCGGTGGGATACGTAGATTATTTAGGTTAATTTCTTATGATTAATAATTTAATCCAATTTATTTTAAATATCTCCCTTAATCTCAGATCAATTTTAATTGGAACAACCATATCTGCTGACTACAAATTGTCCTTGAGAGGTTTAGAAGAAGGTTCAGATGTGTATAATCAAATTCTAAGTCAATGTCACACTCGAGCTGCACATCGTATTCTTGATGGTTGTTTAAAAAATGGTGGCTTATATATTAAATTAGGACAAGGTCTGGTTGCTTTGAATCATATTTTACCGAAAGAGTATTTAGAAGTATTAGAAGTTCTTCACGATCGAGCTCTAAATCGAAGATTGAAAGAAGTTAACAAATTGTCATAGATTTAAACGCAAGTTTTAAATATTTTCAATAATCTAGCTCGAAGAAATTTTCATAGAAGACTTTGGTCGAAGACCCGATCAACTTTTCCAAGAGTTTTGTGCAGATCCTATTGCTGCGGCGAGTCTCGCTCAGGTTCATGTTGCAAAAACATTCAGCGGGGAGAAAGTTGCTGTCAAAGTATTAAAAAAACACAAATATTAATAATACTAATCTGCAATAATAATATATTTTATAATTAACGTCATGCAGGTTCAGTTCATCGACCTTCGTGACCGCTTTGATGGCGATATTAAAACTCTGGAAACAATTCTTGATCTCATAGAATGGGTTCATCCAAAATTTGGTTTTAGATGGGTTTTAAAGGTACTAATTACGCTATAATCATTATTATACCTAATTAATATTTTATTAGGAATTGAAAAGTACTTTAGCAGAAGAATTAGATTTTGAACACGAAGGAAAGAATAGTGAAAAATGTGCCAAAGATCTTAAATCATTTCCTTATATCTCTGTACCAAAAGTTCATTGGGATAAAACGAGTAAAGTAAGCATACTCGTAAATTTTATATCAATAAGATTATATAATCTTACTTTGCCCTACATTTTAATTAAAAAATAGAGAGTTTTAACTGCTGACTACATGGAAGGATGTAAAATAAATAATATGGTGGCAATTAAGGAAATGGGATTATCCTTAAAAGACGTATGGAGAATTAATTCCTTTTTATTTATAAATAATGACTACGTGTATATAAAGTTCATACATTAGTATATATACAGTATATATACTTTATATAGACTTTATACAATTGCTTTTTAAACAAATTAAATTTTTTGATAAATTCGATACCTTTATAAAAAAAAAGAATTAGATTGTTAATCTATTGAATATATATTTAATTTATTACAGTATTATATATAAAATTTGATAAAAAGCGATTAGTTATATCTATTTATCAATTATAATTGTCATAAAAGCATATTTATATATTCTTCTTTATATGCTATTAGGTATATATATTATATATATATCTAATATTTAATATATTTTTACCGGTATAGGTTGATCATAAGTTGGTATCTTGTTTCTCTTATCAAGTGTTCCATACCGGTTTTGTTCACGCTGATCCTCATCCAGGAAATAGTATGTTAAACAATTTAATAAGACGATATATTATATATTAATATAATGATTTTTTTGTTTTTTTAACATGAATAGTCCTTGTTAGAAAAGGAAGGAATGGTAAAGCGGAATTGATACTTTTAGATCATGGATTATATGAAACTATTAAACCGGCGGAGAGAATAAATTTATGTAAAATGTTTAAATCTATTATATTAAATGATGAAAATGGAATGAAAAAATATTCAAGTTATTTAGGAGTTGATGGTAAAGAAAAGACAGTTGTATTCTTTCAAAGTTTTATTAATATATATATTTAATATTTATGTAGATTGGATGGTAATGGCTGAGATTCTTGTTCAAAGACCTATCAAACGTAGTACAATTTCTTTACCAAGTAAAATGACTGAGGAAGATTTAGCCTATATGACTAATGTAGCTCAGCAACATTTTGATAATATAATGAATGTTTTGAAAAAAATGCCAACTGCAATGTTACTTCTGATCAGGTACGCTATGCCATCTAGAGTTATTTTATGAAACTAAACTAGATTGTAAACATTTACACTTGGCAATTCCAGGAATTTGAATACAATAAGATCAATTAATAGGCTACACGATCATCCTGTTGATCGATATACAATAATGGCGAGAAGGTAGAAAACACTTCCTTTTCAAGAGGGGAGGGTAAAAAAAGAGTTATTCATATTTTGTTTATTCAAACAGTTCGATATCTGGCTGTTATAAGAAAAGAGATGAATTTAGTATATCAAGCAGATTAGGAAGATTTTGCGAAAGAGCATATTTTGAATACGCACTAATGTAGTAAACATAATTATATTTTTCGTTTATATAAATATATTTTACACTTTCTATCTCTTTTTTACAAAAAAAATAAATAGGAAAGAAAAGTTACTATTTACATTTGGGATTTTATACTTAAGAGTATTAAATTACTTTGGTAAAGGACCAGATATTAAAATTTTAAAGAATTTTCAAGATGAACAACATCAAAGGTATTCAATACACACTATATTCCTTTTTTTTTTCTATTGTTATTATGATTCAAGTAGGTTTTATCAGTTAAGAAATCATTGTACAAAGAGAAAATATTTAGATCCTCAATTAATAACAATCTTTTTTTGTATTGAATAGTATCGATTTATCTAGGGATACGAAATTTTAATTAACAAAGAGTACTGCAGCAAATATTGATTTCGTATTGATCCCCTCTATAAATAGGAATAGAATATATCAATTTCGACGAAATAGTCCCACTTAATGTACTAGCTTTCATTGCTATTTTGTAAAAAATAATCTTACTTTTTAATATCCTTTTCATAGATTCGAAAATGCAATTTGAAAGTAGAAAAGAAAAGAAAAGAAGAATAATCAAATATCCACTTAACACTTCACCTATTTGTGTATATAGCTGTAGAAGAAATATTTCGTCAAATGAATCTGCAATCTACTAAAAGAGATGTTGTTATTTATGTAGAAGCGTTCAAGAAACTATAATTCAAATTTCCCCTTTCGTTTTAGAATATAATTAAGAAATCTGACTTTTACGACAAAGAACAATATTTAATCTGAAAATTTCCTTTTACTATTGTATATATAGATAAAGTGTTTAAGGTGAAATTTCATGATTATCGAAATTTATTATAGGCTTACAAATATAATTTCCCTGAAGTATTCATATTGTTTATTGAAATAAAATATCTTTTTCTAATAAATAACTGTTACGAATTTATTGTAATAAAACGTGTTTAGGCGAATTAGACAATTATCGTTGTTTATACTCGAAAAATAATTCATTTTTTTATTAGTGAATGTTGATATAGTTGCTATGGCAGTCGTTGATGTACAAACATTCAGTTATGCGGCCATTCGATTATAAGCTCTTGCGGCAGTTTCACCTACAGTTGAATTCTAACCATAAACTGGTAAGTGGCATTTATATATAAAAATTTTATGTTAAATCTATTTTGCACCGTACATAGCTTGACTAAATATATTTCAACAATCGGTAATTTATAATTTATTTAGTTTATGTTTAGTAAGTCAATAGCAAGTGATTTGCGTATGATCTTTATTAATCTATAGTTTATTCCATTAATGTATCAATTACAAAGTTATCTTTGGAAAAAAGTGATAAAAATTCCTCTCTTATACAATGATAAACAATGGCTACGATGAGTCAGATGCAAAAGCATAGTTCTGGTTCTGATAATTTATTCTAGTCTGGAAATATTGATTTGGTCTTTTTTTTTCTCTCTCTCTCTCTCTTTTTCCCTCTAGTTTTGTCTCTAGAAGAAAGAATATTTTGAACGCCAGAATTATTGTTTGGATTTTAGATTGTCAATAGCATAAAGAAGGTGATTGTTAAAATCTCCTTTTTGATAGCCTCCACCCTTCCTCGAATAATAGACTATTATTGACCTTTCAGTAGTTTTTTTTATATAAAAACCCATAGGCTTATCACTTGAATATATATATATATATATATATATTTAGATTTATATTTATATATTGGCAGTTCTTTTCTATAAATAAATATATATTTTTATATATTATACATAATATTTGAATATTTGTATAAATTCAACGTCACGTTCTGTCAAATTTCTTCTAAGAGCCAGTATGAACTTGTTGTAGATAAGAGATGGCAGCAGCTGATCCATTACAAGCGCAATTTAACAAGTATGCAAGTAAAACCGATGCTACTAAGAAGAAGGCGGCAACCTTAAGTGAAGTAACTAAATGGATGAAACTCAACAAAGTATTCAAAACTAATTTTACATCGAATCATTTGGATATTTGCTGGGCAAAGCATGCCGTAAAAAAAGATGGAAAGTTAGTGATTTATAGTTTTGTAAGATATTGCTATATATAATATTTGTATGACTTTGTTTATAGTATTCTCAACTATGAAGTTTTCAAGACCAAAATTCTTCCTCTTTGTGCCGAAAAATACAAAGTTGATCATAAATGCGCTGACGTTGATGCTGCCCTAAATGCTTTAATTGCTGAGCTAAGCAAAGACGTTGCAACTAAGGGAGCGGTAAATATTTTCCTTAAATCAATCAAATTTTTCAAAAAGCTGTCAATATTCATGCTATATTTACTTTTTTACTTAGACTACCGCCAACAAAGGCGTTACTGACCGACTCACGGACACTTCTAAGTATACTGGAGCCCATAAGGAGAGATTTGATGAGAGTGGCAAGGGAAAAGGTAAAGATGGTAGAGAAGAGCGCGTCGAAAATAGTGGCTACGTGGGCAACTACAAGGGCCAAGATACATACGATAAATCTCATTAAACGAACTGAGCAATTTGATTTTTAGATTTTTTTCAATGGTGTATGACAATATTTTATTATTAATCTTTAGTCACGTGATACTAGGTCGTCTGAACATGTGCATAACACGATCTTCATTCACCCACCTTCTAGTAATCTGCAATGTGAAAAGAAAGGGAATTGGCTTTTTTTTCTAGTAGTTTTGTTTCTTTAAATAAAAAGCTTGACAAGAATTTCAAAGAACCTTAGCCCAAACATCATTAGGTTGATTTTTTTCCTGAGAAAAGACCGGGGTTTCTATCGTTTGTAGATTTTGTAAAAATTCAGAAATATAAGGTTTCGCCTTAACAATTCGTTGCTTCAAGCATAGAACCTTAATACCGTCAAATTTAAGAAATGCTTCTTTCGCTCTCATTTCTTTCTTGATAATCTCATGTAATATTCGAATATCTAATTAGGATAAATCAATCAATGCAAATATTTACATTTCTAATTTCTCTTAACTTACACATTCTTAAAAGATCAATTCCAGATGCTTCATCCCAAATTCTTACGCAATCCAAAAGTACTTTTACACCTCCATAATCAGTTATTGATATGATATTTACAGTTTGATAATTTAAAAGTGTATATAGAAATTGTAATATAGATATTTTAATAACTTCATCGCTTGTTAATAGACTATATAACAACGGTAATAGAAACTCTTTGATTTGTTCAAGACATTGATTCAAAATGGTTTCGTTATAATTGATTTTTGGTTTCCATTCAGTGTATACTTCATTCACCAATTCATTTTTACCTGTTTCGTTTATATAGACATATACTGTATACACTTATACATAGGACTCTTAGATTATACTTTGAGTTTATTCTATTGACTTATCATTATTACCTTTTACTATTGCTGACATTGGTCGGAATGACGTTACTCTCTTTCTTATTGAATTTACACAGGCACTCCTTATTCTTATATTCCCTCCCAAAGCATTCTCGATAATGTTTGCACTATCCTCTGACATGGAATTTAGAGCATCTCTTAAAATTTCACTTCTATCTTTTGTGTCCTTTGGCGGCGGTATAGGTCTATGAAAGAGTATAGTGATTCAAGTACTACTAGAACTTGTTGAAGAATATTAATAATGATAATTCAATATATTATAAGTATACTTTACCTGCTTATCTCTGTTACTGGACTCGAGAGATTTTCCAATATTTCGACAGCATATTTCTTTATGAATTCAAAGAGTTTTATTACTTTAAATAACGAGAGAAATTTCTAAAAAAATTCAATAGATAAGATTACAAACTTTAATCATAGAGTGACGACACGATAGCCAAGGTCCAACGGCTTGAATTGTACCCGACTGCAGTAAACGGAATCTTATAGATCTCGTTAATATTTCACATTCTTCAGTAGCCTCTTTGATGGGTTCGCTATCGAGAGGCTTCTGTTCAACAGTATCTTGAAGATTTTCAACTTTTTTTCCACCAAATTTTGATATAAAATAAATTAATTTAAGTAAATCAATAACTAATTGAATTTCGGAAGTTTGTAGCATATTGTGAATGTTCAAAGCACTCTGAGGAGCTTGTCTTCTACCGGAAGTTGGTCTAACCAACATTTCATTATTAATCGACCTTACTGTTAATTTAGGTTGTAAGGAATAAACTCTAAGTAAATCTATAATATAAAGTAATCCATTTCCAGTTAAATCGTCAATTCTTGAAATTTCTGAACGATCATCGAAATATCTATAATGAACAATTTATTTAAATGATTATAATTAACTATTCAAATATTTATACAAACCCATTCTCATAGCTAATTAAATCGTAAATAATTCTTATTAAATATGATATTCGATTTAATGTTGAAGAATCAACGTCTATACTTGGTATTAAACGAACAAATACATCTTTAGACGATTCATCCTTTTCAATTCGAGCTGTTTTATTACCAAATTATTATTCAAAATTGCAACATTTTGTTTGTTATAATTGATATGTTTTTACCTAATTTTCGAAATCGATTGAATACAATATTATATAAAAATTCAAATCGATTAATATTCTCATCATCTGATCGAAATTGATGATAAATTTCTCTTAGGACTTTTTGTCGAACGTCTCTTTCCTTAGCAGAAATTAGCTTGGAGATAATCAACAGGGAAACCTCTTCTACTTTACTAAATTTAATATTAATTAAAATATAAATGAAAAAGAGAGTGTCTAATGAACTTTTATTTAATCGACTCTTAATTATATTACCTGCATTTGCAGAAGAGAAAAGCAGAGATTATATATTGAATTAAATCTGAATCTAGGATGCAAACTATACCATTTTCCTCCATCAATGATACAAAGAATTGTAAAGCTCTCTTCTTTTCAAAGCTTGTTTATTTTATTATAAAAGAAAAAAGACAACAGATTATTAATAGAGTTAGTTTGTTAAATCTATGGAAAACCTACCAATTGCCCGTTTTTATCATTGATATACAATGAGGTAAAGCAGATGATTTAAGTATAGACATTTTGCTTGAATCACACGCTAGTAATAAATTACCCATTAAATCGGCGTAAACTTCCTATAAATAAATTTTTATCTTAATATTAATTAAGAAATATTGCATCCTTTATAATAAAATTGTTACCTTAAAATCTTTTGATGTAGGATTCTGATTACGGAGATACGTGTTGGTATCATCCATAATAATATTAGCCAATTTCTTATGGAAACTAAACGCCTTCAAACAGTTGAGAATTGCTAAGTTGATTTCTTTATCACATGAACTTTTCAACAACATCTTTATAACTTTAAAGAGATTTTCAACATTTTCATCAGTTATCCACATTTCGGCAAGAGATTTATGTTTCGCAATCTATCGTAATAATGATAAGAAAGTTTTAAAAGTATTAATAAATTAAAACTTAACTAGAATAATTTACCTTTTCTAGTGTAAAAAGGGATGATTCCCTCATATATTCAATATTTAAAAATTCAATCATCCTTTCAGCTAATCTATGATATAAAAATTTAAATGTATTATCCTCATTCTTACATAATTGGCCGATAATCAGACATCCAATTTGCTTTATTTCTTTTCGACTATCGTTCAAATAGTCAAAAATCTAGGAATTTTTAAAGAAAGTATGATTAAAAGTCTAAAATATAAACCATGTCTTATTTACACCTTAACACTATCAGTTTCATTTAAATCTTCAACCCCGTCAAAGTTCATTATTAATTTCTTCATTGCATTCAAATTTTTGCAATGCCTCTTTTCAAAAAGTAAAACCCCTTTTAAAAGGTCGGCTAGAGTAAACCCTATAGGTTAATAAGGATCAGAATATGAATGAATCATGTAAAGAGAAAAGAAGAGAGAGTGTGCATAAAACGAAGTGGAAAATTGTGCCTACTTCCATCTGTGTCGTCGTCGTCCGATTCACTTTCGGTATCAGAGGAAGATGAGAAAAGTTCTTGCTTACTCTTCAGATTTGAACTATCTTTGCCGGTGCACGTACATTCCAATGATGTAAGTAAAGAACATCTATTTATTTTATGACTACCGTAATTATTACAATAGCCTGACGGGTCTTTAAAATTAGGCATCAACATCCTTGAACTATTGATCAATTGATTTTAACTATGCAAATATTCCACCCACATTGGAGGCATTCCATTCAGAAATCGCTTAAAAACGCCATTTTTTTTATATTGTAGGTGCCGTTGCCTTGTTAAAAGTCTTCGATACCGTTCAATAAATTCTCAAATTGCCTACAGATGGCATTTCTATCAACATTATTAAATTTCATGATATGTATTTGCAGTTTATTTATTTGTAATCAAGCAATAGAGTTAACGTATTTAGTAGTCCTTAGCACTAGGTTGTTTTTGGAAGAGGAATAATCTAAAGACTCCATAGTTTGTCATGTTTTTCAGTAAGCTTATTTTCAAATTCCATTACATCAATGCCATTCTGCACTACCGCATATAAAAATAGGATGGAACATAGTATTGGCGTGAATCCACCTATGAAAAAAAAATAGAGAACTATATTAAATAAGGAGGAAAGCGTTGTCATAGATATTTTACTAACCACATAGTATTCTGTCGTAAGTAACCTCACCAATTTCAACACTTGACGTAAACGCAATATTAGTCCAAATTGATGGCAATATTAGAATGGCATAAGAAAATGCATAAATTCTCCTTAACCAAGATTTACTGAATTTATGACGCATCCGGTAAATGAATTGATCGACTATTGCTTCACCGATGATATTGAAAAAATTAATAATACCCCAAACAGTATATAACCTCGTTCCTCCATGCCATTCAGCTACATACATAAAACACATATATGTTGCAAGTAACTGTCTATATTTTCCCTTTCTAGATCCTCCCAATGGAATATAAATAGAGCTGGAAAAACGTTGCTTCACTTAGAGTTTTCTAACATGGATTTGGTTCTTTTAGCTTACCTCTTTAAAAACGAATATAAACCTCTGTCAAATTTTCTGTAAAAGAGGTATAATAATAAGAGAATGAAAAGAATGAATCAATAAGCTCCTTTCTTTTTTATTACCTCCACATTTCCGAATATCTGTAAATTGATATGACACATTTAGGTGTTCTATGGGAGTATATACCATCAATTTTAGCTAGAATTCCACTAAATTCCCAAAAAGTACTATACATTAGCTTTTAAAAAAGATAAATTACTTTTTATGCATCTATTAAAATATTAATTGATATATTGGCTTAAATCTAACCGAAAAGTAGGATGCTATTAGCAACGAATAGCTTCCTAATGCTAATAAAGACATAGATCTTAATATATATTCCGCTCTGGAAATACCAAATAGCCACATGTAGTGTAGACTAAATTCTGTCACACAGAAATAGCAAATAAATCGAAGACAACTGCAAAATAGATCGTGTAATTGATCAGTAGAAAATGATTTGTATTTCTGCGTCATCTAAGAGAGAAAAACAGATAAATACTTTAATTTACAGTAATTGTTTAATTAATAAGTGTTACTGTTTCCTCTACCTGCTTGTAAAATAGATCATAATTTATAATTGGCTCATGTACAGCAAAGGGATAGTAGCAGGTGTAAAAAATTAAATGAATAAATGAATGTTTCTCATCATTTTTCTTCTCATCACAGAGAGACAAGGTAAAACTGATTATACGATGATACCCAAGAGTCGTAAGACTTGCAAAGGATATAATTGCCATTTCCCTTTGTTCCGTTGGCCAAGGTTCCTTATCGACATAGTTGTGAGCGAATTTCATGATATTATACAATTCAAATGTTTTAGTAAAAAAATATCCTTGATAATTTGAAATTATTACTAAACTAATCAACCAAACAACCCATTTTTTTCGAGTAAAACGACCGACTAAGTATATAGCCAAACACTCCAAAATATGTAAAAAAAACAAGGCACCCATAGCATTTAAAGATATTGCTATGCCAAAAAAACCACTTGCAGCAAATTTGTACTATAAATAAAGAAAATAGATGAAATGATAACTTTATTAAATAATATACTTCATGGCCGTTTGGAATAAGTCTTAGTGTAAGAGAAAGAGCGATGTAACATATCGTCCATTTTAGGTAAAGTACATTAAATGCTTTCCAAAATGAATAACTCACATCACCATCCTGAAAATGAAGTAATAAATATCTTTTCGCAAATAAAATTTTATTGGATCTGTAATGTTCATCGATAGAAGCTTCTAGCGTTACTTAATATAGTTGACCAATAAATCTACAAAGTCTTTAAAATAGACGCTGTTCTAAAACGATGAACAACATACAGTATTTCTTTACTTGACTTATAATTAATCTAAAATTTTTAAAGAGTATAAAGTACATAGAGACGTTGAAGTTTGTCAACCGGATACATCTTTCCATATTTTCCCTCAATAGAATTCTTTTTATTAATTATTTACTCTACAAAAAAAACACAAATTTCACATCTAAAAATCAATAAGGCTTTGAATAGTTCTTCATTATTACTATTGTTAAGTTTTTCCGAAGGTAGAATATGAAAGATAAATACATAAAGAGAGAGAAAGAAAGTGGTTGCCATCTATCAAATATTTTCTAATTAGGATCCTTTTAGAATTAATTTCATTATGTTTTTTCTATCCTCTTAACGTATATATAGATGATGTTTCTTATTGATCTATTAATAGATACTTTAACGAGTACTATTGAAATGTTGAATACTTGTAAACAAGTATTCAGGTTATTATTACTGCTATAAAAACTTTATTTTTAAAGTGTAATTAATTATCCTTGTTCTATTTACTTAAAATGATTGAATTAATCAATTTCAATGGTATACTTTCTCTCCTATATGAAATTGAAAAAAATTAACTAATCTAATATATAAAGAAAGTTTTTACCCAATAATCATTTAAGAGGAAGTAGTAAAGTATCCTTTTGAGGGAAAAATAATAATTGACCTGGTTGGCAAACTTCTCTTCTTTTTTATATTTGTTAACTTTTGATAAATGTAGATATGCCTTACTACGTATCTGTCAAAAATCCAACTCTTTTGAACGGAATCTGATTCAATTAGCTCGTCTTTATATTCTGTATTTAGCCTTTTAATTAAGATATGTTACAACAATTTATATGATTTTACCTTCTGTATATATGTAAGTCTGATAGCAGCCATTGCCTATAATCAAGATTATTAATGTGAATAAATAAATCGATGATTCGAAAATTCCATGTTTCGGTAATTTTATTCTACCATACAGAATTTCAGGGGGACCTTGTTGCTCTGGTTCAGTAGTTTCCCTACTATCAGGTTGTCCTTGAATCATATTCTGTTGTTTTGTTTTATACTGATTTTATACATATAAAAAGAAGTTAATGGAATATAGGTCTATAAATATAAAATTACACGTAACTAGTCTTATTGTTCTACGAATCAAATCTTATTCAAGAATTCTTTTCTTTTTCAATCTATTTAACAACTATTCTTCTTATTTGGAAGAGGAAGAAAATAAAGAAATCTTGAATACTTGTTATTAGATGGATTCGTTCCTGTACATCATATATTCCTGACTTACTTTTATCCTGTTTTCAGCTCAGAAATGTCGAAAAAAAGACTATTTATGGTCGAATCGAATCAAAATAAGTCATTTACTAAAAACTTAAACATTCATAGTATCTTGTTTTTCAAAATTTTGTTTGCCTAAGTAAAAATTGAACGAATAGAATAGATTATTCATTCTTCTATTTATAAAGGATTTAACAAGGATCTTTGTACAAGCTTCTTCCCCACCAGATGGCGGATGCACTTTAAGGATACGGAAATAGGATATTCTGATCAAGTGTTCTTAACGATTGCAGCGCTAAATTCGAATATATCTCAAATACTAAAAGGATGTTGTTATATTAAAATTTTGAATCTGAATATTTTACTATTCTTATAGTTTTATTAATAATTTGTTATTATTTCTTATTTTACAATTATTCAATCAACACTATAATTAATATGTATACAGTCGATCCTAAAATTAAATTACAACAATAAAGACTCTCATTGGAAGAATGTATAATATTTTATGCAAGGAAAAGCTCTCTTTTAAATAGAGAGATTAGGGAGCCAATAAAAATAAGACCACCAAGGGAAAAACGGGAGAATCAGTCTGTTTTTCCCGCAATTGACTAGTGCTTATTTTGAGAAACTTTCTTTTGTTTAAATATTCTATAACCTAGAAAACGGACAAGAACCAAGGATTATTTGAAAGAATTCTAAAACTTTAGGGAGGAAATATATATATATTTCAGATATTTATATATATACAAACCTAGTAAACTATGGTATATACTCTACCAGAATACGGATAAAAATTGTCTGAATATAAGCATTTTTAGAAATACAAATGCTTCCATAAACACTACGTCAAATATATATATATTCTGAAGGATTAAAAGAGCCAAACGCAAGAGAGAGGGAGAGTAGCCTCTTGCTGTGAAAATAATAAGAATAATATGGAATACAATTTCTACAGCGGTTTACCCAAAGGGAAAAGAAGCTTGTTAAAGATTTCATCCAGTAGATAAATTCAGTTCATGCCTCATATACATTTTAAATTAGGAATCGGTCTCGGACATTAAACACGTTTTTTTAACCCAATTAGTTTCTTACTATCCATGCAAGAATATGGAAGAAACAACAGCAATATACAATAAAAAATGTAATAAAAGTAATCATTAAACAGGGAGAATTGTCTAAATGAAATCTACAGATAGAATACAATTAATTGTGTTTGTTATTAGTCAATTTTTAATCAATGTCTAATTCATCACTTTAAAATATTTATACAAGTAAAGTATACACTTCTACGATACTTTATTGAACCGGACCGATTGTAATGATAGCAAAGGTCCTTTGATTTTCAAGATATACAGATTAAAAAGCCTATATTCTCTTTTGTTTCTATTTAAATTGTTGATAGTTAACCCCTCTGTCTTTCTATTATATCATCAAAGATTAAACTTTTAGCGCTTGTCGAACTAATTCTAATTGGAAAAGGCGATAGCAAAAAGACTGACATTATGCAATATTTGTTGGCATTTATCCAAAGACAAACTGTTCTATTGAAATTTGAATCTATAACAGTTAAGCGCAGTTAATGGAGGATTGGTAAATATTATAGTATGGTTTATATAAATATATTCTTATATATACATTATATATACTATTAATTTACTATAGAAATTCAATAAGATACTAACGTAAGTAAATCCTAAAGATTCTTTTCTCCCTCTTTCTTTTACCCTACGAGTTTAACAGGAAAAACAGCTTGTTTTCCCATCAACTTACATTTAGTAATTTATTAACCCTACAGTTGTTTGACGTTTTTATCTACGTTGTCCAGTATAATAGCAATATCGTTGCAGTATACTATAATAAACAAATATCGTTAAATTACCCGTTAGATGTTTTTAATGAAAACATAGATAACTTCTATATTATACATAGAGTATCCTATACATAAACTATTAAATAAGAAAAAGTTTTTTTAATATAAATATTAAACAAAAGATTTTGATTGTTAAATATTCAATAAAGAATTGAATAACGTAAAGGTTTCTAACAAATTGCTTAACGTTTTCATTCATCCTGAAATTTTAATGATTTAATATAAAAGATATAAAAGGTACTATAATTAATTTAAATACTAATGCTTTTTGTTTTTTTAAAAAAAAAAAAACTTTTAAAAATATCTACTATATTTTATATATATAAAGGAATAGTTTAAGAAAATATGTTAAGTATTTGGTTTAAGAAAATAAGACAAAAATTACAAGAGAAAGAGCCGACTAAAAAAAAATTTTATTGATATTTTATGCGAAACGTTTTTTTGTTTATAAAATTAAATCAACTTGTTAATTAGTATTATACGCATTGGATAGTAGTAGTAGATTGTTGGCTTAACACAGTCTCGTTTGTAGCGTTTTTTTATTCGCTCGTATTATTTAGTGTTTTAGACACAAAACGTTTTGCGCGGAGACGGCAGTGTACTTCCGATGTCGCCGAGGCAATTCCTAGAAGGCACAAAAATTGTTTTCTAGCCATCGCTTTCATCGGACGCCCGCTCATTCATTTGTGCGTAGGATAGCCCAACAAGGCTAATGGATTAGGGAGATGACGTCGATAGTTTGCAACCGACGTCCTGTTACCTTTTATCTCTTGCCTTCCATCGGCTAATCATTTTCAGAGAAAATGTACGTAAATCATAGTCCTCGAAGCCGTCAAGAAATGTCCTCGCTCAGCCCAAAACACGCTGCTCCAATTGCTGCTGTTAAAGGGATATCTCCAAGAAATCAGGGACGGCATCGATCACGAGCTGAATCTCCGTTATCCACGGATGCGCATCTCTACAATGTTGCTGCTATGTATGACGTTGTCAGCCCTTTTGGAAGTCCCGGAGATAGCCGTTCATCATCAGTCGCAAGTGTAAAAAGTCTTCTTAGAGAACGAACTGAACGTGAAGTTGCAGTTTCGCTAGCAAGGGACCGTTCTTTAGATCGTCAACTAGATCGCCATTATGGTTTGATGGGCCATCCTCATATGGGTTCCAGATCCTTAGAACGAGGTGATAATCTTGTTCGGTCACGTTCTATAGAACAAGATGTTGCTTTCTCAAATGCCAATGGTATTTTCGAATTACAAGCTCAAGTAACTGAATTGTCTCGGGCTTGTTCAGTGATGCGTTGCGAATTAGACGCAGTTAGAGAGAAGCTGTCGGCCTCTATGAATTCTATTAAAACGTTTTGGAGTCCTGAATTGAAAAAGGAGAGAGCTCTACGAAAAGAAGAGAGTGTCAGATTGGCTAGAATTTCGGATGAATTAAAGATTGCCCAGGAAGAAATCTCGGTAAGGGTTTTTCTTTTTCAATACACTTACGCGACTGTAACCGGATTATCCCAGTATATTTGCATTACGTTGCTATGGTAACAAATTTGACCGCCTAGCACTTATTAATTGGAGTATACGGTGAGTTACTTGTCAGAACGAGGCGTAACTACAGCTAAAAAGAGAGAAAGAAAAAAAAATCGAACAACTTAAGTGCACGTCGCCTGGTGTTGACGCGAGCGTCTTTCTCAATTCATATCGGTCTATTGATTTTTCTTAAGTTAGGAAACAATCATAAAATCATCTATCGATAATAGACAATTGTATCATATCTGTTTAGCGGCAGATTTATACCATAAGGGAAGAGTAAGGGAGAGCGATGGCTTGTTATCGCTATGAATAATTCATAATTTCAACGGTTAATCGCGAACAAACAATTAGTAAAAGTAGACATGATCAGCTCGGCAATTTTAGTAACTTAATAGCGTGTCCAATCAGCAAACATAGATAATTAGTTAGATAAACTATAGCGTCCTATTACTTATATTTATCGATCTTAAGGAAATGGGGTATTTTGTATCCTATAAAGTATCTGATGGTTATCTTTCAAATGAGCTTTAGCCGGTGTTAGGAGTGAGACAAACAGAGCAGGGAGAACAAAAAGAAACCGAAAACTGATGTACGTGACTTGTTCTGTAAATAGGTCAATGCAATTGGACACGAATTAACCCGACCTTTGACGCGTCGATTGAACCAAATTAACTGTTTTGTCTTGTTACAGATTCTGAAAAGCATTAAAAGTGCTGAAACTCCTACTTCTCCTACACGTAAAAATTGTTCCAACGAAGAAACAACTAGAGCTTTAAAGGAAGCATCAATTCTGAGAAAAACGGTTGAAGAAATGGAATTACGTATTGCCACACAAAAAGCAACACTTGCGGCTAGGGACGAAAGCGTTCAGAAATTAATGGATATGCTGCATTCGAAAAGTGGTGAATCTTCTAAAGATGAGGCGTCTCTACGACAGAGATTGGCCGAAGCAGAACTAAAAATGCATACTTCGGATGGACGTGTTTTGGAATTAGAGAATGAACTAAAGCAAGCTTTTGCGGTTTGTTATTGTTGCTATTTTTGTTACTCGAATATCCCATTTTATACTTACATCAACTTTTTCCCCTATAATTCGTATATTTATCAATTTGTGTTTTGGGCCAGCAGAACAACGAAAAGGCGGAAACGGAAGCTCGAGAAATTCATACAAACTACGCAAATGCCTTAACAAAAGCTGGTGAAGTCGATTCTTTAAAAGCGATTATCGAAACTAAAGTAAGCGCGCTTCTTTTGTTTTCTTTTCCTTTATATTGATGTAATTACAATAGTTTTGTCTGCGAATAACCATTTCTGTGATTTGGTATTCTTTCTTTTTATTGCTTCTCATCTTCCGTATATTTCATTAGGATTCCAAGATTTTATCTCTGGAAAACGAATGTAAATTAAATAAAGAATTATTGCAAAAGTACCAGCAGTCTACGACTTCTCAGGATGAAATATTAAAACAGGAAATTGCCTTATTTAAAGAGCGAATATCTCAAGCCGAAACTGCAGAGAATTTAGGCAGGACTGAGGTAAAGATATATATATATATTTTACTGGAATTCGGATGATGATTCTCTTTTTTTAGATCAATAAACTGCAGAAGAAGATAGCGGAAAATGAAAAGCATATAGACGAGTTGAATGCAAATTTGCAAGCGACTAATCAGACGGTAACCCTAGTATCCAGTTTGACACCAGCGAATTTTATTAAATTGACTTTTTTATTCCCCTCCTCTCAGGTTACCGATCATTTAAATTATATTTCGAACCTACAAACGGAACTTTCGGCTAACGAACGAAATTTAGAAAGCGTGACGCTTCAGGTTCGGCAAATATTCTGCTATCGATCCGTTTTATATCCAGGGTATCAGCGTTTCGCGTCGCATCTCTTGTATAAAAAAAAAACAAAGTGACGCTGCGAGCGTCTACAAATTGCTTTCGGACGTGTCAAAGCGAATAATACCTTTTGGGAATTGGTGAATAATAACGAAAACGGCGTTAAGCATATTCTGGAGAATTTATTAATGAAATAGACGATTCAATTGTAATGTTAAAGATTCTTTACTATAGGCTGAAGAATTAAAGAAGCGGCTATCCGATAGAGAAGTAAATAAGAAACAAACTGACAAAACCTTAGCAGAAACCGAAAATGAAATACAACGTCTGCGCAACGAGTTGAACAAGAACAAACAACAAACTGAACTAAAAAATGTCGAAGTTCGAAAGCTACTACATGAAGTAAGAGACCATCGAAATTGTACTATACATTAATTTGAATAATAACTACAAATGATGTTTGATTAGATTGAAGAGCTAAAGAGAGTTTTATGTGAGAGAGAAGAATATGGAGTTAATGCGAATAAAACTTTAGACGCTACTCGAGCGGAAATGAGCGAAATGGAATGCGAATTGGAAGAGTGTCGGAACGCTTTGGCAGTAAAGGATAGGAAATTATCGACGTTGATGCAAGAGGTTTGTTGAAAGAAAATACAATTTTCCTCTTTTCATAATAAGCAAAAGTCTTTAAATAAGTAATTGCCATTACGTTGATTTGAGAGTGATACTTAACTGTAAGCAATCTACTTCCGCTCTCTTTCCGTCTCTCTTGTTTAAGAGCCGGGTACTTGGGAAAATAGCTAAACCATTAAAAATCATTTCAAAGATTAACTAAAAGCAGATATTGGATTCCATTCTTAATATTTCTGATGATTCGCAACAGATCTCTAGTAACGGTAATCTTGACAAACAGGCATTTGATCTCATTCGATACACTATTGTAATACTCTGTCACGCGTTTGATGTTTAGCTATGCTTTCATTGCTTTTATATAAGATTTGACATTTACACAACGCTAAGAATTTATAAAAGAAATGAAAACTAAGGTTAAACGTGCCTGCAATATTAAATGCTGAAGAAAAAACAAAATGTCCTTATATGATTTGTACATATTCCTTATATTTACAGGTTGACGTTCTGGAATCGAATATTCGTGGAAAAGACAACTCTCTTGTCGATTATAAAAAACGATTTGATGTTTACGAGCAAGAGCTGAAAGAGAAGCACAGTGAATTGGCCAATGCACAGGAACAATTGAAACAACATCGCGAAAAATTAGAAAAAGAGAACGATAAGACATCTCAGGAACGCCAACAACAATCTATGATAGTTGATCAACTGAAAGAAGCCTTGACCGAATTAGCCCAACGAGTAGATTCTTCACAGTCCGAACTTACAAATAAAGAACGTGAAGTGGGTGAACTTCGCGCTGCGTTAACTAAACGCGAAGACGAAGTCAAATCACTTCGTGGAAATAAGGATACAGAGATGCTTAAATTGAGAAATCAGTTAGCCAATAGGGAATCTCTTTTGAATGAACTTCAAACAAACAGCGATTCTCAAATGGCAAATCTACAAACCAAACTGACGGAAAAAGACAATCAAATTAGCGATTTACAAATGCAGTTAGCAGAGACGGAAGTTGAACTGGATACTGTTAAAGAGCAATTAGAAAATGCCCAAAAATCGTGCAAATCTGCAACAGAAGAAAGAAATAAGGCCCATGAAAAGGTTAAACAGGCTCAGAACGAAACAGATCGATTACTGGAATTACTTTCAACCGTAGAAGGGGCTAAAGCTGAAGCCGAGCGAGAATTAAATGAGCTGCACGACCAGGTGATCAATCAATGATTCCCCTTTTGTAAAATTTTCCCATTGTTCTTCCTATTTATAGTTTTCTTGAGGATTTTCAAGAAAACCCTATTAATGTAATTGAACTCATATATGTTTTTCAAATTAGGTTAAGAGTCTAAGAAAAATGCAGCAAGCCGAAAAGAAGAAATCGGATCAAGCGAACGAGGATGTTTCTCAATTTAAGGTAATTTACTTCCTAAATAACACAATATTAGATATATATACTTTGCCAAAAAAAGACCAATGAAAGACAAACTCGTTATATATATATATATACTGTATATAAAATATATATAAAAAAGAAAGATATCTTAAATACTAATTTGTATGTCGTTATCCTTCCACACGCTGCCTCTTGGTGACGGTTTGTTTTTAACCTGTTCATAATTATTATTATTATAAATATTTAAATTTTATTTCTTATTATTTCTTCTATTCTTAAAAAAAAAAAAAAATAACAAAATAGTCGGCCGCAGCACGTTTCGGATTACCGTTTTAAGCAGTAAAATGCGCGTGTGAAATTAGATGACTTTTATTTTATTTTTTTTTAAAAAAAAACTGATTTAATTAGTTCAAAACAAAATAATATTTCTTGATCTAGGCTATAAAGAAAAAGAAAAAAAATGATATAAATTGTACATAGGCGAAATTTTCATTTTTCTTATTTATGTTTCGTTTAAAATCTCTCTGTATATTGTCGTCTAGTAGTAAATAACATATACTGTATATACAGAACACATTTGTATGTATATGTATATGTGTATCTATATATATATATATATATAGTATACATACAGTATATATTTATATACCATTGTGCGTTTAGAAAGCAATACAAGAACGTTCCGGAAGAGTAGGGGAACTAGAGGAAGCATTACGTCAATCCGTCACTATAACTGCTCAACGTGAACTAGTTGTTAATGAACTGGAAGAAGAATTACGAAGGGAGCGAAAGTGCAATGAAGATATGCGCAAAACTAATGAACTATTGCAGAAGCGTCTAGGTAGTATGCGCGATGAACATGCGGATCAAATGCGCGACGTCTTTGATTTAAAGCAAGATGCTTTACAATCGGCTATAAGCGAGAAAGATGCTCACCTTGCTCTATTAGAACAACGTGGCGATTGTAGGAATGGTGAGATGGTTCTAAAACTTAAAGAGCAGAGAGTACAATTACAGCAAAGACTTAAGGATCTAACACAATCTCAAGTACACATGATGCATAATCAGGAATTGACTATGCAGTTAGTCAACTCGTCAGAGGTAATAGAAATTAAATATAAACATTTCTAAGATAATGGGCTTTTGTAAAATTATCATAAGATTCTTATTGCAGGAGTCGGGTGATTCAGAAGATGACGAAGAAGAAATGGCTGGCTTCTCTTGACATTTTGACATAGTATTATTAGTGAAATTTTTTTGCTACTCTTGTTTAACTCCTCTGGTCGTTTTTGTGGTGCTAAATTTATTTTTATACGAGTTAAATAGATCTGTTAATTTGTGTTTATATATATATATATATATATATATACATGTATACGCTATACATATATTTGTCCATATCTAGTAAAAAAAAATATACAGTACAAAAGAGAAACAAAAATAGGAAGAGAAGGAAAGCATCTTCCAGAATCAGTATTTTCGTTTAGATGAAAAAAGATAAAAAAGGAAAAAATAGGTCATATTCTCTTTCATGATTTTCTTTTTTCTTTTAAATCAACTTTACTGTGAATTTTCAATTGTTAATTGCATTAAAAAAGAATGAGGATATCCATTTTTTTTACCTTTGTTTTAGATTCAACTAGTCAATAACTAATACATATTCAGTTTATAAATAAATCGACAAAGCTATTGAAAGGTTGTATTTTCGTTAAGTGCCTTTATTACATGTTTATATAAGGAAGGAGTATTCTTTTTTCAACAATTACTATAATTTCTTGTTTTACTGTATTGTTTAAAGAAATTATGAAAATAAAATCAATAATACAAGCCGAATTGGGGGAGAAAACAAAGGTTTAGCATAGGATAGAAGTCATCAAGTTTCTTGTCTTCGGCACATGTAGTTGTGTGAAGAAGTTTTATACGGCTTCTGTAAGAGACAGGAATTGTTTAACGCTGACGTAATTGTTACATTAATGGAAAAACCAACTTAAACAAGTATCTTCTTATTGTCGAGTTTCAATCTTTCTGTTGGAATTGTATCTATTTTCGATATCATTCCAGTTCGCAACATTCCAGATAGCATTGACGTAATCGGGTCGGACATTTTTGTATTGAAGATAGTAGGCATGCTCCCAAACATCGATACCGAACAAAGGTATCAGGCCAGTAGAGGCCTGTAGAGGATCTTGATTTGGGCAGGCGGCAATTGACAAACGGTCTCTATCCTTATTGTAACCCAACCAGGCCCAACCAGATCCTTGGACGCCTACGGCTAAAGCACTAATAGCCGCTTTCATTTTTTCAACACTTCCAAAGTCCCTCTAAATTGAAATTTTATAGATATTCATCATTGTTGATAAGGGGAAAAACGTGTCAATAATTCATAAAATAATTGCATTGTCATTTGTGAATGAAAAGGTCGTTAACTATCTTTCTCTGAGAGATAGTAGTATACATATATCCTACAAACTTCAAATATTATTTAATTATCTACTGTAGTTCTACTCTGAAAATGTCAGTGGAATATTCAAAAAGATTGAAACCTTTATAGCTTCTAAAAGATCTCCAGTTGGTTCACCTCCATTAGGACTTAGATTTTGCCAGAAAATCGAATGGTTTACGTGACCTCCTCCATTGAATTTTAGAACTTGCTGTAAAGTAATAACGGTGTTCAAGTCACCCTTACTTTTGGCTTCCTCAATAGCCCCCTCTGCGTTATTAAGATTGTTTACGTAAGCAGCGTGATGCTTACTGTGATGCAACTGCATGATATCTGCAGAAATATATGGCTCCAAAGCATTGTAATCATAAGGAAGGTCAGGAAGAGTATGCTTCTGACGAAGAGCAGCAAATGACAACTTAGAGAAGTTAACCAGTCTGTAGAAATTATGCAATGATAAATATTTCTTTGAAATTGAATGAATTAATATGCTAAAACTCTGTCTATTAAAAATAAGAATAATTTTAAACATTAATTGACCAAATTCTTAAAAAAGAAATATAACGACTAAGATTATCAACATGAATGAAGTGTTAAAGTTATCTCTAAAATTCAAAAGGTCACCTCGTTTTCAGACAAACATATTTATTATTAACCTATATTCAGTATAATCATCATCACAAGTCAAAATGATTACCAATGAATAGCTTTTAATAAAACACAAGAAAAAGTCATATTATAATTACTGTTTAACGGGAGAAAAGCGAGAAAGCATCTTAATAGCTTCGAGTTTAGGTCACCGGCTGATTCAATCGACCTTTACCTTTCGAAAATTTCCGTTTCCGCAAGAAAAGAAAATTTCTGGACATGATTAGAAAAAAGAAATTACATAATGGCTATAAGACATTTCATAAATCTCGAAAAAAAAAATGCTTAACCTCTACAAAATTTAATTTAACCACAAGGATAATTAATGCTAATACTTATTATCAACCTATTTCGACATACCTACATATCCATCCTAAGCGAATTCCTATATCGGAAGGACAATAACTATATTTCAATTACAGTTAAAAATTAATGTAATATAATAAAATATAAAAAGAAACAAACATTTCACTGCCTTTTCTTGTATTAATAATAGTGAGGAGAATATTACATAGCGCCTTTATGGCAATAAGAATAAAGTCACGGCAAAATATATCTAACATAAGGCACCTCTACTTCTTTCCCATCCCTATCATTACAACAAATTTCCAATACAAGTGCTTTTACGTGAGTTGGAATTTTCGTTTTTGAAACCTTGCGAACAACATCCGAAATAAGCATTCCTAAACGTTCTTCCTTCTTGTTTTTTGCCATGAAAAATGAATATAACATGGAGACGCCTTGAGAAAGCATTGTTACTTCCAGTCCATGTTTATCCATGAAATAATTTAAAAGTTCACGTAAAGTCATTTCTCCATTAACATCAAAACGATCCCAAAGAGTCCATTCCTTATCATAATATTCCACCTTAGGTGCACATATCGGTTCGCTAAATCCAAAGAATGGTAAAGCTAAATTTATAAAACCGTTTTTGAAACGTTCAACTTTCTTTTGTCCAGAAACAAGCTACAAAACACAATATAAATAAAATTCATTTTATCAGATAAAGTTAACAACACACTTACCTTATACAATTCCAGGATAACAAGACCGACAATTAAAGATGTGGTAGTTGCAATAGCTGGAATGATTTTACCAGCTATAAGTTTCGATTTATGTCTATCCGCTGTTGGAATATCATAATTTGTAGCTCTCAAATTAGAACAGGCAACAATAAAATCCATATGGAAATTTGTATCATCATCCTTTTCGAATTCAATGGCTTTTATTTGTAAACCGTCTAATTGTTGACAGTTTGGAATTTGACTCAGCAGTCTTTGTAGGGCCTCTTCATCAGCACATCCATCATCATTAGCACTTGCTGCTTCTGAATCAGTCGTAGCTATCTTAATTCCACTACGTGGAACAAATTCTACAAGTTTTATCTTTTCGGCATACTTTTGAATATAACTTCTATCAGCCCTTTCAGTCATTCCATACATTTCCGCTCTCAGATTGGCGGCCGCTACTACATAATCAAGATGCTCAGAATTTGACGCATCAAAGAAAATAGGATGAGGACACCGTTTAGGTCCTGACCAGAATGGAGTATTCGAAGAAGTCGTATAATCTTCGGGGAAATTGAACAATAGTTGTTTAATTTGATTTGTATAGTTCTCTTCAAACAACTTTCTTGCCCACATAATACAATCATCAAATTTAGCTGGGCGTTCATCAACCAATAACTTCTTCACAGTTTCTAATGTTTCGGCTGGTTGAACCCCAGGTAATTTGAGAGTTCTTTCAACAAATTTGCTGTCCTTTAAATATTGTTCAGCACTCTCAGGGGCTTGTTTGAAAATTCCTTCAAATTGATCACGAGCCCATTGTAGAGTGTGTTCTATAGCGTTAGGAAAATTTTTTAGAGTACATATTGGAATAGACTTTTCTGGCGGATCGTGAGAAGATGAATAGGATTCAGTAACCCAAGGAATAACGACTTGAACGTTTCCTTTCGTTCCTAATGTACCCGATTCAAGGAGAGGTTTACGATAGTATACACATCTTCTATCTATATAGATTCTGGCGTCTACATTATCCAGAGCATTAGTAACGCCATCCAAATTTTCAAAAAAGTCATCTGTATAAATATTTTCTGTTTCAGGCCCAACACGATTTTCTTGAGGATATATGTTAAATTTCGGATTCATTTGACTACAAGCATTAGCTGCTGTTGCAGACTTGGTTTTTCCTACATTTTCTGGTCTGAATAAGAACTGTCTGTTCAAGTTAGATCTTTCAATAATATCCATATCAGTGACCCAAGCTTGGCCATTGGAACCACAAGCTAATCCAATCATTGCCCAATTCTTAAGCATTTCACAGCCTATAGCTCCTGCCCCGACTAAAAAGTATTTTTGATTTCCTAAAATTTCTTGAAACTTTTCACCAAACACAGCGATTTGTCCATCGTATCTGCATTTTTTAGGCTTGCAATCTTTTTCCGTTAAAACAGTGTCTGCAGGAATACATTCAACAGCGTCAAAGTAAAACCATTGTACTATGGGCATAAACTTTCCAGAACAAGCTTTCATTACTTCTTGAGCCGCAATTGAACCAATCACAGATTGCATTGGACAGAGGTCGCCTGTGGCTTGCATTGCTAAATCTTTAATTATATCGGCTGCTCCATTTTCGCTATCAATTTCTTTTGCAAGATTTAGTACTTTTTCGGCATCTTTTTCGTTTCTCGGTCCTGGTAAAGCTTGATTGCTTTGAACAAACTTGTGCAAAGCTTGAAAGCCTGCATGTAACTGCGCTGGCCTATCAAATTTAGCGAAATCGGAAATGACAAATTCCGGTGACTTCAGAGATTCACTGAAACTTTTGAATTCTATTTTTCTTGCTGTTTTGACTTGTTTAACGATTCCTCCACGACTATAGCTGCTGAATTTCGATGTGTCACCTATGGAGAATGTGTATGGTCCTAAACATTTAATTTTTCGTGGTTCGCATTCATTTAGTTCGGTCATTCCATGAACCTCGGTGAACGTTACGTAATCACCATCTTGAAATTCTTGTCTCTGATCATCCAAACAAGTGACGACGCCTAATTCGCTTTGCTCAATATTTGCCACCATATATGAGAGAGGTTGTTCACCATTATCATCATATACAGTAAAGGATTTGCCAAAATCACAAAATATTTGCCTGGAATTAAAAGGATAATATAGAATAACATCGAACATAAGGTTTGTAAATAATCAAAACAAAAATCATAAAATCAGGCCCATATCCGAAACTTTCATTAATGAACTTTCAGTCAAACATAGTTTTACATCATATTTACAAAATACTGAATCATATAGGAAATTGAAATGATTTCTAACCCAAATAATCCTTTTGTGTCAGCAATTATGACGCAGATATCTTTAGTATGGCAGAAATCAGCTATTTTACGCTGTTCCTCTATGCTAGAGTTAGTTAGAACGACAACGTTGAAATCAGAAACAAATTCCTCTTGTAGTTCCTTTTTGTAAATGCTAATAGGAACATAACTGTTTAATTCTGCTAAACGAGGTTGAACCACGTCAACTCTGTATTTTCCTAAATCCTCTTCTCTCAAAAAGAACTGTAAATGCATAAAATTTCAGTTTATTGTGAAATGAACTGAAAGACATAGGATTCTGAATATACCTGAGAAGATAAATCACCCCATTGAGCTTTGCCAGTATCTTGAATGGTGACGGCTTTTACACCTCCAAGAACTATGTTCTTTGCTATTTCAACCCCAAGGCCTCGCATCCCGGCTATGAGAACGTTTGATTGAGCCATTCTTCTCATTGCTTCATGTCCGAGAACGTACAGCTGCCTAGAATATAAGCTCTCGTCGATTTCCATGCCGTTTGAACTGTTCTGATTCATCTATCAAAAATATAAAAGGATGTATTTTTTCATCGATTTAAATGAAGTTATCGACTAACAATATCTAATTTCGTTCTTTTTGCCGGTGGAGACTGGTCGTTACTGTTAGACATCTAAAAATATAAAAAAAATATGTCGTATTAATATGTAACAGAGGTATTCAAGCTTAACAAAGCGGGAGCTAAATAATTTACACTTTCAGTTAAAACTTAGAAGTCATATGAAGACGAAATCAAAATCTAACTGGCTGTAATCGAATTTTCTTTCGAACGACAGGGAACGTGCCGGCTTCTGAAATAAAAATGGCGGATTCGAAGACGGAAAGCCTACTGACCAATGATCGGAAATAAAATTACAAAATTTTAAGCAATATTTAAAATTGCGTCGACTAAATAGATTAGATGCAGTTTTGCGACAAATAATTTATTTTTAAGGACAAGTCAGCTCAAAGTGAAAAATGCTAGAATATTCGTAATCAGGTCAGGACAGGTGTGGCAGCTTACAAACACAAAATATCTGATAAATTTTTGAAAGAGCAACATATTATATTATGATGCTTAATAAAATTAATTTTTCAATTGATATTTTAAAATGTTTAAGCATGTTAATTGAGATAAATCAAAATAATTATTCTCACGTATAAGTACCAACCCTACTCTAAAAATGAACTAACCCAATGGCCGGCGGAGCCGGATCAGCAAGTGTTTTCCTAGAAGTTTGGTGGATTCAACCTCTGTATTTTTGCAGAAGATGAGCCTTGTGCTCCGATTTTCAGCAATAATTTAAAATTGCCAAGTGCCGCCTGTAGAAAGCTTTGACACAATGTAGGAATCGATTAAAAATTGACGTTGCTCAGATAGCGTCGGAATTTCCTCTTCGTTATAATGACGTAAGATTTGTGTCGTTCGGTGATTGGCTGAAATGAGAGATTTATGAATATTGATATATTACTCATCCGCAAAATAATTTCTTGATCTTGAGAAAAATTTTATACCATACAATTATTTGACAATAATTTTACATATATTTAAAATCTTTAATAATTATAATTTTGCAAGCTCTTTTGTCCACTTCTGTTACAATTATAACAAGTTCCTAAATTAGGTAATGAAATCATTTTGAAAAGCGTTATGTATTTGTCAAGTGCAATGAAAAAAATAATGTAATATAAAGTGAAGCTTTTTCCAACAAAAAAATTTTCAGAATATTTCTAAAGACAAAATAACGAAAAAAAATCAACTTCATCGTATTCAATTATCTTAACGAATATTTAACGTAAGGTATTTCAACATCCTTTCCATTCTGATCATCACAACAAACTTCTAAAACAATTGATTTAATATGATCAGGTATTTCTTTCTTTGTAACTTCTACAATAATTTCAGAAATTTTCATTTCTAATCGTCTCTCTTTCTTCGTATTATCCATAAAGTTTGAAAACAATGTGGCAACATCATAACAAATCATTGTCACCTCAAATCCATGCTTTTTTTGGAAAAAACTTATTAAATCTTTCAGTTTTGCATCTCCTTTAATATCAAAACGATCCCAAAGAGTCCAATATTCGTTGGCGTATTTATGAACAGCAGCCTTCATTGGCTCACTAAAACTAAAGAACGGTAAGGCTATGTTAATGAAACCGTTTTTGAAACGTTCAACTTTCTTTTGTCCGGAAACAATCTGAAAAAGCTGCTTATACAATCTTTATACAAAAAATTAATAAATATCATACTTTATATAATTCAAGATTAACAAGACCGACAATTAAAGATGTGGTAGTTGCAATAGCTGGAATGATTTTACCAGCTATAAGTTTCGATTTATGTCTATCCGCTGTTGGAATATTATAATTTGTAGCTCTCAAATTAGAACAGGCAACAATAAAATCCATATGGAAATTTGTATCATCATCCTTTTCGAATTCAATGGCTTTTATTTGTAAACCGTCTAATTGTTGACAGTTTGGAATTTGACTCAGCAGTCTTTGTAAGGTCTCTTCATCAACGCATCCATCATCATTAGCACTTGCTGCTTCTGAATCAGTCGTAGCTATCTTAATTCCACTACGTGGAACAAATTCTACAAGTTTTATCTTTTCGGCATACTTTTGAATATAACTTCTATCAGCCCTTTCAGTCATTCCATACATTTCCGCTCTCAGATTGGCGGCCGCTACTACATAATCAAGATGCTCAGAATTTGACGCATCAAAGAAAATAGGATGAGGACACCGTTTAGGTCCTGACCAGAATGGAGTATTCGAAGAAGTCGTATAATCTTCGGGGAAATTGAACAATAGTTGTTTAATTTGATTTGTGTAGTTCTCTTCAAACAACTTTCTTGCCCACATAATACAATCATCAAATTTAGCTGGGCGTTCATCAACCAATAACTTCTTCACAGTTTCTAATGTTTCGGCTGGTTGAACCCCAGGTAATTTGAGAGTTCTTTCAACAAATTTGCTGTCCTTTAAATATTGTTCAGCACTCTCAGGGGCTTGTTTGAAAATTCCTTCAAATTGATCACGAGCCCATTGTAGAGTGTGTTCTATAGCGTTAGGAAAATTTTTTAGAGTACATATTGGAATAGACTTTTCTGGCGGATCGTGAGAAGATGAATAGGATTCAGTAACCCAAGGAATAACGACTTGAACGTTTCCTTTCGTTCCTAATGTACCCGATTCAAGGAGAGGTTTACGATAGTATACACATCTTCTATCTATATAGATTCTGGCGTCTACATTATCCAGAGCATTAGTAACGCCATCCAAATTTTCAAAAAAGTCATCTGTATAAATATTTTCTGTTTCAGGCCCAACACGATTTTCTTGAGGATATATGTTAAATTTCGGATTCATTTGACTACAAGCATTAGCTGCTGTTGCAGACTTGGTTTTTCCTACATTTTCTGGTCTGAATAAGAACTGTCTGTTCAAGTTAGATCTTTCAATAATATCCATATCAGTGACCCAAGCTTGGCCATTGGAACCACAAGCTAATCCAATCATTGCCCAATTCTTAAGCATTTCACAGCCTATAGCTCCTGCCCCGACTAAAAAGTATTTTTGATTTCCTAAAATTTCTTGAAACTTTTCACCAAACACAGCGATTTGTCCATCGTATCTGCATTTTTTAGGCTTGCAATCTTTTTCCGTTAAAACAGTGTCTGCAGGAATACATTCAACAGCGTCAAAGTAAAACCATTGTACTATGGGCATAAACTTTCCAGAACAAGCTTTCATTACTTCTTGAGCCGCAATTGAACCAATCACAGATTGCATTGGACAGAGGTCGCCTGTGGCTTGCATTGCTAAATCTTTAATTATATCGGCTGCTCCATTTTCGCTATCAATTTCTTTTGCAAGATTTAGTACTTTTTCGGCATCTTTTTCGTTTCTCGGTCCTGGTAAAGCTTGATTGCTTTGAACAAACTTGTGCAAAGCTTGAAAGCCTGCATGTAACTGCGCTGGCCTATCAAATTTAGCGAAATCGGAAATGACAAATTCCGGTGACTTCAGAGATTCACTGAAACTTTTGAATTCTATTTTTCTTGCTGTTTTGACTTGTTTAACGATTCCTCCACGACTATAGCTGCTGAATTTCGATGTGTCACCTATGGAGAATGTGTATGGTCCTAAACATTTAATTTTTCGTGGTTCGCATTCATTTAGTTCGGTCATTCCATGAACCTCGGTGAACGTTACGTAATCACCATCTTGAAATTCTTGTCTCTGATCATCCAAACAAGTGACGACGCCTAATTCGCTTTGCTCAATATTTGCCACCATATATGAGAGAGGTTGTTCACCATTATCATCATATACAGTAAAGGATTTGCCAAAATCACAAAATATTTGCCTGGAATTAAAAGGATAATATAGAATAACATCGAACATAAGGTTTGTAAATAATCAAAACAAAAATCATAAAATCAGGCCCATATCCGAAACTTTCATTAATGAACTTTCAGTCAAACATAGTTTTACATCATATTTACAAAATACTGAATCATATAGGAAATTGAAATGATTTCTAACCCAAATAATCCTTTTGTGTCAGCAATTATGACGCAGATATCTTTAGTATGGCAGAAATCAGCTATTTTACGCTGTTCCTCTATGCTAGAGTTAGTTAGAACGACAACGTTGAAATCAGAAACAAATTCCTCTTGTAGTTCCTTTTTGTAAATGCTAATAGGAACATATCTGTTTAATTCTGCTAAACGGGGTTGAACCACATCAACTCTGTATTTTCCTAAATCCTCTTCTCTCAAAAAGAACTGTAAATGCATAAAATTTCAGTTTATTGTGAAATGAACTGAAAGACATAGGATTCTGAATATACCTGAGAAGATAAATCACCCCATTGAGCTTTGCCAGTATCTTGAATGGTGACGGCTTTTACACCTCCAAGAACTATGTTCTTTGCTATTTCAACCCCAAGGCCTCGCATCCCGGCTATGAGAACGTTTGATTGAGCCATTCTTCTCATTGCTTCATGTCCGAGAACGTACAGCTGCCTTGAATATAAGCTCTCGTCGATTTCCATGTCTTTAGCGGCGTTGTGTAACTGGAAATATGATTAAATTTAAATTGTTAAGAAATAAAGCGGTCTGCTTTCTTTATTTAGTTTCGTTTTGTTAATATTAACCATATTAAGGTTGTCGGTTGTAGATGGTATATTTTATATAATGTGATATTAGAACTATTATCTGGAAAATTAATTTCGATGTTTGATGTAAATATCAGCTGAATGTTGAAGACTTTAAATGAAAATGGCGGATATGAAGACAGAAACCTGTTAATCAATGGTTGGAAATAACATTTCGAAATATTGATTAATAAGTAGACTCGCATTGACTGGTTTTATAGGCCAATATGACATAGTGATAATATTTATATTTTATACTATTTAAAAATTACTCAGTATTTTGTTATCTTTTTGTGAAATTTTTATTGTAACTGAAATAAATAATTTCAATTGAATCGAAAGTTTTGAATTATGACTAATTTTCGAAAGTTTTAATTCCAAAATTGTAACAGTTTTTAAATATTAAACTATTTTTCTCAATATTTAATTTTCAATTCAAACTGTTCATCTTATGCAGAAGATAGAAAGCTGTCAATAAAAACATTGATCCCAAAAGATCCCCTATTGCCGTTAAATATGGAATTGCAACACTGTCTGGATCAAGCTTTCTATTCCATGCAGCCTTAACGATAACAGGTGCTATAAATAACAGAATAATCACTTGTAGAAGAGCAGCACAAAAGTAACTAATAATGAGAGCTGGAGTTATTGCGACATGTCCTGCTTCACAATATGTTATAATTCCTAAAAAGGCTAAGTGACCTGGAATCATGATTCCTAACAGTACGAACGCTGATTTCTTTATATTGATTGGTTTGTCTGTATGTAAAGCTGTTGACAAACGTGAAGCGTGAATAGCTGCTATATTTCCTCCCGCCCCGTTCACAACTGGTTGGAAGACAGCAAGACCTTCGAAGGATGATAATGCGAAATCAAGTACGAGACCACCTGCAGACGATATCACCATAGCACTAATAATTGGTGTCCATCCATCAGATAGGGCATCTTTAACTAACTCATTTTTGGCCGACATAATATACCAGAAAGGAGAAAGACATAAGGCAATTGATAGTATAAGATAAGGCAACCATTTGAAGTGTGATAAGTAGATTAGGCTCGCGATGGCAGATAGTAAAGTCAAAGTAGTCACGTCTCCCAGAGCCGCTGCCAAAGGGGTTGCAATATTGTCTGGATTCAATTTGCACTTTCTGGCCCCAGTAACTACCAATACCATAACTACACTTAGAATTAATGAAGCTGACATTGCAGTTGCAACACTTGCAGACGCTGCAACAACTGAATTTTGAAAATTAAACTGTCCTTTTGGTATCCACCCGAACACAGCAGCAACAATTGCTGCTAAAATTCCAACAACAGTTGCTTGAAGTTGTACCAAGCATATATTTCCCCACGCAGCTGTTAGATTAGAGTGTTTTTTATTTGGTCTATTTGCAAATGTAGACAATCGACTGGCAAGGGTCATTTCTAAATTTCCTTTAAGCCCTAATAAAGGAGTGACTAAAACTGTGATTTGATGTAACTTTGTGTAAACTTCCCAATGTTGAACCTTGTCCAGAACAAGACCAGCAGCCACTAGACCAATTCCGGCGATGATAAATGAAGGAAACACCTGAAGAGCCATTTGATGAGAACCTTCTTCACTGGGTTTTGATACAATGGGCGTTGGGGTCGTTTCTTCTTCACCATCATTTTCTTTCAATAAGACTTCGATTTCTTCTCCTTCTGGCATTTTTTTCCGTTGTCGTAGTAGATCGTTGTTATTAGTAGACATAATTAAGGGTTTCTGTTAAGTTAAATTCTATTGATGAATCTTTGAAATCGATTCTCAAATTTTAAGAAACATTAATAAGTGATTTAAAAATAAATAAATCAGATTTCGTTGGTTTTGAACAACCTAATAGTAAAGTTTGTTCAAAAACGTCTTATCGTTTGGAATTTAACCAATATTAATTAGAGTACCTGTAGGATTGGCCATTTATTCGCGTGGCCGTATTTACGTTTAAAAAAACCGATGACCAGTCAATTGAAAAAGGAACAGGAATCCAGTTTATTTTGATATTCTGCCAAAGCTTTATCAGTGCTTAGGATTTCCTTACTGTTTCTTACAATAGAAATCTATCTAACTCTACATTTTCTGCTCTCACAACAAAAGATATGAATATAAGTAATTAATTAAAGGCAACTAACAGCTACTGCTCCTGAAGATTCGGCCATGTTTGTTTTCATTTATTCATCGTTCTCTGAGCTATCGTCTTAGATTTTGTCCATCATCTCCATGATTAATACCTAACTCACACATATATACAGATACAATTATTAATTATGATTGGAAGAGGATGGCCATTGCAGACCTTGCCAAATGCTCAAGTCAATTGGCAACAGCCGATTCAAATTCGGCCCCCTCCACCACCTACTGATCCTCCTACGGTAAATAAATTATATTTCTCTTATTATTATGGATTATTGTATCAAATAATAAATTAATAGGAAGAATTAAGAGCTCAAAATATGGAGGAAGAAATAAAATTAACTGAACTACAAAATCAAGCAGCCCAGTGGCAGCAACATCAAAAATCATCACATGTTCAGCAAACTTCAAAAGGTAAATGCAGCTATTATTTATCTACACGTTTCGCACAAAAGTACATAGTAATCAAACTATAAATGTTTTAACATTGTTTAAAATATTGCCAAAAGTTTGCAATTTTTTTTTATATAAAAGTAATGATTATGTAAATTTTTCGAGGCACGTAAAGTCAATACACCGCAAGTTAATTATACTATGTAAATTAGTTTAGCTTGGGAATTGGTTTAATTCTTAAGAAAATGCATTGTAACAAGTAATTAAGATACTTATTTTAAATAATAGAGTTGCAAATAATTGAACAAGAAGAGCGAGAATTTAGCAAGCAATACAAAGAATGGAAAAAGCAATACGAAGATTGGAAAGCAGCAAATAAAGGTAACATTTTTATATTTACTTTTAGCTAATCGTTGTTGTTATAATTTGTTTTGACAAATGAAAATGTCAGTTGACCTTTTCAAGATTTGGAAATCTATGTTTTCTCTTTGATAAAAAGTAAAGTAAGTGCATTTTTTTCCTCTTCAGACCACCCAAATAAAGACCAATTTCAACAATATGAGCAGCAATGGCATCAATATGAAGAACAAATGGAATCGCGTCGATCAGAGATAGCAAATAGAAAACATCAAACTTTGCAAAATTTAGGCTCTCCCGTCTTGTCTCAAATTCCACCTGATGAGAAATTTGGGATATTATCTGCTCAAGTCTCCCGTCCACCAAATATGATTCAAGCTGCACAGTTATCTTTAAATGTTTCGAATGCCAGACTGCCATTAAGAAATCCAATTCCAATGCCGAATCTATCCATTCCTAACCAAAATCAGTGGAATCGCCCCGTTGTACCTCAAATTAGTCAGGGACAACCGCTTACCCAATTTGTCCATCAGCGACCTCAATTCAGTGATCAGACTAGACTACATGTACCGGATCAATGGGTAGGAAATACTGGATGGGATCAACCTCAGCCATTCCAACAAGATTTACAACACAGATTAGGAATGGATGTTAGGATTCCTAAACAGCAGCCATTTACCTCAATCAATCAAAATTATTTTCAGCCATCTGTACTTCCTATTGGAATTCCACAAAGACCGGTAGCTGGATTTATTGACCAACGGAATCAGCTCAATCTTAACTTTAGGCCTACAACACCTATTATAGAAAATGAAAGACTATCAAGACTTCCATTTGGATTCCCTGGACATTCTGATGTAGTAATTCATTCACTTAACGAGCACTCACAAAAAGTAGATGATAGAATTAATTTTGATCCTAATAATGCCTTAGCTGAACAATTGGACATTGCACAATTTCGTAGACCTTGCGATAATTTCAAGGAAACTCATTTACCTCAAACGGAGAACTTTAACCAAAAAGAGGAAAACAAATGTGGTTATCAACAGAATGTAAATTTTTCCAGATGTGGCTTTAATCCTCCAGATAATGCAAGTGATACTGCTCAATTAGGAGGTGGTGGCGGGGAATGGAACCAACCAAAAATAAAACCCAAAGCTGGAATAAGAGGAAGATCTAAATTTGGCCCTCCACTTGCAGTAGATGAAAACTTTCAAGGCGAAAGTCAGGAATGCAGAAACTTTGGACATATTCCTACATATGAAGATGACGAACACCTCCCAAGAAATCAAAGTCAAGAAGTTCGCCGACCTTTACAACACGAAAATGATGAACGGCAATACCCTTCGGACGCCGAATTAAATACCAATATTAATAAGTATGGTCGAGGAAGGTGTAACTCTAACTCTTCATTCGAAGATGGCTATAACCCCCAGAGAGGTCGAGCTCCAGCTCCTGGCAATTACAACAGAGAATTTCCTGAAAATCAGCCATTTCTTGATGAATCAAGGGGAGGTAGGAGAGGAAGAGGTCATAGCTCATTTCATTCGAAAACGAACTCTTTTAATGATAGAGACGATTTCGATGAAAATTTTGATAGCGGAAGACATGATACCTATAATAACGACAACATTGATCTGACAGATGGTAAATTGTATTATGATGAACTATACGAAGATCTACCACCATATGAAAAAAGAAGAAAACAAACGAATAAAAGCTCTTCAGTGCCGAATGTAGATGTAAATAAATTATTGAGTGGTGTGAATTTGACTGGTTTACAGGGTGATATTTTAAGCAAAGCAGCCGAAGGTTTAAAATTAATTAAAGAAAAAAACACAACCCAAAAATATCGAAGAATTTTTTCGGCCTTTGAAAATGATATTGCCCCTAGACCGGACTTTTTCGATTCCTATTTGGATGATCCTTCTTTCATAAACACTCTTAAGAAACAGCCAAATTCACATTCCGTTCCCGTGGAAACTAGAAAAACAGTAGAACATCCTAAAGAAGTGATCGACTACGGACACGGCGTTTCCGATGTTCGTGATTATGGACATTCTAATGAGAAAGGAGATACATTTGGTGCTAAAGTAGGTGACGATGCAGTAGGAAGGAAAGATGATGAACGACTCAGAGATATTGAGAGAAAAAGGGAAACCAGAGAATTTTCTAATCGTCATCGGAACTATTTACAAGAGTTAGACAGAGATAGAGAAAGACTTTATAAAACAAATCATAGCATTTCTAGACGAAGGAGACGAAGTAGAAGTGACAGTACCGACAAAAACAGAACAAGAAGAAGTAATAGCTCATCAAGTGGAGATAGTTCATCTAGAAATCGTGAAAGAAAAAAGACTTGTGGATCTGATAGTGAAGATGAAGTCAAGGAAAAGGATATTACAAAATGGAGAAGAGAACGACATGATATTGATTTGTATTATTTTTTTATTTTCTTTCAAATTCTCTTCGTAAATAAGATTTATAGCTTACTCGCCCTAAATATTCCAGTAAAATCTCGTAGTATACACATCATACGGCTTAAGGAAATTAATTTTTTTCTATTTTTAGAAACTACTTATTAGGCTACTTATTCTTTATTCCGGATTGATTTACTTTTTAATTAGTTATCCTAAAATTAATTTAAGAATAATTAATAAGAAGCTTTTTATTTTGTAACAAATATGATATAAAAATAATGCAGAGTACCCTCTGGGTTTGGTAGATTTGGACCTAATATGAAATCTCAACCAAAACTGAAAGGTATCAACTTATCTATAACTGATATCTTGGATGAACCTGGAAGATCTCGTCGCGCTGATAGATTAGTTATTTTAATAAGAGGTGCACCTGGCTCTGGCAAAAGCCGAGCAGCTAAAATGATCAAAGAGAGAGAAGTTAAACATGGCGGAACAGCTCCAAGACTGATGTCAATCGATGATTATTTTATCGATGAGGTGGAGGAAAAGGTCGTTAATGAGGCGGGTAAAAGTTCTACTGAAACAAAGTTAATGTATGACTTTGATGGTAAAATGGAGAAAGCTTACGCCGAGTCTTTATTAAAAGCTTTTCGAAAGCAAATTGATAATGGATATTTTAATTTTATTGTCGTTGACGCTGTTTTTGACAAAACTGATCTGTTGGATAGATTTTGGAGTTACGCTAAAGTAAAAGGATTTCAGGTTGGTAATTTCTGTCTCGGCCTAAATTGATATTCTATTTTACTTAAATATCTATAAGTTGTAAATCTGTCAAAGGAAAAGTAGTTATAAATTACTCAAAAAAGATTATAAATAGGGAACAAATAATGTAAGCAAAAAGGTGCTATAATAGTTTATTTTTAGCATAAGTTTTAACTTTGTTGGACTGTTTACTAAAGCCAAAAATATTTTATCCAGTGAGAATATTTTTCATATTATCTTTATATAAAATTTTGTATATACTGTATAATGTGTATATTTAATCTTATTAATAATTACTACTCTCTTCGCTTTTTAATGTTTTGTTTTCATTATTCTTTTTTTTTTTCCCCGCAATCTGAGAAAAGTTATCTTTGCGAATTATTTCCGATATTATCGTATTTATTAAACGAGCGCAAATTTGTTATTTTTTGCGAAAATTACTTATTATTATTTCGAGCAAATTGTTTTTCGTTCTACGGAAATAAGCTCAATTTACAATCAGGTCTGTTGGTTGAATATTTTTTTATTCTTATCTATAAATATTCTATATAATTAATTTAAGACTAATCAATAAAATATTCATATTTTAATTATATTCTTTTTTTAAAAAGAATTAATATATATAAATTATATAATTATTATTAATTCTAATATAAAATTAAGCGTTTAATAAACGATGTATTGAAATTATTTGCAGGTTTTCGTTGGTGAATTAATTAAGGATGCTGAAATTTGCGCAAATAGAAATATTCACAATCGAAGTTTAGAGGATATTAAAAAGGTATGGTATATTTTTTTAAAGAAAGAATAACTGTATTAATAAGCGTATGATTTTTTTATTATAAAGATTATTTCGGGCTGGCAACCGACACCTAAACATTGTAGTATTGTTGATTTAAATCCATTATCAGAAGACCCAATTGAGGAGGTATTATAATACAATACAATATTTTTTGATCTTATAAGGTCTTATAAGAAAATCAATAAAAATCCATAGGTTGAAATGGAAGATACAGATGAACTAATAGATCAATCAGAAATTAGCCAAGATATGAGAGACGAAAAAGAAGGAGATATCGAAGGAGCTGAAAGTTGGATTGTATGGATTAAATAAAAAATAATTTAATGTAAATCAATGTAGAGACAAGTATAATATATCTATTAACACTTTTATAGGGTTACAAGTCTAGTAAATGGGAAATAGACGCCAGTGAAGATAAACTAGGTAAGATTATATTATATAAATTATATAATAAAAATAAAAAATCCTATATTATTGTAATAAATAAAAAGTTTTTTCAGTTGATATGATTTTGAAGTTTTTGATTTACTCAAAAAAGATTTTAAACTTGTATTGTTTTTCTTTTTTCATTTTTTTTTTAAAAAGAAAATACAAGCATTTTTCATTACAAGAATGTGTTGTTTTTTCTTTCATTAACGATTCGCTAGTTTCAATTTCAACAATAATCTATTTTTAGGTTTAGGAACGTTTTATAAATTATCATTAGCAGTGATATGTTTTTGTTTTATATTTGTCATTTGTTATTAATTATGTTTTTTTTTGCTTGTCTTTAAAAATAGATAAACTTGACGGTCTTCGATCGAGTAGGTTCAAAAGAGAACGTTCGCCAGTAGATTTGAATGACTATTTGCAATTAGATAGTGACTATTACTCCAGAACATCGCAGTCCGGCCGAAAAAGAGTATGTATAAAGAGTACTAAGAGTTATAAATAATAGAAATACTGTATATCTAATAACTTTGAAAATACTTTGATCTTTACTTCTTTACAAATAGGTAAGGTGGGCGGATATAGAAGAAAGGAAATCTCATAGACGGCAAAGGGATATTGGTTTTGTTATTGGACAAACAGCGTCAGACTGGGAGAAAATGACAACTGATACAGATATTGTTGCCGAAAGAGCACTAAACAAAACTAAATACTTTTAGTTTGACTTTGTTCAATTTTTTTTGGAGAGATGTACGTAAATTATAAACTACTTAATAGTATACAAGTGTATACAATTTGTTTTTATAACTGTTCAATTGTTAAATTTTGTTGTTCGTTAATTACTTGAACATATGTAATTCCAAAAGTAATAAAAAATCTATATGTATAAATTATTCAGTATTTTGATAGAAAAACTCATAAAAGGGGATTATGAGGGCATTGCCTACCTAAGAAAGGTAGATGACGCCACTTTATAATCAAAACTTTACGCATGCGTCCAAGTACCATAGCGACGGCGTCCTGACAACAGTAATCTTTTTTCGATTTCGTTGACTATAAGGATTGTTTCATTATAGCAGCAGAGTAATGGCAAGACCAGGTTATTACCATTGGTCGCAACAAAAGCCTGTTACGACAAATGAAAACTATGGTTTTTTCTTAAAAGACGAAGCCGAAAGATTGGCGAAACTACCTGCAAGAAAACTACCGGCCAAACCGGAAGATGACACTCAAAGAAAATTGGACATAATTAACGCTTATACAAGACCATTTAGCAACACAGCCTTTTATCCGCCAGTCTATCACGGAAGTATAGCTGTTGAAGAGAAGAAAAACGGAACCTGTAGATTACGCTTACCTCCTTGCGCTTACAACAATAGGAGAAATAAGTTTGATATTAACAAAGGCTACACATACGGACCTACCAGTTGGTGTAAGAAGAGTGTTGGAGGTAAATTACCTACGTCAACAAGGGCTTCTATTTCGGCACCCTCTAATGGTGGACAATCATACGAGGGAAATTCTTTTGCATCCAGGGACCTTTACCTGTGGCATTCGCTAACTGGATCACTTGTAAATGTTAAGAAGAACTTTGCCGAAACAGCAAGATAAAATGACAAATATCAGTATTATTCACTTAACAAATTAAGAAAAAAGAACTTTGTGTGGCGTGTGTAAACTACTGTATTTTTTTCCTCCTTATCTATCAGATATTAAGAGACTTTTATAAATGTTCTTAATATATCTGATGAAAAAGACAAAATGCCTTGAAATTACGTACTTTATTAAGTGAAATCTTTATCGAATTTCACCCTAGGTAATCTTTTATATTTGATAACTGCCATGTTTTTTTTTTCACTCTGAAAAAAAAAGAACATTCTTTAAAAAGAACAAATATACACTCCAAAAAAATATGGTGGCTGTTAAATAGTTTTAAAAAGGAAGGAAAAAAGATTTTGTTTTTACAGTATACAATTTCAAGTTTTGAATATCACTAACACCGATTGCAAACTTATCTTTATTTTCTTCAATTCTTCTTCTAAAACTCTTTCTTCTCTTCTTCTTTTTGTTTTTTAATAAAAAGAAGTAATACATGCAAAAATATTTCAGCGATTTTTTTTTTAAAAAAAAAATTTTTTGAATTTAAAATAAAATAAAAAGCTATGTAAAGTAGTAGAACGTGTACAAAAAAAATTGATAAAGGAATTAAGCTATTGGAATGGGGAATAGCTATCGTTTGCTTTTCGTATCGATCGTTATTTTAAAACGATCTATCGTAAACCATTTGTAATTATGAGTGAAAAAAAGAGCTAATGTTGTTAAAATGCTCTTTAAACAGCTGGAAAAAATTTAATTTCCTTTCCAGTTAAGAATAAAAACATATTTGATAAAAGGATAGTTTACTTAATCACGTGACTCCGGGAAATCCTTCCGTGTAAAACATTCTTTAATTGGTAACTAAGGTCACGAAAATATGGAGCTGCGCCGAATAGTGGCCAAGAAACAATTACCTGTTGTCTGTAAAATAAGTACAATATATGACAGATCATTAGGAGAGGGTGAACAAGAGTTTATTGAAGAAGGTTCCCTGTTTGTACTTCACTGTCTGAAAAGAGAGAGAAGAGCGAAGGTATTAGGTGATTTCAACGAACAGTTTTATATTTCTTTCAACTGTTCAGAAGAAGTTGAACTACTACCCTCAGGTTAATAAAGCACTATAATTTATTTAAAAAAAAAAACAATGCATTGTATCTGTGGTCAATTTTTAATTATTCTATTGTTTAGACGCTCGTTTGGACGACGTCGAATTTAATAATGTAGCCGAAATAATGGTGAATGAGCCCATGCCAAAGTTGATTAGGTGTATTCAGCCTCATATTGGCAAAACGGTCGATACAAGCGTCTATGTTGGAGAAGTTTTAGAAATAAGCCGCATAGAATTGAATAATGAAGAGGTTCGATATTTAGATATGTTCTTTAATCAAACAAGTTTACCATTTCCTTTTTGTTCTCTCTTTCTTCTCTTTTCGCTATAGCAAATTCTAGTTTGTTTGAACACTAATGCCCAGACAATAAGACTAAATGAGAATGACTGCCTTGCTAAATTTAGCGCAATGCCTTCTGAACGCTTACTCCAAATTTCTGAACTACTTGAAGATGAAAACTTTCCGAAAAGGGTTCGTCATTTTGACGAAGAGAAATCTGATTGGAAGAATCTAATAATCGATTGTATAATCGAAAACGATTATGTAATTGCCACAATGGTCAATAATCCTTATTGTTTGTCTATTCCTGTAGAGGAAGTTCACCATAGATTTGAAATCATTAATCCAACTGATGAATTAACATTAATGCTTTTATCGTCCTTAAAACCTTTATATTCAAATATAAATACAAGTTTCAAGGTAAAGGAAATAGGAAAAAACGTTCCGCCAGTAAAATGGAGAAACCTTGCTCAGCCAATAAACGGAGTCCTAGAGGAATGGAAGCATAGTTATGACTGTAAAAAGTTTACAGTTAATTATACGAAATGTGGAAATTTATCGGAATTAACGTATAACAGTACTTTGAATAGCGAATTCGGAAGAGTTTGTGAAATATTCGATAAAGATGAGAAGGTAGAAGCTATTAGTGAATGGACAAACGAGACAGTTCTAAACGTTCTTCGAGAGTTAAATTTACAGAAATATGTGAATAAATTTCACGAAGAGAATATAGATGGTTCCCTACTAATGCATTTAACTGAAGAAATGTTATTAAATGAACCATTCTGTATGACAAAATATCACGCATTGAAGTTACTTAACAAATTGATGGTTTAACCTTGAAAATAAAGGGATCAAAATTATTAAAGCGGACATTTTGAAAGTGTTTTTAAAAATACATTGATGATTTGTAAACTATCAAAAACAAAATTAATGAATCAGAGAAAAGTGCTAATACTGCAAAATAAAACTGTTTCTTCTAGGCAGGCTCCTGTCTTTTAATAAGATTGAAAGGGTTGTTCGGTTGAACTAGAGTAATCGCCTTCGACATTTCACCATCCCTTTTAAACTCTGGATTCCGAGGTTGTAAAGGTAGAGGGCGATGAGTTCTAGCAGTAGTTTTATCGTCTCCTGTTGTTGCATGAGCAGGCATTGAATGCGGTCTGTAGAGAGTACAACCGGCGTAGCCGGGAATGTTAGGCCTATGAGCAGTTTCAGATGGACGGGGGATAGGAACTCTTTTAATAGTGAATGGTCTGAATCTCTCTTCTTTATTATCAATTTCTTCAAGATTTTCTCCTCCGATAGAACCACTATATCCGGGTATTTGTGTAGCTCTGGGATTTTGGCTACAGCTAAAATATAAAATTGTTATTAAATCACCGTAAATCACTTTATATTAGTCTTAATGGTTTGACTTACAAAACGACGCCAGGTATCGGTCCGTTCTGCTTATAATAGCCTTTTCTAGTTTGGTAAGAGTCCCAAGGTCGTAAATCTTGTCTTTGCCACTCGTTAGCTGTAGATTCGTAACGATTTTTTGGGGCACTTTGGCGTATAGGGTCTGCTGCTGATTCAAGCGTATGCGTTGGTTTCCATTTTTTAAGGGAAAGCATTTCGTCCCAAGGCACATGTTCATAAGATCTTTGAGTTGATGAAGTATATCGGTATCTTAATGCTAATTTATCTCTCATCGATTCTTCGGCTGTCTTAGCACGCTTTTCGTCCTCCTTTGGATCTTTTTTACTTGTCCATCCACCTAAGCCATTTCTAATCGAAACGTCAAGCATGCCACGTGAATTCCAAAGATATGGAGCACCAGGATCTTTTACAGTTTCTCTTAGAGTATCCGGAGGAGCTGCTGGTTTACCTACCCTAATGGAGTTAATTTGACGGATATCTTGAGCATTTGGCTTATCATTTAAATGGACCATTAAAGAAATTCTATTATGACCAGTGTTTCTATCGGCATCACCACCAGCGGATAAGAAACCAGACACGGGATCAACAAAATTTTCGAAAGACCTATAGGGTGCTGGAGGCCGATTATCACCTTCATCATAATGCCTTTTAAATTGTTCAGGAGTAGCAGTCCTACTAAATGATTCCACATCCGATCGTCCCCTAACTAGAGGCATTCTCATTTGATTTTGACGTCTTTTTTCCTCAAGTTGCGTTATTGATGTTCCTCCTGTATTATTATCACTTCTATAGAAAGTATGGGTTACGGGACGAGTTTTGAATATAGAATCCGAAAGAGTTTGACGAACTGATACAACTTCCGCCATATTTATTTAAATTCTCCAATTTTCACTAGCAATTTAAAACGAAAATTATAGGAAAACGAGCTATTTCTCTCTAAAGAGCAGAAATCAAACTTTCAAACGGTAAAGTTTTCCCTTTACCGTTGTCATTGACGACGATATGCAGGATAGCAGCGAATAAAGGCTTATCGATTTCAGTAAATCGATTTATTATCGTTAAGAAGATATGGATGGTTTTTATTTATTGAACTGTACATAAAGTGTACCAAATCAAAGATTTAGAACAAAAAAATCGTTAGTAAGGCAGAAATAACAAAAATTTGCAGTTAAAGTACTTTTTATCCCTGCTTAAAGTCATTTACGTGAGCAGAAACGATTCGATCGAATAGCTCAGAAGTCCAGTGGAATGGTCGTCAGGTTGTTTTAGTAGATAATTGAGAGTGAGAGAAAAGATTTTCTTTCAATTTGAACTTCAAGTAAAATAACTTCTTTATTCTTTACGGAACTTAAGCAATTGGAATATTCACAAGAGAAGGTAGAGACTAACTTCTACTACAAACATAACATAATTTGGACTTGTTCAGACGGGACGTTAATAGGCGAAAATAGGGAAGAAGAATGAAGATTCTCCATCCATATTTAAAATAATATGCCTCCTTCAAAATTAACTTTTCAAGTGGCACACGCGTCCGGACAGGACGAAAACTTCAGAGTCACCGAATTGAATGATCACAGGCCTACAACTCAAGGATGGTTATCTTCCAGGTTCTACGACCTCTTTATATCTTATTAATTCAAGTTTTATTATTTATAGCTATAATTTATTACTCTAATATAATGCATAGTGTTGAGAATTTACTTAATTGATAAAAATTTCAGCTGTAATATCATTTCTTTTTTTATTAATTACAGGTTTTGTTTATATCCCCAAGACATCGTTATTCAACTAGAGCAAAAGAGTCGCCTTCGAAAAGTGCAAATATTATCTCATCAACATATGATAGGTTCGATACAGTTAATCCTTTTTGCGTTCACCCTTTTCTATTTATTCAATGAATCACTCTGTTCTTTATTCATTCAATCTTTAGCTTCCAAAATTGAAATCTACGTTGGAGACGTTCCAGATGGATTATCTAACAACCTACAACATGCCAGATATACCAGATTAGGGTATTATTTATTCTTTTGAAAATTTAAATATCTATTGCGCAATAGTAAATTTTCAACGCATTAACAGTTATGTAACACTTTCGGACAACGAGAAAACCAATTATAAGGCTAGAGAATTGAAATCTGTTCATGTCGATGCAACCGGTGTGTTTGTTAAGTTTGTTATTCACAAGAATTATATTAACAAATTCAATCTATACAATCAGGTGATAAATTGAATTCCTTTGTATATCTCTTTCTAATATTTAAGTGATCCAGGTTGGTTTGATAGCGTTAAACATCATTGGAAGTAAAATCGATGACCCATTGGAGCCGGTTAGTAAGAATAAAACTTAAGTTTTCTACATATAGGCTTATCAGAGTAGAGATAAATATTTTATATTATATATATGTTTATATAGAATTTCAACGATCCAAGAGCATCTGTAGATCCTGCCGCCGCTGGTGTATATAACAGACCAGATTATATATCTCCATTGGAAGATTTGGCTTTCGATATGTATCAAGATCCCGAAATAGCACAGATAATAAGAAAATTAGAAGTGAAAAAACAAGCTGCTGTACTTAGTACGATAAAATATAATACATATCTATATTATTATTGTTTTATAATACTTTTACCTGCTTCCATCTCTTTAGACGAAAGATACGAACCGGCGAATAAGTTAAAGAATGTGATAGCGGAATTGCAGAAAGTTGGGGAAAAGTTAGGAAAATATCAAGTTGAGAAAAGGGCAGCTGTTGAATGCGAAGATTATGAAAAAGCAGCTCAAAAGAAAGCACAAATGGACGAGTATAGAAATAATATTTACGGAGAGTTACAGGTAACAATTACAATCAATAGAATTAATAGAATATTAAATAGTAATTGAATTATGTACCATTTTTAATAGCTCCATCAATTATTAAGAATTGATGATGAACCAATAAGAGATATCTCTTCTGCTGAGCCTCCCCCTCCTGCTCCTCCACCTCGTTTGGCTGAATTACCAAACTCTCCTGCACCTCCTCAATTACCACCGGACACCGCCAAATCACCTCTACCAGGTTTAACACCTTATGACGATAGACCGCTTCCCGCCATTGCTAAGGCTCAACAACAAGAGGAAACACCTCGAGAGGATGAGGCCTTGGATGCACCGTTAAGTAATGAAGTGGAACCTTTGTCTGAAAAAGACGCTAGAGAAGCTTCATTAGCTATTGACGTTTTTGGAGAGACACTCGTTGCTAAATGTTACTCTAAAAACTTTAGCCTTAGAGAGTCGGCAATAGAGGAAATAATCCGTGAACTCTCTTCTCCTTCAGATGCTCGAAATTCGATGAGAGCTGCTGTTCTTTTGAGTAAAAAACTCCTTCGAGAAACCGTTTATAGTGTTTACAAGGCTGCAATTGAATTGTGCAGAGCTATATTCACAACTTTATCTGACAAAGTTGGAGTAAAATCAGAAACTCAGTATGCGGCCGATAGACTTATACCAATTATCCTTCTAAGAACTGGAGAATCTTCTCAGAGACTGAGAGATATGTCTAAAATGTTTACTTTGGAAAGTGCTCGACTGCCGAATATACAACCTTTAAACGTCGTTCCAAATGAATGCCTAAAACCGCTTAAAACTGGAGTAGCCACTAGGTTGGCTTTGTCGCGTACCGAAATTGTCGATAGTTTAGTGGATGATCTAGGAGTTCCATCATCAGGTATGGATTTAGGTTCAGTGATGGGATTTGAAAATTCGGCATTACAACATACGGCTGGAAATGTAAGATTGCAAGCTGAAAAGACGATTGTTAAATTATATGAAAATCATAAAGAAGCTGTAAGGACTTACCTTCCACCTGATGATGACAAGACGAGAAGGAATGTATTATATAGGCAGCTCTTTGAAACTTTTGATAAAATAGAAGGTAAACCATCAAAAGCTGAGCTAAAGAAATTGGAAGCAGATAAGAAAAGAGCTAAAAAGGAAGAAGTAGCTGCCTTACAGAAACAATTAGATGAAATTAAGGAATTAAATGCAGCTCAGGTATAACTTGAATATATATCTTTTTCGTAGGATTATTATTAACAAGAAATATCACACGGTTTGTTGTGTTTACTTTTTCCTTGCACATAAAAGAATGAAAACAAGAAAAATACTTCACTTCCGGTCAAGCAGAAAAAAAGTAAAGTGAGGATCGTTTTGTTGTGAAGTGCAGTCGTAGTAGTAAAAACCTATAGTTTTCTTTGTTTACCCATTAAAGAAATAGATAATATAAATAGATATTTACGTAAACCGTCTTTTGTTTTAATGATAGAATATTTTATAGCATCTCATTGGAAAGTGTCTCCTTTTTTTTGCATGATTTCGGAGTGTGTTTCTCTTCCTTTTTTTTTGTCTTTCATAATGTTTATTTCTCGAAAATATTTTATTTACTTATCTTTCAGTTGTGATTTAATTTATCAATTATCTAATGCTTTTATTCTGAAAAATCTTACTAGGAATCCGCTTTAAGGCAACCTCAACCTAAGAAACACGTAGCCGGAAAAGAGAATAAGAAGTCCGATGATAAAGAGGAGAAAGAAAAGGAAAATGATAAGGCTTGTATCTTTTGTGGGGAAATGGACGAGGACTTCATAGATGATGCTAAAATGAATGTTCACTATTGGAAGAGTTGTCCAATGCTAAAGAGGTGCTCGTTTTGTAAGCAAGTTGTAGAGATTTCCTCGTTCAATGATCACTTAATAAACGAATGCGGAGAAGGTAAAAAAGTAACAGCCAAATGTCCTAGATGTGGAGAGAGTATTAATAAAGAAGAACTAGAGGGACATCTGGCCGCTAAAGCATGTCTTCAAGTAAGTCATTTAGTTTTTTATTAAAATCTACTAATTGAATTATAATAGGCAAAAGATGGCGAAGAAGTTTGTCCCCTTTGTCATCAGATTGTTGTCGGAGGGGAAAACGGATGGAAGAGTCATTTAATGGGTGAAAATGGTTGCAAAAATAATGCTCGAAGACTTCAGCAAGGTAAAAAGTATTAATAGATAAAAGTTGTAAAATATTAAAAGGAAAAAAACGTTATCATTTGTAGGTAAAGAGTCGCAAAGTCGACCTAATAAAAAGAGAACTCCCAGAAGATAGATTTCTCACTTCTAAAGAAAAAAAAATTGTACGGGGTATATTGGCATTATTTATCATAATATCTGTAAGTTTATTTACAAAAAAATCGGTGATCGTCTAATCCGTCCAGTCTAAAGGACAAGATTTAAAAAATAATTTAAGCAAAATAAATTTTGAATAAGAAAACCTCAAAGATGTTTAAATATTTAATGAACCAGTTTAATTGTTGAAAAATAAAATTTGGGCACAATTATTGTTCCAACTATGCACAACAGTAATGACAAGCGAAGTAGAGCATATAACTTATTATTATAAAATAGTATCATTATTTTTCAAAAAAAGAAAAAAATATTTTGTTTTTTGCAACTTTAACTATTATTAATTATCTTCTTTGAAAAGTTAGTAAGTTCTTTTAACTTAGATAGCTTATTCAGTCTTAGGTTCTTTTTCTTCTGGGTCAGAGTCTAATTGTGAAAAAAGATAAAAAAATATAATAAATAAATGAAATTAAAAAATACTGAATCCTAATGACTTATTAATTTTTTTTATCAACAATAGCTTTTAAACTAAATCAAACTTAGACACTGGAGCTATCATTTTCTTTATCTAATCATCATATTAGAATGTTTTAAAAAATATTCGAGATGGAAAAAAGTGAACACTTACTCTGCATTCTGCCTCTTAATTCACTTATCAATTCGGGGTTAGTCTCTTGAATTTGTCGAGCCATTTGCTGTCCACTTGAATTATAAAAATATTATATTAATTTATAATAAAAATATCAAAAAATTAAAAGCTTATCAACTTACACATTTAGCAGTCTTTCAAATGATAAATTCTGATCAGTATCTTGCTCATGCATCACACCCTGCATTCTACGATTAAATATCAAGATTTTATTAGTAAACCATCAATATATACATACAATGTATATCGAAAATGTAACTTACAAATTTTGCACTTCGCTGTTCTGCATGAATTGTGAAGCCATATTCATAATCGCCGGATTACTTAATATATTTGCAAAATTCATTCCGGAGGCTCCTGGATCTGATTCTTTAGCTTTAGTTTCTGCAATTACCAAATTTTGTTTGTAGCTTTCATTCTGAGGATCTAATTCTAGAGCTTTCTTGTAATTTTCAACTGCTTCTTTGAATTTATTTAAAGAAGACAATGCCAGTCTAAAATAATAAATTAACAATTATCTTTGTGCATTTCCCTTTTCAAAAATAAATTAACCCTTTTCGGCCGTAGGCTTTACTATAACTTGAATCAATTATTAGGGCTTTGTCACAATCACTTATAGCCTGTTCATGTAAGTTGGCCTTGCTATAAGCGGCCGCCCTATTCGAATAGTAAACTGGGTTTGTCGAATCGAAAGAAATAGCTTTTGTATAACTATCTATTGCTTCCTGATATTTTTCCGTTCTCATGAAGTCATTACCTAAAATTGAAAGACTTATCATTTTTAGCTAAAGTAAATGATAAAAGATTAGTTACCAGTAGTCTTATATTTTTCAGCTTCTTCCTTATTAACTATATTTGGTTTAACTTCTTTAATAATCTATTAGAAAGGGAAATTCAGTAAAATAAAAACACTGTATTGTTTTCATCTTACGTTTCCATTTTTAAAATTTTCTTCAAATACTTCTAAAAGATTTCTCATGGGTGGATAAGGATCAGATCCTCTTACGTCGAATACTTGTTCCATACATTGAGTCGTAACTATATTTATGAATTTTCCAAAAAGGCATTAGGGAACTTTACATAGAGTTGAAGATAAATAATACCTTCCAAAGTTTCTAGCTGTTCCTCGTTTAATAGTCCACTGTTCTTTTCACTTTCGAAAAATTTGATAATTGAAAAAATTAGATGCTTTTTTGGATCCATATTTTAGTATGTCTGAAATAAGTAAATTATTGAAAGTTGAAAGCATTTAATTCAAAAAACAAATATAAAAAATATAACAAACAAGAAATTTATAAGGATGCTTAGCAGGAATAAAAAATAATGAAAGTTATTTATTAAATCGGATTATTGTGAAATTTTCTTCTCATCATATCAGCTGTACAAATACACATGAAAAAGATTAAATATTCTTTTTTATTCATGGGTATTAGGTAACTTTCTACAAGCTGTTGCTAACACATGTCTGTCAAATGGCACTATGAGGTTACAGACTATTAAGATAAAACATAAAAAAGAACAGCAAAAAAACTCAAATTTACTCTGAAATTTGTTTGTTAATTTAAAAATATAATGCCAGTTGTAATAAACAGAAGACATACCATAAATTCAGAAATAATTTGAAAATATACCATAAATCAACGAAAGTTGCTTACCGGCAGGAAATGATGAACCGGAAATGATAGAGAAAATATTTTCGTAGTCAAGTAAAAAAAAAGCATGCAATAGAGCCAGAAAAAATAATTTAAATATCATTTTTAAACGTTACTAAATTTTATATTATAAACCCTGGCTAAGACATTTTCGTAAACCAGCTTGAAGCTGGGACAATCAAAACAAAATGGCGCAACAGGATTCGAAAAAAGATTTGGAATTGACCAAATCTTCAAATTCAACTACTGTCTTATCAAATTTGAAGGATAATAAAGGAAAACTATTGTAAATTACTTTTACGATTGTTTCAACTACTTTAATTACGCCATAATTGTCTTTTTTATTGATGATAATACCTTATAATTTAATTATTTTTAAAACTTTTCGAAACGATAGCTCTGGAAATGGTGAAGATCTTTTGACCATTGAATGTAGTGGTTCCGATAAACTTATTTTATATTACATCAAGAAAGAGAAAGATCCAGTTTGGAAAATTGGAAAATTTGTTATATTTACGGGATCAAGTGAAGAACAAAATCGGTTAAAAACTGAAATTCAATACGTTATTGATTCGAATTGGCCTGGTAATTCATATTTTTACTTGTCCTTTTATATTACTATGCATTCGAACAGGAAAGAAGCTCAAGCATTTGCAACTTTATGTCAATCCTATGTCAGGATGGAAGAAAGCAAAATCTATGGTAAAAAAAGATGTTTTACCAGTTTTCGAACTTTTGAATATAAAAGTTACTATACTCGAAACCGAAAGAAAAGGTCATTTAAAGGAACATGTTCAGACATTGAATGTAGACGACTTTGATGGGTAAACTATTTGCATGAGCTATATTTTACTGATTAATTTATATATATATGCATATACAGAATCATAGTAGCCGGAGGTGATGGAAGTTTTGCAGAGCTGATAAATGGTTTACTGGAAAAAGGAATGAAAGATGCCAATTTAGATTTAAATACACCGGGCATAAGGCCACCATCGCCAAATGTGACTTTGGGAATATTGCCATGTGGTAATAATTCAATTAAACGAAATGATAGCCTATATATTAGTCAGCTACTTTTTAATAGGAACTGGAAATGGTCTTGCGAATTCAAGCCACGGCTGTCTAGATCCTGTAACTGCTGCACTGCATATTGTGAAAGGAATTAGTATTCCTTCAAAAGCTTTCACAGTTCACAGTGGCTCAAAGTTTATGCGTTACGGTTTTCTTTGCGGTGGATATGGAGTATTTTCGCTTGCCATAAAACGCTCAGAAACCAATAGATGGATGGGGCCTTTAAGATATGTTTACGGAAGTTAGTAGTTTCAATTATAATATCTTTTTCATTTACATAATTTTTAATGTCTTTTGTTACAGTGTTCTCATCAATGGCTCAAAATAAAGATTTTATGGTTACCACTTCGGCAGAAGTTTACACTACTGATAACAGAATGTTTGTAATTTATATTTCTGCTACATACATATGTTTGAATTATTAGATTATATTTCTTTTGCATTTTTCAGAGATGGACCTACAGAATGGAAAGAATTTCCGAAAACCGTTCGAAATGTTGAGATTTTTATCTATGATATGAGAGAGGGTTGGGGGAATACGACAAAGCAAGGTCTACAAAATGCTCTATTCGTTTGCCTTGTTTTGCCTTGTAAAGTTTGGGAACAATTTAAAGGAGTTTACAAATTAATTACAAGAAATCCAACAAGGGTGAATATTTCTGAATAATGTAAAAATAACTTCGTCTAGCGAACTATTCATAAACAGTTTGACAAAGATTGTTATTTGCCATTCAATTGTCGTAGTCTGAAAATGGAATGGGATGACGATGCAATTGGATATGATGGATATATAAATGTAGATGGTGAAATAACCAATTTGCCTGAAAGAAATTGTTGTTTGACGTAAGTGAAAAATAACAATAAATTTATAATGTGAACAAATGAATGATAAATTTTTTTTTTATCAGTGCATTTGGAGATGCATTCAGGGTTTTTGGAAGATCTGAAAAAGTTCAAGATGAGAAACATTGAAACTATTTATTTAACTCCAATCTTACGTTTCAGTGTTTTTAATTATTCATAGATCCTTTATATATAACAAATCACCATTTTTAACTATTGTGCTAAACTACATTAAAAATCTTTTTATTACAATTGGATAATTAATAGTTTTGACTCGCTTTCACAGTGTGCTTGGTCTGATCGTCTTATTTGTGCATGTGTATTGTCGGCTGGACCCTCAATATAAACTTATTTAGTCTTATATTTTTGAATCACGAAACTGGGACATGATCTGGATTAAGAACAGATTCAAAACTTAACCATACTTTCCTAAACGGTGTTTGCTACTAAATTGTCTATAATTGTCGTCATGAGAGCGACGGATATTAGTATATGATATAGAGGAAATAGCAGGCCTTTTTAAAAAAAGAAAAGAAATTGAACGGTTTCAAATGATTCATTTACAAATAGAATAAACAACTCTCGTATGCTCTATCATACGTTTTTGATTATAAATAAGTCAACTTAAATGTTTATAAGTCTTTTAAAATGTTTATTACATTCAGAGGATTGAAGATGGTGTAATAAGTTTGTCATATTAAGCACTTGAAAATAGATTACCTGGAAGGATTTTTCTGACTTGCTTCGTAACCCCTTGCCATTGTTTCCGCAATGTGTTTACTTGTATCCCACCTTCATTTAATATAACAAAAATATTATTAGTAAAGCGAAGGGTGGATCTACCCACTCACCATTCTTTTATCAAATCACACGTTATTTTTAAAGCTATACTATTATTAATATTTTTTTATGAATCCAAATCATCTCGATCCGAGTTGGCGCTGTTATTTTTTTGGTGTAAGAGGAAAAAGCAAACTGATCACGTGATAAGATTAAACAATTGTGCTAAAAAAACTTTCTGGTGTTAATTATTTCTGTTAGTATTCTAGACAACTAGTATCAGTATTGAAATAAGTAAAATTAGCAAATTAAAATTAATTACCTTGGACCTCTTTCTTTCGGTTTCCTCTTAGCTTTTAACTTAGGCGCAGGAGTGACTCGTACTCTACAAAAGGCGGGCTCTAATCTTGTACCGAAAAACGATGGAGATGTTACATCAGCCGCCATTAATATATACTCTTCAGGTTTTGCGAATTTATCATCCAATGGATTTAAAGATGCTCGAGATATTTTACGCGTACTTGGCCTACTACTGGTTATACTTTCCGTTTCATCCTCTTTTTTCTTCTCTTTTTTAAGACTATCTGGAGTTCGATCTCTTGAACGATTTCTCTGTTTATCGGCCTCTTCGAGGTATGTGAAAGGTCTATACATTGGGGGGGCGGCGACTAGGCTTAAATCCGAAAAAAATACTTTTCCTTCTACTGTCCTCTTATTATTTACACCCTGAGGTACAACAAAACCCTCATGATCGCAATTATCAGACTGTTTCTGTTCGTCAGCTGGAAGAGGCTGAGGTTCTACAGGTTGTTCCTGTTCGGTTGTCTGCTCGTCAACTGCTTCTGTTTCTCGAACTTCTGATAGTTCGGTTCCTTGACGAGAATATTCAGGATCTTCTTCTTGCAGTTGATCTGTAAGAGGATAACTTATCATTCGAAATCCAAATGGAGTATCAATCGGTTTTTCTTCAAAATCTTCAATCATATCGAATAAGGGCTTCTCCTGCGTGGATGATTTTTTTCCTTTGCCTTTTTTAACTTCAACTTCAACTAATCTAAATCCTGCTGTTATGTGAATTTCTCTATTTTGATCTTCAATGACGTTACCCTTGTCATTTATGCATTCAACTGATGCGCTAAATAGTCGACCTTGTTGAACCTCAATTAATTCCTCGGTAAAGCGAAGTTTGGTTGGCATTTCGGCCGGAAGGCCATTTATCCACAAACCTTCGTAAATCATGCCCGAGCTGTGGTTGAAAGAGCCGTGACCATTAAACACGTCGTTCATAAATTGTCCATCATAACTACTCCCATCAGCCATGCGAAATTCCCCATGACCCTGCCGCATATTAACAACCCAATCTCCATCGTATCGATCACCGTTTTCATAAATCATCGTACCCTCTCCGTGTCTTTTATTATCATACAAATAACCTTCGTAAACTTCATTGTTTTTACATTTAAAAATTCCATATCCTTGACGTTTATTTGACGACCATTCTCCTTCGTAGACACTACCATCACCGTAGTACATGGTACCGTGACCGTGAAATTCACCCTGATGAAATTGTCCACTATATTTGTTACCAGTCAAAGCCGAAAACCGGCATCCGTGACCCTCTATTTCTCCTTTCGAAAATTCTCCTTCGTAGAAGCTGCCATCCTTCATAATTAATTTTCCATGGCCATGTTTCATACCGTCTTTCCATTCTCCTTCATATCTATAAAATTCATTTTCATATTGATAAACACCAAAACCATTTCGCAGAAGATTTAATGTTTCACCGCGGTATCGTTGTTTCACAGACATTTTTCATTTGCGGCTGTCTGCTAGGCTAATATTATTTTCCTTAGTAACACTCACTGGGGGGCGCTTTATATTTCAATTACTTAAAAAAACTACAAATGGCAACCAAACAATCGAAAATAACAGGTTATTCAACTGTTTCCTCTTTAGTACTTTTATGTCAATTCTTTAGGCTATAAGTGGATAAACTTATTTCTCTATTCAAGTTCAGATTCCATACCGTTTTAGAACTTGAACAATTGTCTATAAGTATCCAATTATAAACAAAAATTCCCTATAATCTTTCATAAGATAAGTCAATACTAGCTTTTTATTGATATTATTTCTTTTTCATAAACCTTAACGCCTATTCACTTCTCTTTCTTTATTCTTCATTGCCCTTTTATCTTTCCACCGGCACATAGGAAATATAGAATCAGGAAGATGATCATTATTGAAGAAATTTCCGCCTATATAAACAGTATATATACTAATATATACGTTACCTACTATTTTCATCATGTTACGATTGGCAACTAGTATATCTTATTGTTTCCTTATCTTCAGTACTAACCTAAATTGACCTAAATTTTATATCAAACAGAATTATATGAAAATTTCAACCGTATTTTTATTACAGTTTTTCAACGCAAATAACATTGTTTTAATAATCTTGAACTAACATTTCAATAGTTCCATCATTCATTCTAATAAACAAAATTCTCCAATTGTTTAGGATAAACAACATCATCTGCATCAATCAACCAACAATCCATACCGTTTCGCTTTTTTTGAGTAGCTAAGAATAGATGATTGTTCACTTTTATTGATCCCATTCCTTCTCCCTCATACTCTGCGACAGATGTATAAAATTCAAAACGGCTATTTCCGACTTCTCCTAGTAAATCGCCTATTCCTTTGTAATTATTTAATCTTAATATATTAACGTCTAAATAAACGTTTTTGAAATTAGACATTGATCTTCTTATTTCAAATTTTACATTTCCAAATCTTCCGTCAGTTGACTCAATTTTAGTAACATTTTTAGTAAACTTAATAATATAATATTTACTTTTTGTTAATTCAAAACCACCGGAAGTTTTCCATTCAAACTTTCTATCATGATCTATTTTGATATAATTGGTTGTAACCGTTATATTACTGACCAACGAACCAACAGTAATTTCGTGCATATAATAGTCGTTCTTAAGTGTACCGTAAAGTGAAGTTTTTGATTGGAGATGTTTATAGATGAAAATACGATTGTTTGCCTCACCAGTAACATCATAGCATATTCTCATAGATTTTCCTGTTCGACTATCAACAACAAATTGGGTGAAATGAGGGTCTCCTAAACTCCCTCCATTTTTATCAAGAAGAGTTATTTTCTAAGTGTGCGACACTTTTGTATAGTTCCAAGGACATCTAATTGTTACAGTAACGTCTATAGGAGGTTCTACTTCTACAGCATCATAAATAGCTTGAATTCGTATATTAGTGATCTTATTAGGTGGAACGACTACAGGATTTTGTTCATAGATGTCAACTTGATCGGGTGGACTAAATTCGAACATATATAAATAAGAATAAAATAGAGTAATTTTTCGAAATATTTCAAACTTACAAGCAAGTACTTGTGAAAGCCACCATCCCACCGGCTGTCAGGCTTTAGACTAATTACTACAGGCTTATCTCCCTCAGTCATTTCCGTTGGAAATCCCACAGGGGTAAGTGGAAGATCATTGTCATATATTATAAATTCCGTTTCGAGAACATTTCCCGAAATACTTGAAACTGTAAAAGTTACAGTGCTTGAAGCACCTTGCACTGCTATGTCATCATCCAATACTGATATTACAACTTGAGCCGTTTCGCCGATATAATGGAAATTTATCGGATCAGATGGCAAAATCACAAGAACTTCATTATCAGCACTTATTAAAAACTAAAAAAGAATAAGCGTTAAACTTTAAACTATTACAAATTTACGTAATAAGACATACGTTGCCATTCCATAGTCCAATAGATCGTTAGCTTCAATTGTAAAAATGACCTCAGTAGTCTCACCCTCTATGACGGAACTAATTGGAGTTTGTTCATGTTGGAATGATTCAACAAGTTCTAAAAATTTCGAAGGAGGAACTTAAATATTTATTAGAATGTAAACATTTTAAAAATTATATTTCTTATAAAGCTAAACATAAATAAAAGTCTTTTCAACAGATTCATGCTGAAATTGTTGAGTTATAGATGTGGTAAGGTGACTGATAAACAGTATATACTGTATATTACATAAGTATTTTGAGTTGGATTTGCTCTGTTTGCTCAACAATTGCTCAGCATCATTTTTAACAAGAGTATATAGGAAAATAAAAAAAAATTGGCATATCTTAAATTTAGTCTGCTTTTTTAATTAACAGGTCGATGTATTAGCTTTGATATAAAAATCATTTTTGACCTAATTATTTCAATTTAATAACAACCAAACTAGTGTTATAGCGTTTTGAATTTTGGCAAAAAAAAAGAGTAGTATGTTAGCTACAAATCAATCCAAGCTCATTAATATTCTCTTTAAAAATTATTAACTAGTTGACCTATTAAATTGATAATTAATACTGAAGAGAAATAGTTTATAAGTAAACGATGTTAAATTATTTATTTATTAGGACAAAATTTATTCTTTTGACATCAAAAAAATGATGCGAAAACTAACAAATTTTAACACATTCTTATTCAAAGAAAACAATTCAATGTTTTACAATTTAGACAATTGAATAACTGCTATTTTCTAAGCTGAACAATATTTAAGGATGACAAGTAAGGCCTATAGAGACTGATCCCAAATCTACCTCGTCGTTGGAGCAAAATACAGTTATTGCGACTTCTTCAATTTGATGAGTCTCTTCTTTCGATTGAACAACACTTAGGGCAACGGATTCTCTATTGTTAAAGTTGACCGATTGCGTTGAGCAAGAAATTCGATCGGAAGTCTCATATATTCTGCATAAGAAATTTGGTTGTATATATAAGAATAACTATTAAAATAAAGAAATCACATACCGGCAAGTAAATGGAGCTTCATATGTAGGTGTTATTATCAAATCTGTCTTTTCTCCAGGTCCAATGCTTTGTTTAGTGAATTCTAAAGTAACAAAGTCCGTCTGGTGCGACAATGCTACGAGTTCTTTACAAATATAAAATGTATTTAATTAGATTAGAATGATATATTTCTATTTAAACATCAAAGTATTATTTACCGAAAAGTATGACGGCGAAAAGTGAAAAAACTTTAACTGCAGACATTCTATCTCGATATCAAATGAAATGACGGGATGTCACATACTGAAAGTTGCTCCTATTTATATCAAAAATTTTCCTCTGATTCTACTCAGTCTGTTTACTTATTTATGTCTAGCAACTCGGGAAAAAATCTTTTATGATAGATCTCAAAAACAAGTCTATCTTGTTTGTTTCTCAAAGGTGTACTTGAAAAGAGACGATGAAAAAACCTCTTTCATTTAGGCTAACATTAATTTTTCTAGTTCAATATTTAAATTAAGACTATATGTCATACCTTTAAATTTCCTACTTTGTAGATCTATCATGCGAAATGTATCAGTAATGTATAACAAAAAGTGTGACTTGAACTTATCATCATAGTTCTTCGTTAATTCTTATCTATATATTACACCCTTTACTGTTGAAGGTTAAACATGCTTACTAGAGAGGAAAGATTGTTCTGCTCCCGTAATATGAAAACACCGACTGGTTGTTATATACATATTTAAGCGTTGTATGTACTATAGTCTATATTAGCACTAGCCTTATCACTAGCCCAATCATTTGCTCTTCCCTTATAGATTGAATTCAAAATGTATGTATGCGTATTTAGAGAAGATAGTTTATATGAAAAACATTAAAGTTCTAACCACTAAAGATAATACCTAAGGACTCTTGTCAAACGCTTGTAACGTGTAATAGAACTTTTAAAGACACTTTTGTCTATGTTTCAACTAAATTTATATACTATAACTACTGTCAAGATTGTTCGTTTTGTTCAAAATCTATAACATGCAATAAGTTCTTATTAAATATATATAGACTAAACGCACATCAAGCTGTAAATATCTCTATTCAATTTAGCTTAAGCGTCATCTCGTCTACATATTTTTCGATAGTTTTAAGCAAACCGCTATGTGTTTTTTTGTTGCGCAATAGATAAATCAACTAAGATAATTTAATTTTTAAACAATAAATATTTTATTTATGACAAAATTCATTCTTTTAACATCAATAATTTGATGCAAAACTAACAAATTCTAACATTAGGTCATCAAAGAAACAACTTCCACTAAATTCAATAATTACACCATTAATTTCTAAGAATATAATCAGTAATAGAATAAGGGTGTAAAACATCTTTTACATCAACTAGCCAACAACTATTTGATTTTGATTTCTTTGAAGCGACCGCAAAATGGCCATTTATCAAGATTGTGCCTCTTTTTGTGTTGTCTTCCGTTTGAACAAAGTCATAGAACTTGAACAAATTATTTCCAATACGTCCAAGTAAACCATCAACATTATCATATTTTAACATTCCAAATACACCAAAATCCAAATAATGTCCAGTAACTGGATGTTTCGATCTTGTAACTCTGAATGTCATGTCCTCCTTATTGACAACTTCGACAGTAACAGAATTATCATCGATTTTTATCATATATCCGCCTCTGTGGTAAAGTCTAATATCGTTCGATTCTTCCCATGCATATAATACCTCGTTGTTAAACTTGACATGTTTCGTAGACACGGTAACATTGCCAAGAGTTGAAAAGATTTTGATAATATGCATATAGTAATCATCCAACAATTGACCATAAACGTAAGTTTTGGTTGGTTGATGTGTATAGATTTCAATATAATCACCAGATTTACCACTAACATCATAGCATATTCTCTCGATTTGTTCAGTTTGCCTATCAACAATAAGTTGCGAGAAATGAGGATCACCTTCAACAATTGAATCAGTACTAATAACTGGTATTTTTTTAGTGAAGACTGGCTGTCCATCGCAAGAAATGATAAGTACTGCTTCATAATCTCCAGGTTTGCCATCAGGTATAACATTAATTTTGAAGGCGATTTGACCATTGTTATTCAAAGTCAATTGTTGTACATTCGCTGTAACTTTATTTGGTGGTAGGACGGTAACTCTGCAAAAATTTGTTGAATTTATATCAAATTTAATCAAAAATCTTATGAAAATAACTTACGAGCATCTTAATGGTGAGTCAGGAATAAGCTTTTGCACAATAATCATTCCTTCAGTACCTTCCGCTATTGATGGTGGTTGACAATCAACAGAAAGTACATCAGCAGCATAGCAGAGTTCTATTGATTAAATATAACATTTTAAAATATAAAATTAATATAAATACATTTTAAATTATCAAACTTACGGCAAAGTACAAAAACGAAGAAGAAAACAGTCTTGAAGATTTCCATTTTGGATCAACTACTGGAGGTGGAATGACGATCACTGAAATCTGTCTGCTATTTATAATAAAATATCTACATAAAAAATATAACACGTGTAAAACTCCAAAAAAAACGCCATAAATTTTTTAATACTTACGAAAAAAACATCTCTTGAGCTATGTCTATTTTTTTTAGACCTAAATACAGAACACTGTGTGACACGTGTATCTTTGAACTCTTAAAGACAGAAGTGTTGATTGGAGAAGATGGGGAAATAGTGATCTAGTTAAAGTAATATAGAGCATACAGTATATCAAATTATAACCGTTATAAATCCAAAGAAACAATTCAATTGTACACAAAAAGAAAGTGTAGAAAGTCTTTACATTAATTAATTAGTCAATAACTCTCTCTCTCCCTTCGAGCTTTCTCTATCTTTGTTATGCGTTTGTATGTTTATTATAATATCAGTATTTTTCAAAATCTGCTGTTTATGGAAAAGAAAAACTGTAACTGTTTTTGTCTAGTTCTATCACTTGACACGTTGTTCTGTCCAAAATATAAGGCTCTAGAACAACTTTAACTTTAACCTATATTCTATCACAAATAATTTAAAACAATACAGTATATTATAAAAAAAATGGTCGGCTCAATCACTTTTAATAACAACTCTATAAAAAAAAGTACTTTTTGTGTTTGTCCAGAATATAAAACTTTGACGTATTGTTTTCCAAATTTAATTTCTTTGAGTTCTACTCATCTTAAAAATCGTCTATAAATATTGGAACATTTCTACAGCGTTCATTTTCATTTTGGCCGTTGAAAATGAGTTTCCACAGCAGTGAACTAGTAGCAATTAGCTTTGGTAATGTCTATAATTTGTATTATATCGATTATTTGTTTAATTTTACATTTTTCCTATTTAGTTTTGGGATTAGCGTGCTGTTATGGAGCTCTACCTAATGTCCAGCACGAATTTTTCACCATACCAGAAGGAAGTTCTGGAGAACTCAGATTCTCGAAAGGAATTGTTCCCAATGCAGCTAACGCCTTTGCATGCACGTAAGTCTTTATCATTTATTTTAATATTGAAAATTAAATGTTCGCTTTATTTTAGTTTGTCAGTAAACAACCCTGCCCAATTGACACTTTCCGCCCCGGCAGTAGTATCACCTTTAGGTTCAGAAGTGATAGTAATAGCTACTGCTGTTGCTGACGGTATTGTTGAGGGGCCGCATTTTGTTGAAATTACTCTCGCTTGCAAGGGCGCGAAGAAAGTCTTTCATCAGTATATTTCTGATCCTAGACCAGATGCTATTGAAGGAGATCCTCACTTTATTCAATCAGTAAAAGATATTGCAACTGGCAAGATTCACAGAGTGTGTTATGATGTTAAAGGTGTTGCTGGAGATCGCATTGAAATTTACAAAGATAAAAAGTCCAATTCGGCTATTGAAGGTGTATTGATGGATGACTATTATATGCATATTATTCGCGTTTCTGCTGAAGGATGCAACGTAGAAATTACACCAAAAGAAGTTAGATTGAACAAAAGAATTGTTTTCGACTGGACTAGTGATCCAAAGAGAATGAGCATTGAACGTAATAATGCTTGCATGGTAAGAAAAGCTGGTAATACAGTCGAAGTAGTTGGTCTTAGCAAGGAATTGTTTGGAGGAGTTAACTATATTGTTAAACGTTCAGACCATGAAGTAACAGGCCATTTTCTGGATGTTAATGTTGAAGGTCTTGTCAACTATGCTAATTCGGAAGGGCTGTTGGGAGTGGTAGGAAATAACAAATTTAAATTCTACAAATCTGTTCAAGGCGATGATAATATTTCTCGAGGAACAGTTGTTGTTAATGGTTATTTCACGACGGCTAGAGAAATTCAAAGAGAAGGATTGAGTTGTTGGTTGATGGATACAGAAAATGTTGTTTATCCTCGTCCAATAAGCAATTTCATATTTTCAAAGTAATTTGAACAAATTTATTATTTTTTTTGAATGTTCAATGGAAAGCACATTTTGAAATATTTATGTTAAATTTGTTAGTTTTTGCATTGGTATTATCTGATGCCTGAAGAATAAATTTTGACATTTCATCAAAATCTAAAATCTATTTTTAGAAGTAAAATGATCAATTTTAGATTAGTTAACACCATTTACTGCATTATTCCTTATCTTGTTAATTTAGGAACATTACAAAAATGAGCTAAGCATTCGTCAAAATCTTCCTCCTTCGTAAGAACTAATAGCAGAATCAAGGGATAGTTATCTTTATCATAGAGATGATATATAAGACTTCCCCCAAATGCCGATATCTCGATTGAATTATATAGCGGCACTGTTGTGCAAGTGTTTGCAGTCAATCGCTTTTATAGCGAAACCTAATTAGAACTATTATCTTGAAAAAATCAAGGTATTATTTATTAGCTAATTCTACTTTCTTTCTATCATTGTAGAGTCAAAAATTTAAGAACCATAATAATTCAGTTTATTAATTATATTTATCCCACCACAGCACATTCAACTATTACAATGTCATAAGTTACATACAACTAACTTTTCGCTCAAAATATAATGATGGTTAATTAAATGTAAACGTGATTTCTGCTCTTTCGACAAGTCCACATACCATTCTTAATGTAACTTGACCATGATGGGGTACTATATTATAAACCCACTTTTGCGTTTGTCCAGAAATATAGAACTGACCACGACTTCCTCCTCCTGCCATATTCATCACGGCAGGCGCAAAATTATACCTGTTTTTTTTAAATGCATATGATAATTATTGAAATTTTTATGATTTCTATATATATATATTTACATGCAAGGAACAGGAAATGTTACTGTGGGTATTACTTCAATTGGTACAAAAGCTCCAGTATATAATGTGGTTTTGTCTGCCTTTATACGAAGGGAGTTAGCTTCACCTATAAATTGAAAAAAAGAAATAGTTTGCTCACTAATTATCTATAATAATTCTAATACAATTTAATTAACTTACAAAGTAAAGCAAGACCGAGTATACAAGCCACAAGAAACTTCATCTTTGCTGTTCGAATTTTTCGACTTCATGTGTCAAATACGATTTGCGCGTCATTTATAGTCTTTGTAAAATCATAAAAAGGTACTACTCAACTTAAAGAATGTTTATAGTCCATTTAAAATAAGTTTTAAATCAATAAAGGTAAAATAGAATTAATAACATATCAAATTCTTCACAATCTTCTCTACTTACTATAAAAGATTTTTGTTTGTTACTCTCTCCCTCCCTCCCTAACTCCCTCTCCTCGTTCTCTTCTAAGGAACTTTTTAGAAGAATTATCTAGTTCTATTGTCTGTTATTGGTAACAATAACTCTTTTTTACATGGCATAAAAACGAAAGAGCTAAAAAACAAAAAAAAAAAACATTGAGCTCGTCGTTCCTCAATCTCTTTTTTAGTGAAGAGTATCATCTATTTTTTATGCGCAAAATAGCCACGACAACATCTTTTTTTGTCTACAAAAAAGCACTTAACTCTAGACTACTCGTTCTACATTAGTGACGAGTTGTTTGTTTATTATTTGAGTTCTTCTTCGAAGGATTTAATCTTGTTTTTGAACAAACAACTTCTTTTTTTGTTTTGAAATAGTTTAAGGACTGAGATTTTTGTATTTTTTTTTACCATAAAGTCTATTATTTATTTGAATAAGTAAATAAGAATGATTATTAAAAGGTGAACTTGAAGATTAACGTTAATCAATTGATTTGAAGAATTACCTGTAAAAATATTAAAGATGTATTAATATTTAAAATATGGATTAATAACTTTTAATAGTTTAAATACTAACTGTTGTTGTTGATGTTAACTTTTTTTGTTGTGAATAAGGAAGATTGTGTTGAATATGTTAAATTAGTAGTTGTTCGATCATAATCAGTTGATGCTTGAAATTCTCTCTTATCACACTTGTCACCTGTCCATCCATTTTGACATCCAGAATAGCATCTTCCTGAATTATCAGAACATTTTCCAATTTTACAATAGCCGCAGCTTTTCTCGCAATTTTCACCGTAGTAGTTTCCAGAACAAGCTTTATTAAATAGTGTTTGACATAATTATTCATTTTAAACCATATAACTATACTTACGCCATTGGCATTTATTTCCATATTTCCCCGTTTGACATAAACACGATCTTTTATATGAAGAATCCACCCTACAGTATTCGCAATAGGATTCACAAGGTGGAACTGAATTTGGCAATTCTCTTTCGCAAATGTAGAAATATGTGGAACTTGAAGGTCTAGCTATAAGATGGAAATCCTTATTCATAGTAACGCTCTTGTCCAGAATATTTTGAATATCTTGAATAGAAGACGTAGATACCGAACAATCTATTGACGAGAACCATTCGTTATTCGTAAAATGACCAGCCCTCCAGAACAACTGTTCATTCGTTTCTAAATATAGTAACATAAAGTTTTATTTAAACTGTTAACTCATCTATTTGCATATGATATTTATACCTTTATTTAAGAAAGATTTAAGAAAGTATCTTGGATTGTTTGTCAATTTAGAATTTTCATTCATACAGTTCCTCATAGAGCTTTCGTATGTATTTTTAGCCATATAAAGAACAAAACCAGCCGTTCTATCCTTATAAAAATAGTTTCTATTATTCATCAAACGGGCGTCTAAGGAATACAAATAGAATTAGAAATTCAAGGAATTCAAGAAATTCAAGTAGTTTCAATAGTATACCTCTTGGTTCTATTCCATATATTTCAACGTCAGCCAGATGAATATACTTATTATCATCCTTATAAATAGTTACGTAATTTCCAAGTATAGGCTCTAAGCAGGTATCATTTATGGAAACCGGAACAGGTGTACTTGGCTTATAATAGTTATAGCATAGTTTACTTTTTGTACTCTTATACGTATTGGGATACTTTTCACAAAAATTCTGACTTATATATATATTAAATGATGTCATATGGTCATCTATTAGAGAAATAAAAAACAGAATAGGGCTATACTACTAGTGAATGTTCCTTTTGTTTCTTTTTTTTTTAATAAGTATGCTTTTATATTTACCGCAGCACTGATGTCGCCTTTTTACCATTACGCTGTGTATGAGGAAACTTCTTTTTAACTTAATTGTTAACCACTTTACACTATCCGATTGTCCAATAACGGTATAGGTATCTGTATTTCCGTCGATAACATTATTAGCATGACCTTCTGCTAGAGGTGTATGATAAATTCTTTCAATGTCCCTTTGTTGAAGTCGGTAAGCTGGGGAAAAGATGCAAGATAAAAAAATTCTCGTTAAGATAGCAAATTATTAATTTATTCAATGTATTAAAAATATAAATAAATCATACCATTAAGAAATAAAACAAGGTGAAAAAGCGTTAAAAACACTTCTGTAAGTTTGAAATTCAACCTCATGATTCGTTATCCAAGTTCTCTTTGTCTAGTGTGAGTCAAGACAAGGCCCTTTTACGGTTTAAAATCTCTTGGCCAACTTTTCAAAATAACTTACTCTGAGTTAGCGAGGCGATTCAATTTCATCCTTTTTACAAATTACCTTCTAATCGTTCTCTTTCCTTATTTCTTTATGTATATTACTGAAGTTTTATAATAATTTCTATATGTAAACTAGAAATGTATTGAAACTATTTCAAACTATAAACAATAACTTTCTATGACTCTTATATTGGAAATTGTTTTTATTCAACTTTAAAAGGATAGCTATTACTTATAAATTACGTTATTTGTAATAATTAACTCCATTCCGCCATATTTTTATTTATTTAATTTTAATGGCCCATATTCTTAGTTTATTCTTACATATATAGTTGTTGTTTGTTTGAAAAGAAAATACTACAGTATAGGCCTGTCAATGTTCTTAAAACTTAAGGAAATAACAGTGTATAAAAACAATTTTTAAATATACAATATATCCTTTATTATTCAAGCACAATATAGGATTTCTTTTCTGTAAAAATTACTACTCTCCGTCCCTTAACCATCTTCGATTACGCTAGAGAATAAATATCCCAAAAATTCAAATTGAAATTTGATTTTTTGTTTTTTTCCTTTTTGGTATGGGATTTTCTGAATAGGCTTTCTTCTTATATTAAAATACCAATTTAATACCGATCTAAAGGGGTTAAGAAATAGTTTTCCGTTTTTATTTTTGCACTTGTCTCCCCTTTTTATTCCTGTGGAATGTTTATAAAAATCAACTTGCAATTAATATCTTTGAAAATACTATGCAAATAGATGTTTGTCTTTAAGAATACTCTTAAATCATAATCATTCCTTACTTTGTCAATTTCTCTCTATTATTCTTAAGGAAAATTCTTAAATTTAATGTATACTGTAGTACAAAAAAACAACGTTTAATCATACTTTTTTATTGAAATAATCAAATTTTCAGAAGTTTAAATACAGAAAAAAAGAGAGAAAAGTATTCTTTTGAGATCTTGTCAATTCACATTCTATCATCGAGTTGAATAATTTTGAATTACAAGTCTAAATCCAGGTAATAATAAATTGGTAAGTTATTTACTAATTGTCGAAAGGTAATGAGTTTAATAAAAGACTTCTTGTCCGCGAACTGTTGTTTTTCTTTGTATGAAAGAGAGAATAAATAGTGTTAAAGTATAAATATAAAGAATGATAATAGGTATTACTTAACGTATACGTAAATTCCTATTAATATAATTATTGCGATACATACTGTTCCCGCAACGATACCTATTATGATATCTTGTTTAGTCCCGTCCGATAGATCGTCTGTAATGTAACCATAATGTGAGTAATAGATGCTTGTTTGCTTGTATCATTTGTTTAATTTCTATTCTTACCTTTTTCGTTAGTTTTTGTTGAGTTTCCTTTTCTGTTGAATGCTAATAGTTTTGTATTTATTGTAGGTTGGACATTATCAGTAGTATTCGTAATTAATTGTCTGTTACAATTTTCTCCCATCCAACCATCTTGACAATTATCTAAACATTTTCCACTTTTACTATTGCATTTGTTAAATTTACAATTGCCGCATGGAGTATTGCAATCTTCTCCAAAGAAATTTCCCATGCATGCTAATATATTAAAGATATTCAGTTATTATTTTTTTGTGGTGTCTTAAATTCTTCTTGTACTCTATTTATACTTACGCCATTGACACTGCGACCCTAATCTTCCCTTTGGACAAATGCATACGCTTTGAAAGCTTTCATCTATTGTACAATATTCACACGTTTCAGCACAATCTAACACTGAACTTGGAAGTTCCCTTTCGCAAACGTAGTCGAACAATTTGCTTGTGTGTTCCGCATTCATTTCGAGATTTCTATTCCATTTTATTCGCAGATCGTTCGATAAGGTACAAGAATCGTTAACAGATTTAATTGGGACGGAACAATTCCCTGTACTATACCAAAAACTTTTTGCTCGATAACCTTCTCTCCAGAATCTATTTGCCTCAGTTTCTATATACGAAAACAAGGACTTGCAAGTTGCTCTTACATTTCCCTTTAGATAAAGATTTTAAAACTTTTGATTTACCTTTTCTTAGGTATGATTTCAAGAAATTTGGTGAATCAATTGCCAAATAGGAATTATCTTCCATACAACCTTCTAACGCCTTGGAATACGTCACTTTATCTTTTTTCAACGCAAATCCTCTTGTTTTATCTTCTTTATAAGCATATTTTCGGTTTAACTTTGTTACTTCTACAATTATTTTATAGAGATATATTTATATATATAGAAACAATTAAGTATTTCTTTCATTATTTGATCAATTTCATCCATCTACCTGACAATGGCTTTCCATATATTTCAATATCACATATATGAATATTTAAAGAGTCATTATTAAATAAGGTAACTTGTCTTCCTACAAGAGACTTTGAACAAGTTCTATTGACAACTGGTAAAGATTCTGATAAGTGTCTACTGTCGAATGAGTAGCAGAGGAAATCGTTATTAGGTTTATATTTAAAATCGGAAGTAAGACAGTAAGAATGTCCCACAAAGAAATAAAACTTGGACTCGATACCAGGTTTACTATTATTTATACTAATGGCAATTCTCTCAATAAGAAAAGTTCGAGAAAAATGAAATAATATCCATTTATCATTGTTTAAATATTTTGGACCAATATTCATATACGTTGATTTATTTCCATCCAAAATATTATGATGTTGTCCATTGACCGCATTACTATAATCAATTTTGTGTATATTTTTAAAAGAAATTCTGCCTCCTGCACGAAAAGTTCGTATTATTAAGGCTAATTCAATTAACTATAAGTTGAATTAAGAAAAAAGTAAACAATAAAAAGCGTTTAATTACCTGTTAACATACAAAGTAGATTGAATAAGGTTATTATTAAAAACAGGTAGAACAGATTCGACGCCATAAATAATATCTAATGAATATTAAATATTGATATTCAAAAGATATAAAACTTCTTAATAAGTAGCAAACGGTATTGAAACGGAAGTATACAAGAAATTTCTATTATAATCATTTTCTTTATTCACCAAAACAAGTTTCAGTTTTATAATTAAAGCTTTATTTTTCAATATTAAACATATCAATAAAATAGACGTATTATTAATATTCATCTTTGTGAAATTAGCTTTTTCATCTACCAGTTTTTATAGATGCATTTCCTTTGCATCTTTTTTTGGTCTATTTTAAACTATGAAGAATTTGTAGAAATCTCTTTCTAGTGTAAAAGATAATTCAGAATTTAAATGCTCTACGTTCGTATTCTGGTAAATTTTTACATCACTTAATTCTGAGTTTATCTTGAAAGCTTTTCTTTGAATTCTCAGAGAATATATCATCAACTTGGTTCAATTTTCCATAACATTGGTTTTTTTATCGTACAAAGCTGTAAAAATATGTTTGATTAATTGATTGAGATACTGATAATAAGTTTCCATTAATGAATAATTTGGAATCATTTTCAAATGATAAATCTCTCCTATGAGGAGAAATCTTTACTCTATTAGCTATTCATGCATTAAGCATACTCATATAGAGAGGGAAAACGATAATGCCTTAATAACATTCAATCCATTCAATTATTTGTCAATTGTAGCCATTTAAGAAAAAGATATAAAAAAAGCGTTTGATGGACAATAAATGAGATGGACTATTTGATGGAATTAAGAATATAATTGAATAGTGAGTAGTAACGCTTTGTTCATAATTTTAAAAAGATCAGAGAGCTATATCTATATAGATTAGTAGCTATTTGGCAGTTTCATTTTCATTTAGTATTAACATAGTGAATAGTCATACCATAACATTTTTAACAGAGAAAAGGTATTGTTTCAATTCTTAGCTATAGAAATTTCTTCTTTTTATAATTGTTAAAGAACTGCTAAACGGGTCAAAAAACATACTTCATGTATCGATACAATTAAATGAATACTATTAAATTTCTCATTTTGTACAAATGTATAAAAAGCTTCTACAGGAAAATATAACGACAACAAGCTCTTGAATATTTAAAGGAAAGTACAAAAAGTACAGAAGTTACATAGTTTATTATCATAAGAACACTATTGAGTTTTGTTTATCAACAGATTTTTTAAATGAAATGGGAAGAAGAAGAGGAAAATCGTTATATCAGTAAATTGATAGAGAGAGAAAAGATTTATCTCAAAATTATTAATATTTTATCAAAATTATTTGAATTAATCTGTCTGTTCAGTTGTATTTGCAGAATTTTCTTTCTCTAATCCAGTATATATATTATCTTGTGCTCTAACGGAGGAGTAAGGATCATTTTCAGAAAACAAAGCCTTTTTTTTAATCATTTTCTTTCTATAAAATTGAAAATAGATAATCAAAAGAAATATCAACTATTCCAAGACATTACCTAAAATATAATAAAAGACCACCAACTGCAATAGCAACAAATATAACTGTTCCAACAACTATTCCAGCAATAATACTCGGTGTTTTGGCATTGTTTTCTATTCATATATAATATATAAAATGTCAAATAAAACAAAAAATCAACCTAATTACCACTGTTGCTACTTGTACTAGCCGATATTGTCTTTGGACTTGTATTATTTATCATTGACGACTGCGTTGTTACTTCCAATGACTTGTTATCTTTTTAATTGTGAAAAAAAATCATTCAATAATTATATTTCATTACAGTTATAACTGTATAAATACTTCTATATAGTAAGTATTAAATATTTCATCTACCTGGTATTATTTCTCCAGTAATTTTTATATACGATATATGGATGTTTTCATTTATTCTATCGACGAAAATAGTAACATTCCGTCCATATAGAGCCCGAACGCATGTATCCGTATGACTTGATTGTTTACTAGTTTCATTACGAGTGAAACATAGCCGTTGTTGAGAAGGCTGGAAGTAAGGTGTACTCCTCTCTTTATAAAACTTTTGGCCTACATAGACCGAAAAGTTTTTCATTTTCCCTATTTGCATAGAGATCAAATTAATGAACATATAAAAAATAGATAGCAAAGTTTTTAACCGTTTATACTTATGACTGCTACTCTTTCTATTAAAGAATAATTAGCAAGTTCAAAAGTTATCCATTTACTCTTAGCCGTTGATGAAACAGTACAGAACTGTATATTGTTACTAATCATATTTTTCAATGGGCAGTCAATAATATGAGACGTATGTATTTTAACTATCTCAAGATTCTTTTGGCTAGCTGTATCAAAAAAAAAAACAAATTGCGCTACAAATCACAAGCTAAATTTACCAAAACTGTAATGTAGATTGTAAATTAGTAACCTGATGTATCAGTTGTTTTAATTAAACAAAAAAATACTAAAATTATGGCATCCTGCAGTTTAAAATACATCTTTTAATCAAAAATCCTCTGTTGTATATAAATATCACTGCTTTTCGAACAGGGGAAAGGGGAAGATTAATTTTAAAGTATAAAATATCTGCTGATAGGCTTTTTGGCTTCATTGTTATTTACTGTATATATATTTATTGTAACATGCTATACTGTTTAATATCTATTTTACTAAGATTTCTAATATTATTCTCATTTTATAAATGATTTATTGAATTGTAAGTAACGGTTAATAATTAACATCAAATAATTATCCTATTCCTTGTATCATGATGTGTACTTTCGTCTCACTAGGAAAAAAAGATAATCCTTCATTATAGCATATAAAAACTCTAGTATATTCGATAAACTAACATATTATACATATTTTTTTCACGGATTTCAATTTATAACTCATAATTTTCATAAAACTCCTTTTTAGCCTTTTCTTTACTTTTAAAACAGTTACAAGAGCAGAAAATTTCTCTCTTCACGGGTTCAGCTTCCGAATAGTAGTTGCTTTCTCTTTGATTATCTTTTGCGTTTTTCCTATTTTAACATTTAAATACAAAATAATAAATGAATTTTCAAGTGTAAGTATTAAATAGATAGTTTACCCTCTTATACCACAAAAACAACATAGGTAATCTAATATATGGAACTCTGGTTCCGAATAGTAAGAATTCGCCTCATTGTTATCTTTTCTCCTCCATCTTCAAACATTAACCTTATTAAAAAACAACAGATACCAATTAATAACATTTGCTACCTTCTAAATATACAAATGGATGCCATAATGATGACAAGAATCCCAACTAAACCGACAGTAATCCCAATTATCAAACTCTGTTTAGCTGAGTTTTTTCAGATAAGAAAATATAAGCATTTAAATCTAAATCATATTATATTGAAGTAAACTGGAACATAAAAATTAACTAATTACTTACAATTGTCACTTCCCGTATATTTATATGTAGTATTGATTGAAATCAAAGCAGATGTTGACACTATGGTTGGAGTACTTTCCCTTTTCACACCTGCATCACTTGATGGTTTTGTGGGAGCCAATATAGATAACCGGATTAAAGAGGTTAATTTTCTTGTTATAACTGTACTTTCTATACTACTTACTGTTGTCTCAACTTCATTACATTTATCTCCTGTCCAACCATTTTCGCAACCACCAGAGCATAATCCAGTTTTAGAATTACAAGCTGATCCTCCTCTACAGTTTCCACACGCAATATTACAATCAACCCCATAAAAATTTCCCAAACAAGCTATTCAACAAATTTTCATTCATTTCTAAATCATTTTTCTCTTCACATTTCAAATTCAATGTATACTTACGCCACTGACATCTTACTCCATATTTTCCATTTTCACAAATGCACCTCGAGTCCATGTTATTACGATTAAATATTTCACAATATTCACAATAATCAGGACAATTCGATACAGTATTCGGTAAATCTCTTTCACAAATGTAATAGAATTGTTGATTGGGATTCTCTCCATATAATTTCAAATCTCTATCCCAATACATTTTCATATCATTTGTTGGTGAATTTACTGCATTTGGTAAAGAGCTTAACTCTTGCGAACAATCTGATGCGGTATACCATTTATTGTCGAAATAATGTCCATTTCGCCAAAACTTATTCTCACTTATTTCTATTGTTTAATAAACAATACAACAATATCACTTTTCATATCTTATTATCTACTTGAAAACGAAGATTCTACTCACCTCTCCGAAGATATGATGCTAAGAAACTGTCAGAATTTATTGCTAAATACGAATTATCGTCTTCGCATTTTTTCTTTGCGTTCCAAAAGTTGTTCTTCTCTCTCTTCAGAATATAACCTCTTGTTCCATGCTTTTCATAAACATAATTTTCTTTGAGTGGAGTAATATCTTCAATAAATTTAATCAAACATCGAAATAATTATAAAATACACTTTAAAAACGTTTGCAAACCTGATAGAATTTCTCCATAAATCTCAATCTCTGCTAAATGTATATTTCTGCTAGGAGAATTTTTGAATATTGTAACATAATTTCCAAGAGGAGGCCTTGAATGAAGAGATGTTGAGCATGTTTCATTCACTGATTCAGGAACATTACTGGTGCTTCCATAATTGTATGAATAACACAATGAATCTTGAGTTGATGGTTGAAAAGATTTGGAATCACTTTGACAAAATGAATCTCCAATCGAAACGGAAAATATCGCCATATGATCTGTTGATTTGATGACTAGTTATAATATACAGTATGATGTAAGAGAGACAAATAAAGAATACCTTCGCAACACAATCTCCTCTTCACAATTACTCTATTAATAACAGCAAAATTAGAGAGTTTTAGCGTAATCCATGAAAGAGTTCCAGAAGCTGGTTGTAGAACAAGATAACTACTCAGATCTTCATCTATAACATTCCTCGTTTGACCTTCCACGATGTTCGAAGTAAAGATGGTTTGAATTTGGGTAATTTTCTTTGCTAGAAGAAAGAAATGAAAGAGAAAAAAATGGATAAAAAAGGAAATGTTTTGAAACTGAACGCATTTCATATAAAAGACAGACATAGATGTTTTATAGAAAAGTCTTTACTTTTATATATATTAGATTAGTATATGAAAGTATGTTGCAAACTATATATAGAATATTTATAAGTATATTACCATTTATTGAGACAACGGAACTTAGAATACTGATAATCAAAATTAGTAAACGTTCATATTGCATTTTCAATAATGCTGGTGTATCAGTTTGTCTAATTTTGGTCGAATGAAGATTTCTCGAAGTGAAGTGACGTTTTCCTTTGCTATAGAAAAGTAAAAGTAGATTGAAAGTAACATAGATGATTATTATAAAAATTAACGGAATATTCGATTGTTTTATGTTGTTAGTAAATTATTACCAATTTTTCAAATAGTTCTCTAAAAAATCATTTTAAAAACCAAACAGGAAGTATATAAATTGAATATAGAGGTATATTTGTATTAATATTGACTATTGTAGACTTTTACCTAAAGATTTTATATGTATTGCAACCATTCCTTTATTATGATAGTTTGTTTGACTGAATGAGGCTCTTCTTAAATAGGTTTCTTCTTAAAATAAATATTATTTTAGTGTAGGTTAAAAGTCATTAAACTCTTCGTCAGTATCAAATATTATGATAATCTATGTAATTATTGTTAAAGAATCTTTGTTTCTTTTTGTATATCCAAACCAATGACAGTAAAGAAAAATGTTTTTATAATCATTTATATAGTTCATTTTTGGCGGGATAATTATTTAAAATAACTATGAAGAGAATAAAATAAAAAACTAAAGTTTTGACTATGAAAAGAAGTTTATTTTTAAAAAAAAAAAAAGAAAAAAAATAGACAGTGTATATCCTTAAAAACAGTTAAAATTTATAATTAACATATTGTATATTACTATCGAATCAAGTAGATCTTTGTATTGATTATATCTATTGATATGAATATGTAAAAAATCTGTTGATTAAAAAGAAAATTTCTTATAAGTAGAATTAAAATTTTTTTTTTTGTAAAAAAAAAAATAGAAATAAAAGTAATAGATATTAAAAAAATGTTATGACGATGGTAAAGAGTTGACGTGTTCCTTGCATAGTTTATCTTGTGTGAGATGAGATATATTATAACCAAAAAGTTCAAAATCTCTTCTATAAAATACCTTTAACTCTTCAATAAGCATGGGATGAAGAGTGTTACAAAATTCTCTACGCCATTCTTTTTCAGTAGTCTTCCGTCTACTGTAAGGCAACATTTTATCTTGTAATTTTAAATGCTCTAAAATATATTTTGTATCCTCCATCAGAGTTTCATAATGACCTATAAAGTCGTACTGTATGGTACACGGTGAGCATATGTTATTTATACTATCCCAATGTGGGTTAGTCTTAAACGGCATATAACTAATATTCAGTAAATAGTAGACAAATTCTAGAAAAGTAGGAATTCCTTTTTCCTTTTCTTCCTGACTAGCATTTGGTCTGAAATATGCAACTATCAATTTGCCAAAACGATTTCTAAAATAGTTAGTATACGTCTTGACAAATTTATTCCTGTAGGCCGACAAAAGCCTCTCAAAAGGATGTCGGACAAACATTATTTTCGTATAATTGTTCATAAACGTACTAATTTCTTCGCTTTTATATTCTCCGAGAGGTTTTAGCACCTGCTTCGCTTCCTTTGTATCGAGAAGTTCCGAAGAGATATTAGACGGTCTCAAATGATAGAATCTGGGCGATAGACTAACTAGAATCTTTCTCCAATTGGTACTAGCTGTTTTTGGGACTAGGCAAAAAACAATCTTATAATTCTCTTGTACATATAAATTAGTCAGGGCAATCGGATGAGGATCATTCGATTTCGAACAAACATCTTTCAGCTGACGTAATCTAGCCGCCACAGTTTCCTTCTGCAGAGAGAAAACTTAATGAAACAGGCCAAAAAGAACTTGTGTACTTACTGTTGTAAGTCTAGGAGTATAATTGTTACTCGTACGTTCGTGACCTTCTAGACAAAATACACGATTTTACAGCTTTGAAAATAGAGTAGGCATGGTAAATTAATTGATTAAGGTAATACTCACTTAGAGATAATCCCCAAAATGCTAAAATAATCAAGAGAAACAGTAAGAAACTAAATATTTTACGCTGGCACACTGGAAAATGGAAGCCATATATGTACATTCTTACATATGCCAAACTGCCCGTTCCTTTTTTTTCTCTTTTCTCTAGTTTGTAATGTAAATCGAACCGACCTACATCAACATGTGCAGCTCTTTTATACGCACAGAAAGAGGACTACGCGTACATAAAACTCCGATAGTTTAATAAGTGGCGCTTTTATAGCATGTTTCAGCCTACAATATGGGTTTTATTTTCTAACGGAAGTACTCTTTTTTTTTTGTTTTATCTCTTGAAAAAAACAGGATCTTAGACTTAAGATCTCTTACAAAACTAATGAAAGCAGTGGTTTTTTTTTGCAAACGATAACTTTTGGTGTTGGCGAAAAAAAAGAACCAAAAAAAAAGTCTAATAGCTTTTAGGTTTTTTTTTTAAAAAAAAAGAATATGATAAATTAATTGTAAGTTTAATATGATGTTAGTGGCCATTATAAAACAAAATCAGGTCGAAACGTTGTAAATTAAACTAGAAGTTTAATTGAAAAAACACATTGTTTTGAAGATATTTTTGTTACTGATAAAGATATTATTTTAAAGGAAGAATTTGGTATTGTTAAAGAAATAGAGAGAGATAGAGAGAGAGAGAGAGAGAGGGAGAGACTTGAAGAGGGAAATATTCTCTTTCATCTGTACCATTGTTAAGGAATTTGATCTTTATTTTGATAACTGGTAGATCATCTTATTTCGTGTTTTTTTAGATTCCTTCAAACTAATCTCTCTAATCAGTAATTAAGTAAGAGCTATTAGATTCCACGTGATTAGAATATTTTTTTTCTAACTAATCTTATAAACTACAAAAAAGAGACACTTAGTTGTATGATGGTATTTATTTTCATTTAAAAGTATTATGCAATCTATTAAACGTTACATAATATTTAATCAAAAAAAGGAAGAAAAGGTTTCTCTCTTTTGTTTTCAAATTATAAAAAAAAGACACTAAGAAGGTGTTTATTATCTAGTTTCTTTCTTTTTTTATTTTTTTGTATATATATATTCTGAAGTCAAAAAAAACTGAACGTTTATCATTCTATAAATAATAAAACTCTTATACTCTTAAAAGACAATTAATAACATTTAAATCTCTAAAAATTTGTATAAATATCATTTTGTTTTAAACCAGAGCATTTTTTTTTTAAAAAGAAAAAAAGTTTAAGAAAGCTGTCTAAAGCTGGATCAATACGTTCCAGGGAAGTGAGTATATATGTACAAACAGACAGACAGATAGAAAGGGTGGATATGCTTGAAATGCATTATATATTCATATAGCACAACATAAATGAGAAATGCAATTGATAAAAACTTTTGCTAAATAAAAATACATACTTTTACATTGAAACAATTTTCATAAGTTGTCAATTAATATATAGACCGGAAATCATTTCAATTTTGGACATTTGAATAGATATGAGATGACTGGGTTTCCGATTTGTTACTGTGTTTTTTTATCCACGTTGCGGCGAGTTCATAGAGGAATGCGTATTGTTCCTATTAATTATATAATTAGTTTAGTATATGTATTAACTATGAGGTAATTAATTTTCCTTACAACACTTTGAATAAATTGCGGTCTGTTACGCTGAATTTGTTGAACGATTTGAAAAATATCAACATTTTTTTCATTAATTATCTTTTCCAATAAGGCAAAGCCAGCGCAGAATAAGCCACTCCTCTTCGCTCCATCTCTGTAAATTAATATTAATAACCATTTAATATAACATACTTGCATACGAATATAATAAAGTCGTTATCATTATAGAAAGATTACTCTCTATCTATCTGTCTATCTATCTATCTATCTATTTAGCTATCTATCTATAAATATATATACTAATGTATATATACAGTATATACAGTATGCTCTATATAGAACAAGAATTTTGCCATCTTAGTTTATAACTTATGATACGTTATCGTTTTCAATCTTGTCTATATCACTTACAAACAATGTATAAGTATTCTTTTATGTTTTGTGCTATCCATATTTAATTTTCGAACAATTTCAAATAGATCTATGAACGTTGTCATGTCAGGAGGAACTTCATTCTTATCTGTCCAGTTTGTAAGTCTTACGTGACGAATTATTTTAGGCACTCTGGTTGTCTTCTAAAATTAAGTAATAAATTAAATTAATATTTGTAATTAATGCTAGACAAACAGTTGAAAAAATATGTAATATTTACATCAGTGCTTTTGGATAAAAGCAATTGCGTAACTACTATATGCTCATTTTCCAAGTCCAATGAAAGGCTAAGTTTATCGTTTTCAATCTTATAAGGAGCCAGCTCCCTTACAAGAGCTTCGCTCTCTCCAGGCCAATAGGGAAAATCAAGCTGAAATGTATAATTTAAGGAATAATAGTACATTTAATAAAGAAAGGATAATGTAAAATAATTACATCGTTATCTTCGTCTAAAGGATTAAGCATAACTATAACATTACATTTACATTGGTCGGCTAAACGCCATAAATCGATTCTAGTACTTTGTATGGGCATTTGAGTAACAACAAACTTTGACTTTTCAAAATTCTGCATATTAAAATCATTATTGTTTTAATAAATTATTCATATTTATATTAAAAAAATAACAAAGCTAACATACCGGAACGTATATGGCATTTATATAAGTATTTCTGCCATCTAGCGGAGATAATTCAGGACGAAATTGGTCGACTTGAAAAAAAAAACATATATATATATTAGTATATATACAGTATAGGAATATTAAACAGTATAAAAATAAAAATATAGGCTGGTTTGATATTTTAATTTTATGAATAAATTATTAAACCAACTTGGTAAAATGTCCTGATTTCTATTCAATTCTCTATTTTCAATTCCCAAATGACATATGGAAACAGTTAATTTAACCTTTTGGGCGCTGAGCATCTATAGATTGATAAAAAGTAAAAAAGTTCCATCTATTTAAAATGCATTTTATATAATATGTCGAATATAGAAAAGGTTTAATAATAACCTCATATTGTCTCTCGATTCGCGATTCGCTAAATCCAGGTGGATTTTCTTTTAGACGTGGTAGGTTTTTAAGAAATTTATTGACAGAGAATGTTGTTCTTCCACATTGAACATATTCATGCAAAGCTTTGTATATGAACGCGTATTGTTCCTGTTGATAAATAACAAAAATTTTAAGGTGAACAATTGGTCGTGAATATATCCTTTATTATAGTATGTAAAGGAAAAATAGGGTTACTTCTTTTTGAACCATAGCAACTCTTTCCTGTCTTAGTGACAACACAGTGTGAAAGACGTTTAAACTTCCCGTTTCTTCGATTGATTGCATAAGAGTATGCAAAGCTATAAAAGTTCCTGTTCTACCAACCCCGGCACTACAGTGTATAACTGCCGTTTTGTCATGTAATCTCTTATCATTTCTAATAGTTTGTATAAAATTCAATAATGATGATGGACTAGAAGGAACACCAAAATCGGGCCAACCCGTAAAATGATACAATTTAACCTTTTTCGACTCTTCTCCCTTTTTTATGCAAATAATATTATTTATAAAAAAAGTCTTAAATTTTCAACATGTTTACTTTATAGGCCTGTAAATTTCTTATTTTATAATCAAGGTATTCTTTTTCTCCTATACATTGAACGGAAATTGGACCGAAATTTTTCGGTCTCTCTTCTTCCTTGTTTGCCCAATATTGCACACATTTCGTCTGTACATTGTCAACATCAATGTTTTAATAGTTTTTATATTGGAATTAGTAAAATATGGAATGTTTGCATATGCTTAAAAGGAAAACTCACTGTTCCATTTTCATATAAATTTGTCACCATTATGATGACGGGAATTTTATGCTCCCAAATCATTTTCCAAAAGTCATTAACCATATTATCAGTTGGACCTTAAGAAAGAAACAAGGGTATTACTACATTTCTCAAATACTTTAGATATTAGTATATTGGTATTTCTAGAGTATTAGTATGCCGCCTCCCTATTTCTCTATTGCAACCCCCGCGCAATAGTTGATCACTCTGAATGAAATGGGAGAATATGTTTTACAATAGTTCGGCCTACCCACCTTGGCTTGCTATGAAAGTCTGCTTTTTGTTGTAGCCCTATAAGAAAAAAAAGGGAAGTTAAATTACTAATTCATAACAGTCACGAACTAGCTAATTCTTCATTAATTTATAGAAAACATTAATATAAATATTGCCTTGACAACTAACCGATATGTAATTAGCATTTATATAATCCGTTCCATCATCGGTTTCAATTTCAACTCTTGTTTTATCGTCTGTATGGGTATTTTAACATAGTCCATTTTTATAACCCTAATCTTGTATAGTTTAGATAGTTATATAAGTAAATATCAGTTTAATATATAAAAAACATTATCTGCTTAAATAAATTTTAATACTAACATGCGAATATATTTTTATATCTATTCTTTTTCGTTGACCTAACATCTGCCCTCAATGCATCGTTCCATTCGTGGATTTGTCCATTTGGTAATTCCTTGTTAATTTTATTACGCAATTAATATTTATAATACGATTACAATAATGTTTCATTACCGAAAATTCATTTTGAAAACCTTTTTGATCGTCTTTCGACAATCTTTCAATTACGGAACCAAGATTTTCAACCTTTATACTATGCTGTGTATTTTCGTAGGCGGCTATTATTTGTTAGAAAAGAAACCATATGTAGTCAATTTTCACATACAAAATACAATAGTCATTTTACCTGATACACGATCATTAATTGTCGAATTTCTATTTTTAATAATTGAATCATTATTCACTGATGGAACATGATCTGAGGCCGTTTCCAACTGATCTTCCTTTACAGATATATTTTCTTCTATATCAGCTTCTGGATGTGCTTTTCCATTAGTTCTCATCCTTAAAACATAAACGTAAAACTTAACTTTACTTAGTAGTAGAATAATTATTATTTACCTGTAACAGAATACAACACCCACAACAATTGCAATAAATAGAACAACACTTGCTAGTACCACTCCAATTATCAGTCCAATTTTGTTTTTGTCGGTAGGTCCATCACCTGAAATTTCGTTATAAAATACTTCTTAAAGCCTCTATAATTAAACCATACCAATAGTCGAGTTGAAAGAATTATTTGATGGTTTTGTGGGAGCCAATGTAGATGGGCGGATTGTAGAGGTTAATTTTGTTGTTATAACTGTACTTTCTATAGTACTTTCTGTTGTCACAGCTTCATTACATTTATCTCCTGTCCAACCATTTTCACAACCACCAGAGCATAATCCAGTTTCAGAATTACAAGCTGATCCTCCTCTACAGTTTCCACACGCAATATTACAATCAACCCCATAAAAATTTCCCGAACAAGCTATTCAACAAATTTTCATTCATTTCTAAATCATTTTTCTCTTCACATTTCAAATTCAATGTATACTTACGCCACTGACATCTTACTCCATATTTTCCATTTTCACAAATGCACCTCGAGTCCATGTTATTACGATTAAATATTTCACAATATTCACAATAATCAGGACAATTCGATACAGAATTCGGTAAATCTCTTTCACAAATGTAATAGAATTGTTGATTGGGATTCTCTCCATACAATTTCAAATCTCTATCCCAATACATTTTCATATCATTTGTTGGTGAATTTACTGCATTTGGTAAAGAGCTTAACTCTTGCGAACAATCTGATGCGGTATACCATTTATTGTCGAAATAATGTCCATTTCGCCAAAACTTATTCTCACTTATTTCTATTGTTTAATAAACAATACAACAATATCACTTTTCATATCTTATTATCTACTTGAAAACGAAGATTCTACTCACCTCTCCGAAGATATGATGCTAAGAAACTGCCAGAATTTATTGCTAAATACGAATTATCGTCTTCGCATTTTTTCTTTGCGTTCCAAAAGCTGTTCTTCTCTCTCTTCAGAATATAACCTCTTGTTCCATTCTTTTCATAAACATAATTTTCTTTGAGTGGAGTAATATCTTCAATAAATTTAATCAAACATCGAAATAATTATAAAATACACTTTAAAAACGTTTGCAAACCTGATAGAATTTCTCCATAAATCTCAATCTCTGCTAAATGTATATTTCTGCTAGGAGAATTTTTGAATATTGTAACATAATTTCCAAGAGGAGGTCTTGAATGAAGAGATGTTGAGCATGTTTCATTCACTGATTCAGGAACATTACTGGTGCTTCCATAATTGTATGAATAACACAATGAATCTTGAGTTGATGGTTGAAAAGATTTGGGATCACTTTGACAAAATGAATCTCCAATCGAAACGGAAAATATCGCCATATGATCTGTTGATTTGATGACTAGTTATAATATACAGTATGATGTAAGAGAGACAAATAAAGAATACCTTCGCAACACAATCTCCTCTTCACAATTACTCTATTAATAACAGCAAAATTGGAGAGTTTTAGCGTAATCCATGAAAGAGTTCCAGAAGCTGGTTGTACAACAAGATAACTACTCAGATCTCCTTCTATAACATTCCTCGTTTGACCTTCCACGATGTTCGAAGTAAAGATGGTTTGAATTTGGGTAATTTTCTTTGCTAGAAGAAAGAAATGAAAGAGAAAAAAATGGATAAAAAAGGAAATGTTTTGAAACTGAACGCATTTCATATAAAAGACAGACATAGATGTTTTATAGAAAAGTCTTTACTTTTATATATATTACAATATATGATGTAGATATAATATATTTATAAGTATATTACCATTTATTGAGACAACTGAACTTAGAATAATACTGATAATCAAAATTACTAAACGTTCATATTGCATTTTTAACAAGGTTTATCCATTCGTTGGTATGAATCATATAACAACTATTCCATTCAGCGCCGTAAGGCCGAATGAGTTGAAGCGGTTGTTTACTATGCTGTCATAGATACAGGGGCGTCTGCTGCCTAAACAACCCGCAAAAAGTAGTAGTTTCTTGTTAAAAAAGGAAGTATTGATGTACAAGAAATGATACTACTTATTAATTGTTATCATAGAAAAGTGTCACTCTCTTTTCTCAATGATTTTCTTAATGTATTGAACTTTATACGAAAGTATCTTTCAATTGTTGAAAATTATTAATTGAATGACTATAGATGAACTTTGTAATTTCCTTGTTTGTATCTATTATTTATTGAATCTAATCGATCTTACTACTTTTTAAGACTTTTAGTAAACATAAAAATTATCGTAAAATAAGAGAAACATGTCAAAGTTGACTGTAAGCCATCTGGTGGATATAATATTATAATTATATAATAATTAATTATACTAATAGCTAAGGTTTATTCTTAAAATCTTCCATATCAGCCAATTTTTCGAGAATCCTTTCAAGGGTTTTCTTTTGATTCATTTGCTCCTGAAAAAGCTTCTGAATTATTTTACTTTTATCTGTTGAATTATCATCTGCGTTATTTGCTCTTTTTCGACCACTTAATCTCTGAAGTGCCTTGACAGGACCGACTTTCTTAGCGTTTGTTAGTGCATTTGTACGTGGACAATTCATAGTACAGGAATTGAAGTTTGAAGATTTATTGTTCAACGATGTAAGAGAACGTTGATATTCATCATCCTCTAAGGTACACTGTGTAATTGCCGATCGGTATCTTTTACGTTTAGTTAAGTTTTCAGCAGATTTCCTCTTGTAAGCTTTTTGTTCAACATCCTCTGAATCTGAACTATTCGAAGCTTGTTTCAATGTTATTTTCTTCGAGGCTATTAAGATGGGTTTTAATGTTGAAAATAAGGGAAATTCAAGTATATACCTTTTTTCCTTTTATCTTTTTTATTTTGTTTCTGTTTAGCGCCTAAGTAGATTTCGGCTTCTTCGTAAGTTTCTAATAATAGAGTATCAGAATGTGTGACTTGAACAAACTACTTGTTTGCACTTACCAAAACCCTGTAGTATAACCGCTTCGTAGTAGGACCATAATCCAGGTGAATTTTCTGCAGGGTTGACATTATTTCTAGCAAGGTAATCTATATCTCTGTCTCCACCTTCATAATATATATGATCCTCCGGCCACATGGTCAAAATTTTCTTATCTTCTAAGGTTATCCACGTTACTGGAATAATCGAATTTAAATTTTCCTCTGGGAAGAAAACTGCATAATATTTATTGAACATGACTCCTGTTCAAAGCTTCAACAAAGACTGTCTACCTTCAAAGTTTAAACGAGTGCGAATATAAGTACAATCAATTAAATATTACAATAGTATTATATAATGCTTTAATTTAAAGAAAAGACTTTATCTTAGAAGGTTCATTGTTTGCCTGAGATTGTTAATTATTCTGTCTAACTAGCTTGGAAATATTAACTTGAGCAATTAGATAATAAGTGAAAGTATATTAATGAGAGTTCCTAACTGTCTTCTTACTTTTAAAGGAGAAGGAAAGTTTTAATTAACTTTTAAACTACTTTACTAAATATAAACCTATATTAGATCATAAATCAAAATGGAAATGATTCAAAAAAACATAATTTTTATTTCACTATCAATGAAAATTAGGTCATTCTAATTGATTACCAATGAGTTTTTTGGAAAAATGAAATTATCAATTGAATAAGGATATAAAGCATTGCTTAGGCTTACTAACCAACATTCATTATCTTGTCTATGTATAATTGAAGATGTAAACAACTGTCCGTTAACTTCAATACTTGTTCTACTGCTATTCTCTTGAACATTTTCGAAAAATTTAATTCGATTATTGCCAACTCTGCCGAGAATTCCTCCGTATCCTTTATAGTTATTCTTTAGGCCAAAAATTCTTGTATCAAGATAATAGCCACTACTTAGATGACTTATTCGTTCAATAGCAAACAATAGCTGCTCATCAATTTCTTTAACTTTAATTTTAATAATATTTCTGTATAAAGTATATTCATAATCTTTATCTTCATATTTTAGTTTTCTCATTGAAGGATTCCATTGTAAAACTAATCCTCCAAATAGTTTAATATCTTTTGTAGTTGCTGTAATATTTCCGTATGGCGAAATTATAGTAACGATATGCATGTAATAGTCATCCAATAATTCTCCAAACATCACAGTTCCGCTTTTCTCGTGTTCAATTATTTGAATTAAATCTCCAGAATTCCCTGTAACATCGTAACAAACTTTCTTTTCTATCATTTTAAACTCATCAAATATAATTTGAACAAAGTGTGGATCATCCCTTAAAGACAATCCAAATTCATCATCCTCTCTGATTAGTATGTTTATAGGTATATTTGAGATTATTTCCTTGGCTGAATCAACACATGTTAAATCAACAGTAACAGTTCTATCACCCGTAGACTTATCATCATCGACAGGCTCAACTATTAAGAAATTGCCGTAAATTTCACTCATGCTACTTTGAGTGTATGTGTACGTGCTTGGACCATGAAAGTGTGCGTACGCTTTATCTTTAATGTCAGCACTACAATTAGCATTTCCAATAAAGCTCGATATCATTACACCTCTTCGGCCACCATCTTCTTCGATTTCCAACGGAACTTCAATATGTGGTGAAAATTCCTGAAAACTTGTCTCGTCTACAAAGGGAAGAACTGTAATTGATTGGTGAAATTTTGAAGATCGTCTATTTCGAAAATCAGTACAAGTAATGCTTAATGTAACAATTGTTGGTCCTTTTAAGCCATCGTTATTCACAGCTGTTAGCATTGTTTGATGTCTCCATTGAAATTCGTCAAAGACTATTTTATCATTCTCTTCTGCTTTCAACAGTAAGTAGGTTGAATCGGATAGCTTCATTGAACATGTACCAGAACCTTGAATACTTGGTAAGCTAATAGAGATACTGGTGTGTACGTGTATTCTCGGTACGAATATGAGTACAAGTTGAAAAGGAGAATAATAATCAGTTGCATCATTGTCTTTCAAAAATACTTCTTTCTCAAAAGTAACTTTTTTATTCGAAGCTTCACAAGTGCATACTAAGGAAATTGTAACAGTTACATCATCTCCCTTAATATCATTATCTGGAATGCTTAATGGCATTATATGCAGATTGAAGGTTTTATTAAATGTGAAATAAGCTTCCGGGATATCATAAATTCTATCAGGGACCGAGGAAGAGACACTAGGAGAGAGCAAACATCATTAAAAATTTTATCATATACAGTTTATAGATATAAGAATAAATGAAAATAATGAAAATATTTACGAGCAAATGCCACTTCCTGATTTACGCCAAGTTCTTAAGACTAATCTTTTATCATTCTCAGCAATTTGATTCTGAAGTTCCATATGAACATCAAACTTTTCAGAATATACAGCAACTATCACACATATATAATTATATTATTAACAGTAATGAAAATAACATTATAATAAATTTACCAAGTTTTGCTAAGAGAATTAACGTAAGGGTGAATAATTTCATTTTGAAAATTTATTTGCTAATGAATATTTATGAATTTAGCTAGGAAACTAAAGAACAAATGAAGAACTTCTGTCTGGCGAGGCGAACGTTGACACGTACTCTTTTGTTTAATCTAACACGCAGCTTCTCTGGTAACTTTTATATATAAAAAAGGAGAAAATCAGATTCGTATTTAGTATTAACAACTCTACATATCTTATTAATGAGACAATTTTATTCGACAATTAAATATATAAATTTCATTAAGTTTTTAACAAATTATTCCAAAGCTAGCTGTCTTAATAAGCTAGCGGTGACATCTAGTTGAAAAGACATTTATACTATCAATAAGTCATAGACTTTTAAGGGTAATATTTAATATTGTATAGGAAAGAACGCTACTAAAATGAAGTATAAAGCTGTTGCTTCTGGTTATTCATATATATACAGTATGTACTGTATATATTTATATATTATGTATATTACATTAGTTCTCTTCTAGGTAAATAAACTACCTTAGTTTTTTATCACGTTTTTTCAATATATTCTAGTAGAAACTAGCTCTATTCAACGAAAAATTCGGGTTCAGACTAGTTCAAACGGGGAAGGGGGCAATTTTTTCTTGCTCTTGGCATGTGACGACTAGCAAAGCTATCTTTTTTTATAGAATGTTTTATGGGGTTAGTGTACTTAAAATTGTGTACAATACAACAATAAAATTAATGAAAAAGCTAATATTTTCCAGTAATGATACTCTAATTAAGATGATAATAAAGATTCAACGAAAGACGTAAGAGAATCTATAGATTCTCTTAATATAATTTATCCTATGCTCTCTACATAACAAAAGATTTGTCACTTTTTATATATCAATTCCTTTATGCTCTATAAAAAGGAGTGAACTATGGCTAGTAAGCCTAGTTTTGTTTTGCTTTTTGGAAAAGGAAAAGCTAGACATTTCAGAAAATTAAATATTATTTTTTATTTTAAAGCCATAGCCATAGTGAAATGAATCTACTTTGAGAGTAGTTACTCAAAGCTTGAGTTTCTATTATTCAATATTATCTTAAAAGGAGTTCAAATTTAGATCAGAGTTTATCACAAGACTTGCAGTAGAAGAATAACTAGCTAAAGTTATGAATAAATTTCTTTGGAGTATATTTATCTACGCAGTAGTTGGTATGTTATAATTGCTCAATCTTATTTCAAAGATAATATCATATTTATGTATTTTTCATTAATAGAAATAAGTTCTCTAGAATCTGCAACTCGTCCACTTAAAATTCAACTGGATATTGTCCCTCATCCCGCAGTAATTAAAGGTGGTGCTAAAAGAATAATTATAATTGAAGCATTCGAAGGCTCAGGTCTATGCAGGTAATTATTATTTTAAAAGTATTATAATGAACAAAGTAAGATATGCTAATAGTGTCTTATAGAATAGAATCGTCAGAAGTAAATGAGGTGAGATTTCATGGGGTAACAGAAAATTTTCATATATCGGAACCGAATAAAAAAGTTCATAGAATTCTCGTCGAAGCTTTTGATAATGGTATTGCAAGTCAAAAGGAAACTTTCGAAATTCTCGTTATCTGTAAGGAAATTGGAACAGATATCATTAGAACAGCTCAGAAAGAAATCCTAATTTATGAAAGTTTTGATACGTTTGTCTCCGGTGATCCGCATTTTGTGCAAACTGTTTTTGACGAGGCGAACAAAGATAGAAAACTAATATGTTATGACGTTACAGGAGAAGCCGGTGATCATATTGAAATTTTAACACAAAACTCTTCGAAAACTATCATTAAAGGAGAATTAATCGATGATAATTATATGCACTTAATTAAAATAACCTATTTGGACGGAAATATCATTTCATCAACAGAGGGAACCAAATTTAGCGATGGCCTCTTTATTGATTGGTCAAATAGGATAGAACCACAGAAAATTGAACGAGACACTCATTCGATAATCTATAATGGACCTAGCATAACAATTGAACTAAAAAATATGGATGATAGTATACAAAATTTGAATTTCACTATAAAAAGATTATATCACACGCTAACCGGATATTTCTTGGATATAAACTTTAATCATTTGGTTAATTACGAAGGATTAGGAGGTTTATTGGGTAGAATTGGTAATAATAAATTTGTGTTCTTCGGAACAGCTGAGGAGGCAGAGGATGATACTGATAGTTCCAAAATAGCGGTTAACGTAAACGGTCAGACAATGTTAAGTGCCCTACAAAGTAAAGACGAATTAAGTTGTTGGCTGTTTGATATTGATGATGCCTTATATCCATCAAATTTGGAAGATTTCTCGTCATCTTTGCTTAAATGGGAACCTTGAAAGAAAGCATTGCGTACCAAACTTGAGTACAATAGACAATTGGATTAATCGATAGTATAATTTGGTGTATGGCCGATCCTTAAAGACTTAAGTAGTTCTAGTTTCCTCTAGACGTTTTCTTTCAAATAAAAAACTACCAGAGCTAAATTATTTTTCTTTGCTTTTAATCATCTCCCCCCTCGAGTCCCTTATTTTCATCGTTTTCTTCCACTTTCCTATTCTCTCTTTGTCGTTTCAAGCCGACAATATTACGCAATAGAAAGAGATAGCACAAGGATATTTATATTATAGATTATTAAAAACAACTTGAGTATCTTTCTACCTTGAGATCTAGATTCTCGTGTATTTTTTTACTTAGTCTTTAGTCAACTATTGAGACCAATCAGTTTGTGTAAATAATACCATGCTTAACAGGAATATCCCACTTGTTTGCCTCTTTATCATATTGGTATCAAGTTGGTATAAATATCCGTTCAAAATGATAAAATTAATCAATTACTGCATATATTAGAAATATTATATGTTTATTTGTTTATAGGAGGATGCTCAAGTCAATTATTAGATATTCATATTGCCAGACCAGATCCGCCCATATTAAAGAGAGATGGATTTGGCTTGTCGATCACAGTAGAAGCGCTACAAGGAAAAGGAATTTGCAGGTGAGAAAGATCTTATATCAAAATTATCTGACTTTATTGATAAAGATTACGATCTTTAGAGCTAAGGTTTCTCATCCGTCCGAAGTAATACTTAAGGGATGTATTGATAAGTTTCCTATCTCTCGTAATGGACTTGTAAATAATATCATTGTAGAAGCTGTTGATAGTTATAAATTGGAAAGAGATAAAATAATAACAGTGCATATTGAGTGTTTTGACGAGGTTGTAAGAGCTTACAAAACGGAAAGCGTTCATTTCATCCTACAGAATAAATATCCTTTGTCCGGTGGAAGTCAGCATTTTAAGCAAGTTGTTAAAGATGAAAAAGATAAATCGTTAAAAATGATATGCTATGATATAAATGGAAGAGAAGGCGATCAAATACTTATAATTAAACTTCAAGATTTAGATATATCTATATACGGAGAATTGATGAATGAATATTTTATGAAAGCGATAAAAGTTATCTCACCACATGGTAATATAACATCTGATCGTACCGGAACTCTATCGGAAGATGGTATTTTCCTTGAATGGAATAATTTAAACGAAGATCGAAAGATAGAGGGAAAGAGTTTTATCTTAAAAATTACAGGAAATTCTCTTCAAATTAATCTCAAAGATAGCATTTCAAGAAATAGAATAACAAAAAACATAATAATTTATAGATATTATAATCCTTCTATAGGTTTTTCGATGAATTTAAACGCATTCTATCCGACTTACGAAGGAATAGATGGCCTATTAGGGAGAATAGGAAACAACCTGTTCAAATTCTACAAAACTGTTCAAGAAGCAAAGGGTCGTAAAGCAATCATCAGCGTAAATGGAAATTTATCATTAACCTCAGTGAGGCATAACATAAGTAACTGTTGGTACATGGAAGTTAATGATGCCCTCTTTCCATATAGAATAAGTCATTATTTATCTAGTAATGTCTAATTCTTAATTATTTTTTCCTTTTACGAATAATTCGAATAAATTAAGAAATGTAAGTGCTTATATAATGTGCCCTTTGGGCTAATCATCATCAAACTAACCATTACTATCCCATAAATCACCGACAATATTCGATAAAATTGTATACATAACATATAAGAATTTCCAAGAATTTTCGTCTTACGTCTGCATTCCTACATATGAATATGAACTAGTTTGATCACTCCATAGATATATCAAAATATTATGCGACACCTAGTGTATTAGTCAGTAGAATGACCGACTTCTGCGACCTCGAAATAGTTTTCATAGCTAAAATAAAATTTGTCCTAAGAGAATACTCTAAGAATAGAGTCCTTTTATTGCTATATTCATCCATTAAATTTCGAAAGCTAGTTATTCAAATTTAGCTTCAATCGAATACATAAACGTATTGTGTACGTTTTACTAATACAGTATATATATAAAGATATATATATATATATATATATATATATATATATATATATATGGAAAATTCAAATAAAGAAAATCTAATAATATCTAGGGCATGACGAAATAATTTTTAACTAGTTTAACACTTCGCAAAGAGAAATGAGAGTATACTCTGAATGTGAATTAGAAAATATGAAATATTATAACTATTATTAAAAGGTTACTATTATTTCATATTGGAAAGAAATTAGCGTATTATTCTCCATATTCATAGCTTTATACGGTTCACATAGCTCATCTTATTATTTAATTAATAATGAGATATTATAATTTTTTTACTATATTGCAACACAGCATTTGTTAGTTTAGATGTTTTGGAGAAAATAAATATTTCCAAATTGCCTTTGTCTAGGGTGTATTGCTTATTACATAAAGCATTTATTGATTTTTAGCTGCTCACGTAGGAGAATTTTGAATGAAAATTACAACGTAGAAAAATACCGGTGCCACCTACAGTCAAATTTGCTTTGTTTATCGGTCGTTGCTAGCAACCGAAAAATAGTACCGCCGATCGATCTCATTTGCATACGAAAGAATATAATCCAAGTACGAAAAAGTTGAAAAATGAAGGGTAAATTTCAAATCAACCTTCACTAAGATTGAGTAAAGAGGTATTTGCATTATATACTTCGTTGGTGGGGAATTTTATCAACGTAAAACTAACATTTAGCGTTATAGACATTCGCGCTATAGGACAAGGTTGTTAGGTCGCGCATGCGCCAATAGCCCTACAACACTCAAAATGGCGACTGGTGACTGTGACAGCAGTCTAACTGGCGTGGATTGGCTTTTACAATTAAATATAAGCGGTGCTTTAGGAAGAGGAACAAACAATAATAACAATAACAACTCACCTAATTCGAATGCACTAAAAAATGAAGAAAACAAGCCAGCTAAAGAAAGAAAACCGTCCTATAGCTATGCCAATCTCATCACTTTCGCAATTAACTCATCGCCCAAAAAGAAAATGACCTTAAGTGAGATTTATGATTGGATCTGTTCGAATTTTCCATACTTTAAAGAAAATGGAACAGGTTGGAAGGTAAGTTCAAAGAACTACCGATTAATAGCATAGTTGAAAGTGAAATGTTGTTTTTTTCTAGAATTCGATCCGACATAATCTTTCATTGAATAAGAACTTTTTAAAAGTTCCAAGATCGAAAGATGATCCTGGAAAAGGTTCCTATTGGGCTATTGATAATAATCCGCCAGAAGATTCTCCATTGCTGTCGAAAAAGAAGAAATTTCCAACTAGCCGGGTATGCATTCAACTTTCTGACTATAATGAATACCATGAATTAATAATCATACGCGATTGCATGTTAATTAGCGAAAGTTGTCCATTAATACATAAATGCATCCAAGGCCCAACTTTGGGACAAAATCTTTTGACACCATTGTCAATAGTAAATCCTATCATTGATATATTTACTTTATTTTCGGGGTATTCTTTATTTCGAAAAACGACAAATTTTAATCAGATATTGGATAATTGATAAATTCTGTCTTGATCAAACCCTTATTTTATATTCTACTTATTTAATTATTCATTCTACAGCCGTCTCCCTATGGAGCTGAAAATACTGTACCAGCAAACTTTGTCTACAATCAACTATCCCCACAAATTGCATCTGGACAACCAACTTTAGCCAGCGTTAATACTATACTCAGTTCCTCATCCTCAATGAATTCTTTAACTCCGCAATCCCCGATGACTTCAACTACAGATGGCGCCTGCTTAACCGCCTCCTCGTCAAGTTCGAATTTTATTGAAAGCCAAGGAAGCGTGGATTTGAATGCTAGTTTTAGCAAACTGTACCAACAATTAGAATGCGTTCCGGGTTAGTAAAACCTATATTAATTCTATTTTCAATAAGAATATCCCACGTTGCCCCTGTAATAAAAAAAGAGGCGTATAGTATATTAAAAAGTTCTTAGTAGGTTCCTGGAGCCTTTCTTTTGTGTTCTTACTCGATATCTAACAAACCCCTTATTAAACTTTAAAAGACAAAAAAGGAAATGTATTTTATCTTTAAATCTACAATTTTTTTTATATCATAACTTTATTTCTTTATTTGTTTAATCCGTTAAAGAATTAAGAATACTTCTAATAAAAAAAAAACAAAGAAAAGAATTTAAAATAAACGTAGGCAAGTTAAAGTAGTGGGGCGGGGATAAGTACGGTAGGGGGTAGAATTAAACAATATAGGTTATGTGAAATATATCCATTATATAGATAGACCATTTTTTTTTT